AAAAAAAAAAAAAAAAAAAAAAAAAAAAAAGGAGAAAACGCCCCACAACTTGTTTTGGAAAGAAAATATACCCAACCTTCTAAGAAAACTAGAGAACAATTATGATGTACTGTGATGTAGAAACAAGAGATATCCAAAACAAACGAACAGTCAACTTACAATCCCGCCGGTCCCCCTCTACTCGCCCCCCTCTCCCCCTCCAAGCACCACAACAAATGCAACAACCCACAATCACTCAGAAACACAACCATCTGCCACGCACTCGGCTTATCCTCTTCCAATGTCGACGGCGCAAATCCCGTCACCACATTCCTAATCACCGGATCCACACCGGGGATGAGGTGAAATTTCTCGGGAAGTGTTACGGACCTGGTCGGGCTGTAGGTGATTTTCCCGTCCTGGATGGGGTTCGGGGCGAGCATGAGGTGCAGGATGTCCATGTTGTAGAAGGCTAGGACGGAGAGGAAGAGTAAGGGGAGAGCTTGGATGGCTCGTCCTGCCCTAGAAGAGCCATTGTTGGCTGAAGACGGGCTGGGTGTTGTCATGGCTGACTTCTTGTCTTTCTGGCGACCATCGGCTTGTTTTCCACTCCCAATGTCTCGTGCGGAGTCTACCCTAATCTATATAGAAGGAAAGAGGGGAAGTTGCACAACCACAGGTAAAAGGTGCCTGCCAAGATTCCGCCCCATAGGCTAGCCTCGATCAATAAAATAAGTACTTCGAGCTTAGTCTCAGTCGATTAGATACTACCTATGTACCCATTGGGGAGCTTGGCGATTCAGAACGTCGATGCATTCCCAATCAGCGTGAGGAACGGCAAAACGACTGCAGACACAGAAGAGATGTATTGTTTGATAGAGCGCATTAGACATTTGTCGGTCACCTTCCACCTGTCCGGTGGGCTTACAGCTAAGTGTATAGAGATGTAGATTGCTAACAGATATCCTACATATCTTCCTTTCCTTAGATTCGTTTGAGGAAATGGCATGCTTTTCAGATTTAACACAAACTCGAGTGTCCATATGTGATATGCTCAAGTAACAAGCATACAACTTGTAAAGGCATGTAAACCCTTTCGAAGTGTCATCAATTAGACCAACATCTGATAATCTGTGCATATAGTCAACTATATCATTTCAATCAGACTTTTCCTGGATGAAGTAACTTCATAACACGTGCGGCGTTCCGTAAAGTGAGCTATCCAGTAAGGAGACTTCGAATAATTGTCATGTGGCCATCACCTTGAAGCCGTCCAAATGGTCCACAGCCTTGTTGTCCTCGGGAAGGGGCACCAGACGAGGGTCATGCTTTGCGCTCACATCCGTCTCAAACGCCACATACCCATATACATAGTCATCTACCATTCCCCTCCAGCAAATACCCTCCGCAGCCAAACAACACAACCGCACCCCAACAACACACTTGCTTTCATCCACCAAAACGAGACTGCAACTGCCCGACGTCAGTCACACTCTGGACTCCTAGACTCCATCAACAGCTCAGGCCACAGCTAACCCACCACACTATCCTCTCGCACTGCTCAGTGCTCACTCGTGAGTAGAAGGAAGACACTCACTGCATATAGCTGAGAAAAGTTTCCGTTTCCGTTTCCGTTTGCACTTCGCCGTCTCGAGGCCCGGAATCATGCCCCCCCTATGGTGACTTAGTAGCTAGATAGATACGAAGAGCATGGACAGCTTGCGTCAGCTTGTAGGACATGGCAGGATTGCAATTCATAAACGTGATTGTCGGTGGACATACACCTACCCACCTGCAGCCAGTTAATCCGATGGCACACTCTCGTTGTTCGCATGTAACATGTCACTTCCGTACAAGACGCTCTCTAATCATCGTCGGGGTATGCATACAGTCAACATTCCATTCCCAACTCCCGCATACATGCATCCCTGCATTCCTTCGCTCTAAAGAAGGAACAGAAACCACACACTCAATGCAACACTCACTCCGCTCTATCAGAAAACGGCCCCAATCTCCCTCGCTCGCGACAAACCATCGAAGGGACAAAAAACAACGTGCTCAGACCAGCAAAAAAGACGCGGCTTCTTCTTTCTATCTATGCATGCAAATGTGGGTGCCGACCGACCAACCAACCGTCTTCGCTCCCTGCTCCTATCGTGAAATCCGTTTTGCTCTGTTTCGCTTCGCTTCGCTTTCGCTGCCAACATCAACAACCAAAACATAACAATGCGGTCCTGGCAAGAACCCTGTTTTGCCGACCCCCGAGTTGAAACCAAACAAATGATCCCCCTTCATCAGTCCAGCCCGGCTTTCCGAGCATCGAGCCGGTAATACTCGCACAGGTGCGCCGAACGCATACATGTTGGAAAACCAGCGCAGGTAGAACAATGATGAAATGATAAATGAGGAAACTCCGCTCATGCCGATATATCGATTGCCGCACGCACAATGCAAATCAAATCCGACGCAATGTGAATCAAGAAAAGAAACAAGGCCATGCGATCGTGGCCATAAGCTGTCAGCATTGCAAGGTCTGCTGCCCTTCGAACTCCGAGCAGGTGGGCCGGTCCTGCCCGTGCTCCATCACTCACACAGTCGCCCTCTCGCCTGAACACACACGATTGCATCAATCCAACACCGACGAGCGTGTATACGCCGCAGCAAGCTATCCAACAAGACCCAACGAATGCTATCATGGCGGCCAAGCCAGCAACAGCCAGAGGGCATGGTTTCTGGGGCTAGAGATCTAGGTGCGAATATTATCCACCTTTCCGGTCTGCTGCGTTCGGTGGGAGAGGTTCGCCAGCCTTACTTCCCCCCTTCTTCTTCTTTGACTTCCTGGTTGCTTGCCAGCCACCTGTAGTCGCACCCGTCGTCCCCGCAGCTGGCTTGCTGTGCTTTTCGTTCGCCTGCGTGGCACCTCTGTGCTGGGTGGCCTTAGCATTGTCCTTAGAGCTCTGACCTGGTGGTCCAGCATGTCCAGATGCTTGCAAAGGGCCGGGGAGCTGCGGTGGCGGCTGTGGCGGCTGCTGTAACTGCTCCTCCTTCTCTCCAGGTGTAGACTTGTTACCATTCGCAAGCATTCGGCGGTCCTGGTGACGATTTGCCGTAGGCGAGGGGGTGCGGGCCTCAAACACTGGTGAAAGTAGCGGCCCGCCAGCGGATCCAATTTCCTGTGGCGAGTCTCTGGGCACACTGTCGGTTTCGAGACGGTTCAACCCATTCGTGTACCTGACAGGTTGCGCTTGTGGAGAAGGCAGACTGACCGGTGACGTGTCTTTTGGGCTTTTACTTTCATCTTTGCGTGATGCTGAGTTCATCCAACTCTCTTCTACCGCCGAGGGGGGCTGAAGTTCACCGCTTTGGACAAGGGATAATCCGTTCACTCCCTCTGGCCTGCTGCCATCCATATTTCCATGCCATGTACTTGGATGTATCAGGTTGAAAGGGATGCCATGTTCTTGGTAGGCCTCTGGAAGGCTCTGCGGGTCATATGCTGCGGAGACCATGCCATAGTTCCCAAAGGGATTGCTGCCAGCGCACATACCGAGGGAAGGTGAATGTGAGGTGTCAAAGGTGGGAAACGCCTCCATCGTGTCACTTTGACTCCTCGCCTCGCGTATTGGGAAAGAACCATTGACAATCAAAGGGCCATCATCCCTCGGGAGAATAGCTGGGTCGCTGCTATCCTTGCGTTGACTGGCAACAGAGGGAGGTGTGACGCCTGTCGAGTAACTGCGCGCATGTGCACCGAGAGGCGAAGGTGACCGTGAAATCCTTCGTAGAGCCGTATTCAGGAGCGGCTGTGTGATCTCAGGTGGTGCGCGCGTGCGTCGCTGAACAAGTTCCTGGTAGCTGGGTATCTGCTGTACAGAATAGCTGGAAACATGCGGCTGGGCGCGAGCTTCAGGCTGTTCTGCAACATGATACCCTACATACTCTTTGGGTATGCTTTGATCCAGGGATGCGGCAGTCTCTTGATAAGCAGCTACGGGATTATATGACGGCTCCGAGGCGGCTAACGACCCTGTAGGTTCCTGCGTAGATCGAGGGATGGGATAGTTGGGATAGAGCGAAGGATCGATATATTGTGGCAACGGAGGGTAGGTAGGAAGGAGATGCGGCTGCGGCTGCGGCTGTGGTACACCACGCGCCGGTTGCGACTGTGAGCGGATCGATCCCGAGTCGCTCGCGTTTGAGATACGGTGGACACTTCTTCGCGGGAGACTGTTGTTCAGCGATGGAGATGATGGATTGGTCCTTGGTCCGTCCTGCGGTACAGCTCCAATGAACTGGGAAGGGTCAAACTGGGCTGGAAAGGGATATAGATATTGCGGATGAAATGAGTGTCCGGTCAAATCCGGTATCTGAGGACTAGAAGGACCGTTCACGAAGGGAGAATGTTGCGATGAGCCATTCAGAGCTCCCTGTCTGTTATGACCAGGCACTTGTGATTGGTCTTGGCCTTGGGCAAGGGCATGAGCTTGCGGCTGAGCGGCGCGAGCATGCTGCTGCTGCGGTGGTTGCTGCTGCTGCTGCTGCTGTTGTTGCTGTTGGTGCTGTTGCTGTTGTTGCTGCTGCTGCTGCTGCTGCTGCTGCTGTTGCTGATGTTGGTGATGAGAGCGCTGCGCCTGAAACTGAGCCCTCAGGTTGAAGGACTGCATCTCAAGGGCAAGGTATTGGTTCATCAATTGATCATGCAGCTGCTCGTTATGTCCACGGGGAGGGAGAGCGTACTCCATAAGAGACATTGGGTTGCCGGCGAGGAAGGGCGGTCGATGAGCACCAAAGGACGCGCCACTGGAAGCCCTCCGGGGAGGTCCGTAGGTATTTCTTTGATGCGGTCCACCACGATTTCCTCGCTGGCTGGATCCTCCGCGGCCCGAACGCACGCTGGGCGCAGTCTGCAGCACCGGCTTTACCGTCGGAGCAGGCTTCTTGAATATGGTTGTCTTCTCCTCATTGGGAAATTCGTATTGCTCACAAGCCTTGGCTAGCTGGCCATTGTCCGCAAGAAGATCGAATGCACGCCGAAGCTCCAAGTGGATGCCCCGCCAGGCGAAGTCATCCGCCGAGTTTCCGAGGTTCCGTTCGGTATTGAAAGGCTCCTCGACGCATAACCTATTCCGGGCTTCCTTTTTTAGGCTCACAAGGTGCCACATCTTTTCCTCTCTTGTCAGCAACCGACCCTCACGCACGGAAATCACGCGCTTCTCGTAGTCCAACTCATATCCATACAGCCGAAAGAAGTGGAACAATAGCTGGCCAAGCGACTCCTTGTTCTTGTCTCCAAACCCCTTCAACTTCTCCAGGTCGTCGGCGAATTCGGACTCGGAAGGCTTGCCTGTTGCTTCGTCGATTTTACGATAGGGCAGCTTGTGTAAAGAGGGTATAATGGGGGGATCCCGCGTCTGAAGAAAGTTCAAGATCATGCATATCCATGTATACGAGCTGATGGTACCACCCGTTGCTGCGACAATTGCGTAAGAAGCGGCCTTGACATGCTAGGTGGGTACTTGACTTACCAGCATCATTCAGGATACGCTGCTTTGCCCAGTATTTGATGATCATGGCCAGAGGACGCACGCGCTCGTCGATCTGTACATACGTCTTGATCATGCGCGTGTTTTCCAAGGCAAGCGTGTTGTTTACATTCATGTCCGAGTTCAAGCGGAGCTCTGGATCCCACATTTTCACGATGCGCACCTTGGCTTGTGGGATGCAGACGACCTTTTTCATTCCGTCTGTGCAGGTGTTGTGAGCATTGGGTAGAACAGGGTTGACGTGCATTGGGAACATACGTTTGTCGAGCGCCTCGGCCAGCATGTGCATCTCTTCAAGCCGTTTCATCGGCGTCTGGATGCAGATATCCACTGCATGGGTTGTCACTATGGGTGGGAGGTGGACAAGGTCAGATTAGGAAACTCACCGTCGCTTTCGCTCGTATACAACATGTTGCCAGAGGAGCCAAAAACATGGACCTTGAACTCGTTTCCAGGAAACTCGGTGTGAAGGATCTTTTCCAATTTCTTCACAAACGCCCGCCTCCTCTCCGCGTCGTCCTCACTGGGCAGTAACCGGTCGTACAACTCCCTCATATCGCCACTCAACTTTTCATCCTCATGTGGATCGAGGGTCTTTTTGGGCTCCTCCTTGGGCATCTCCAGAATGTCCGACGACGTGTACGGCATTCGTCTCCTACCGAATGCTGCGCTCGTCTCGAACCGGCAGCTGTTCGGCCGAGGGGCTCTAAGAGTAGGCATGGCGCCATTCGCCTCTGACGATACGGAGCGGGGGGAGTGGCTGCCCAAGCCGCCATTGGGAGAGGGCGACCGCGAGCGCGACTCGTACTGTCGAGCGAGCTGCAGCGGCGTAGAGGGCACCGAGTTGGAGTGCTGGGAGACCAAGGAAGGCCGCTTCTGGCTTCGGGAATGCATTGGCACTCTTTCGTCTCGCCTGATGTGAGCCACGGTTCCAACGCCGTTGGACGTCATCGACGGGGCGCTGTCTTGTGCGCCGAGCAACGTGGGGGTATTCTCATGGAGGTATGTGGGCGCCGAGGTAGATGAGGTGAAGGAGGTCTTCACGGCGGGATGGGAGTGATCCCTCTCGCTGGTCGGGAGGACGTGGTGCGGAGACACGATGACGGCGGGATAGCTGGCAAGGGGTGGGGAGGCGGGGTGGAAGAGGTAACCGCGGTTACGGGCGAAGGCTGGATGGAGCAGAAGGTACGTCGGGGTCTGGGGGAGAACGGCGTGCGGCGGAGCAGAGAAGGACGGGGGCAATGGAAGCCACTGGGACCGGCGAGGGTCCACGGGAGAGAATTGAGAAGGCTGCGAATAAATAGCGGAAAGATGTGTGTTATAAGGATGGACAGGGTGCGATTTGGAGTGACGGGGATCGCCCATAAAATTGTGCGGCCGGCAAAACAGTGGAGGATACGGAGGGTCGGGGGAGAGGGGCTTGCTGAGGCGTTACAGGGAGTTGTGATGATGGTATTGTGAGGGCGTGGTAGCGTGGCAAGGCCAGCAATGAAACGGCCAGGGCGTGTCTGGTGCGTCTTGAGGCGAGGGCGCTCAAGGACGACGAGAAGGAGAGCAATGCCGTGGATTCGCTCTGTGGGGGAGTCGGGACGTGACGTGAGAAGGGTTCCGGTTTAGCGGCGGGTTGGTGATTCGACGGTGCGAGGGGCGCTCTCCCAGGCACACGAGACGAGTGGGACGAGGCAGGGTGTTCGGCAGAGAGGACGGTGGACAATGAAGACACTGCGGCGGTCTTTCGAAAGGACTTTGTTGGGCTGGGGGGAGTGGGGTGAAGGGGCGGAGAAAGGGAGGGAAGGGTGGGCGAATGCAGAGAAGGAAGAGAGAGAAAGAGAGAGAGACGGAGACAGAGATGCAGTCGCAGTCGCAGTTCGTCGCTTCTCCTTTGGTTCCCACTTAACGTGTGGTTGCCCGCTGCCCTTTCCTAATGTTCGCTGTGCACGAGCCCGCGCGCTAGGACCGATCGGGCGGCGAGAGGAGGGACTTGAGTTGCGGGACTGAGGGACCTGAGGAATAACAAAGAACATTCACCCTCTGGCTGCTGGGTCGTGTCTCGCCCGAGTTGCTGCCACAATTGCCCACAGTTGCTGATTCAAGCTAGGTGGCTCCCTATCTATTCTCTACCAGATGCCCTTTCGTCAGGCTGTGTGCGTGTGTGAGGGTGGTCGCCGACGGGCCGCAATCCATATTCATCACGAGGGAAGCCAACCAAACGTGTGTGGTATCCAGGTTGAGCCCCAGCGACGACCCTTCCTCCCACCTTCTGCGAGAGCCTTGTGTCGCTGAAAGGAGTCCGTTTGGAAAGACAAGGGAATGCCGCCCGCCATGTCCAGTGTGGACGTCGGCAACCACCCAATGCCGTCCTCTTCGCCGCTTCGGCCTTTGCTGACCTCACCTCGAGGACCTGACTTCGGAACGGCGTTGCACTGGCCGTGGAAGGGAGCATGTTGAGTTTCAACCCGTCAGACAACGGAGCCCGCGTATACGAGAACCTCCTCACTGGCCATATGTCCTTCCTAAGCATCCACTGCCAGGTAGGTACGAGAACATAGATGGCACAAAGCACCGTCATTTGGAAACGAGGCCCGAGGCCACGTGGGAGCCTCCATCCTAGATTGCAAGGAAAAGGTATAAAGGATCAATACCACAGTGCACTCCGCATATCAGTCGGGCGTATCCTGTCCAAGAGACCTCTTCGACTTTTCAATCATTTACACGAGCTAGATACAGTATGGTAATGGGGCCATGCCGGGCATTCACCCAGCCACTAGAGTCTCTCCAAGGGAACGGCCATCTAACACTACCTTTTGTGCAGGTGGTCTGAATTCAGAGCACGTGACCTCTCTGTCGGCAGACGATTGAGGTCTAGCGCCGGCTATCGACTTGGGATGACATCGTTGGACCCGTCCAGCCGCGGCTCTCCGCCTCCCCGCAATCCGCCCTCGAAATAAATGTCCAGGCTGCGAACATCGCTCCCATTTCTGTCTACTCGTTCGCCCATTCCACCAGCCCTGCTACGCAGACAGGTCAATACAATGACACAGCGACGCATCAGTACGCGCCTCACTCACCCTCACTTTACGCCGCCGCCCCGCCTGCTCACCGCCATCTAGCTAATCCCGCCCTCTTGTATGGAACCACCGCTCCGCGCTCCCCTTCGCCAGCTCACTCCCTCTCAGTATCTGCGATTTGCAGGAGAAGTTCCGCCCGGCTATACATGAATTCCCCAAAGTAGTCGCCACAACACGGAAATTGCTCAAAGCCAGTATGTGACTCCAATTCCGACTTCCACCTCGTCGCTTTCATCCCATCTCGCATGTACTGACTGCGAACCCCAGGCCAGATCCTCAACATTCCCGTTTTCGCAACGACTCAGAACAAGGCGCGTTTGGGCGAGACATGCGCGGAGCTGGGCTTGGACTCCCCGGATGGGGTCAAGACGGTCGTACATGCCGATAAGACTCTCTTCTCCATGCTGTGCGTATGCCCTTCCCAGGCTTTGTACTCGAGCAATGGCTGAGAGTATGCCTCGTATAGCACTCCCGAAGTCCGCCAAGGCATTGCATCCTTGAACACACAACAACTTTCGTGTGTGATCGTCGGTATCGAGTCCCACATTTGCGTACGCCTGGCCCAGATGAATGCTCGTACCGTTCCAGCAGCGGACTTACTCAACTTAGGTGACTCAAACGGCCCTGGATCTGCTGGATGCGGGACACAAGGTCTACGTGATTGCCGATGGTGTCAGTAGTTGCAACAAGGAGGAAGTTCCTATTGCTCTGGCTCGCCTGCGACGAGAGGGTGTCATAGTCACCACCAGTGAGAGTTGGCTCTATGAATGCGTTGGCGACGCCGGATTGCCCGAGTATGTTACTGCAGATGCCGTGAGTCCATGTTTCCTCGTGCTCGACTGACTCTGGACAGGTTCAAGCAGATCATCAACCTGGTGAAGGAGACCAACCAGTCGACCAAAGAGTCCCTGCAGACTCTTTGCAAGATCTAACGAAGAATGGCTGAGTGCCTTCACCTGTTTTTTGCTCCAACACGTGCACAGCAACATTCTATTTCCGATTTCCGGCAAACTGAACCTTCAGTCGTTGGACACCGGCCCTGACACCAATATACTTGTTTAACTGCCGTCAGCGGCCAGGAAAATGGGTTCCACTTCCGTACAACTTGGCGAATATGGTTCAAATATTAGGCCTTGGCGGTCTCATGGAAATTGAGCGTGGCTTTGGTTTGCGATCCCGGGTTCTGGACAACCAGGGAGGGATATGCAGGTGCCCAGGAATCACATGCAACGCAACTGTGTCGACGGGATGCGCCTTTCTTTGATGCTTGAAGGTGCCAAAGTAACCAGCTTCACGGCGAATCAGAAAATTCATGAGCCTTTGGACCCATTGAGTCCCCCAATTACTTCGCCTTCTCACGCCGTCCTCTCTCAAACCTCTCCGGTTCTTCCAACACTCGTCTCGCCATCTGCAACTGTTCGTCCGTCCGGCAGATCAGTGTCTTATACCTCGCCCCATCCTTGCTAATATCCACCACGACGTCCTCTCCAGGCTCCTCATTCTTCTGTTCATCCAGCTCAAAGCCCAAGCACTTCACTCCTTGCACCACAGCCGCCCTCAACTTCGCCCCCTTCTCTCCAATGCCTCCCGCAAAAACCAGAGCATCCACCTTGCCATCCAGCTTCGTAAAATACGGGGCCACGTAATTCTGAATCCGATCCACAAAGATATCGAAAGCCAGTCGATCCTCGTCCCTCTCCCCCGCGCTAATCTTCCCGAAATCCGTCGTCCCCGTCAACGACTTCCACCCGGACCGCTTATTCAGAATCTCCTCCGCCTGCGTGATGTGCATGGTGGCGGTGCTCTCGTGCGACAGGCTGCCAGCGCTGTGCGTGAAGTGGAACATGAGACTCGGATCGATACTCCCGCTGCGCGTCGCGCCTGGTAGTCCCGCCAAAGGCGTCAATCCCATGCTCGTGTCGTACGAAGCGCCCTTCCTGATGCAGCACGCCGAAGCGCCACTGCCGAGATGCAGGGCAATAATGTTCAGCTCGTCCGTAGGTTTCTTGAGATGGTGCGCGACGGCCGACGTAATGAACTGGTACGATATCCCGTGGAAACCGTACTTGCGGAGTTTATTCCTGCGCGCGACGGTCTGGTCGATCGGGTAGGTGGAGATGTGCGCGGGGAGCGTGTGGTGGAAGGAGCTGTCGAAGAAGGCGATGTTGATGGCTGTGGGGAGGAGTTTGGAGGTCGCTTCGATGATGGAGAGGGCCGGGGCGTTGTGTCTGGGAGGGAGGGTTCAGTCTCAAAATGTGCCCATCTATCTATGCAGACCTGGGAGCTTACAGAGGGGCCAAGTCGCTCAGCTCGGCAATCCGATGGTACGTGTCGTCGTCAATGACCTGGCTGTGTGGGAAATCCCCTCCGTGGACTACCCGGTGGCAAGTGAAATGGATATCCTCCTTCTTCCTCAATTGCGGCAGGCCCTCGTCACGTGCCAGATGGTCGAGTATATGTCTGAATGCTTCCTGCTGTGTCGACACGTGTTCCAGTTCTTGCCCTTTGGTTCTGTGGTCTCCGCGCGAGTAGTTTAGTCTCGCGGGCGGGGCTGTGAGGCCTTCGACGACGGCTTCGGCGAGCTGCACGGGCGTGGTGGCGGACGAGTTGGTTTCGTAGACGGAGATTTTGACGCTCGAGGAGCCGGCGTTGACGGAGAGGATGATTTCGGGCATGCTGGGATGGTGAGGGGAGACTGCTCAGGCTTCCTTTTCTTCTTCTTTCTTGTCTCGATCGAGATGGAGAAGGGGGGACAGGACAGTGTAGGTTATGAGAAGCAAAACGTCGAATTGCGATTGCTGTTATTGACTGAGTGGTATTGAGGGATGGGATGTAGTTGCTCTAGCTCCAGGAGAAACGTAGTTGGCTTCAACACGTGGACTTGGCTCTACCTAGTGACGGTATGATGATTTGTAGTGTTCCCGCGCGGCGGACAGCTCGGGGTTTCTCCAGTCCAAACAAAAAACACTAGTGGCAGCTTCGGTCCATGCCGTCCTTTAGAGCATTCCCCGATATATAAGATGGCGTGAGGGTCGCCCGCGGTTAAAACGGATGATAGACACGGGCGATCATGGCGCATCGTTACTCTCTCCATCTTTCTTTGCTCTACGCAACGTGCTGATGGTGGGGTTGCCATTGGCGATCTATTTCGCGATGGCGTGACGTCACGCTCTCAGTCAACAGCGCGGTAGCATGGACTGAGCATCATGCGTGCAACAAGATAGATTTTCTTGCGGTGATTAGCCGTTTTCCACTCGCAATTAAAAGTCGGTGTATTCCCTCGCTCGTTACTACTACTCAAAGTCGTCCGTTTACACGGTACATCAAAAATGCCAGGCGAAGTGATTGATCGCCCAAACCCAGAGGCAACGCCCTCGCACATACCGGACGACATCCTGTCGCTCAGTGTCAAGTTGGAAAAGAACACACAATCTAATCATGATTTGGAATCCATACAGGCGTTCCGGCGCGCGGCATCGTACATTGCAGCGGCCATGATTTTCTTGAAGGACAATGTGTTACTGGATAGGGATCTGACATTCGATGATATCAAGCCTCGGTTACTGGGTAAGAGACTCGATATGTTGATTATAGTCGTAGTTGCTAATGCCATACAGGACATTGGGGAACATGTCCCGGTCTGATTCTAGTCTACGCCCACTTGAATTACCTCATCCACAAGCATGACCTCAACATGATTTACGTCGTTGGTCCCGGCCACGGCGCTCCAGCCATCCTAGCTTCTCTGTGGTTGGAAGGTTCCATGGGCAAATTCCTGCCAGAGTATAGTCGAACCCGAGACGGATTGCACAACCTAATCACCCGATTCTCGACACCTGGTGGACCGCCATCCCACATCAATGCCGAGACCCCTGGTGCCATTCACGAGGGAGGGGAGCTGGGATATGCTCTCTCTGTGAGTTTCGGCGCCGTCATGGACAAGCCGGATCTCATCGTAACCTGTGTGGTTGGTGACGGTGAAGCCGAGACGGGTCCTACCGCCGCTGCATGGCATGGCTACAAGTACATCGATCCTGCAGAGTCGGGCGCCGTCATCCCCATCGTTCATGTCAACGGCTTCAAGATCAGCGAGCGGACCATCTACGGATGCATGGACGACAAGGAACTTACGGCTCTCTTCACGGGTTATGGGTATCAACCCCGCTTCATAGAGGATCTGGAAGATATCGACGCAGACATGGCCACCTCGCTCGAGTGGGCAGTCACCGAGATCAGAAAGATCCAGTCGGCGGCGAGGTCAGGGAATCCGATCATGAAACCTCGGTGGCCCGTCATTATCCTGCGAACGCCCAAGGGATGGGGTTGCCCGAAGCAGGTGGACGGCGAGTTTGTTGAAGGATCCTTCCACGCCCATCAGGTGCCCTTGACGAAGGCAAAGTCCGACAAGCAGCATCTGAGGGATCTACAGGCCTGGCTTAAGTCGTATGGCCCCGAGGAGCTGTTCAAAGAGGATGGAACACCGGTCGAGCGCATACTCGATGTGATTCCCGCAGACGACGCCAAGAAAATGGGACAGCTCAAGGAGACGTATGATCCATACCTTGGGATCGAGGTCCCAGACTGGATGCCGTTGGCCGCAGAGAAAGGGACCGAAGCCTCCTCGATGCAACGCTGCGGCGAGCTCATGGACAGAGCGTTCCAAGCCAACCCTCGCACACTGCGCATCTTCTCACCGGATGAGCTTGTCAGCAACAAGTTGAACGCCGTCTTCAACAATACGGGTCGAAACTTTCAGTGGGATCAATACTCGAACGCGCAAGGTGGTCGCGTCATCGAGATACTGTCGGAACATACCTGCCAGGGATTCCTCCAGGGATATGTTTTGACAGGCCGTGTCGGTTTGTTTCCCTCGTACGAGTCATTCCTGGGCATAGTCCACACGATGATGGTCCAATATGCCAAATTTGGAAAAATGGTATTGTTTGTGCTTTTCCTGCGTTAAACGCGATGCTAATAGTACCCAGGCTCAAGAGACGTCGTGGCGCCGTCCAGTGGGCAGTCTGAACTATATCGAAACGTCAACCTGGACGAGGCAAGAGCACAACGGCTTCAGCCACCAAAACCCATCCTTTATCGGCGCCGTGCTCGACCTCAAGCCAACCGCTGCACGTGTCTACCTTCCACCGGACGCGAACTGCTTCCTGTCCACCCTCGCCCACTGCCTCCGCTCCAAGAACTACATCAACCTGATGGTCGGCTCCAAGCAGCCCAGCCCCGTCTTCCTCTCCCCCCAGGAAGCCGACGCCCACTGCCGAGCCGGCGCCTCCGTCTGGGAATTCGCCAGCACAGACAAAGGCCTAAACCCGGACGTCGTCCTCGTCGGCGTCGGCGCAGAGCTGACCTTCGAAGTCGTCAAGGCCGCCGAGCTCCTCCGCGACCTGGCGCCCGAACTTCGCGTGCGCGTCTGCAACGTCACGGACCTCATGGTGCTTGAGACGGAAGGCATCCATCCTCATGCATTGACGAAGCAGGATTTCGACGCCCTGTTCACGCCGGATCGGGCCGTCCATTTCAATTACCATGGCTATGCGACGGAGCTTAAGGGATTGCTGTTTGCGCGCCATGGCGCGGATCGTATCACCGTTGAGGGGTATAGGGAGGAGGGGTCTACGACGACGCCGTTCGATATGATGCTGTTGAATCATGTCTCGCGGTATCATGTCATGGAGTATGCGCTGCGGGGTGGAGCGAGGGTGAATGAGCAGGTGAGGGTGAGGTTGGTGCCGCTGCTTGCGGAGGTCAAGCATCGGATTCAGAAGACGAGGGAGTATATTTATAGGGAGGGGAAGGATCCGGAGGGGACGTATGATTTGGGTTTGGTTAGAGGGGCTGGGGGTGGGGGGGTGCTATATGAGGGATAAAGGTTGAGGTTGTTATGTGAGACGATGTAATGATGTATGCATATACTCATGAATCTTTATTTTCTGTAGACTTTACCAGGCGTTGGCGCCTCAGTAAAATGCTATGATGGCGGGAGGTTAGTTTGCCGCCCTAATAGTCGAGGTAATGTTTCCGTTTGGTCTTGCGTGAACGTTACCCGCGATATGGCTTACGGACGAGGTACCCCGTACCGTCCAATCTAGTACCTTTATGATTTGGCTCGTACATAACGGCAATACCACCTTATATGAACGATGGGCTTTCCAGATTACCAGTCAGTCCCTTCGCGATTTTCCACATTCGGGTGCGTTGCGCAAGTTGGATTTACCAACGAACCAACCTATGCTACTAAGTAACCAGCCGACCGTGAGTGTTATGGGGTGCTTCGAATGTCGGCAGAGGGCGGATTCAGATGCGTCACAGAGCGCGCCAGATGTGGCGATTCTACGAGAAACTGTACGGGCTAGAGTCATACGAGGACTTGCGCAGTTCACTGGTACTGCCAAGTGTGAGAAGCTGTTTTCTCTTCATCTCAAACGGGAGATGGAGCTCACTTTCAAACCAGGGCAAATTGAAGGCGACAAGAAGGCGAGTAAATCAAGCATGGGAGGAACGAGGTACTGCGTCGTTAGGCCACGATAGATGCAGCTACCCTAAGGGTCTTTTATAATAGTTCAGTAGTAAACTCACTTAGTAGCATTAGGAGAGTTACAGGTTTAATTACTGTTGTATTTACTAAAATAGGCTACTTTCCGTTGTAAAAGTTGTTTACCTGAGTATCCAGCTAGGTAATAAGCCTACGTCTCAATATTTAGGTAGTGCAAGGTAGATCTATCAGTATCGAATACTTGTTTCAACGCAGGTACCTAAATGCGGGTGATTCCCTCAATGTCCTAGGGCATCACTTATCTACAGCTATCCCATTCACAAAACGTCACTCAGGCCGTCGTAACATCCACCAGCGGCCAATTAATCCCCTTATCCTTGGCGCCCGTATTCCCCAGCCCCGCACACGAATAGAAACCAACCGGGTTGTTCTGCGTAGCACGCATGTACTGAAGATCGATACATTGCTCTAGGTCAACTCGGTCAGCTTTAACGAGATCGTCCGCGAAAAGGTGGCAGGTAGGGTAGGGTAGGGGAAGTGGATGACGTACGCGGCGCGGGCGACTTCTCAATGGCGATGCGTCCGTCGGCCATGGCGAACCATTTCTGCGAGTCGCTGGTTTCGTTGCAGTCGGTTAGGTAGATGCTGGCCATGTCTTTCCAGTTGCCTGTTGGTTATAGGTGTTTGGTGAGTTCGGGATATATCATATATATGCGGGTACCGCTGCAGACGGGGACGGGGAGAGAGGGGTATGCGGCCGAACGTACTCTTGGGCCCACCATCGAGGCAGAAGTTTGTGGTTGCTAGTTGGATTTTGGTGCTGTTGGCTTTGATGTACCACTGTTGGTCGACCTTGTTGGTGCGTGTTTGGCTGGTGGGAAAATATTTGTCAGTTTTCCATGTCACTCTTAAAGTTCCAGTGGAAGAAGGGCTGGATGGGGTACGCACACGACCAAAGTTGTCCCGTTCTTCACAGGCGCCTTCGGAACCACGACGAATTTCGCATCCACCATCGAGGTGATGTATACCGTGCGGTAACCTTCTGGAGCTGTGACCTGGCAGAGGCCAGTCGCCGCAAGCGCTAGCGTGAGGAGTGATGCCGCGAACATGTTCGAATGGTATGATTGCTGCCGGCTCGATGTTCAGATGCGGACGGATATGCTGGTTGTTGAACTGCACATTGAGTAAGGGGGTCGGTGGCCATGGTATATACGTAGAAACAGATGCCCCTCGAGAAGGGGTGGCCCTTGGTCAAATTAAGCTATACGCAGGATTAATCTGAAGCACGGCTTGATAGATTAAGCCTTCCTCTGCCACGAGACCCGTTTCTATTTTCCCGTATGAAACGCTCAATTCACCATAGAGTATATTGTGTAGAGCAAGCTCTGGCCCACTTCCCCACACGCCGGCAGATGGGTATGAGTGCCGAATCCAGTGGGGAAGAGGAGATGCATGGAACAAGGTTGTCTTTGCCTATATATATTGAACGGGAATTAGCGAGTCAACAACCTGAGTTACCCTACCGAGCGCAGTATTATCATAGAAACAAGGACTCGAGGCGATAAAGTAGCACATACAAATGTACATATTGAAAGTTGCCAGCCAGTGCCGTAACGACAAACAATGGGATATGGAACGTGGCGGACGTCGTTCCAAGGGTTCTCTCGATGCTGCAGCAAAGCCTACCCTAGATTTAAGATACTATCCAGTACCTAACATATACTTGGACGCTTAGTTTTTAATAATACTTGTCTATAGCGCTAGAATTCTCGCACTCACTACTAAGCTCTAAGATAGCATATGACCAACGACTAGTCGCATATCTCTACCTTCTATCGGCATTATCCAGAGTCCGATTCAAGTTGAACGCAGCGGATATCAACGCCAAATGACTGAACGCCTGAGGCGTATTCCCCAACTGCTCGCCCGACCGCGCAATCTCCTCGGAGAAGATGTGCAGATGATTACCAAAGCTGAGCGCGTTCTCGAAAATCGTCAGGGCTTGCCTGAGGTACTTTGGCTCATAACCGCCGGCCTGCCATGTTGTTAGAGACGAAGCACCATATGAGAGAGATCAAGGCGACGAGTACGTACTCTTGTCAACGCCTCAACAAGCCAGAAAGTGCACAGACTGAAGGCGCCTTCCAAGCCGCCCACGCCATCATCGATGCTTTCGCTATTGTATCGATACACGAGCCCCGTGCTGGTAAGGCCTCCTTTCTCCGGCGGTCGTAGTATGCGATCCAACGTCTTCAGGAAGCGTGGATCGGTGGGCGCGATGAAGAAGACCAACGGTGCGATCAGCACAGCCGAGTCTACAACGGTGTTTGACTCATAGCTCTGAACAAAGCATTCCATCTTTGTATTATACCCCTTTTCCATGACCTCTTCGCATATCTGGTCGCGGATCCGGTACCACTCCGCACGGTTCGGACAGGGAAAACTCCTCTTGTCCGCCAACCGCAGCGCCCTGTCGATAGCGACCCAGAGCATGATCTTGGAATAGACGAAATTCTGTTTCGCGCTGCGCACCTCCCAAATGGACATGTCTTCCTCCTTCCAGATGCGACAGACGTGGTCCGCAATTTCGCGAATAAGGAGCCACTGGTCATACGTGATCGGCTTGCCAAATCGGTTGGCGAGATAGATTCCGTCCATCAGTTCGCCGTAGATGTCCAGCTGCGTATGGAAAGCGGCGCCGTTTCCGATCCTGACGGGCCGGCTGCCTCGGTAGCCGTCCAAGTGGTTAAGCTCGACTTCTGGAATGTCGGTTCCACCCCAGATGGTAAACATGATAGGCAGTGCGCCGTGTTTCTTCTTCACTTCCTTCACGCGCTGAAACATGAAACTCGTATACGCCTCTGCCTCGACACTGAACCCGAGGCGGAGGAGAATGTAGATAGTGAAGGATGCGTCTCTCACCCACGAGTAGCGGTAGTCCCAGTTGCGTGCGCCTGAACGTCTGATTAGATGAGTCCTCGATATTTCCATCATGCCTCTTACCTCCGATCCTTTCGGGCAAGGAAAAGGTAGGTGCGGCACAAATGGCTCCTGTGGGTTCGAAGGTAAGCAGCTTGAGTAAAAACAAACTCCTCGTCACTACTTCCTCCCATCGACCCCTATATTTGCTTTGACTAATCCATCTGCTCCAATACTTCTGCGTACTAAGCTGGAGTTCATCCAGCAGTGCGGTGTTGATCTGCTCGATGTCGTCTTCCCCCGCATCTCGGAGGATAAAGGAAACGGCCTGCCCTTCATAGAGGCGGAAGTTTGCCGTGATGCCATCACCGAGTGGTGAACCCAGGGAAGCTCGCTGAAAAATAACCACCGGGCAAGTCATCTGTTCTTCTTCGTCGCCACAGTCGATTGTCGCATTAAGCTGCAAAGATAGGTTTGCAGATCGGAACACGGCTCCTTCTTTGCACACCTCTGTGGTGTGCTTGTCCTGAGCATAATCTGTGCAAAGTTAGATTTGGTGGGTGGTGTCAATAGAAGGAGGACGCGGGTGGGACATACTGAAGGCTGGGAGCACTTCAATGTCTACGTCCACCTGGCCGCGCAAACACTCGACTCTTCGCACCAACCATTTCTTCAAATCGGGGCGGTCCGGGACGGTGCCTGTAAAGTCGCTGGCAAGCACGTTGGCGTGGTATTCGGCGTCCAAGGCCTTGTTGTTTGGTCGTGGGAAAACTAGAGAACCACTCAGCAAGATCCGGGTGATGTTCTCGTGGGTTTAAGCTCATAGGCCACGTACAGTCGACCACGTTCATGACACCCTCCTCCTTTAGATATCGCGTTTCCAAGATATTACTTGCGGGAAGGTAATGTTGCTTGGTTGTACAGAGCTCTGGTTCGCCGGGGCTGATGGTGAAATGGCCGCCCTTGTCCTTGTCCAAGATGCGGCAGAAGACTGACGGAGAGTCGAAGTAGGGCCTCGTGCATCCATATTAGACACAGTCCTGGCCCTGTATAAGGAGGAAAGCTACTGCTTACCAGCACATAAAATCAATGCCTCCATCCGTCGCCACCAAAGCACATGTTCTCATGTTCCCAATGAGCCCATAGTCGTCAATCTACGCCAGGTCCTATCTTAGCCATTCTTCGCAAGGAGAATAGCGCCTTGGCCTCCCTGCGGCATGGAACATACCGGCATATACCCCGTGGATGTACGCATAGCAGTCAAATCTCGCCCACCTGGCGTCCCTCTTGGTGGCACTGAATTCTGCATTGTGTTTTCACGGATGCGAGGACTCTGTTGGCGCCTTTCCCGGTTGTATGTATAAATGGGCATCGAGGGATATTTAATGTCCCGCGTATGTATGTACGGTATAATGGTATCAAGGGAGTTGTAGATCCGTACCCGCTCCGCACCCTGGAAACGCAGGTGCGGTCACGAACTCAGATCGATGACGTCAGAGCTGGAATCAGAAGTCCTCCCCTTTACCGCGGCAGACTCATCATGTCCTAAACAATATGTATCCACGAAACAATGGACTAACAGTATGGATACCAAGGGGCCGATGCCGCATTCCGCTGAAGAGGGAGTCGTGTACCTTACTGTGTAGGGCCGGAAGTGTATATAACAATCACTTGTGCCTCCCATCATCCGCCAGCAACTTTTGGCAAATACCGGTCCTACACGGCATGACAGAACCCTGCGGTATTGGCAATCCCTCCCAAAACAGAACAATGCGCGTGAGGGGATGAATATGAAATTACTGCGAGGAGGCGACGGAGGATTACCTTTGGTAACAGACTTCTCAAATGCTGGGCCAATTTGCATAGTAGCCCGAATCGGTTAGACAAGTGCACGTGGGAGCCACGCGAGCGTTAGCGACAACGGCCAGATCGACCAATGAGCGCGTCGCTATCGATCGCCCAAAGTTTGCAAACCACAAGTGCCCCCTGTCCAGTCCACCCTTAACATTTTGTGTCCCTCTCGATTCTCAAACCCACGTTCATCACTCCGTCGCAACCTATCCTCGAACCCACCAAAAGTGCTCTACCATGTCTTCCATAACCACCGCAATCCCATCCGGCCCCCTATCCAATGGCCCAGATTGGTGCATACAAGACATGCTCGACTTCTGGGGCGCCGACGAGACCCCCTACAAATACAACGAATGCGCAAACTCAACACGAGGCCAGCAAAAATCCGACTTCCAAACCCTCTGCTGCGACGGCAACATCATCGACACGTCGGACAACCTGTTCTCCATGGCGCCCCGGAACATGTCCCAGTACCCGCTGGATATCGAGAATCTCGTGTGTTGCAGGAAGGCCGGACAGCTCCTCCCGGGCGGCATCATGCCCATTGAGACGGATTACACGCGTTGCGAGTACGGACTGAAGCCGACGCCGCTGGCCAGTCTGGCTGCTACGAACACCGAGAATGCCGCGCTATATCTGGCCACCTACGAGAGTGCGAGTGGGGATGCGACAGGAGGATGGGCGGATTGGACGCGCACTGAGACCCCCACGTGCTTGTGGGTTCAGACCGCCCATCCTGATATACCAATGGTGGATGTTACGGTTCCGGCGGCTGCGATCACAACATTACCTCCCCCCACGACGGATCGTTGGGGTTATACCATCACAAGGTCCGTTGAGGGTGACGGTACCAGGACGACTGCTTCAGCCTCTCGTTCAACACAGAATCCCTCCCGATCTGGTCCAGTCGCAGCATCTGCACCTTCGTCATCGGCAGAGAGGTCAAAAAGGAAACCGCTGGCGATGCTGCTGACCTCGCTTGGCCTGGGTCTGGTTTTCAGTTTGCTTCTCTGAGCTATCCAAATACTCCATCCATCACTACCGATGTGGCGCAAGTCCTCCCAAGGCCTCTTTCCTTTCCCTCCATATCCTACATGAAACTCCTCAACGTCATAAGAGAGTTTCAGAGGGCAGCATATCTTTTCTTGCGTTCTTCGGCTCCTCCATTTCCTACCCCTCTCGAGCGTACTCCTTCCGCTCTATTCCGCTTCCAACTCGTCATCATCGTTTGTCATATAGCGGTCGATATCCCGCATAGATCGAATTTCGTTTATATTATACCCTGTCGTTGCCTGCAACGGGTCTGAGAGCACCGTGTCTCAGCATAATCAACCACAATACACTTCGTACAGTACATGAAAATGAGAATCACTTAAAACAATTTTCACAGCCTATGTTGTGGCTCGCGGATCGCCTGACCATAATCGCCCGCATTCGGCACTCTGACGATGGTATGCGTGTGGAACTTCGCAGGCTCGGTATTCGACAGGAAAACACCAGAATGATGGTCGAACTCGGCGAGGATGACGGGACTCTGGATGCGATAGTAGAAAGGATCGTCGTCCCCATAGCGGCCAATCCAACTAAAATACGTCTCGTCGAGGTGCTTTCGTATCTCGGCCAGTTTAAGAGCTCGGGACTTGGGCGGGAGGTAGATGATGAACTCTTCCAAGATCTCCAAGAGCAGGTTCTGTTGCTCCTCGGATAGCTCCGACGAGGAACAGGTTATACCCTCATAAGGGACGATGCGATTATCGCGGAAGGCGCCGCACAGATGGCGTTGGTCGTCCCGGTTCCAGCGATCCGTCAGCAGGTCGCCGTCCTGCTTCATTGCCGGATCCTTCAGTAGCTCGTATGTCTGTGCACGTTTCTGCTGTTCGGACAGGAGACTCTGCATGAATTTAAGACCGAGGTCTCCCTCTTTGCGCAGGATCTCTGTTCCGGCCCATTCGCCGGCATCGATGATGTTCGGTTCTGCGCCCGTGAATGTCGGCGCTATGACGACTTGAGGTCCTCGGAAGAAGACAGCCAGGCAGAGGTGATGGCCGTACAGGAGCCAGCCCCACGGTGACGAGGGCAGCGCTGAAGGGGAACCGAAGAGGAGGAAGTTGTATGAGAATTGGTTCATGATGCGAGGAAGCTTCACAATCTCTCCCAAGAAGTGGTTGATGCGCATTGCGCCTAATGCTTTTTGATAGCCCTCTTGCGACAGGGAGGACTCGATCAGACGTAGTATCGCTTCACAGATGGGTTCGCGAACTGCCCGTGGCGCGTTAGAGTATACTGTCTATGTAGAATGGAGACGATTGGCACGGACCTTCCTCTAGGCGCAAGCCAAACGGTCTGAGCAATATCTCTGGATTCGACCATGCTCGCCATTCTCTAGCAGTCACTGGATACTGCAGTTTGTCTTTCTGCTCGGAATCCAATTTTCCGAGGAGCTCCTCAGCAGCGTTGGCGACTGTTTGGATATCCAGGCCCTCATCCTGCACCGTGAACAGCCCGTCTCGCACGACACCGTCGGTTGTGACACTTTTGAAGGGTTCAGCATACAATTTCTCCCATGCCTGGGTCAATTCGAAAAGCCATGGAGGAGCATGATTTTCCTTGAAGAAGCGGGCGTACTCGTAGACATCTTGTCGGGCGGCGGTAGTGAAGCGGTCAGTGGAGAGGTCAGGGAGATGGGCCCTGAAGGCCTCAGAAGCCTCTTTGAAGCTGTCGATGCGCACCATGAAGAAGATGAACGAATGGACGGTGGAATGAGGCAAGATGGCACAAGACCAAACGTGTGTATTCCTGATGTATTCGTGGTGTTGCGATTGAGTGCCCCGCAAACATGTCGTCTACTGTGTTCATGCACCCCGCCCGTTCGTTTGTAGACACTCGGCGCTACTTTTGAAGCCGATCTGATGCGTCGAGGTCGTGCCAAATGGCACGCAGGCGTGCTGTGAAGTACGTGCCTGGTCATGCTTAGTACAGGGGACATAAGTAGAAACCGCGTGCTTTTGTGACCTGCCCAGGTGGGAAATCTCTTTTGAATTCTTTAAGAAACATAAAAAATCGGGCGCGAACACTCTGCTCGAGACTCGGGCTGTAAGTAGGACTCCCGATTGCTAACGGAATTTGGGCCCCTTTTCGCTGTAAGGCTACCGCGTGAGTTTGGTACATGGAATCGAGGCCTTGCAAAGAAATATTCCGTCGGCCTCTCTTAGAGCAGCCTTTCTGTCAAGAAGAAAGGCTCCTCCGGGAAATCCAACGTATGAAGTCAATAATGTTGTCTGTTGGAGCAAACCGAGTGGGGCGTGAATTGTGCGGGGCGAAGAAGTGGGGGGCAGTGTGGGCATCGGCAACTCTGCAAGCTCCACCACAGGAACCCATCGCATGATCGCATGGCATCCTGTCCGGGGCCCCAGGGGCATTTTCCTGGCGCCATAGTTCTTATATTGAGCATGCCGAGGTCGCTGCCGGTGCACCAGGTCGTCGGCGCCACTAGCTACCAACCTCTCACACGCAAAGGACTTTGTATACATCTTTTTCCCGCAAGCCGGATGTACATTTGACGTCCGCTCTCGCGACCCATCAACCAGCGTCAATTCTCACTAGGAACTCGCGTACCTACACCATCTGCGTACATCTTCTCCGATAAAAAGACTTATCACGATATCTACTCCCCATTGGACCACCTCGCCAGGCCAGCCATCCCATCTCAGCCATCATGACGGACTCTAAGCCATTACGGATAGCCGTCATAGGCGCAGGTACGTGCTAACTTCTCCCACTTCCGAAAGACAATCTTCCCCGTCGTGTTCTACTCAGACCCGAATGAATGTCAGTACTGACGGAGTCATCAGGCATGGGTGGTCTAGCCAGCGCTTTGGCACTTGCAAAAGCTGGGCACACCGATATCACTGTGTACGAAAGTGCTCCGGGGCTCGGATTTGTCGGCGCTGGTATCCAGCTTGCCCCCAACATGGCACGCATCCTCGACAGACTAGGTTGCTGGAAACAGATTGCCGCCGAGGCCGTCCAGTGCAGCAGCACGTCCATTCGCGAGGGTGCTACCGACAACGAGCTCGGGCACGTCAAGCTGGATTACGTGGAAAAGACCTATGGATACCCGCACATGGTCGGCCACCGAGCGAGTTTAGCAGGCGCCCTCTACGATGGGTGTCTCAAAGAGAAGGCCATCACTTTCAAGCTGGGATGCACCATTTCCGAAGCCAAATTCGCCGGCAGGCCTTCGTTCAAAGTCACCCCAGTCACCGGTGAGCCATACCGTGTCGAGGTCGACGTTCTCCTTGCTGCCGATGGCGTCAAGAGCCCAACCCGCGTGGCAATGCTGAAGGAGAGAGGAGAGGCCGCAGATGCAAAGGACACAGGCCAGGCCGCGTATCGCATCATGCTCACCCGTGACCAGCTGAAGCACGACCCCGAACTTCTTGCGTTGCTCGATGCCGACACAGTGACGAGGTGGATAGGGGAAAAGCGCCACATCATCGCCTACCCCATCCACAACAAGCAGATATACAACATATCCACTGCCCAACCAGACGACCATTTCGCATCCGCTCCCAGTGCCACCTACACTACCAAAGGCTCCAAAGAAGCCATGCTGCAGGTGTATGCGGATTTCTGTCCCAAGATACAGCGCATGTTGAATCTGGTGCCAGAGACTGAAGTCATAGAATGGAAACTGCGCGTTCACGATCCCTTGAGCACCTGGGTATCGGGTTGTGCGGCCCTGGTGGGCGACGCCTGCCATCCTACCCTTCCGCACCTCGCACAAGGCGCTGCTCAGGCCATCGAAGACGCAGCCGTCTTAGGCGTAACGTTAGCCCCTGAACGGATTGCGGATCGCAAGCCGGAGACGATCCACAAGGCGTTGAAACTCTACGAGAAGGTGCGCAAGGATCGAGCGGAGGCGCTGGTGGAGCTCGCAGCCGAGAATGGACGAGCCATGCACCTGGGTTCCGGCAAGGCCAAGGAGGAGAGAGACAGGATCTTTGCGGCCTTGAAGACGGGGAAAGGGCCCGTGCCGGATAAGTGGGCGGACGCCGACGTGCAGAGGATGATATATGGGTTAGACGTGGTCAAGGAAGCGGAGAAGGCCTGCCGGGAGGAGGGGCTGCTGGCAAAGCTGTAAGTGGAGACCGGGACACTTGCACTGAACGCTCATCTTTTTCCTTTTTAGGACGACTTAGACTTGGATTTTCAGAAACCTCCTGTATTGATAATATCAGAAACCGTCCGATTCGGTGACTCCTAACAGGCAACCTTGGGGATTAACCTGTCAGAAATTTACGTACTTGTGTACAGAATCCCAGCGTTGTGTGCTGTGTCTTAGCAGCGTCTTTGTTTGCTTATTGTCTAATTGAAAGGCTCTTGCCTGCATTTGCGTAGACAAAGACTGCTAGAGCTGCAACGGAAGTACAAGTATGTCCTTGGCTGCATGAAAGGGAAAAGCGACTCTGTCAGTAGCTGGAGTGATGTTGGGAACAACGGGGAAGCCAACAGGCCAATCGTTATTACGCCGACAAATCGGGTAAAACTCGACCATTCGATCATGAAGGGAATTCCGATCCATTGCCAAAGAAGGCGCTTGTGACCTACGTCATAAATGCCTTGCTAGAGCCGTTCCTCTTGGATACGAAGTATTAGGCAGGCTATTAATCCTTCCTAGCTGGAAGGGGAAATGCTGACCCTCGTCAACTTATATCGGCATGGGGGTACTCCCTCTTTTCAGCGATTCCGGCTGAATCCAGCTAGCACGCGACTTTCTTCGGAGCCGCTAAACATGGCGACTGCTCTGCTCCGCTCTGAGGGTCTCTCAAAAGGTGGACTATTTTCGGATCCTTCACTCGGAGCTCTGGACGCGGTATATGAGAATTGCGATCGTTTGAAGACACGACTACGGTGATAATCTATCCTACCCGTGGTCGGGTGAGCATCTCTAGATGGAATCCGACGCATGAGACCATGGTTTGTCAGTAGACCAACGCTCGTCAATTCCCATGAGGAAAGTGAAAAGAATTCGACCAGGATATGTGCGCCAAAGGATCGTGCCAACGTCGTATTTGCACGCCCAGACGTCTCGCGTAGCTGCAAAGCTGCAAAGCTGCACTAGCCATCTATGTAGCTGCTGTGATCGGGTGGTATTCGAGTCGACGGGCAACCTGAACTCGCTAACCTTGGATTAGTTCCTAGTACTTGGATATAAATGTCAGTAATGGCTCACGAACCAGCAGTCTCTCATGGAGATTTTCCCATAAGGCCATATTCGACAAGACGATGCTCACATTATTGATTCTTCTTTGCGCCTTGGTCAGGGGCATTCTGGGTTCATTCCCAGATCCGAAGTCGATTCTAGAGCAGCTGAGAAGGACAGGCGCCTGTGTACGTCGCATATAACACGGTACATATCCTTCAACTGGTCTTACGCATGTTAGTGTACGGCACTTGATTACTTCCTTCCCGGAAAGGTCCATTTCAACAACATTGGAGACACCGAATACCACGCCTCACAAAAGTCTTTCTGGTCAGCACAAGAACAAAGTCTCAGCCCCGCTTGCATTGTCATCCCGACAACCACACAAGATGTCTCCATTGCCGTGGCTATCCTTAGTGTTGGCCATCAAGCGTCCATCTCGCGTTGCAAGTTTGCTGTCAGGGGAGCAGGGTAGGCCCACTTACCCGCACACTACAACTATAGCGCTGAAGTATGCCAGACATACCCCACAAGCCGGAGCAGCAAACATCGACGGAGGTGTCACGATTGACATGCAGAGCATGAACCAGGTAGCCGTCTCTAGTGACCAAAAGATTGTAAGCATCGGGTCTGGTAATAGGTGGGGCAACGTCTATCCTACTCTCGACCGTCAAAATCTCGCCATGATAGGCGGTCGTGTATCCCCAGTAGGTGCTGGCGGTCTAATCACAGGAGGTAAAACGTCCTCGCTATCCCAGTGTATCCTTCAATGCTAACACTGTTCAAGGTGGCATATCTTACTTTTCCGGTCGGTACGGCTTCGCATGCGACAATATCCAAGCATTCGAGATCGTCCTTGCCAACGGAACCGTGGCCGTCGCAAGCAGCACAACGAACCGCGACCTCTTCCGCGCCCTCAAAGGCGGAAGCAACAATTTCGGCATCGTCACCAGGTTCGACGCCAAGCTGTATCCGCAAACCCCTTTTTGGGGCGGCAGCATCTCGCAACCCATAACGAACAAGGACGCCATCTTCGAATTCTTCACCAATTTCACCGTCAGCGCCAATTACGACCCCTATTCGGCTCTCTTGACCGATTTTGCCTGGCTGGCGGGAATCCCGACTATCGTGCACCAACCTATTTACACGAACGGGAATGCGACGTGGCCGCCGCCAGCCTTCGAGGCGCTGGATTCAATGCCGAAACTCACGAGTACCATGCGGAAAGACAGGCTCGCGAGTTTTACGGACGAGCTGGCTGCCACCTCGGCCGTCACCAATGGCCGGAACAACCTGTTTCTGACAACGACGTTTGCCAACCGAGTGGACGTGACGGCGGATTTCATGGGCGAAGTGTTCGAGCTCGCGGATGCAGCAGCAAAGGAATTGATCACGGTCGTCGGCCTGGTCTTCACCATGACATTCCAACCGCTACCGTATGCCGTCTACTCGAAATCAGCTTCAACGGGCGGCAACGTCCTAGGCCTCGACCGCTTCAGGGACGACCTGATCAATCTTCTCTTCACCATATCATGGCAACTACCGCTCGACAATGCGCGAGTGGAAGCCAGGCTAAAGGCACTGGAGACGGACATCAACAATCTGGCGAGGAGTAAGGGGATATTGAATGAGTTTATCTATCTGAACTATGCGAGTGCGTGGCAGGATCCGATTCGCGCGTATGGAGATGCAAATGTAGGATTTTTGAGGGGTGTGAGTAGGAAGTATGACCCTAATGGCTTGTTTCAGCGAGCGGTTCCTGGGGGATTCAAGTTGGGTATTTAGAGGGTTGGTCAAGCATGCCTGATATTATGGGCGTGGAGCTCGAGGAGAGACGGGGTGATTGTCGCAGAGACGCTCGCCTGGGTTATTGTTAGCGTTGAAGAGGGATTCTGTGTGCTAGTTCGGATGAATGAAACAGCTTGAATCGAGGAATAAGTGTACTGCTTTTCCAGATTTCTCCCCAAAACGTATAGATTCGTAGTGACCCCCACCCCCCCGGTTTTGCATACATATAGAGAATCAGAGCACATATCGACTAGTACTTATTTTTACCAAGAAGTAATGCAGATGTCTGAACAAGACCAGCACCTCTTATCAGGACTAAAAACTCATTATTAAAAGACATAACCACAGGCGCCCAAACAGTGTACACAGCTGATCCGGGGAGAAAATAATGAAACACAACGCCGTACCCGCCTACCTAGTAAGCTCGTATTGCGAGAAGTTTCCCACCGTATCCTCGAATCAGATCTCTGTGGGTGTAAGACGCATGGAACGGCGGGGTGGCATGTCACATATGACTGGGAGGGTATGTAGGTATACCCAGGTGAAAGGTTAAGCATCACGTCTTGGATATAATAGACCGATTCTTTTGATGTCTACTGCATGCGGACGCCAATATTTTCAGAAAGAAAGACATTGTTCTGAATGAGTCATTTTCAGGAAAGTCTGTGTTGCCTCCTAGTTGTTGTCTTACGCATACGATCTGACTTCGCGAGTCAGTGAGCTATGCCATTGGGAAGGAGAAGTCGTACCAGAACCTTGGTATGGCCCATGCCATTATCTAACTAATCATCACTTAATAACGGTGGGGAACTGCGGGGTTTCCTATCCTGAAGCTGAACCAATGCCCCTCATGTGGTATGTGTTTCCGTTTTTATCCCCAGACAGTGCGCCACTGCCTGGGAGGATTGCGTGCTAATGTTCTCTGGGAGTTTTGTTGGAAGCCAGTTACCTGTATATGAAATGCTATCCTGCACTTATCCCTGCCGTGATGGATCGAATCAGGTTACTGTGCTCGAATGAAGTAGGGTGTGTCCCAAACATCACCAACCACACCGTCCTCACGTCAGACGCTCTTCAAGCGTCCCATCGACCAAAGTCCAAGGTCACCCGGAGTCTGCATCGGTACTTGGTATAACGGACATACATATGTACTTAAAAGCGCCTACATTAGAACAATCCTATCCTATGCTTCCTATACTATTACATACTTTGCTACAAGATGTTTAGCTACCTCCTTGTATTACTGCTTCTCTTCTTCTGCCTGTACACTTCTGCAGACGAAGTCTCGGATGCCCTCAGCGCGACCCCGACTGCAACCATAGGTGCAGGTCGTATCATTGGCACGACAACTGCGATAGGTCCAACCGGCTCTTCCATCGCCGTGAACAAGTTCCTCGGAATCCCGTACGCGGCGCCGCCAACGAACGAGAACCGCTTCCGGCCTCCTCAACCTCCGGCACCATGGCAGACCAGAGATACCAAGCAATTCTCGGCATCCTGTCCTCAAGTTTTTGGTAAGTTCCGGGGTCATGTTTTTAAGGGATACATACACTGATAACGGAATGGCTGACGAGAAATGATGCTATAGTCCAGAGCCCCGTATCCAGTCGAGACTTCACCCGCGCTGTCTTCAACAATCCCGCTCCGGCAGAAAGCGAAGACTGCCTCTACCTCAACGTGTTTGCTCCTAGAAAGGCCTGGGACCCAGCCCACCCACCCTATCCCGTGCTTTTCTGGATGTACGGCGGAGGCTGGCAGTTTGGCAATGCTGGGCAACCCTGGTACGATGGGTCGTACTTCGCCGCACTGGAGGATGTAGTCGTTGTAAGTGTGAATTATCGAACCAACGGTAAGGCGCCATAACAATCAACAGTCTCCTCCTGGCACATGTTACTGAAAACAAACCGCAGCATTCGGACTCCCCATCGCACCCACCATCACCAATCTCACGGAACGCAATCTTGCCGTGCTCGACCAACGAGCGGGGCTCCAATGGGTACAAGAAAACATCCGCTATTTCGGCGGTGATGCCTCGCGCGTCACCATCTTCGGACAGTCTGCGGGCGCATACGCAGTCGATCTCCTGATTACCTCGTACGCCCCCACTGCGCCTCGCCCGTTTCGAGCCGCCATCATGCAGAGCGGGAATTATGCGTATATACCTGCCGTTCTATGTGACCCTGCTGGGTATTACTCGTGGAATGCACTGGCTGCGGAATTGAATTGTACAGGGACCGACGCGCAGAAGTTCACTTGCATCAAAAGCCAGCCGTGGCAAAACATCACGGCCGCGCAGGAAAGAAACTACACCATTGGATTCGGTCACGCTTGCGACAATGTGACCGTCGTGTCCGATCCGCGGACGCGCCTTGAGGCGGGGAATGTGGCCAATGTGCCCGTGATATTGGGCACAGATACGGCAGACGGAAGTTTCTACACCATCCAGTTCGTGTTCAATACGGACGGCTACTTCCAAACCTATTTCCCCGGGAATCCGGGGCTCAGGGATAGAGCGTTGGCGCAGTACCCGATCGGCAGCGAGGGTAGGACTGACGCGCAATATCAGCTACAGCAGATCCATACCGACTGGTTCTTCCATTGCGTAAGTCCCTTTCCCCCATAACCCCTGAGGTTACTGTCTTCATCGACCATTTGCACTCACCGAACCAACAGCCAGCCGTGTGGTACGCCAACACCTACACAGCTCGCAACCCAACATACCGCTACCTCTTCAACGCCACCTTCACCAACACGCGCGCCCAATATTCCAATTGGCCGGCAGCATATCAAGGCGCGTATCACACATCCGAGATTCCTATAGCCTTCACCTCGTACGACAAGTCCACCGAGGAAGCAAGCGAAAGGGATCTCTCCAACCTCATGCGTAGAGCTTGGGCGAACTTTGCGAGAGACCCTACGAGCCCGCCTCTGTCGGATTGGCCGCGTGCAACGCAAGCGGAGGGCGACGCCGATGTCATGGGATTCGGTACGGACGGAAAGGGCGGTCATGGGCCCGTTGTCGACGTGCACAAGTGTCGGTTTTGGGAGCAGGAGGGCTTTCGTACAATACACGCTTGATAAATCCAAATCGGAAGATTGGTATTCATGAGTAGATGCGTAAATCGTTACTTCGCCCTCAAGCGGCAACCGAACCCCTAGCCCTCCCTCATACGAAACACCTCCAACCCCAGCACCTCCAATCACACCCAAATCATACGTCCCATCCGGGGTCCTTTTATCATGAAACATTGTCCTCGTGAAGGCCTCGCACGTGCCGTGCACACCGTGACAATTCTGTTTCGCGCCAACTTCGCTGGCCGCGGAAAACTAATCAGATAGACGCCCGTCCTGTTGCATGGGATTCAAGTATATTAAAATTGCCCCAAGGTTCCACTCTTAATACAATCATTTCTCAAGTAAGTCATGCCACTCGGGAATCTCCTTGATAAGACTCCACATGTACTTCTCCAGCCTAACGGCACACTTGGCGTATACAGTCGCAGCGTCGTTATACCGCCGGCAATTACTGAAAATCAACTTGAGATCCGCAACGAAGTCTTTCACGGTAGTATATGCACCTTGGTACAATTTTTCCTCCATGGTCGATAGATCCATCGGTGACGTGATGACATTATAGTAATCGGGGACTTCGTCCTTGTCAACGGGCTTGAAGAAGGGCCATGCCTGGCTGTGTGATTGGATTTGGTGCAGGAAACGTTGGAATTCGTGGAATTGAGGTCCACGGCGCGGTTCGCGGGATAAGGTATCCATTTCTGGAGACCAGCCGGATGCCCGGATGGCGGGGATGGAGAGCGGGTCGATGGGAGTGAGGCCGTTGGCCCATGGTGGAGGCGGTTGATGGATGATGTAGCTTTTACCCAATGTTCGGATTTTGGCTTGGACGGTTTCCTTCTGCTTCTGGAGCATACGCGCAGCTTCGATGTAACGAATCCGGGGAAGCATGGTGCATTGCATGAGTGTCCCTCCTTCGTAATCCTTGATATACCCCATCCAAGCTGACTTGGGGAGAGTAATCTCTTTAGTGAATCCCTGCTTTTTAAAATACCCGGTCGCAAAGTTGTCGGCGTAAGTCAAGAAATGCTTCACCGGGGAAGAGGCTCTGACATAGTCTTTCAAATGGGCCATGAGATGCGCCCCGTATCCTTTCACCTGCTGATCAGACGAGACTGCGCAGAAGACGATTTCAGCAAACTCCCGTTTTCGGAACTCTCGGAATGTTATCCCGGCAATGACCTCCAGAGGCTGCTTGACGATCGCCATGGACAAATGAGTGCGATCGTAGACGAGACGTGCGATGTAATCTTTGGGCATTTTCGGAAGTTGCCTTTGAAACAGGTTTTTGAGACCTGTGAGGATGATGGTACTCTCTCTGGTGCCGTCATTATTGACAACGCGAACTTCGATCTCGCCATTTCGTTCTTCTATGACTGCAGGCTTTGGGACAGTCAGAAGGCTTCCTAAGGTTAAGGGCACTACTAGCCTACCTTCTCTGGGAAAGGAACCCTCCCTGTTGTAGCTGGAGGTTGAATGTCCGGTTTTGTCAAGGTATCATCATCAGCCCCTTCGATGCGTTTGGCCGCGTCCAGTTCTTCGGAAGCCTTGCGCTCCGCAACAAGGAGGTTCCGCCCGCGGTCGGCTGGATCTGAGTGCGACCCCGCTCCGTCCATCCGCGTTGAATGCTGGCGAACATGGACTTTTGATTGGTGATATTCAATGTGGTGCAGGTTAACCTAGGCTCTCCGAAGTTGCGTGATGGAACTGTTTTACACCATTCTGTCTCTCTCTCAAGCGGGGATCACATAGGGTGTTAGGCACTTACCTAATCTATTATGTGCGTTAATCGGTAATTTATTGGCACGTTACTGTGGTAGTTTAACCCTTGTGTTACCTTAATTTGCAAAAGCACCTACTATAACGACGCCTCTAGTTAGCTAGATAGCAAAACTCTTTGTTGTAGTGCCTTGACATATTTCCTTAGGGAGCTAAAATAGCACTCTAGCAGCTAGCGGAAGTCTTTCATTCTTTAATAGACTAGTTTTTTATATCTAACGGCTGTATTTGTAAGGCTTGTGCTACAATCCTACGCGCCCGAGCGCATCTCAGCGCTTTTACGGTTACAGATTTAGAACGGACGACTCAGGTTTATTTAATATCACCGGCATGCCAAAGAAGTGGAGGTATACGGGCCTCGACTGTTATATCTAAATTTCACCGTGTTTCAATGCCATCGGGCCCGAATCAGCCTGGCGGAACCAAGCATGCTCCAAAGCCTCCCGAGCAGTGATTCTCCTCGCTGGATCCAAGTTCGCCATCTTCATAATTAAATCCCTAAACTCCCCGTCCACATACTGCCACATCGTGAAAGGCTTTCTCGGCCTCTCGGCATCAAAGTCACCTGCGAGAGCAACGAGGCGCTCGAAAAAGGGGTTCTCTTCTCCAATATGCCGAAGCAGGCCCCGAAAGCCATCCTCATCTCCAAAATACGAGATATGTCTCCGAAGGATATGCCTCCAGGCGTCATGCCAACTCAACTCTTCGTCGCTTACGCGAAAGATCATGTCGTTAAGGACCACGTAGATGGCTACCACCCCAAAGGAGAAGATATCGGATGGTGTTCTCTGCCGGGCACGGGCCCAAGATTCGGGGCTTCGCCATAATTGGTTTCCACAGAGGCACCCCTTGAGGTTCTTGCCGGGTGGGAGGAGCACCGCATCCTCCAAGTCTGAGATCTGGACTTTTTCGATAGTAAGGTCGTTGGCAGCCGTCTCGTCATAGTCGAGAAGGATATTGCTGGGTTTAATGTCTGCTTTAGCGTTAGCTTTCCCCGTTATCCCTGGATTGCTCCGATGCGACACAAGCGAAATCCGTCTCACCGGTATGGATGATTCCTCTATCATGAAGCTCAGCCAGTCCAGTGAAAGCACTTCTGAGGATACTTCGCCTCGTCTCCTTGGACAAGGTCTTCTGGCTGATCTGAAGGAGGTCGCCATTTAGAAAGTGATAGACGAAGAGTTCGAAGTCGGGAATGGTGTCGTCCACCGTCCGCAAATGGGGACACGAAGCTAAAGGCTTTTGTAGGTTTTGCTGGTACTCGAATTCGCCCGGTATCATGTTTTGATAATGAAGTTTTCTCCTTCGGAACTGGGCATGGGCAGTTAGCTTGGTGGTATCGGAGTCAGCGCGCAGGATTTGGAGAGTACACACCTCGCTCGGTAAACGCATAGTAACGGGCCTCGTCGCTCGGTAAGGATTTCCTGGACGCTGTATGTTCTCCCTGAATGCCCGCGAAGAGCTGCTCCTATTGAAAAGGGCTCGGACTCTGCGACAAAGACGTCATCGGCCGATGAACGGGGTGATGGTACTGCCGAATACAGAAGGATCCGGTGGCAGAGGGAATTCTGAATTTGCTCTGCGCACGGGGCCAAAGAATCGAAAAGGACTTGTGAAGACAGGATGCTATCCTTTGTCCCAGCAGCATGGCGGGAATGTCATCGGCACGAACCAGATAAATAACCTTCAAACACTGTGCTCTAGTAGCCTTAATCGGACTGTGCCCAATTGAATTACTTGAATTAGGTGATCCAACTCAGAGCAGCGGTACAAGAGGGTGTTCAGTCGGACGTGAGAGGGTGCAGTAGATATGATCGATGGTGCGGTCAACGGTTTATTTAGTAAGCCAACACGAACTTCAACCTCGAGCGGCTTGCGACCGAATGCGCGCCATGACAGCGGCGCAGCATGTGGAGCAGAAAGCGTGAGGTGAATATGAACACACAAAAGATGACATGGTCAGTACATCGGCAGAAGTGTTGAACCCCCATCTTGTTCTTCATATTTGCAGGCTGAAAAGTTTGTCTACGGTAATGCAATTCTCCCTCTTTTTATGTTAACGAACACAGAGAACCTAGATACCTACACAAACTCATCGGCGCCCCTTTCCCACTCTCGAAAAACGCCCACTGGAAACGCATCCGCCAAGCGCTGGTACCCCTTGACACTAGGATGCAGATAATCACCACTATCAAACTCGCTCTTCAACTGGCTCGGTATCTGCGGATCCCGGAGCATAGCATCGAAATCCACGACTGCGTCAAAGACACCGCTTTTCCGGATCCAGTCATTGATTCTGGTCCTCGTCTTTTCGCGTTCGGGATGCGAATACGGCTGGCCCGTGAAGTTTGCGGGAGCAGAGAAGGGCGTGATGGTCGCGGCCAGGACGGGAATGCCGAAAGCGTGGATGCGCGTCACCATCTGCTGGTAAGTTTGCGTGAGACGCTGGTAAACATAGTCCTGAGCTGCTGGGGTCGTGTCGGCGGTTCCGATGTCGTTGACCCCTTCGAAGATCATTGCGTACTTGACTCCCGGGTGGGCGAGGACGTCGCGATCGATGCGTCCAAGAGCGTTGGGTCCGAGGCCATCGTTCAGTATCCTGTTACCGCCAGCCGCAAGGTTGGCGATGGAGATGTGACGGGTGGAAGGGGACTTTTGTAGACGCTCGTGCAGAAGATCCGGCCAGCGATTGTTCTTGTTCGTTTCCGAGCCGCGGCCGTCCGTGATGCTATCTCCCACGATGACCAGGCTGCCATGTGAGGGCGGTACCCACGCCTCGATGCTGGAAAGGAAGTACCAGTGAGCTGCGCTTTGCGTGGACGGGTCAGTCACCGCAAGGGAGGCAGCATCAACGGCATTCCCAAACTGCCACCAACTCGTAGTCCGACTGCCAGGGTGGCTCGTGATTGAGTTGGTCGTCTGGCCGTCCTTCAGGTAGATGGACACGGACAGCAGAGCTCTTGGCTTGATTGGAAAGTTGAGGGGATCCGACACGGCGAGGGCGCCATTCGGGATGGAGATGGAGTCGCTTCCTGAAAAGGTGACCTTCTGCAGCGTCTTGGGCTGCATCTGGTGGATGCCGGCCGTGTCATTCGCAGCCAGTGCCACAGTGACTGCCGTGATGGGCAGGTTGGTGAGGCCAAAGGCGTTGGAGATCTTGAGGCGGATCTGCGAGGCGCCTACGGAAAGGCGCGGCGTCTGGCGGATGGTGGAGTTGACGAAGACGGCGCCGGTTTGGTTCTGCGCTTATAGTCAGAGTCCGTCGACTTTGATGTACCAGGAATCTGCGGAAAGGGAGCGTACAAAAGGCGCGGGTGGGAGATTGGCGGGTTCCGTCAATTGTGGCATTGAGGCCCATGTGTCAACCCAACGGCCATTGCGCGGGTTCGGCTCGCTGCGCCGTTTGGCAACTGTTGCTGCCGGTGCAGGCGTTGACGAGGCATCGCCGAGAGCGGCAGCGGCAAGGAGGAAGACGACGAGGCGGACAAGGGAAAACATGGTGTCGCAACCGCCCTCGTTGCCCATTCCCAGGGCGCCATCTTTTATAGGGATCGCAGCATGGTACCAGGTCTACCGGGCGGACGGAATAGATTGCGCACAGAGACGCGGCTATGATGCTGCGGGTCGGGGAGTCGTGGGTCCGGGGATGGTGGAGAGAGGGAATTGGCGGATAAATACGTTCAACGGCACACGGAAGCGCGGTCCTGGCTGCTGGATTTGCTGGCCTGGGAATGATAATCATCTATGAGCCTTTGGCATGGCTGCTCGGTCCACCTTCCCTTCTTTTGGACCTGGTGAATTTGAAGAGAGGACACAGTATAGCCGCCGGAACAAGGCTGCATTAACACTCGTGGAAAGGACACCCAAGCGCAATTCATGGGCATGCCCTAGAGACATCCTTAGACATTCGCTCCATACCCGAGAAAGAAAATACAATGCACACCTATGACGCCTTTTCCCTCCCTCCGGCTCTATAAAATGCAATCCCGCATTCCGAACAACGAAGAAGCCCCTGGCAGGAAATATTAGCGATCAGAGACCCTGCTCCGACCACAAGCCCAACGCCTCATCCGCCCAAGCTGCTTCATGCTACTTGGGCGCGGCACGTCATGTCAAGGCGACTTTGACTGGATAGTCCAACATGGTAGTTTCGCAAAAAGGCGCCACTCTCTCGGTGCCGGTGTTTTCTTCGATCGCAAAGCTGGAAGAGCAGCATGTGCACCATGACCTCTTGTACAAAAGACCGCTAGACGAGGCGCACTAAAAGTCGTCCTCGTCGGCCTTCTTCCTCCTCTTGCCTGGCCCCTTGCGCTTCTTGCTGTCGACATCCATGGCGTCGCCCGACTTTTCGGCAGGAGCGGGCGCGTCTGCGACCTTGGCGACAATCTCGGAAAGGAAGTCGAACTGTTCATTGGTGGTGACGACCTGCTTGAGGTGCAGCGGAGCGACGCGTTTGGAGTTGCGCGACCTGGCCTCGGCGGCCGCTTTGGTGACGAGCGAAATCATGAACAGCTCCAGAGCTTTGGCTGGGAATGACGGTTAGCAAATCAAGGGAACAACAAAGGGAAAACGTTCAGCAACGTACACACTACCACTGGGGTGACTTGGGCCACCTTCCCCACGTCGTCGTCGGCCTGCATGATGCGTTTTATCCTTGCGACCGGAAAGTGGTTCTTGATGACAATCTCCTTGGGCTGGTTCCCCGACGCTGGCGCTGAGCCCGCCAGGTCGCCGGCGCCATTACCCTCGGGACGCTTGCCAATGGCCGTATCCGAGGGCTCTGGAAGGTAGTCGGAGTCGTAGCGACCTTGTTCTTGCTTGACGGTGCGTGGCATGGTGAAGGGCTTGTGCACGATGGGGCTCGAGGCGGGCGGGGAGTAGGGCGAGGTGTGAGGATGGGAGACGTTGGAGAAGTGGGAGGCGGAGGAGATGGAGGGCCGGTAGCCCTGGTGCTGAGGGTGGACGTAGTCGTGAGAGTGGTCCGAGGAGTGGTATGCGGAGAGGTCTGGGGATTGCGGTGCCCACGTTGCGTCGGCCTCGTCCATGTCTCGCACTGCAGACCTGGAGACTAAATGGGTTGCTCTGGGCGAGCTAACTGAAAGAGGGCGTCTAAGCGACGACGCGCTGAGGTGGTCCACGGGTTGTGAACCGTGATCCGCGTTTGCTGGAGGAGCAACAAGTCGGTTTGTCGGTGTGTCAAAACCGGGGGGCGGTGAGACGCGGCAGAATGATGAGAGAGTTGGCCGGACGAGCAGGAGGGGCCCATTGTCAAATAAATACACAAAGGAGACAACGGCAGCCACTAGCCACGCGTTCTCTACATCACGTGCCGGGGCGTAGAGCACCGCCACAACTCAGAATCAACGTCAAGCTTCATCAGCAAGCAGGACTCTTGTGCCCTTCACACCGCATCTCCGTCCCCCTTCACCTTCACCTTTTCCTTTCAGGCGACGGTGAATGGCAGACGGGATCGTGTGCAGCGTTGGGTGATGACACTCTGAGCCCCCCGAGACCATGCGCTGGCTGTGAGCTATTGCTACTGCTGCTGCGTCGCGTCGTTAATGTCTGGTGAACAAAGCCCGGCCTCTTCCAGCGGCTTGTGGTTATGTCACCAGCACAACCACGTGTTGCTTGCGCATTGCATTGCACTCCAGCTTACAACTGGCCTGTCGCTGAGGGTTGAAAAATGACTTGATCTAATCTGACAACGCGTGCATCCGCCTGCGTGGTATCTCTTTTAAACATGTCTATAGCCAAATATAAATACAACCTCTTGTGCCTACCATCTCTCTAGATGTCTCGCACAATGCTGCCATCGTCCTTCTTGCCCGGGCCCCTAGAGCCCTCTGCCGCGTATGTCTCCGCGAGTCCTGCCTTGGGGTCCTCGTCCGGCAATCCTCGCGTCCGCCGCACGTCGAGCACGGCTTCGCGCACCCTTCGTGTGCATTCCCTGCGCAGCTCTTCCGCTTCTTCCGAGTACTTCAATGCCTCGCTCACCACCCCAAGCGCCATCGGCCCGCTGACCTCCGCTTCCTCGTCCCGCATCCGTCTCCACCGCTCCCGCAGGTCCCCAAACGCCCGGTCGCCGTCCAGCTTCTTGCCGAACGTTACGCTCACCTCCTTGCCTGGCCGCGGCACGAATCGGGGGAACGTCCGTGTCTCGTGCATGATCTGGTCCGGTCCCTCGAGCCAGATGGGCACCACGTCCGGGCATGGCTCGCTCTCCAGAATGAGGCGAGATATGCCCCATTTGAAGTAGCGCATCGTCTTTGCCTCGTGCTGGTGTATCCTTCCCTCGGGGAAGATGTGTACCCACGCGTGACGTCGGCTGAGGTACGCGGACGGCGCCGGGAAGGTATCCTGGCCATTTGTCGAGTACGTGAGGTGGCCCGATGTGAAGGGGTCCGAGAGATCCGGGCTTCGCAGTGACTTCGTCGGTCTTGTTGCTTGACCGTCGACGTCGAGGAAAGGGCCGCGCGACAGGAGTCGGATGGCTTGCGTAACTGTAGGCTGGAAAAGGCCGCCGTACTGCGAGTACTGGCTGCGGTGCGTCGGAAGAAGCTGTCCGAGAGTGAAGAAGAGGGAAAGCCCTCTTTTGCGCCTGTCAATGCAACGTCGCTGCGCAAGGGCGATTGCTAGGACTCACTTATTGGTGAAGCATAGGTCGTAGCTCCCGAGACCCCAGCGCAGATTGTCGGGGTTGAACATGTATCGTAAGGGCAGAACTCCCCACATCAAAGGGTCATCTAGGCTGAGAGAGCCTCGTGCGTGAGCAGCAGTTCTCCCATGGGGTTGCATGGTTTCGGGTCCCTTACATACACGGAAATATGGTTCGACACAGTAATCAACCCTCGCTGGCGCCCCTCGACGTCCTCGCGTTCATCCAAGAGCTGGAGAAACTCGTCCAGGCCATGCACCTCCGTCCTGCTCAGCCCGTACAAAAACGAACAGCAGAGCATGCCGACAGTCCCCATGGTGAAGGAGGACGCCGTGCGCCATGGCCAGCTGGGAGCCGGCGGCTGCTCTTCAGGGCGCATCGAGAAACACGAGAGATGGGAGAGGGAGAAAGGCGCGACAGCGAGCTGCCAGCCTGGGAAAGACGATGGTCATGTCAACAAAAAGAATCTTGAAACTCCAACCATTTGCGGACCTCGGCAGCGCCACACCGGCCACACTAAATAATTCCAGCCACAATGTGGCTGCCAAATTCCCACCGATGAAGCTCCGACGACGTCAACAACATGTACTGTGTATAAAACACCGCTTGACGTCCTGCTCCGGAAATAATAGATCCACCCTTCTACTGCGGCAACTGTGCGTGCTGGGTGCGGTACGACACCACAGACAATACAGCATGGCGCACAGCAAGCGCAACACCTCGCGCGCCGTCTTCACCTCGTATGAGCGTGAATCCCTCAAGTCCTCCTGGGGCTCGCAGTCCACCCGTCTGTCGCGAGACTCCTTCCTCCCGTTCGGATCCTGCTCCTTGTGCCTTCTGCCCGCCGTGGACCCCGTGTGTTGCCCGCACGGCGACCTCTTCTGCCGAGAATGCGCAATGACAAATCTACTCGCCCAGCGGAAGGAGATCAAGCGGCTGGAGAAGGTAGCGGAGCGGTTGAAGGAAGAAGAGGAGGAACGCAGACTCAGAGAGGAGGAAGAGGCGAGACAACGAGCCGTGGAGGAGTTTGAAGCCGTCCAGATGGGCCTGGAGTTCAAGATTGGCGCAGGTACCAAGGTAGTGGGCCGAGAGGGTGGCAAAGTCGTGGTCGAAAAGGAGGACGAAGGAAGAGAAGGCCAACCCAGAGGCACGAAGCGAAAGTTCGAAATCGACGAGGAGGAACTGATGCGCATTGCAAAAGAGGAACGGAGCCGCGCAAAGCTGGCCATTGATGCAGAGAGGAAGGCCGCCAAGGGGCATCTTCCTAGCTTCTGGGTGCCAACGGAAACACCAGACTCGAATCGCAAGCCCATTGCCAAGATTAAGCAATCTCCTACCTGCCCGTCTAGTGATCCGGAAAACCCGCATCCGCTTTCCCTCAAATGCTTGACCACGGTCCACTTCACGGAGGAGAAGTCCCCAGGATCCGAGAAGCCCGTACGCACGTGCCCCAGCTGTCGAAAGACGCTTTCGAATGCTACAAAGGCTGTCCTAGCAATACCCTGCGGCCACGTGTTGTGCAAGCCTTGTGTTGAGAAGTTTCTCAAACCGGAACACCGGCACCATAGGGACGCGCATGATGAAGAGCCTGAACCCGATATGATACACTGCTATGTTTGCGATGCAGACCTCAGCCCGGGCCCTGAAAGCAAGGAGAAGGAGGGAAAGAAGCACAAAAAGGGGGATGATAGAGCTCCCAAGCCAGGTCTCGTTGACATTAGAACGGAGGGTACTGGATTCGCCGGGGGTGGGAAGAACGTGGTGAAGAAGGAAGGAGTAGCATTTCAAGTTTGAACAACAATATATGATACCCAAGGCATGCACTTAACGATATCTATTAACGACATGTATTAACGACATGCATCAGCCGAATGAAGACGCTATAACCCCTGTATGATAACCAGACTGTTGGCTCTCTTGCTACTGCGGAATCCGAGGTGAACATCCGAAGGTCTGACTGAGAACATTAGTGGGTCGAAACCTTGAAACAGATAGTCGGGTGGCTGCAGCCACCCTTTCAGCGCAAGCATCATAGTGTGCACGTGTTAGTGGAATCCCCCCACGGTAGATACACCAGGGTTTGACGTTATATCCAAAAGATTTAAACCGCAAAACCATATCCCGCACGAAGTTCAAGAGTACTCAGGAGTTCAAGAAAGCATGCGGTACAAGAAACCGGTGGGCAGAGAATCTCAACTGACACACCTAGATATTCAGATGAAAAAATAACATCCGCCCAAGTCATAATCGACCTCAACCATCACTCACAGCCCCCATTACAACAGTCTTCTCAATCCAATAATCATACACCAAGCCTTCCTCATCAAGCCAACGACGGAGTTTCAACACACAACTCCCATGACTCTCTGAAACCCGATGCGAATCATAATAGTATTCCGTCCAAGCGTTGGGTCTACGACAGACAAGTTTCGTAAGGCCATCCAAACACTGCTCGGCGGCAGAATACGTGGGACATATACAGATTGTGAGCCCCTGGCAATGTTCCAGATTGAGCATGTCGGGTTGGCCGACTTTATGCAAGATCACGTATTGATATTGGCAGCCTTCATCGGAGTTCGTGCGTTCGTGGTCTATCGTTGTGCTGGAGCATTCATCGGGAATCTCACGGTTCCGAGTCCTAGTTTGTTGAATACAGGTATCGCCATGAGCGTTGCCGATTGCCTCGCCTCCCTTGGCAAGGCTGTTGTCGATACAAGTTTTGCGGGTCTGCTCCATTTCAAGCGCGTATTAACCTCGGGAAAGTTTGTGCTTCCAGGTGCAACGCGACACCGTCACAGTCAGTGGCGGTATAAGTACATACATAGTAGGGGTGTGGTTTGCTAAACCCCATAAGGAACGGCCATATGGTCGTGTACCAGACTCCACTTCTTTCTGGAATATGTGGGAAATCGTCACTGTTCGTTGTTGAGTGAGCGGAGACTGCATACTCGTGAACTCCACATGATGGTTTTTCCTTTTGACTCACTGCTCTATGGTGGATTGGAGAATGTCCTGGATCGTATTAAAACATTGTCGAAGCTCTTTCCCCGCCCGCCTTAAAGGTATCCCCAGCGGGCGTTATCGCACGAGTCCTTAAACAGTGACGTCGACAGTAGCGTTGACTTGTGGCTTCGTAACATCGCGATGAGCTTAAGATGCCAGGACTGACATTAATCGCCGTTCGAGCGCCACTAGATACCAAATGTGTTTCTTGATCTAGACTAAATAATGCCTTCGTACATAAACTCCGGGGGTATCATGAATGAAATGGGATATGCCCTACCAGATTGAAGTCCATGTTTGTCAGGAGGCCCGACCAGTCCCCAGATGGGAAAAGAATCCCCACCTTACGCCTGAGACTACACATCGCTAAGCTGTTATACAAAAGATATTCAAAATCTATGCAAAGAAAGATAATACAAGAATGGAAAAAGTGTAAGGATGACGCCAACGTACAAGGCATCATCCGCCGCAAAGGCCAGCAGAAGGAACCTATCCCACCTGTTCTAGCCGTACCAGGCCCCGGCTGCAACCGTTGTCTGCTCTGGGACGCGATTGGGAATGAGGGGCTCTTTGATGTCGAAAGCGAAGATAAATTTCTTCCATGTGGGCCAATCAAGACTGAAAACGGCTTGATGTTTTTGCACATTGAGTTCGCGTTGTTGGGCGATGGTATGCGGCTTGGTTGGCACTACGATGGTCAGCAAAATTCAAGTGTAGCGGTGCAGTTTCTTACTGAGTAGCGGCAAACCATCCTCATCCTCTAGCACTTTCACTTCCCCTTCCTTTATGAGAAAGCTAATGTAAAACAGGTTTTCGACTGTTTGACCAAACGAGTGCGGGTTGACGACAAAATCGAAGAGCGACACCGCCGCCTCTTGAGTAGGGGCTAGCCATATTCGATGGCGCCTGGAAGCCGCCTCGATATCTGCAGGTTCCGGGTCGAAATCCATCGCATCCAGCTCTTCGGCCATCTTCTCGGAGTTCTCAGCTATGTGGTCCTGTAAGCGCTTCTTGATGCCCTTGACAAGGTGGGCGAGGTTGGAATTTTCAGATTGTTTCATGTCGGACTGGGTCAGCTCCTGTGGCCTGGTAGTGGGCCCGAGAGGCTGACGCTGCAATCTAGTACGACGACTCTGAGTGGTCCGCACGCGTTTTTGAACGGATAGTGGGCCCAGGAGGAAACTTGATACCGGCGGGCGTCTGTTGAAGGGAAAGCACGCTTCTCGGCCAAGTAGCGCCCAATCAAGAGCTTCGCCGTTATCGTCGTCATCGTCCTCGTTTTCCTCATCTTCAGCAGCCGTGCGGCGGCGATGGCGAACCTGGGTCGAAGAATGTCCTTCAGCCGCAGAGGGATCGCCGCCCGTTTTCATGAAATGTATACATCTTGACACAAATTGGTCGACATCGATTCCGACACTATTGTTCCCGTGCAGCGTATTTTTCAGCTTCTTACTGGCCAAGTCGCTGGCGTAAACCATGACGCGGGAGTCGAGGGCGGCATCTGCAGTCTGCTTGACTTTGCCCATGTAGTAGTTCTGCTTCTTGATGTGGGCTATCAGTCCATCATTCCCCGGCTTGGTCAACTCATCGCGGTTATCTAAGAATCATGTAAGTGATTACGAGGGGCAAGCACACTGTGTCAAGGTCAACCACGCACCTTCAATCTCTCGCTGGTGATTGCGCATGTTGGCGCGAAGCTGACGTCGAATCTCGGGATCTTGATGCGGATCGTAGAACTTTGTGTCTTCGTCTTCCTCGTCTTCCTCGTCTTCCTCGTCTTCATCCCCTTGGGCGCGCTCTGCACCATCATCATATTGCCCAAGCCTATCACCGTCTTGGTTTGCCTGCGGCGAGTCTTCAACGCTATACTCGTCGGTTCGACGACGCTTGCTCCGATGCGCGGAAACAATGGAGGGAGTCTGTAAGCGAGCACTTGAAGGGGGCGCCATTGGGCGCCTGGTTTTGGCGGTACCGCGCGGAGTGTCCTCTTGCGATTCAGGTTCCTGATTTTCCTTGTCGGAGCTGGCAGACCGTGAGGGGCTGGCAACCGCATAGTACGAGTCGCGTGTGCTTGTGGATGCTACGTGCGGGGGAATAGAGGGGTCGCGGTACAGCGAGTCGACGGTGGAAGAGCGGTAGGCAGTGGGGAGCTGGGGAGTCGCAGAGAGATGTGTGTTGAGACGCGCCATGGTGTCTGTGTTTGTTGGGGACTTCGATTGCTTTGGCCCGTTTGCATCGGACGACGCGTAGAAAGACAACAAACAGAGGCCGGCGAGAGGAGATAAGAGAATGTGGACGTGGGCGCGCTGGCGGAGTGAGGTGAAGTTGGAGAAACTCAGACGCGCGCGGTCGCGCTTTCGTCACGTCCAGGGGGTCGCGTGGGGTGCAGATCACGTGCAGCCTAGCGTGGGGGCCCGAGCTGCACATGTGGATACCTAGGTAGCATCATCACTGCTGAACATCAACACCACGACAAGCACACATGTTCATGTGCTGAGCCGCCGCCACCCAGATGGCCTGCGTTGGCAGACCAGAGAACCCGTGCGCGAAATGGAAGCCTTCTCCTTTGCCACCTCTACCGCCCTGACCCAGCTCTCCGTCCATGTCCGCATGTATGGTGGTTTAACTCCCCAGAGTCTGCCCGGGAAACAGCTAAGACGATGACAGAGACCGTATAGAAGGCAACCAGAAGGCGATTCCGTACTCTGTACTTCTCAAGCGCCCAGACCTGAGGCATCGCGTATCCAACATCAAGTCCGTTGCACGGTTCTACCACCTATCGTACTCACTGACGAAACAGTCCGCATTCCGAACTCTACGTCACGGCCCAAATATGGGCTGACAGCAAGCCTCTGACTGTGCCGGTTCAGACCTCCTATACGACCTTCAAGAACGCTCGCACATGGAACGAGTGGCTATCCCTCCCCATAACGTATGCCAACCTTCCGTCGTCAGCTCAACTCGCCATCACAGTCTGGGACCTGTCCCTTGCAGAGGACACCGAGTCAAATCTGCACGCTGTTCCTTTTGGGGGAACTACCGTTCCACTCTTCGACAAAGACAACACGCTGCAGAACGGCAGGCAGCGATGCCGCCTACACCGCTTCAAGGCCGCTGACGGTCTCTCTTCGACCACCACGCCCTGGGTAATACCGCCAGCGAGAAGGAGCCGGAATGACAATGTAAAGGAAGATTTGATTGACGAGCAAATTCTGGAGATGCAAAGGCTGGAAGAGCTTCTCAAGAAGCAGGAGATGGGCGAAATCCCCGAGAACCGTTGGTTGGATGGTCTTCTGTTCAAGAAAATGATGAAGATACGAAGTGATGCGCTGAATGCCGAAGCTGCTGCAAATGCACGTCTGAACAAGGCCAACATGAACGGCGATTCCCAAGAAGAGGAGCTGTTCTATCTCGATATTGAGTTACCCCGCTTCGATCATGCCGTCGTCTTTACGGACGTCGAGTACCCCCCACCGCCTGTTTCCAGCTTCAAGGTCTCATCAGATTCTGAGATTCGCCTGAGACCTCCGCCGGAAGTCTCCTTTGGTCCAGGTATCAACGTGGATGCGGATGGCTATGGAGACGCCCACGCTGGCCGCTTGATCCGCATATACGATCCCGAAACGGGCCGGTCGGATAACCCGGCCGAAAGCAAGCACCGCAGGTTGATGCGCAGCCAGCAAACGGACGCCCTTGACCGTGACCGGAAACCCGATGTTGACACACGGGACAAGATCAACAAGATCCTCACATATGGGCCTCTGCATGGTCTCAATGCGGATGAGCGCGATATCATTTGGAAGTTCAGATATTATCTTCTCCGAGACAAGAGAGCTCTAACCAAGTTCGTCAAGTCTGTGGGCTGGAATGACCCGATGGAGGTACGGCAGGCCGCTCCTCTGCTTGAACGGTGGGCAGAGGTGGAGATTGATGATGCGCTCGAACTCCTAGGCAGAGATTTCAACCATCCTATTGTTCGCGGCTATGCTGTGGAGCGCCTGAAGAAGGCCGAAGATGACGAGCTTTTGCTCTACCTTCTCCAACTCGTTCAAGCGTTGAAGTATGAAGCCGCTGGCGAAGGCGATGACTCGTCGCTTGCTCGCTTCCTGATCAGTCGCGCAACTAACAGCTTCCTTTTGGGGAATTATTTCCATTGGTACCTGATGGTTGAGATCAGCGACACAAGTAGCGACCAAGCTCCCGAGCATCGCGATCTCTTTGCGAAGGTAGAGTATGATTTCATGATCGAGCTTGAGAAGACTCCTCTGGGGAAGGAAACTCGAAACACGCTCAAGAGGCAAGGCGAGCTAGTCACCATATTAGCCAAAATCTCGAAAGACGTGCGCTTCGACCGTGGGAACCGTCCACAAAAGATCGGACGTCTCAAGAAGCTTCTTTCAGACCCGAAGAACGAGCTCACCAACTTCGAGCCCTTGCCTCTTCCGCTGGATCCGTCAGTCACAGTAGTAGGCATCCACCCTGATGACTGTAATGTATTGAAGTCGTCGCTGTTCCCCATGATCATCAATTTCAAGACTTCCAATAACACGAAATATCCGATCATCTTCAAGACCGGTGATGACCTGCGACAAGATCAGTTGGTCATCCAGATCATCACCCTGATGGATCGACTTCTACGAAAAGAAAACCTTGACCTCAAGCTCACTCCCTATCGCATCCTCGCAACCTCAACGTCTGCCGGAGCATTCCAGTTCATCCCGAGCATGTCTCTGGCGGCTGCCATCGCCAAACACAAAGGCTCCTTGCTCGCCTACTTGCATGCTAACAATCCAGATGACAGTGCGCCACTCGGTGTCCGCAAAGAAGCCATGGACACGTACATCAAGTCATGCGCGGGTTACTGCGTCATCACCTATTTGCTTGGAGTCGGCGATCGACATCTTGACAATCTCCTCATTTCGCCGTCAGGTCACTTCTTCCACGTTGACTTTGGCTACATCTTGGGACGAGATCCCAAGCCCTTCGCTCCACCCATCAAGCTGTCCCGAGAGATGATAGACGGGATGGGAGGCGCACAGCACCCGAACTATGCGCAGTTCAAGGAGTATGCATTTACGGCATTCACAACTCTCCGGAAGAGCAGCTCGCTGTTGCTGAATCTGTTTGCCCTGATGCAGGAGGCCAACATCCCGGATATCATGATTGAGCGGGAGGGTAGTGTTAGAAAAGTTCAGGAGAGAATGTGGTTGGATAAGACGGAGGAAGTCGCTGTGCGGGATTTCGGGGCGCTGGTAGAGGAGAGCGTGCAGAGCTATACGGCCGTGGTGATTGACCGCGTCCATGACTTTATGCAGTTTCTGAAGAAGTGAGCCCTGTCAGGGGACAAATCTAATAACGATAATGATACCACGCCCCCGTTGAAACCCGGATGTCAACGTTTCTGACTTCATACCTATTCTCAAATTCTCCAACTGGGCTACAAATCAACAGTGCGGATGGCGACGCTTGTAGTCGCCAGCGATCTTCATGCGTCTTCCAAGGCCCCACCCACATCGGCCATGAACTCTAGAGCGCCCTCTTTGCCACTGTTCTTGGATCCTACCTTCCCTCCGGCTTCCAGCCTAGCAGGTCAAACGCCTCTGTGCTCCAGGGACCAACATCATTATCTACGACGGGACTCGGTAACTCCATATCCGCGACCGATCCCTCGCCACCTACGGCAGTATCAACATCCAGACCCGTGGTCCGCAGGAGCTTACGTCTGGGGTCCGTTCTCTTAATCAATGCTGCCAGGCCCGATTTTTCCGGCTTACACGTTTGCTGCTGGGGTACATCTTGCTTCTCTACGACGGCTGAACCTTCACCTGGCAGCAGCGGCGGCGGCGGCATCGCCATGTTTCTGCGCTCCCAGTCCTCACTCGTGCTACGAATCGGTGGATTTGGTCGCGTATCTGGCATGTTCGCATTGTTGGCGCTTTTGACACGGCGAAGTGGAGATTTTCCGATAGCCACAGATCTTGAACCTATAGGGTTGATGATGTTTCCGGCTGCGTTTCCCTCTTCCATCTGACCTGTTGTACAGGAGGAATTTGCCTGCGCCCCTGGATTCATGGGACCAGTTGCGATCTTGCCACCAGCGAAGAGCGGATCTGTTGGACTATCGCTTTCCCTGTGAAGAGGGGTAGGTCGTTCTTGATCCCGCTGCGGCCGCTTCGCGTCGATTTTTGCCTTGCGTCTATTGGGAACCGCGTTTCCATCCTTCTTCTTATGTTTCGTTCGGATCCCCCCTGTGGAAAAGGGAGCTGCTGGCTTTGACTTTGTGGGCGAGTGAGAAGGTCGGGTTTGAGCTGCTGGGGCCGCTCTAGGTACTTGAGCGGTAGAGGGCTGCTCCAATGAGGATGGTGGGGGAGACGGTTCCGATGTAGGAGAATCATCAGGTATTGTGATGGTCTCCCGGACTTGACCAGGATCCTGCGGTCCAGATTCCAAAGTATTTGCTGTGGGACGGCAAGGGGTTTCTGGTTTGGCTTGGGATCTCTTGGGTTTCGATGCCGAACGCGCAGTGCGTCGGTTGGCAAGTTTCTGAGAAACGTACTCGTTGGGTCCCTCTTCGTCGACCTTATTTCGCTCTTCTAGCCGTGGAGATGGTCCGGGCAGGGATTTCACCCTCGCTGAATGCTGGCGCTTCGGAGATACCTTGGGTAGCATTTTCTGCTCCATCAATCCTCGAACGACGTCGATATCTTCGAAAGCAGGTGATAATGATAATAACGAAGGGCTGCTTTCTCCCACCGATTCGTGCTTTCTACTCGCGCTTTTTTCCCTTTTGTCGAAAGACTGATCATCCTGATGGGGTGAGCCCAACGATATGCGACACAGGGTAGCGTTCGTTGGCATGAGTTCGTCATCATCTGAAGACGCATGGGCAGCTTCGACGTTCGTCTCCGAAATTCCTAGCACCTTAGGTCTGTATCCCGTTTGCTTCCCGTCAGACGGTTTTGCACCCTTCGCCTTCGAGTGTATGGTTTCTATAGGCTTTGGAGGAGCTCTATTAGATGGTGGTGATAATTCACAAAGCAGCATCCTGCGCTTTACCCCTCTGGATAGACGCAGAGACTTTGCACGAGGATCGCGCTGCGGCGAACTTTTGGGGGAAGGATCCTTCTGACGCTTCTTGATGGGTTGGAGAGCAAAATCAACATTGGACACACGGTTCGAGGCACTGACTGGCGGAGATGATGATCGTAGAGGGGGTTGAGGCGTCTCCACTGGTCTTGCATGAGGGAGGCGTATCCGTCCCTTGGGGATCCTCGGCGTCTTCTCAGTTGATACTCCGTTACGCATCAGCGACTGCGGAGGAACTGAAGTATTTGGCAACGTTTGTATATCAGCAGCATGCGGCTTGATATCCGGACTGGAGAAGGGAACGTCGGAGGAGGTGGAGTCTAGAACGATCGGAGTTGATCCCCTAGGGACCGCTCCGCCCGCCGCTGACGACGTTTGGTTCAATGCCCGTGGTGGATATACCGAATGGTTCTTGGTGTTCGAAGTCAAATTGACTATTGGACTCGACGACCCTGTTTGCAGGCGCACAGGATTGTGTGTCGTCTTTTGTCTCTTTGCAGTTCTGTTCCCAGCCGACTCATTCTCTTTCTTCCGCTCTCTTCGAATCTCGTAAGGTGACTTTATGGGTGTGGCCTTTCCTATGGGTCCCCTGGGGTTTCCCAGCAGCGTGCTCAGGGACTTGTGCCGCAAGTGGGAGGAAGTATTTGGTGGGTTGCTGCCCTGCGGTTTTCGGGTGGCTGGTGCAGGTTCGCCATGAGGAGGCTTGCTGCTTTTCTCGAACAAGGGCGTGAGGTCCGTCTGCGAGACTCCAACCGCATCTGCCACCTCGACCATGACGCCCTTGTCCAGGGTCAATTCATCTCCTTCTTGCGGGGAGTTGGCGTCCTTCCAGTATGTGTCTCCAACGTAATTGCGGCTGGTGTCGTATAGCATAACGCGGCTGTTGAAGGAATGGAACTTGAGGTAGCCATCTTGCCAGCGTTTTTGCTTGCGGCGGATATCATGAGTGAACAGGCAGCGGAACTCGGCGACAGGAGCGGTGTTTTGGGAAGCGGGAAGCCGTGAGAGACGCGCCGGATTGTGCAAGGAAGTGGTCATGACGCGCAGAAGTAGTGGACTCGAAGCGTTTCAGGGCTGTGCGAAGACATGACATGAGGAGTGGAAGTGAGGGCCTCGTGGGAGGTCGGAGGTGGGATGTGAAGGGCAGTCGACGTTGAAGAGATGCGCCGGGGCTGGTTGGACGCGTTGGTGATCGAAAGGGGAAAGGTCGTTTGATGCGACTTCACGTGACCACCCGTGCCTCACCAACTTCCGTCTGCTGCTTCTCTTCTCTTCGTGCTCCTCCCTATCTCCCAGGTCGCACAGTCCTTACTGTACACGAACCCCTCCCTGATCGTCATACACAACCTTGGAACACTTGCCCGGAACAGCGGGTCCGAGGGGTGCAATTGGGCGAAATGGGCCAACAATTCGTGGCGTAGGTCTGCTCACGTCTGCTCCGCCCCATGAAACGCGGGGCGTTCACCCGTTGGCCACATTATTTATTATCCATCTGCTGCCTGGGGTCCTGATGTCCAAGTCCATACCACCATCGCTACTGCAACCGCCTTGACGACAGTCGTTTTCCTTCGCTCATTGAGCCCTCTTTCCTCCCTCTCCTTTAGCGGTACTTTTCAATCGCTCACGATGCAGCGCCTCCAGCGCAAGGTTGGGCGCTTCCTCCCCAGGACGCCCAACGAAGCCGACATTGAAGCAATGCTGAGGGACTTCAACGACTCGGACCAGATGCTGGAGAAGGTAGGATGAGGTGTATGCCAGCTTCCAACTTACGCAGCCTGACACCGTTAGATCGAGAGTGCTGCAAAGCAATGGCGCGACGCCTGGACCAATATCCTCGCCCACCAGCTGGCCGCCATTGAGTGCATGCACTCCATCTACAAGCCATTGGGTGCGAAGAGCAGCGACTACGGTTCCCAGGTCGCCGTGGATACACCGGCCGCGACCTTGGAACGCTGCGCCCAACTGCAACAAGCCTTCTCCGAGCTGAAGACAGACATGATGGAGGAAGTGGCCGACATTGAGAAGAAACTCATCACGCCAGCCAGGATTGCACGTGATTCTTTGAAGCCTATGAAGAAGGCCATTAAGAAGCGCGAGGATAGAAAGGTAGGTTTTTTATTTTTATTTTTTTATTCCTTTTTCCTCTGCAACTATTTGCTCAACTTGCGCGCCCTGCTCACGGCTAGAACCGCAGGTCGACTACGAGCGCTACAAGAGCCGTACGGAAGCATTGCAGAACAAGAAGACCCGATCAGATCGCGAAACTTCAGCGTTGATCAAGCACGAGAGTGATCTCACAAAAGCAACCCACGAATACCAGTACGCCGACGAGGCCCTCCGCACTCAACTGCCCCGCCTGAACGCAGCCACCTTTTCCCTCCTGCCCCATCTTCTGGCCAACCAGATTGTCTTGCAAAACAACCTGATAGGAAATTTGTACACTGTTCTGAACCAGTATTCCATTGAGCAAGGCTACCCAGACCCTCCCCCGGAGCTGGAAGAGGTCGTTCCAGTGTGGGAGTCTGCCTTCACACCTCTGCGGACGGAGTTGGAGTCTTCGCTTGAGCTCTTACGGACGGGCAAGGCAGTGCGCCAGCCGATGCGACTACCAGACCAGGGCAGTAGCTTGACTGGATTGGGAATCCGGAACAAAGTCATACCCGGACGAAGATCTAGCAGCAATACCAGTGTCCCAACCGTGAATGCACCTCGGTCACCCCGCCCTGGGCACACCTTAGCTCCTCCGTCTGAGGGGCCGCCTGTGCCTCTCTCCAACAAGCCGTCCATGTCTTCTCTCAACACGTCTACACCCAGACTCGGTGCTTCGCCTGGCCGACTAACACCGCCGAGCGCGACCGACCAGTGGGGAGGCAGTACGCCGACGGTGTCTTACGCCTCAGCAAATGGTGCAGGTACAAAAGCTAGCCACGACGACTATTTTGGTCGGCAGCGGATCCTTTCAACCGCGTCATCGCCAAACCCGGCAGCGGGAAAGAAGAAGCCTCCCCCACCTCCGCCCAAGAAGATTGGCTCCTTCCATGGGGAATACGTGACGGCCATGTACGACTTTGACGGGATGAATGAGGGCGATTTGACGTTCCGGGAGGGCGACCGCATTCGGGTGGTGAAGAAGACGAACAGTTCGCACGACTGGTGGGAGGGTGAGCTACGGGGAGAGAAGGGCAGTTTCCCTGCCAACTACTGCAAGTGAAGGGAAACAAGAGTTGATACCGCCGTCCACTTATGGTTCTCGGAGGGCGATGATGAGCATGTAGTCAGCTTGGTGTATCATTCGATAAGGATCACTCGCAATATCATGTCGTGGATCATGCGCTCGCCGAGTACATTTTGCGGATTCCCGTGCTGCAACTGTTTAATGCCTGTACAACCACAAACATGATGGGAACCTCGTAGACACGGTCAGTAAATATACAAGTCGTGAAGCTTCGAATGGCCCCCACCCTGCCCTCGGCTGAAGCGCACGTGCCCGTGCGGGTGACTGCTCGGGTGATGCAGCCTCACCTGCATGATCTGCAATTCGCCCTCTTCTCACCTTATCACTATTAAACTAGACTATGGACACTCTCGAGAGCATCGCAGCGTCTCCCTGCACTGAAAATGGCTGACACCAACCATGTAAGAGTCTCCAACTGTACTATGTATGGTACAATTTGCTTGGTATCAACGTGTGTATAGTGCTCAAACTCACATTACTCTGCTGCACAGGACGACATCGCCTTGCCATCGCTCTCGCTCAAACCTCCTTTCAGCCCAGGAACCGTCTTGATACCGACCTCGGGAAAGAAGGGCAGTGCAGCCAACGCACTCCCTACCATCTTCGGCAAAGACAACCATTGCCGCCTCGTCAAGAACAACATTAGAGACTTTCTCAAGGAAGACCTCAACCTCGACCGCTTAAACGACATCGATGGCTACTTATGGATGGCAGGCAGGCCGATGAGAGCACGCCCACTCCATCGTTACAGGATGTTGGGCTTCGATGTGCTCCACACCCAGCAGATGGACCTCCACCTCCTCAAGTACTCCAATCAAGTGCTGGTGAAGCCTCTCCCCGACTATCTCCTGTCGCATTCCTTCTGGACCGATCATCTGTGCGGGAACACAAAAGTGCACAGGAAACTGCACGAGGCGGCGTGCGGCTTCTTGCTCAGCTACATCTGGCTGCTCGTCTATCCCATAGACCTCCAGCTTGCGCAGGACTTCAAACTCGTGCCCAGATCCATCAAGTGGCCGCTGTGGGAGAGATTCGTCAGCGACTTCGTCAACCACATTGATGTCAATGCCCTCGACCAGGTGAACAAACGGTACCATTTCGGTGAGCTACGCCTAGGCCGCATAAATACCATCTACCGCGTCCGCTTCGCACATCGATACTTTGTGCGGGGCTATCTGTACGGGTATAACCGCTATGTGGTCTTCTTCCAGCGCAATTTCAACTGGATTCTTGTCGTCTTTGTCTTCTTCTCGCTCGTCTTGAGTGCCATGCAGGTCGGCGTCAGCGTGTCACCGCTCCAGGAGGACGAGGCATACCGCAAGGCGACATACGGGTTTGTTGTGTTCAGCATGATGACTGTAGCCTTTGTCCTGGCGTTTGTGAGCGTTATGTTTACTTTCATATATTTCTTCAATATGGTGGCGGCTATTGTACATGATAGGCGACAGAGGAAGGAGAGAGGCTTGTTGGCACAGGTGAAAACCGGACGTCTTCAGAACCCCTAGGAGCGCTGACCCCATATACCCAGGAAGGAAGATTTTTCAAACGCCGAGTCGCATGTGAGCTTTAGAGCCAGTGCTCGTTCATTGTTCTCCTCCGCAATGAAACCCGTTAGCATGCATCTGTATGGAGTTCTGATCAATAAGCAGAACGGCGATACTCGATCAGGCACGGAGCGAAGACTGACGGTTATCCAGTAAGGCGTTGGGAAAGTTGTTTTCAAGATTACGGCAAAAGGGAACAATCCATGACAAGAAATTATAGCTCATCCCGCTGGTTTTCCGCAGCTTTCTCCTTCACCTGGAAAGCCTCAATGGTAATCTCCACCTCGTTCTTCCCGGTTTTCTTGTGCTCAACCTTGCCTAAGATTGCTCCGTCCTTGGGCTCGGTGGAATATGTCTCCAAGTAGTCGAAGACGCCTATGCAGGAATTAGCCCCCGTCATCTAGTCGAACAGAACAATTCCGACTTACCCTCACACTTCTTCCCGTCAGCCTCATCCACCCACAACGGTACAAGCGGGTAGATGGCGCCGGGTGCAAAGAACACCACGTCATCCTGGACGCTGAACCACCTCTGGTTCGTGTTCTTGTTGATCCACTCACGCACACCGTACGGCAGTGCCTCGTAGTCCATCTTCAACAGCTCGCGCTTGTCACCATGCTTGTCCTCGCCATTCCACGTCCCAGGGTAGTGCTGTTTGTTGTAGAAGACTTTCAACTGGGGCGCAAAGTCCTTGAGGGTTGGGTACAGCTCCTTCAATTGGTAGATCTCGGCCGTCAGCGTCGTGGTGGAATGGCATGACGTGGTGTAAGGGTCTAGTGCGCTTGATGTGGCGGTCCATTTCGGTGTCCAAATCTCGCCAATGGGTGTGGGGTCTGGGACCTTCGAACTTGACGCCGATGAGGCACTTTCGGTTGAGCTGGAGGCTGATGAGGAGGAGGAGGAAGAAGAAGAAGAGTCTGTTGCGAAGGCCGTGGCCGCGAGGAGCGCCGGCGATAGGATGGTTGTAAGTCTCATCGTGCAACTGGTTGTGTTGTGGCAGTTGTGGCCTATAACGGGTGCGTACGGTTTGTTCAGACAAAGATCTCTTGTGTTCTTCAATTGCAATCTTTAACCACAGTGAAAGGAAACGATGATAAAATATCCAGAACCTCAAGAACAGCCCGAGGACGCGCACCATCTATATACCCCATCATCCCCCGCAGATCATCTCCATTATGCTTTCTGTCCTTTCGCACTTCTTGGCGGACTTGCGTGCATTTGAATCGTCTTGAGACGTTCACGCGTTGTTTTTCCGCGTTCCCATATTAACGGCCGGGGTCGCTAGCGCGTCACAGCGTGCAGCCTAGATTAATAGGACACGGTGGAATCATAATATGGAATACTGCTTGGGTAAGTTGGAGAGAATACCTGCGCTTTTCAATAATAAGGAGGGTACGGTCGGGCACTTTGCCGTTGCTGGGATGGCACATGCCGCAGCAGTAGGAATGAATGTCATATCACGTGACAGTTACAATGTGGCTCACTGTCAAGGTTGTTGCTTGCCAAGGTTACCTGGAGCAGCGAGGGAATGGATTTCAGAAATCGAAACACAGAAAGCGTGGCGCACAGGGAGCAATACTGGTCAACCAGATGCCAGTCACCTTCCTCACCAGGTGACGCTTTTCTTGGACATGATCAACTTCGAGCCACGTCCAAATGGCCGGAATCTCATTATATGCCTATAGCAGGTAACACTGGAATGGTAACTATGTAGGGTTGAGCCTAAGGTTCAGGAGTCAATAGAGTCATCTGCCGTGTGGGAGTCATGACATTGATGTGTGCAAGCTGACAACGTTCTCATGATCTCTTTCCCAACGTACAGGAGTATTGCGATACCCCCCCTCACTTCACAGTACATCTTCGTATAATTCTAGAAGCTCAAACCGAATACCCTTCCATGGCGCAGAAACACCTCAGTGCTTCCCGTCCTGTTACGGACAGCGACAAGCCATCACACAGTTCACACCCACAACGCTTCTCTTCCTCAAAGTATACAAATATGTTGGTCCAAGCAGACGGGGTCCCAGCGAGACACAATGTGCTTGCCGCACTATGTACCTGGCTTCTTCTTGCCGGGTATATCGTGCTTCCTGCGACCTTTGATAAACTGGAGAAGAATCGCAAGTTGGATACGGCTTTGAAAAAGGGCCTTTGAGGCGGGTCAGGCGTGCGTACATTTTGCTCTTCCCTTTGTTAACATTTTGATATTTCAGGTTTGAGAGTGACAGAGAATATCTTCTTCCTCTCGCGGCAATAATGACACGACATGTTGACGTCTCTACAGCGATATATCACTCGCAGTTTTGGCCGCCGCCCTCTGCATCACCGGCATCATCGGCTGTCTAACGCTCCTCTGCAAGTACAGGCGAAACTATATCTGGATAGTCAACCGCATTTTCATACCTGCTTTGCTCCACAGCATTGCTGGGTTGGTGTCGACTCTGATTAATGTGTACACGGCGCAGGATGGTAAGTTCAATTCCGTGGCCGTTTAATATGATTGCATAGGCTTGTGAAACTGTTGCTATTTTAAAGGGCTGTGGCTTACTGGAGCGTAGGGGACTACTCGGTTACGGCTACGGCTGCATTGACGGGGACGTCTTTGTGCCTTGCGGTGACGCTATCGTTGAGTCTGGTGATTTATGTGGGGAAGATTGGTAGGATGAAGAGGAATCATGATAGTATGGAAGCGCTGCATAATGCGGTAGCGATTCGCCGCCGAATCGAGTAGATGAATGGATACCGAGACAGTGGATACAGTGGTTGAATACTTTGTTCCATTATGGATATGTATATCCGTTCTTTTCCTTGGTTGGTACAACTTACGAACAAGCAGAAGTGACGTGTTTAGCCTCTCCTTACCACCTTTTGGTGGTATGGTCAGATCCAGGGCGCGTGAACAGCTTTCTGTTATGGCTCAACTGGGCTGGCGTTATCCCAGGTCAGATTCGCGCTTCCATCATCTCCCCTCGATAGGATATGAGAAGAACCAAAAGCCATTCGCGACATGACTGAAAGTGCATTGAATCATGCAATGCACAGCTTATGTGTTTGAAGACGCGTCTGATGGCTGTCGCGGAGCAATCAATAACAGGTACAGAAGCAAAAAGAGATATCGATTTATATGTCTTATTATTGTAAATATCTATTACCCCCGCGAAAGAAGATAGGAACGCCGAAGTCCCAATTCTAACAAAATCGCAGTACCCATTGTTCTCAACGCCGTAGTCATTATGGTATCATGCAGCACAGCGTCATTATTCCACCCCCTCCTCACTATAATCCACGCATGACGGTTGTCGAAAATCCACTCCGGAACCGCTCTACCGGCTGGAACGTGTGTTGATTCCTTGCGAATAGTACACCTCATACGCGGCATTGACACTATCGTGATGCTCCTTTGCGCGCCTCTTGACAGCCTCCCACGCCTTCCTGGCCATGGTCGGCTCCTTGGTGGATCCCTTCGCCAGTGAGTCCTTGGATAGTATGCTGGATGCCGAACTCATGGGAGTCTTGGTGAGGTCGGATTCGAAGGAGGAACGTGGTTGGCGAGATTGTTGGTGGGTTGGTGCTGGTGATTGCGGGAGGAGAGCATTGGCGATGTGCATGCGCTTGGTTGGTGCGGAAGGCATTGTGTGGAGTGTGGAAATGCCACTGAGTGGGTCGGCAGCGGATACGGTATGAGGGCTGAAGAATGGAGACGATGCGTGGGCTTCCTTTGGCTGATAGTATACGTCTGGTCGTTGGTGGTGGAAGTGAAGTGGACCGGTTCCAAGATTGAGAGAGTTCAGAGGCGGCGAGGAATGATGATATGTTTTCGAATGGCGTAGGATATGTTCTCTGCGAGTCGAAGCTGCTTGAAGCTATGAAAGCTATGTGGATGCCCTAGGTTGTGACAATCTCACTCTTATATAGTCTACAGCTCGCTCTCCTACATCGGACTCCAAGGCGACGGGGAAGGACTCTAATCATGGGCTGTGTCATCGCGCCCTACACAAACCCACGGAAAAAGCACGCGATACGAATGCAAAAGGAAAGGCCACGCCCTGCCAGACATAGACTACCTACTGTATAACATGTACATGCCTGAGCCAGAACCAGATTAGAGTCAGCCAATACGTGAACACTCCACAATGGGCTTCAAAGTAGCCAACCAGAGCGCTCCCGTGAGTGACTAACGGTGAGCTTCTCCGCCGGCGAAAGGGCGGACGCCCTCACCCGTCGGATAAAAACTGCTCCAACTGATGCGCCACGGCTTGTTGAATGCGAGACGGGGAGGATGTGGCTTCAGAAGTTATGACACAGCTGCGCGCATTCTTGGAGCTGATTGGAGGGGGTGGAATATTTTGGCGCAAGAGGGTGACTACAAGCGTAGCGGAAATGTACGGAGTCGCTCTTGCGTTGGAGTTTTCACGCCCTTTGTCGTGCACGGGCCGAGTTATGAATCGGCGCGATCAGTGATTACAATGCAAAGGCACGCCCTGCATGTTGACATTTTCTTTTGTACGGAGGTATACGCCTGATGACTCTTGTCATGAGAGAAGGACTGCATGTCCACAGTATCCTGTTTGCCTCCGTCATGAGGCAGCGAATGTCCGCGTGGACGAGATCAAGACAATGGTTTTTTTTGCACTTTTCGCCGCTTTCAAGAATCACACCATTCTAGTCTAGTATGCTGAGTAGAATAGCCATTCTTGTAAGTATACTGTGTATATAACTCATCGGCTCTGGCGAGGACGCCCAAGTGCGTCCCTCTGGCTAGGGTGAAAAAACATATCTTGGGTGAGTTGGTTTGGAAAGACGCGTGGGTTGTAGCAGAGGCTGCTGCAACTATTCCCTATGCATCCAAAATCGGTGAGTCACATACGCCAGATTCAACTCTGGAAGCCCTCTTCAAAACTGTCGATAGTGTATCTATACTGTATACATATGTGGCGCCATGTTCCTGTTCGCGCTGGTTAGAGAAGCCTAGAAAAACTTCTCCTACCGCCAACCCGCCGTTGGCGTGCCCAACCGAGGTACCGGGCAAATCTATCCGCATCGCTCGGCGTGTGACCCCGGTGGTTCGTGTGGAACTAAATTGGTTCGACGTGATTGCGCACTTCTCTTGTGTAGACTTAAGGGATGCGTTTCTAAGAGGGTGAGTTGAAAATGTAGTTTATAAATTTTGAAAAAGTAAATCTTTACAACAAAAAAACACAAGCATCGCCCGCTTGGCTCAGGGGTAGCGCGTATCACTAGTACTATGCTATGATAAGGTCGACAGTTCGAATCTGTCAGCGGGCAGTTACTTTTTTGTTCCTACATGGGAACGTGGACTATTGCCTCAAGTCTCTCACTGCCTCGCGGGCCGCTCAAGGCCACGGGCAACTTTTGAATTATTGAATGAAAATCCACAGGACGCATGTCCAGGAAAGGCTTACACAGTAGGCATGCCCATCAAGCGCATTGAAGAAGCGCATTGAAGAAGCGCATTGTTTTTGACCCGCAGTCCAACGAAGCCTCCCTCCGCTCTGTCCGTCATTGCCTCCAATCGCAACTCCAACCACCAATGGCAAGTGCACACGTCTCTCAGGCGTCCTCCTTTGCGAGAAAAGCGGCTATGCGCTTCAACGCCTCAACCATGACCTCGATGGAGACCGAGAATCGAATCCGCGCCCATCCATACTCCAACTCGACTCCATTATAGAATCGCCCTGGGCTGATTCGGACCCCCTGCACAGCAAGGCGATTGAAATACGCCTTCTCTTCCACGACGCTCCTGACTTTCATGCCCAGCTTAGCAAAGACAAAGATGCCGTGGGTTGGGGTGACGAAGTCGACGTTCCACTGCCGCAATGCTTGTGCGAGAAGTCGGTATGATGCCGTCAGACGCTCCGAGTTTAGAGCAAGCAGAGTTGGGAGTTGAGACCAGTTAAGAAGGGAGGAGAGGTAAAGCGTCGCGATGTTGTTGGTATGCGCAGCTGTCAGCATACCCATTGCGGTGCAGAGCTGCGGGTTCTGCTGGGAAATGAAGCAACCCTACCTGACGTCAATCATGTGTACCTGATATAGGGGTATCGCCCTCTTACCACTCGAAGCCCGCTTGAACCAAACAGCTTGCTAGCGCTCCACACGACGTGCACTCGACTGGGATCAATCTTCACAGCTCCCTCAGGAGCAAGCGGTTCGGTGAGCGACAGTGCCGAAGCGAATGCGGGAGCATCGTCTGGTGCATCTTGCAATGAGGCCAAGGCAAATACTTCGTCTGAGATAAGGTGAAGTCCCCGCTCCTGACAGAATTCCATGCATTCCACAATCTCTTTCCTGGGGTAGCACCGCGCGAGAGGATTGTGAGGGTTGCATATCACAACTGCCTTGATTCGCTCTCGATCCTCGGCACAATTGTAGGCGGCTAACAAGGACGGCATGAGGTAGTTGTCATAGTTGTGATATGTCGGAGGGCGAGCAACGATTGTGTTCACGTTCGTCCTCGTTTTGAAGAGAGGGTCGAAGCCATCTGCGAGAATCAGCCAGTGTGCCCCCGAACAAACATGATGTAGAGCGTACGCCAGTAAGGGCCGGGCACAATGACACTGTCCCCGTCGTCACATATTGCATATATCAAGCTCTCCAAAGCGTCGCTCGCCCCTGCCGTTACCACGATGTGCTCTGACCTGACCGGGTGGATCGGATGGAAGTAAGTGTTGAAAAAGGAGGCCAACGCCTCGCGGCAAGCGCTGTCTCCGCCGTCTGATGGGGGACGGGAGAAATGCTAATAGCTGTCAACCGACTCGAGTCTTTATGCTGGTTACCAAGTGGCCAGACCTCGCTCGAGAGCTTGTCTTCGACTGTTGACGCGAAGAAGTCCAGTAGTTCACGCCGCAGAACCTCATTCTGGCCATTGGACAGGTCAATGGCAGTAGAGGGATTGTATTTGGGAGATGGTGCGAGTGCGGCAGATTTAGGGCGAAGCTCGTGCAAGGATCTTGCCATACGCGTAGAAAGGCCCGATTCCATGGTCGATGATTGCCGATGTGAAGTAGGATGTTCTTATAAGTTATATTCTGAAGCTGGTGAGATTTGGCCTCAGCAACCACTTGTCACCGTGACCGCACGCACACGCCGCAGAGGAAGGAGTACATCGGAAGTCAGAGCTCGAAGCCTGGGAACAAAGGGCACCACTGCTGTGCCGCAGGTTATACCGCAGGTTATACCGCAGGTTATACCGCAAATTCAACTGAGAGGCACAGACGGGGCCGACCTGCGGGTAAGTGGAGGGGTTCGTACGGTGGACTATATTTAGATTTAGTGCCAAAACTCAGAACTCCGCGCAACATGCAGCCCTGCGTACTGCGTACTTGTATGCGTAATCGCACTGCGTACTTGCTCTGCGTACTTGCTCTGCGTACTTCTATAGATATATACTGCGTAATTATCTTGCGTGCTTGTACTGTATACTTATCCTGTATACTTGCACTGCGTACTATACTGCGTACTTCTTCTGCGTAGTATACTTACGTTACTAAAGCACGCAGTAGAAGTACGCAGTATAACGCAGCGCAGGCACGTAGTAGAAATATATAATATATCTAAGTACGCACTATAAGTATACAGCGCGAGTACGCAGCGCAGGTACGCAGTACAAGTACGCAGTACAAGTACGCAGCGCAAGTACGCAGTACAGGCACGCAGTAGAAGTATCTAATATATCTAGCTTAAGTACGCAGTACAAGTACGTAGTATAAGTACGCAGTAGAAGTACGCAGTACAAGTACGCAGTACAAGTACGCAGGGCTTCGTGTTGCGCGGTGTTCTGAGTTTTGGCACTAAACCTAGATATAGTCCGCCGTAGGTTCGCTTATGGCGGCGGCTATGGATTGTTATACCGGGTGGATGCACAAAGACGCAGCAAATCCTGGGTCGTGACCACAATCACCTGCATTGGCACTTCTCTGCTGCACTCCATATTCGCTGCAGGACGACGGTCTTGGTGGATTGACGATTTCCGACCCGGCTTCCCCTCGGACCCGCCGACAACCAATGCCGCCTTGACTCCAATTATGGAGGATACGTAGGAATGCTCCCGGGGTTGTCTGTCCCGGACTCCCAGTCCTTTGGGCACACCGGTCGTGGTTGCGTCGATCGACTTGGGTTCACGTGGTGCTGCTGAGATGCATGCAGGTTATTGGTGGAGTCAGCTTGCGAGGGTGAATGAGACCGTAAGTGAGGAAAATAGTCCAGAGAACACAAAAGAACTGCACAGTAGAACCAGAGTGTGGAAGCTGGGCGACAAACGCACGAGCTGCTTGTTGTATCTTTGCAGCCCCTCGACTTCAGTGATGCATATGGGAGCCGGACCGGTGAACTTGGTGGTTGGTACGGAGTAGTGTTCCCAAGGTTGTCCGAATCGGAGGGGTGCGGCTGGTGGGTTCTGGGAGCCTTTCCTGCATTGAGAACGGTCGACAGTTGTAGGCATTCTCCACCAATGCACAATTTTTGAAAAAAAGCAATTTTGCTGAGCGCGAAAGGGCAAACAAAGCTACAAAAATGCCGTCCTACAGCACTGCGCAGCTAGAGATCTGCTGTTTTTGTGCCCTTTCGTGCCTTTCCTATAAATTTGCAAAATCGCGATTTCAAAAATTGTGTATTGGCGGAAATGCTTACAATAGTCAACCATAAAGAAGCAGAGGCACTCCGCATACTAGCCCAAACCTCAATAACAATGACATAGAAACGAACTTTCAAAGTGCAGTATCCAAACCACTGAATAAACCACTGAATGCTAAGTTCAGAAGTAACCCAGTCTCCGCGAAGGAGCATTCTTCCTTGCTCCCCACCATATCTATACCACAGGCTTCTCCTCTCCACATCCCTTGAAGAATCTCGTGTGCTGCTCAGGACAAGGCCAGCGCCTTAGCAGCTTCTTCAAAACTTGCCATTACTGCAGCCAGCCAGTCACTATCCGCCGCCCCTTCTCGCCAACCAAAACAGAATACGGCGCACCCATCCCCGCCCGTGACTGCGCTGATCATGAACGCAGGGCCCATGGCCGGGACACTTTGACTGAAAACGCACCGCCCCATGCTCCACTGCCGGTTCTCCGCGTCCTGATCATCATCACTTGCTTTGAACGGCCTGAGGATGCCAAGGTTTGATAGCTCAAAGCTCTCACGACGCTTCTTACCCATCTGCATGAGGCCGGCGCCAATCATGTCAGGGACCCATCGCAGCAGGTTTACCGGGTTATTCTTTAGGTTCTTTGCCACTTCTTTGGCAATCTCCGCCTTCACGGATCGTGCCTCGCTCCAAGAAAAGTACTGCAATATCTCCGACTTCGACCTCAGTTCCAACTCCGCGTCCGCTGTGGACTCCGCCCGTCGACGCCGCCGATGCTCGAAAAAATACTGGCTGGCCCAGACACCCATCAAACGTTCGACGGGCCCATATCGAGAATCCAGCCTGAGAAACCGGCGCAAGGAGATATCACCGGCTGCGCGCAGGCGGTACCACTGCTTCTCATCAAGATTCGCAAAGACGGCAGCGGCAATGAGGCATTGTAGTGTGGCTGTCATGGTTGCATTGTTCTTTCTTCCCAGGTCTGCCAGTCTTGCCGTAACCTCCTTGGATAGCACTAGGCTTCGATGATGCATGGGCGGGACCAGGGAAGTATCCGGAGATGAGCGGTCAATGTCAATGGTGGGCCTGGCGTTTCCGAGCCACAGTCCAGCATCGCTCTCGGGGAACAGCCCACGCCACAATAGTTTCGCCACGTAGGTGAAGGTTAGCGGGAGAGGGTGCAGCTCCTCGAGTGGTGGCAAGAGCGGAGTGGAGGGCGAAGGGACAATAGGGTCAGCGTTCAGACGTGGCTGACTCTCAGGGTGGGTTCTGTCTAGATTTTGTAGAGCGTCCAGAAACGACTGATGGAAAACCAGGCCGGATTTGCCGTCTGCGAGAGCATGATGATAGATGAAGCTCGCTGTGAAGTGGTTTGAACATTCGGGAGAATGCAGAATGATGAGAGACCAGAAGGGGCGTGCACCGTGCTCCTGTTTGAAGCCTTGGTTATGTCTCTCGCTCAGGATCGCGTCCAATTCTTTATCACAGGAAGAAACGCCGGACAGAGCATTGGCTCGCTCGACAATTAGAACGCAGCTGCGCAGATCGATCAACGGAAGCCGTGAGTAATAGGGTGATTTGGTGTGTTCGTCTACTGGGATTGCGCTAAGAATGGGGTGCTCTTCGATGACCTTCCGCAAAGCGTTATAGATGAGTGATTCAAGCGGGATGCTGCAGCCTGGATGGGAATAGGTCACTGAGACGCCCACATTGTTGTAGAAACCCAGGTAATGGTTCGCAACCGAGAACTTCTCCGCATGTCCTAGATGCATGTCTCAGCCCAGTGGCTCTTTGCCAGCGCAATTTCAAAACGCTAATGTTGACCTTACCGCATTCCCGGAGCCGCTGCAGTGGCTTTGTACCAGACATTTTGGATAGCTTTCAAGGTATCTGAAAGGCACCCGTGTGAAAAGGAGATGTTACCAAGCTGGGCCGCATGAAGATATAACCCCACAGAAATCTTGACGGTGCCGCTTATCGGCGTCGAGCTACCTCTCGAAGTTTATATCTGCCCACCTGGGAACAATAGCAACTGTATTCATTCATGCCGCACTAGCCTCAAACGATATAGATTTAGTCATCAAGGAACAAATAGTCACGTGATCTCGAATTTGACCAGGTTCCCTAGTGGCGCTGTTATATGGCTCGTAAGTTTTGAACACACGGGAACTGCTTTTTAAATTGATCAGTCTAAGCTCAGATGCGTCAAGAAAGGATCGTGTGCAATGTGGGGCTCACCATATGTGCGCTTCCTCCGAACCCCCCTGGTTCCAACAACGGCCTCGATGGTGGTAGCCAGTCACATCTTCATGAAGTCGCTGATATGAATAGGCATGCAATTTCCCGCTTCAGGCAAACTCAGTCGATTTGCGATTCGGTGCCAAGTATCTGCGAGGTGCTTACCGTCTTGCTGTCGGCCTACGGTCTGACACCCATGAGTGTAGCACCGTATGCTCACTGGGAGTTTGCTTGCGATTCAGGCCAAGCTGAAAGACCAATCCCATTCTCTCAAAATCTCTTCCCAGTCCCGTTTCTCGCCGCCGTTAAGAACGGGTTTCCACACTTCTTGCAATAGGTCGCGAAGATTGGCGACATTCTCGTAATGGTTACGCCGCTGAATCATCGTCAACCTCTCGCGGCATAATGAGATCTCTGCTTCGGTACGAAGTTCGGCACCCGCTAGTAGGATAGGATACAGGAGGCTTGACTCGGCCGGGCTCCCCGGGGGAATCCTGGCTATGAACTGCATTGCACGAGAAGCGCAGTCGGCTATGAGTTCCTTGCTCGACGTGGAGGTTCGGTAGAGCTGGATGAGTGCGGCAAGGCGGTAAGCTTCTGCGAGCGCTATAAGGTCAAGGGCGACCGGAAGGTCGAGCTCAGGCGAAGTCAATGGGTTCTCGTATTTCCATTGCTTGATGTCCCTTTCGATTGCTTCAAATGCAGCCTTGCATAGATGCGGGAAGGCTGGTGTAGATGTCGTCATGTACTGGATTCGACATACCAGAGAGCAAAGCTGATCCGATATGCCCATTAGTGGATCGATGGTCAGGCCCTCTCCTGGCTGATAGAGTCTAGCGTACCGTCGGTCAGGTGAGAAACGGTATGACTTGGAGACAGGAGCCATCACAGACGCCATTACATCGTAGTATGTGAAGTGGCGCCGCAAAGAATCGAGTTCCCAAGGGCTCATTTGCTCTTGCGTGTGTGGATCGCTGAGAATCTTACGGGCGCAGTCCATCTGAGAGAGCCATTTCGTACCTTTGTTGCCGTTGAGCGCCTCGAGGCCCACCAGGAGGAGTATCACACCCACGACTTGCGAGGCATCAGTCAGGGGCTGTCCAGAGGGCGACAACCGATCCCTCAAGAATGCGTGACTTCTCGTCTGATGGCGCGTAGAAACGTCGAGTAAGTAGCGTGCTCTGTCCGGGTCGGAGGAACGTCGAGCGAGCTGCCCAGAGGACAGGGCTACGATGGCATCCAGCAGTCCCTTCTCGGATTTGAGGGCCATTGGCATATAAAGAGACGTGTAAAAGCTCGACGGCGTGTCTGCGACGGAAATGCTGGGGACGAAGGCTTTCTGATAATAGTGAAGCAGATATCTCGCCTCGTCCGCATTCTCACCGGAGATTTCTTCCCAAGACTTGATCGATAGGGCGAAAATAGAAGGGAGGAGTGGACTGGTAACATTGAGAACCGCTGATGCCGGGGAAGAAGGCGTGGCAGGGTCAGGGACGATCTGACGCTGGGTTTGCCATTGGCACTTCAGATTCAAGCGCGTACAGCCTTGACATTCCGGCCGGTTCCCATCGCATCTCTTTCTCCTCGTCCTGCAAGTCAAGCAACCTTGCCTAGAGCGAGGTGCGAATTTACGCTGTCGTGGGCGGGGTTCCTTGAGCTCCACCATGGTTCGAGTTGGCCAAGTCCTGCCAGGCTCGAGCAAAACAGGCCAGTCATGTCAGCCACGGGCCGGAAGAGTTGCAGTACGCCATCATGGTCAAGTTGGGGTCATCTTCGAGCGTTGACGCCAAGGGGTCAAGACGGGGACTGAAAGATGAAAGGAGGTGAAGTGTGGGAGCGGCTGTCAATGCGCCCTGTTATCGATAAGGGTTTGGTGGAATGCTACTGCCATGAACGGTTACAACCGTTCACGACGCCCCTCGGCGGGAAAATGTTATATGACCTACTATTAGTTAATAGCTACCTACTACTAAGTTGCCTGCGCAGCCTCCCACTAGCTGCAGCTTGCCTTAGCTAAGTGCTTAGCATACTTTAGCAAGGAACTTAAACATTTACACACCTCTTTCTTATGTTATCACGTGTTTCCTTTCTAGCTGTAAAAGTTAGGAAGCAACCCTTTAAAATCATAACTATATTAGAAAGAGCAGCTTTAAAATGTCCACTTTACTTCTCAATACCTTAAAACCTACCTTGCAACAATAGCGTTGCAGCAGCGCGAAAATAGTATGTTAGTAGTAGAGGCAGCTATTAATTAGTAGTAGGTTATATAACATCTCCTAAACGTAGCCTGAAACTTCGCTAAAAGTTGTCTAGTCGATGAATAAGTAACGGAGCACTACGAAGAAAACAGTGCCGAGTAGTCTCGATTGGGAGCGGCAGGCGCGAAAGCCCTAAGACAGCCCCACTGGCATAAATGAAGATTGCTCTTGTGTATCATGGACGGAAGAGAGCCGAGAGCCGTGTTGCTCCATAAAAACACTCTCACGAGAGGGGAATAAAGGATGCTGGAATTTATCTTTTAAATGGGGAAGCATGTAGGGAATGGCAGTACGCGCGACCGAGGCCTAGGTACCTCCCGTCTATGCCCCGTCCATACACTCGAGAATATCTGCAGGCCATTGGCAACCAATCTGTACAAGATCAGGCGGCCTGGGGCGGCTAGCTTCAAACCTGGCAGGATTTGATCTCTCTTCAAGAATCTCTCTTCAAGAATCTCTCTTCAAGAATCTCTCTTCAAGAATCTCTCAAAATATTTGCTATCCTATTTCCAAGTCGATAAACAGCGTGAATCTATGTAATCTCCTCTTGTACGTTTTCAGTGTATGGTATGTGCGTTGCTGGTTTAGTGAACCACTGATGATTCCAACCACAATTCCCTTCCTAAGGGCTGTTAGTATCCTTGCGGCTCTCGACTTGCAGCCCTTTGACAGGCAGTGCTCAGTCAAACAGGAGCACGGTGGTGCCTTTTTATTCCTCCTAAAGTCACAGAACTTGTCCCCTCATTTGGCGTTCCTTCTGTCTCTGCCGCGAGTTCGCCGCCACTTGTCTCACAAAGACTCGGACTGTCGTACTTGCGAAATCGCCACCAGAATGTAGCCGCCGTGACCGTCATGGCCCCAAAAAGTGAGCCATAGAGGATTGTCAAGTTGGGATCCCGAGCCACAGGAGTCAGCGCCATGGCAACTGCTGACCCCACGCCGGCAACCAGCAAGCTGATGGCCTGAACGATTGCCTTCATGGCTGTGGGCGAATGGTCATACGCATACTCCAACCCCGTGACGTAGGCAAAAATTTCGCCTATGGCCATGAGAAAGTATACCGGGGCCTGGATCCAGACGTTGACATTGTTACCCAAAGCTGGACCCTTCTCCGGCGGCGGCAAGTCGCATTTCCCGGGATGTGTGTAGCAGGGCGGCGCTGAGTAGACGAGATGTTGTACTGTCATCGAGTACAGCATCGACAGGGCGATGAACAAGAAGCCGACAGTGATACGCGCAATAGGCCGAAATGGGATCTTCCTGCGGTTCAGATACGGGTACAAGCCATACTGGATGATGGGGCCGAGAATGATGCAAGCCACTTGGTTCATGGCCGGCATCATGTCGTTGGGGATGCCGTTGGTCTTCATTTGATTGGCCTGGGAGATGAGGTTGTTCTGCATCTGATCAAAACAGACATAGAAGACTACGAATGCAATCCTAGTTGATGTCAGAATGAGATGTGGCGCTAGGCTGGCGACATACAGGACTCGACAGGCTCGTAGACCTCGACACAACTCGTCGACGAGCTGGTTATCCCAGGTAACTGACTTGCCACGCTCTTCAAGCTGATATTCAGGATACGCCCGTGACATTTTGAAACCGTTGCGTGAGGCACAAACAAGTATCCGAACTGCTGACGGTAACACGTTGCCTTCGTGAGGCGCTTGTGCTATAAACGGATCAGTTATAACTTTCTTCATAAGATTAAAGTAGAAAACTCACCATACCATTTGGAGCCCATGAACAACATGACCATTGCAATGACCATGGATCCGAATGTAACAGAATAAGCCACAGTGAACGAATAATACTTCTCAAGGGTAGTCGTGGCGAACCATGACAATGAACCTACATTACCGACCCTGTGTGGGAAGGGTTAACTACCAGCCATGCAAAGGTATGTAGCACTGACCAATAATACAAGTTGTAAATGTACTGGACGGTGAGTGACCGGTCCGTGAGGACACGCTCGCCAGTCCGGAGAGTTTTGATTCTTTGCAGTGGCGCAGTGTATTGATCGGCTGTTGTTGTCAGTCTTGTTCCCCTGATGGACATAGTTGTACGTACCGATGAAGGGAACCATGAGCATCTTGAATCCGCCGCCCCCCAGCGCGACAAGAGTCATTGCAATGAGAAACCCAGCCAGCCCAAACCCGGCGTTGAGTAAACCCTCCGAAGAGCTGGCCACGAGAACGCCGCAACCGAGCACATATAAGCTAACGACAAAGGTGTCAGTGACGAAGGGAAAGCACTACATGGGCGAGTACTTACACAACGCTCAAGCATAGAGTCTTGAAACGCCCAAGACGCACGTCGGAAATAATCGCAAATAACAGCGGAGTGACATAGTAGAGGATATAGAAGGCACAGTATATCCGCGTAGCCATAGCCTGCCCAAGGCCGAGAGCACCTGGAGCGCCGCTGTCGCTGTAACGGCTGTTTTCCATGAAGTTTTCTAAAACCTTCACATCAGTACGCGTTTGCGTCACGGGGAGTAAGGACATTGACGTACGCCATGGGGCAGTGAGACCCCAGAAAGTAAACCGCTCCCAGAACCCAATGACGGCGACGGCCCACAATCGAGGAGGGATGTCATCGACCACGCGGCGCATTCCCTTCACATCTGGGGCTTCAGTTTCCCCCGTCATGAACGAGGAGTTTGCGCACCTGCTATGCAGAATGAGCATGTCACCACAACAGGTTGTACTCAGAGGTGTTACTTACGTATCTTGTTGGGCATTGGGGTCCCTGATTGCAACATCCATTCCGAATATGCGGTTGTTTCTTGAAGCATTGAATCATGTATCTCCCCACGGTCGGGAATATGTTCGTCGAACTTTAGGGGTTGTGGTTGTGTCCTTGACTGGATTGCGGTGAACGGAAGGGCCAGTTTGTCCATGCAGCATCCCACTTGCGGAGCCGGCTCGCTGCAGCGGGGCGACAGAGAGTGAAGCCGCGAACAGCATTTGGCACATGGAGCCAAGGAGTGAAACACGGTGAAAGTGTCGTTGACGGAAACGTGCTTCCGCCCGCCCCGGAGACCACCTCTGTACACATGCTTACAACCGCGACTGGCGAAGGCCCACACACCTGCATGGCATTCGCATATCTTAACGGTGCGCAGTGAGTGCTACGTCACTGCGTACAGGTCCATCTTTCAGGCTCCGCGGCCTGGATTTAGAGTCACACAAACTCACATGCCACGTTACCGGCGACAGAGATATCTGTATAGGAATCAACGCCGGAGAAATCGTTGGAATCTTCGCACGTTATGACACGGTTTCCAGACCCAGTCTTTGAGTACCAACAATGGGAATGCGGCCAGTGAAGTGGTAGTCCATAAGGCCTCATGGAGTGCTGGCCGTTGAGGTTCAGCACCCGTTCAATGGCGATCTACGGGAGTCCGCTTGCAAGATTCGGTGACCGCATGTTGGGCAGAAGCAGTACGACGCCATGAAAAAATCTAGGATAGACTTCTGAGTCCTGAAGAACCCGAAAACGAACGGAGTATTGGGCGTAGACTATCGAAAGATGAGAGGAGCAGACGAGAGCGGGGCGCCATCCCTCCGGACATGGACAGGATTTCCTATGAAGCAAGACGCGTAGAAATATAGAGTGGAGAAGTGGAAAGACGGGTACTGGGTGTGTCACGATGTGCGGTCCACCAAGGTCGTACCAGACCAGCCAGCAAGGCAGGTAGCCGAGACGCAAGAACGCAAACAGCCACATGCATCCAAATTCAGATCAATATCTGTATCTCAAAGCCAAGAACACTGGGTGACCATTTCTAGCCATAGACAGTTTGCAAAAATGGAGTCGCATCATCCAAGTGACTTTCATCCAGCCTTAAAATGATCGCTGTTGGCAGTGAATCAGGTTTCACGAGATTAGCAGGTTACATTTCCCAATCATCCAAACCAACCCTGGCCAAGTCGGTGATTTCTGATGGAGAAGGTCATCTTCAGCTTGTCGTCGCTCTACCCTAGGGTAGGCTGCTAGGTTGGCTCTACTCGTACCTACCCCCTGGGGTACCCTATGTATGCCCAAACGGTACGCCAAAGCTGTCGGTCACCACATTCATCAGGCCTTTGCCCCAATTGTGAAAACCAGAGGGTCTGTACATGAAGTAGTCGTTATTCAAGCATGCGCCATCCGCTCTGATGCCCGCCTATCTATGGTCTATCCTGGGTATACTTTGCTAATGTGGAATAACAAGTGAAAAAATGATGTGAACCGAGAAACTCGCATTCCTGCAGGTGCTGGAGAGATATAAGATAACACGAAGTGCAGCAGAATTAAACCCAATGCGCAGCCCTGTCTTCTTGCGTAACCTTGGTCTCCACGTTCACAGAATACACATCCCGGTCCAGGCTTCTGCTCGACTTTGCCGTGCTGTCTTTGCTGGACGCAAGCTGCGAAGCCGAAGATGTCGACCCGAGAGACAAGGCGTTCCGCACGCTTCTCAATACGCTGTCCACACTCTTGGTCTGTACCAAGCCGCGGAGAGTGGGGAGGCAGGCGGCAAGAAGGCCGAGCGTGATTTCCATCAAACACCAGTAAAGTTCCGAAGTGAGAAGCACTGGGAGACGCGTCAGCAGCGCACAAGGGTGTCTGGGGATTTCATCACTTACGTCCTTCATCCACTGCCTCATCCATGCCGATATGGTTTGCCCAGATCATCCAAAGCATGCGGACCAAGGAGGCTCCTGAAGAGAGAATACCGAGCAGGAAGACACCCAGGACCGCCAGCTTCTTTCCCAAGGGGAGATGCAGTTGCCACACGAACGGAATAGGGATCAAGACAATGAGGGCATCGCTAATGAAATCGGAGATGGAACACGAATACCCGACCATGAACGTATTCACACACTGCTCCATAACGGCAAGCAGGTCAGTGAAAAGAATTTCAAAGTTGCCCTTGCACATGAACATGAAGGCAAAGGTGTATGAAGTGGCCCAGAGACCCATGAGGGTAATCATGGTGATGAAGAAGACGTTGCGACCGTTCGTCCAGTTCTGCTTGTCCACCACAAAGAGGCGGCGATACAGGAACAGAACGGACATTTTGATGAGGCCGTTGGTTGTCGCGAAGATTACCAGGAACGAATATTCGAGCTGATCCACTGGTAAGCATATGCAACTTTGGGGTTTGTAAAACTCAACGTTACTGAGCGACTTACCTTCCTGGCAGTGACGATTTTCCAGTCGCTAGCCGTGATGGCCGACCTCTTCTCCACTCCCGTCTCGGTATCTGGCATTGGCGGTGCGGGATACCCAAGTGCCGTGGAATCGATACCGTAGAACATGATCGAGGCGAGGCCTATGGCCAGCACCAGCGCCGGAACCGTGAGCCAGTCATCCGTCTGGAGCGGTTGTCTCCTCTTCCTTCTGGAATAGAACCTCAAACCGACGGCGAAAATATCCAGTACGAGAAGAGGAATGATTGAGCCGAGAATGGCCGCGGGGCCAGGGATGGACATGAACATCTTGACAGATGCAGTGGAATAGAAATGGAGTCCTCTGCAATGTATGGTCAGGAAACGCCTGCTGGAGTCTGTCTGCTTGCGATGCTCTCTGCAGTGTCTCGTTCACCGTTTTCATATTCTCGAGAACACGGCCCCCATGGAGTGCGGTTACCGAAGCGTTCGTTGGCCCGCCCTGGTGCATGTTCCAACTCCCAAGGCGAAATCCTTACGCGCGGACTCCGCCTCGACTAATATGGGTATACATCGCAGTCAGCGCTTGTGCACGCCCCCCTGCTAACCACATGGATCCGAGCGGAGACTGGAATCATGATAATTGGAGGTCGGTCCAATGCCTGCCCATGCACCCCGCAACTGATTGCTGCCACATCCACACTTGGCTTGGATGATGAGGATGGCCACGTTTTCTGTGACATTGAAAGACAATACAGGAATGCTGTCTTCATCTTGCGCGATTACAAATGAGCGGGACAAGGGGCACCTACTTTAGAATTGTAGCAAAACTTGGGTTGAAGCGGCGATATGGCTTTACCCCTGCAACGGCGGTGCGGACATAGGCTGTAAGCGCCGGAGCTAGTGCAAGGACATCTGATAATAAACCGTCACCCGTAGTCTCGCCAACTTTCCCATCTGGGTGTTGGATTCTGCACGTTGGACTCTTGGGTGTAAGCTATCTATGCATGCTGAATAATAGGTCCTAGGCCTGCACTGAACTGGCTACCCTAGGGTGTCCTACCATTATGAGCGACTGCAGGAGTATGCCGTCAGACCGCAACAATTTCCGGGAGGGCGATGGAGCGCTCGTATTGCAAGTTCACCATCTACACAGTTGAGTGATGGGGGTTACGGACGTCTTGATTTCACACGCATTTTTTACAAGTAAACATAGACAGAGGTTGCAGTCGCATTAATGGTATTAATTATGTTTGCCTATTGATGTTCCACAGATCATATCCTAAAACACGCAACCCAATGCGAAGATGAGATCGTCATCCAAAGGTTCATGTTGATCGCTGCCCGGCGTTGGTCCCGATACATTTTTGACCCTCTCGCTTCGACGTGCTGTAGATCGTGTGAGTGGCCGTGCAACAAGTGTCAAGGGCTTTAACTTACTTCTGATTTTTTCGCACTCGGGCGATGTTGTGATTTCCATCTCAGACCTAGGCTGGACTAGTCGTTGTGAGTTGGATTCCAAACCCAACGAGCATGAGATAGAATACGTACCTGGTGCAGCAGCTGCGAGGGCGAGCAGCGCAACGAAGGCAATGGTGATTGATGAGCGGATCATTTTGGCTTCTTGACGGTATGAGGGAGCGTGACAGAATTTTTCTCTGTATACCGTGGGGCAGGAGACGTTAGAGACGTCCGAGCAGGAGGAGATATATCAATGAGCGTCAATGGGCTGAGGCTCACTTGGAGTGCGCCCGCAGCCAGAATGTATATCACTGTGGATATCGTAGGGCTAAATCCAGGCTGCCCCTAGGACCCATGTGCCCAGCTTGTCGGCCCAGGGACCTGGGTGTCCCTGTCACACGTTACCACCTGGTACGATTATTGTGGGGTTGCAATAATCCGCGTATCATGCACGGATTTTGGCCCCTTTCCAGCCCCCCACTTTCTTACACTGCCTCGACAGGGGGTACAGTCGAGATACCAAGCTCTGTGCGCTGCAGTTACAATTGGCAAAGGCCTTGGGCCAGATATTTGCACCAAATCGACGAGAGCAATGTTGCATCTCCACGACAAGATGGACGAGGCAGAGGAGTCGCTGCTGGAGACTCAGAGAGAGCGAACGAATGCACGCACACACTCCAAGCGCAGACACCTCCATACAATTCGCCAGCATCCATGTGTTGCCATATACATATTCCTCCTCCATGTTATGATTCTTATTCTACTGTTCAAAGATGTCTTCTCCGCCTTGTCGAAGGCCGGACGAGAGCCGTTCATCATATGTAAGCTGATAAGGAAGTACAGACACTCCCCTTGCTCACAATCGTACAGTCCCCGAGTTACGCTCGCTTCGACACGTTCTGAAAGTGGTACACGCAACGAACCACTCTGAATACAGTAGATTTTCCGGGCCGCCAAGTGCATCCAACGCCGCGGCCTGGGAGCACCTTCTGCAACGTACGTAGTCTCGGGGATCCACATGCGCGCACACTGGCCAGAGACGTTGACCGCTACAGCCCTATACTTCAACGCTTCCGAGGCAGAGCTCCTAGCAGCGGGTAGTTCTCCCGCGACAGCAGTCAAGGTGAAGAATGGGGGTTACATTGCAGCTCTTGGAGCGTATCATGAAATCCATTGCCTCGTAAGCTGGCCCGCACGTACGCGCGCAAAATCAGAACTGATTGGGACTAGAATCGCCTTCGCTACTTCCTTTACTCTCGGCATGATGCAGAGAACATGACCCGGGAGGAAGAGGACATGGTCACAGACCATCTAGGTGAGTCTGCTCGGGCTTCGATCCTACGGGTCCACGTGTTTGTCGGCCGGACCATGATTGACGTTCCACACAGATCACTGCATCGAGGTCCTCCGCATTTCAGTAATGTGCACAGGCGACCTTAGCCTGTACACGTTCACATGGCCAGAGAACCCGAAGGCCAAGTTTCTGGATGCGCATTCAACGAGTCCCAGAAAATGTGTTGACTGGGATCAGTTGGAAAGCTACGCATGGAAAAGGAAGGTTGGACTGGCTCCGACCCTGATAAAGGATGTAGAGGACAAGGTCGGAAATCAATCTTGAGCAGATAGATTCAATCTAGGCCTCTCATGCATTTGCCTGTTCGTATACTTGTAGTAATGCAGTTTCATCGAGTAGTCAAATCACGTCAACCATTCAGAGTCAATGGACTCACTCCGATCAATGCAGGAGGATTCTGACTCTCGGAACGGGTCCATATTCGACGGTTTTTGCAATTATGCCTGTCGTAGTGCGTAAGCCGCCACCGAGTCTTTGGTCGACTGTTGACGGCCACGTGGGTGTCCCAGCGTTTAGTATACATAGTAGATCTCACTGTATTACTCCAAGTTTCTGGGGCTCGGACACAGGCTCAGTAGCCTAGGCGATCGAAATGCTCTGGTGGACTTTGATGAGAATTAGTGACATCTTCATTATCCGCGATTGGCAAATGCGCCTTGCAATGTATGATGACCATGATGGTCGTGAATGCGAGATACCCTAGGGTACTCCTCCTTTCGTGCTGCGGGTCCCTAAAGTCCGCTGCATTCTCCGTCGACGGTATCAAGCCGGCATGCCTAAACTTAGTGAGCGTTTACTTATCTTGTCAGCGTTTGGAGGATATTAACCGTTGTCCAGGCCCGCTGTCGCAGCCCGACTAGCGTATGCAATTCAGAATGCAAGGGGAGAGCCTCGTTCACAGCCCCCACAACTCAGCCTCCCCCTCGTGGGCGGCAAGATGCATCCACGAATCCTTCAACCAAGAAAAATAATCTCGACATGCAACGACCCCAAGAGGCAGTTTTGTCAGCGCGGCCCACTCAAGGCTTTCCTGCCCCACTCAATGCAGTGGTATACCCGTAGTGACCGTGTCCCTCGTCAGCCGATACGCCTTAGCTGCATAGATAGATGCTCATGGCACCAATGCTGATTGAATATAACTACCCAGACCCCGATTCCTCCCCGCCGTGCACTCGGGAGACGCACAACACACTCCAGACGTCACGATGAAGCTCTTTGCCGCAAGCCTACTGTCTCTTCTCCCCATCGCGGCATCCGTGCCCGTGGAGACTTCGGATGTCTCGCCTGTCAAGTATACCACTGTTGTTGGGCGCATGCCACAGTGGGATGAGAACCTGAACAAACGTAAGAGCCTCGTGTGAATAGACACCACAGTTGATTGACTGACATGCCTGCAGGCCAAGATGATTTCAATTGGCAGTACTCATGCGCCTTCGTGACCCCGAACGACAGGATGCCCACGGAGGGTGAAGCGACGGCGATGGCGAACTACCTGGTATCCCTTGGCGACAAAGACTGTACGATCGAGCGCCCGTTGTTCAGCACCGACCCCGTACACCAGACCTTGGTCGTTTCGGGCAACTCGAAAGCGGCCTTCTACTTCACTCAGGATTCCGGAAAGGTCTTCAAGGCTACCATGTACTGCTACAAACTGGGCGAGTACTTCAAGTCGCTCATCAACGCGTGCAAACGAAATGGGCGGATACAAGGCTTTACGACGATCCCCAACTGCCCCAACAAGGGCGTTGTTTTCCCGGCTGACTCCCCGCCTTCTGAAGCTGCGGGCCTGGCGATCGAGATTGTTCCCAAATAGGAGGGCGTGAGGCGGAAACGAGGGCGACCTTTGAGTGACCCATAGCTGCCATTGTGGCACACCTTCTGAGAGACGAAGGAGACAAATAATAATAATATCATATACCACTTCTTCTGAGTGTGCGTGGCTTGTGTTGTGTTGTGATCATGCGACATGCCTGGAAAAAGACTGGACACAGCTCCAGAGTCAAGCGGAAATCTCGACTTCGTTGATCGTTGAAGAGCGTTACGTTGGCAAACGGATAGAAAGGTGGAGAACAAGCACTGATTGCGCTGATCATATTTTTGTGCAGTCACTACCTATCACTTGCGTTAAGGGAGCAAGGATCCCATATGGTTGTGGTGCTGCAATGATGACTCTCTTTGAACACAGTGTAGCTTTGAACACAGTGTAGCGCCGGAATTCCCGGCAGACCACCTACGACCACCCCTTACCCCGAAAGCCGTTATGATCATGCCGCAGTAGGCACTGCCTCTGGATTGATCTGAGTGATCTGGGCCTTCGCGATGGGTTTGGCCGTCTCATCTTCCACGTCGGTGAGGCGAAGATATCGCAGATTCGCAGCCCACCCCAGATCGTCCTGGAAGTAATCCTTCATCAATTGCACGCCCCATTTCATGCCGTTTTGTTTGTCGTACGTGAGGCACTGCTTCCCCACAGCGATGCCTATGACGTTCTGGTATTCCGGCAGTTCGGCAAGGGCGAAGTCGTTGGTGGGGTCTTCAGTATTGAGGATGGAGGCATAAAGGTTGCAGGCAGCCAGCTGTCCCATGACCATGGCTCCACCGGCACGCTTGATACCTGACCACTCGACTACATCTCCCACTGCGAAGTGGGATTCCGCGTTGGGAACAGCTGCTCTAAATTGCAGATTGGAAGTGATTTGGATCTCCTTATCGTCATTCAAACATTCGGCGGGGAGGAAGTCGGTGGTGGCAGATCCCTTTTTGGTCGCATCCAGAACGGCATCGACGACCAGAGTGTCGCCATTGCTCAAAGTGACTTCCGACTTTCCGTTCGGCAGCTGTTTGACCTGGGCGCGGTTCCCCAGAATGACTTGTACGCCCTCTTCCTCCAGCAAGGTTTTGACCTTTTCCTTCACCTCTGAAGGGAGAGGCTCTGAGGACAAGACCTCGGACCTGGAGTGGACCAGAGTGACGGAGATGCCGGGATAGTGATTTTTGATCTCTCCCGCAAACTCAACACCGACAGCGCCTGGAGCGATATTCAGTTTCGCCAATCATGCCCAAAAACAGGGAATATACACATACCAGCACCTATGACGACGACCTTGCGGTCCTTCTGGGCAGGGTCTCCACCCGTGATCTGGTCGACAAGAGCCCGACCATCTCTCAGAAACTCGTTGTACGAATTGCTCTTGGGCACGGCAGGCCACTGCCTCCTTAGTCCCGTTGCTACAACCACGTAGTCGTAGCTCTGCTTCTGCAGCTCACCGCGTCGATCGACCCATTCGGCAACCTTGGAGGCAGGGTCGATCCTCTTCACAGTTCCATGCTTGAATGTGAGGTTCGGATGGCGCAGCTCCTTGATGCGCGCATACCGTTTCCACATGGAAGCAGTGTGCTTGGGAGTCACATGGGCGAGCGGCGCTCCCACGGCGTGGACTAGGCACAGTTAGATATACGGAGCTGATGGCGTGGAATGGCTGATGGCCAAGGGCAAACGGAACGTACAGTATCCATCCCTCTCGTCAATGACGGTGATTTCCAGGCCGTTTCGCGACTTTCGTCCAGTGAAACTGGGAACAGGATAGACAGTGTCCCTCGGTTTGCCCTGGGCCAGGTCGAGCAAATTCACAAGTGCCGAAATGCCGCCATAGGCGCAGCCGACAATCAGCACACGATGAGGAGAGGAAAAGGAAAAATCGGCCAAGGCGTCCAGCGCACGATTCACCTGTAGGCTGTCGGATACCGGTACGCCCTGAAGCCGCATTGTGGAAGTCTGGCAATGTCGTTCAAAATGGCGGGCGAAGAGATGATCTGATAAGATCTGGTTGATGGCGCTGGCTTTTATGGTGCGCCCAGCGCCCCACGCCCCGCGACATCGGCGGAACCCCGGAAAGGGGCCCACAAGAGAACAAAACCAAAATAATAATGGAAAAAGAAACAAGGAGGGGGACTTCTCTCGGACAGCCGGAGCGGCACGGAAGGTGAACTCTTGTCTTGGAAAATAATGCCGCAACAGGTCGGAGACTCCCCTTGATGATTCAGTACGGATCTTATCAGATGGTCAGATCCGCCTCTCACAAGTCGCACGACGTCCTTGGCCCAAGGAGTATCATTAGTAATATTAATAGGGCGGTGGGCTAGAGTATGAGGCGAAATGGATCCAGTTCGATCGATTCCTCGTTCATCGCTTCAACACCAACAGATTGACACAATCAATCAAGGGCACTGGGAATAGCTAACTACATTTATCGGCAAATTTTTGCATTCAGTCACCAGAAATACTAATCAACAAATCCATCCGCCCTGTCGAACTGTACTGGCAATCATTTCCCGCCAAATTCGCGCTTGAAATATTGCTCTAGAGACAGCAAAGACGCTTCCTCCCCAGACTTACCACACGCAACGGCGGCCTTCTTCTTCAGCTCCGCCGCGGTTCCACGTTCCGTTTTGACACCGTAGTACCTGCCCCCAGATGCCTGACAGAAGCCGAACATGCCCTTCACCGTCTCGAGGGCCCGGATGCCATAGACTTCGAGATCTTGCCAGTTCGGAATCGCCTCGAAGCGGCTCTTCTTCCCGGTTGCTAGGTGGGGTTAGCACGCTGCGCACCTGCTGCGAGTACATTCTGGACAGACCTTTCTCGAATGCTTCGGTAACCTCGTCAAGTGACTTGATGTCGCTAACGCCTTGCACCAACGTGGATTCCGATGCCCACTTCTCAGGCTCTAGGAAGATGCCGTGGACAATATCACCGTAGTCGTCCGCCATTGCGATGAAGGGCACATCTTCCTCGCCGCCCCACTTTGGCGATCGAAAGACAAAGGTTCCATCCTCCGAAGGAGTGAAGGGGAATCCGCCAAAGAGTGGAGCAATGTCCTGAATGAGGAAGTTTTCGAAATACCAGCCTGCGCTGACGATAACAACGGCTTTGAACGCGCCGATGGACCTTGCATACTCGCCAATGGCGTGTTTGTCTGCGACTTGTTAGCGGCGGCTAATCAATAAATAGTATTCGGAAGACCTACGGTCAAACGCGTCAACGGGCACCTTGCCTCCACTCGCTTCCCTTGCTGAGGCCATGCCCGAATAGACAAAGACCTCAACACCAGCAGCAGCCGCAGCATCCACAATGATTTTCCCCAGATCCAGCTCGGTGCGGGTTTCATTCGGCGATTCAAAGACAGCATCGTCGCTGTTTGTATTTGCAAAAACTCCCCAACTTCCCCTGAAAGCTGCCACCAGAGACTCCTTGTCCCAGCCGTCGGCCTTGACGACTTCAACACCTTGATTGGCAAGTTTCGTGGCGGATTCGGATGCGGGATTGCGGGTGATGCCCCGAACGGCAAAGGATTTGCTCTTGTTTTGCTGCAGTGAACGCACAACCGATGAGCCCTGTGCCCCGGTGGCCCCGAAGACAGTAATGAGTTTTGGAGACATCTCTTGCAGTTGCAGGAGGAGACTTGCGGGACGAAGGTGTTGATGCGGGGGAAGGGTCCGAGTTCAGAGGGGCGTACTGTGTAGATTTCCGTTGCAGGAGGCGGAGAGGTCGCTTTCAAGGTGTGGGAAATGTCCTGATGCCTCCATCTTCGTTGCGAATCTGCCTATACTTATACCCAACTCTTGCCCGTGGCTGGACGGCACATGATGTTCCACTCGGCTGCAACATTGTCTGCCGCCTCACCCCATCCGGCAGTCTCATTCTCAACAGCAGGCCATCCCCTATGGTACACGAGCGTCGGTCCAATGCGATGGCTTGTCGGACAGGCACAAGCTCGAATCCAAGATCTGGGCAGCAACCCTCTCTCCTAATCTTTGAGTAAACCAGAGGACGCGTAGCTCAGAGTTGCGGGTCATGGCTTCTTGTATTATGTGGAAGATTAGTAAACCGACTTCGCATTAGTATTCGGATGCCGGATTGGGTGCACTCGGCTTGCTGGGCTGTGCTTGGGAAGTAGGAGTGATTAGTGAACGTAGAGACTCCGTACCGATCAGCGTACTCTTGATACCGGACATGCACCTTCATCGAGCCAATCATTTGTGAGTAGGATGACTAATACAAGGGGGCTGCGATCACCTCTGTAACTGATTTCAAAACCTTCAAATTCCTCAAGAGAATTCGGTTATACACATACAAGACGACAAGAGGCCCCGACTCCTGTGTAAAATCGCTATTTCGCATTTTGAATTTGTACACTGGAGACTGAGGGAAAATACAGGTACGAATCTGGAGCAGTCCCGTCATACATTTTCCCACGCATGAAACACGGGGCTTTTAGCCTACGCACATTATTCCCTTGTGTATGACCTTGCTTGCGTCCGTAGCCTGTACCATACTCATCTCCATATCTGCCGTTCCTGTAGTATATCCGCACCTGCCCTTTATTGGCGCCCGCATGCCCAGAACAATTTCTTCATTCCCACGTCCATTTCTGCTGACTGCCTATGTAGCACAAGATCTCGTATCTGCGGGCACAGAGAGTCCAGCGTCTAGACTTTCCATTACATTTTCACCTAAAATGCCCATAACAGCGTCAAACATGGTATTTGTACATTTGAAGTTCCGTCCCTGCGGAATAAACACAGTCTCTCATGGCCCGTCTGCTTTCAGCACCTGGGTCCACAAACATGAAGTGGCATATTACATGGAGTTCTCTGATTACTAGCTGCCTGGCCGTTGCCGGCGCGTCTATGACGAACACGCCATACAGACGGTTCAGTCTCTTTGATTATGAGAAAAAGCATCTGACAGTCCAAGTAGTGGAGAGGCTCTCAGCAGAATCCAATGCGAATCTTCCGCCGCTTACCCACTCACGAGGTTTCGGAACAGGAAGCAAGAAGCGCGAGACCAGCGGAAAGAAATGCAAGACCTACCCTGACGATCAAGACTGGCCAGCACAAGCCGCATGGGATCGATTCAGCATGCAGCTCGGCGGCGGTGGCGCGCTTATCAAAACAGTACCGGAGGCTGCTGTTTGCTATACGGAGAATGGGACTGTCGTATCATATTCTTCGGCTTGCCAAACGTTGACAGATGGATGGGGGAACTCTACGCTTCGGTATGTGAAGGGTCGCCTTCTTGGTACGGAATTCGCGACTGGAGTTGACAGCAATCACATAACAGCATTGAAAACCCGACTTCTATCCGCTCCATACTCTTCCAAGGGATGACGTGCATGCCGCCCAGTCTTCACGGATCATTTTTGAACGTGTCCAAAGGTCCTTCTTGCACTGTGGGCGGATACCCAGCCTACGTAGTCAACGTGTCCAGTGTTGCGCAGATTCAGCGGGCTGTCAACTTTGCACGCGAAAACAACCTGCGCCTTGTTATCAAGAATACTGGGCACGATTTTGGAGCGAAATCTGTAGGGGGCGGGGCGCTCAGTATATGGACGCATTACCTCAAGGACATGAAGTTTTATGCCAATTACTCAACGCCGTCATACCGGGGTCCTGCTGTCAAGCTAGGAGCGGGCGTCCAGGTCGGGGAGGCTTACCAATTTGCAAAACAAAATGACATCACCTTAGTTGGGGGTGAAGGAAAGGTACGGACATGGCGACATGGCTAAAAACGGAGTGCTGATGAACAAATATTCTAGACCGTAGGACACATTGGAGGATATATACAAGGTGGGGGCCACTCACCTCTGACTTCCGTTCTCGGAATGGGAGCAGACCATATTCTCTCCATGGAGATTGTCACCGCAGATGGAAAATTCATCACCGCGGATGCCGAAACCAACCCTGACCTCTTCTGGGCTGTTTCCGGTGGCGGAGGATCCACCTACGGTGTTGTCACGTCCATGGTTGTAAAGGCCTACCCTCGGATGAGGGTGACGACCATGCGATACAACATGACGACGGACGCAAACTTCACGCATGACAAATTCTGGGCCGCCCAGAGGGCCTATGTGGATGACTTCGAAAAGTATGCGGACCTGGGATACTACTCGTACTACCGGATTCGCCACGTTGGAGACGAAATCTTCCACGACGCAACGAGCTGGGTGGCGCCGAACACGAGCGAAGCCGAATTCCGCTCGAGCGTCGAGCCCATGTTCAAGAAGTGGGAAGAGATTGGCGTGCCGTTCACGCCGATTATCAAGGAATACGACAACTTCGCCGATGCGTGGGCTGAAGGCTTTCCCCAGGAAGTCTGGACGGTGACAATGCGACAGGCCAGCCGTTTCTTCCCAAGGGAGAACATTGCGAATCAAAAGAAACGGGCTGAAGTCATGGACGCACTCCGTGGCGTGTTTGATGACGGTGCCAACATGATCATGTTTAACATGAGAAATCCGCCCGGCTCATCCAGCATCGACAATGCCGTCAATCCAGCTTGGAGGGATGTGCTCATGTTCGCAATTATGTTCGTAACTTGGAACGTCACCGACTCTCCCGAATACGTCACGGCTAAGAGCAGGAACTTAACCTTTGAGTGGAACCCACGGTGGAAAGCTCTGACACCTGGCGGAGGGACTTACATGAGCGAGAGCGATTATATCGAGCCAAACTGGCAGCAGAGCTTCCATGGATCCAAGTACGAGAGACTGTACGAAATCAAGCAAAAGTGGGACCCACTTGGGGTCTTGTACGCACAGAATGCGGTGGGAAGTGAGGACTGGGAGATGAGCGAGCTTTTGCTGGGTCACTTGCCTAGCCAAAATAGCAAGCTATGTCGAAAATATTGAAGGATGCGAAATCGGAAATTGGCCTATGGGAATGATCGCAAACATGGTCAATATGCAACTTCGATCTCCGTCGGGCCTTAGACCAGCGAACCATGCGGCCGGTAGACCACTCATCAATACGTAGTAGTGAAGGACTCATTGCCGAATTCCATGATTGCTGTGCTCCGCTCCCATGGACCACTCGTCCTCTTGTATCGCTCCGGGATCAGATTGCAATCAATTTATCCGGCAGCTTTTCCTATTGCCCTGTAGCTCAATCTAGATATAACAACATCGGTAGTCGTCATGGACTACAGCTCGGCAAATGCCGCAGCAGAACATCTGAAGGGCCATTCGTTGGGCATATATCCTGTGAAAGGTCGAGACATCCATGCCGTTTAGTTGAAATTCGCTCCGCAACAAGACAGCCATGCTTTCGCACATTGCAATTGTGACAGCCTTGGCTTCAATTTCGATTGCGGCGACCCTTTCACAAGCCAATGCCACATATGAGTACATAGTCGTCGGTTCCGGTCCCGGAGGCGGGCCACTGGCCGCCAACCTCGCCCGCGCAGGCCATACGGTACTGCTCCTCGAAGCCGGCGACGACCAGGGGTCCAACCCGAACATATCTCAAATCCTAAACTTCAACCGAGCCGGAAACGATCCGTCAACGCGTTGGGACTTCTTCGTGAAGCACTCGGACGACCAGGACCGCGAGGCCAAGTACGAACACCTGGTGTGGAAAAAGGAAGATGAAGGGTTCTACGTGGGTACGAATCCGCCGGGGAATGCCCAGCAGCTGGGCATCTATTATCCAAGAGCTGGGACGTTGGGTGGTTGTGCGATGCATAATGCGGGCGTGAGTGCGATGCCTCCGGCGGCGGATTGGGACCACATTGCAGATATGACGGGCGATGAAACGTGGAGAGCGGCCAATATGAGGAAGTATCTCACCAAGATTGAGAACGCTGTGTATACGCCCAATGACAGGAACCACGGGCACTCGGGATATCTCACCTTGACTCAATCCGGGGTGAACGTGGCCAACTCCTCGGATGGACGGACTTTGATTGAGGCCATGGCTCAGGCGCTCGGCTTGGGCAATGTCGCCATCGAAGATCTGCTGAAAAGAGACATGAACGCAGACGATGCACAGAGAGACGAAAGTACGGGCATTTTCGGACAACTGAGGCACGCCGATGCGCAGGGAAGAAGGGTGGGCACCAACACTTACATTCGGGCGACTCTGAAAGATCCACAAGCATTTCCACTTACCGTTCAGTTGAACTCGCTGGTCACCAAGGTCCTCTTCACGGCTTCAAACTCCAGTTCGCCAACGGCCGTTGGCGTGGAATATCTCTACGGCAAGAGCCTGTACAGCGCCGACCCGCGCTACAATGCGAGCGCCGAGGGCGAAGTGCGGCAGGTCTTTGCGTCCCGCGAAGTCATCATCGCCGGAGGCGTTTTCAATACGCCGCAGATTATGAAATTGAGTGGGATTGGTCCAGCTGCTGAACTCGAGAAGCACAACATACCCGTCATTGTCGACTTACCTGGGGTGGGAGCACGCATGGCAGACAATTACGAGACGAGCCTCATCAGCCTGGCATCCCGGGACCTGATCAATACGAGTGGCACACATGCTGTTATGCTCAAGTCTAGCGTAGCGGCGGGCAGGGAGCGAGACCTGTACCTATTTTGCGGGGCCTTCTCCTTCGAAGGATACTGGCCTGGATTCCCCACAGACTATGGCAAAAGCCAGTACGAATGCGCCGTCGTGTACATTCCGAGCCGGAATGCAGGTTCAGTGCTCCTGCGCTCTTCGAACCCGCGCGATACACCAGAGATCAACTTCCGCTTCTACGAAAATGGGGGCGACCAAGATTTGACCGCGATGTTGGAGGGCGTCAAGTGGGCGCGTGCGGTTTTCCAAAACGTTTCCAGTAGTCTCGGGCCCTGGAAAGAGGTCCATCCATGCAAGCATCCAAGGACGGATTGTTCGGAGGAAGAACAGAAGGACTGGATCCGCCTGCAGACCTACTCCCATCATGCTACATCCACATGTCAGATAGGCGCGGACGGGGACAAGATGGCTGTACTCGACAGTAAATTCAGGGTAAGGGGGGTAAAACGACTGAGGGTGGTGGATGCCAGTGCATTCCCAAGGGTGCCCGGCGCATTTCCTGTGTTACCGACATTCGTCTTGAGCGAAAAGGCGACGGAAAGTATTCTAGAGGATGTCCGCAAGGGACGAGAATAACAGGCCATGGCCGAGCTGGGATTCTCTGTTTGCAACCTCGAACCGCTTAGAGATTTCAATTTCCATGTTTGAAACCGTGACATACTCTCTTAGACACAGGTCAACATGCACATCTATAAACCACAGGCAGACCCGCTGCCTCCTTTGTTCGCCCCACTGTCTTAGTCGCCATCACGACACCTCTAAAATCAATCCTCGCATCCCTAACACCGTTCCATCGACGCATAAGCATACTGTCTGTGTATCTAACGGCATCGACACCCCCAAAGGGGTGAGTACCATATGAATTAGGAGGCGGGGAGAACTCCTCAGATACGACAATAATAGGTACGATTCAATCATCATTCCGCACCGCTCTTTCCAATTTCGATGGGATTGGATTCTACTGTAGAATTCTAGGATCGTGTACAAAGAATGCGCACCCCCAAGACCGCATCCACTGCTCGTCAGGTCTAACTGATTAGCTTAAACACAAGGGTCTGGGGCCTTGCGTGACTTCCGCGATCCTCGTACCTCAACCTCAAACTCGACTCTTTTCCATAGATAGAGCTGAAGCTGAACTCCACTTGACTGTTGTGATTCACAATCCTGGAGATGAAGAGCAAAAGAAGTGGAAACTGGGTTCCGCTCTTCAGATGGGAAACCGCATCTCCAGCGTTCCGGTAAAGCTCAGGAGCCAACCCACCACCCAAACAGTTCCAGCTCTTTTTTTTGCAGAGGGCAATGCTTCACCATCGTCTAGAACTGCCAAGCGCACGCAACCCCCTTGCTTTTAAGCGGTACCCATCAGGCGCCCCAACAATCCAAGAACAAGACTGGATTCTTGAAGAGCGCTGCCATCCATCCGTTGGGAACGTCTACTGCAGAGACTCTTGATGAGTACCGTTTTCATCGTCCATTGCGAGTTGGTGACCGCGACTCTGAGGACTTTCGCCCACAAGCAGTCTCCTCTTTCTTTGTCCCTGTTGAAATACACGCTTCTAATGGCCAACGGACAACTATCGTACTCGCCTTATAACTGAATAGTTATCAAGAAGGCGCCTCCTGCGTGTCTTACGCACTACTCGTTGTGTGCATCAGGATAACGGTGCAGAAATTTAACGTTATCACACGGAGCCACGTAACGCAACCGGCCCTCTTGAATTACCACGTCTGGAAGCCTGGGCCGACAGGTGCTGCGTTGGGCTCATGGGCAGGATTGGCACTCGTATAATTGGGATGGGTCGAGCCAGGCGTAGGCGTCGAGGCACTACCAGACGCACCCGTTTCTTGGATGGCATTCAAGTGCAGATTCATGCCAGAATTCAGGTTGGGTTGCATGCCCAGATTGACACCAACCGGGCCATATGCCATGGTTTGCTCCTGCACCGGCCATCCCTCGCTCATCTTGAACCCGTCCCTTCCGTATCGGTCCCACTCGTCCGCGGGACCGAGCATACTGTTCAGATCCATGGGCCCAGTCGCGTAGTCGCGGGGGAATATAGGTGCAGCGAAATTCGGGGCAGGGGTCCAGAAGAGGTTGTCAGTGTGCTGTGTGGGGGATGCGGGACCGAGCGACGGGGCAGTAAGGTTGGGAGCAATTGGGACGAGACGCGAACTTGGATGACCTGTTTGTTGTTGTGGGCTGGTGAACGACTCTGCAGTTGGGAGTGACGAAGGTACGCCCGATTGCCCGGCGTAAGGATTCCCGTTTGCGAACATGGACAGCGATCCACGCCTTGCCATGGGATTTTGTGACGGAACCTCGACATATCCATTGGAGGAGACTTCTTCAGAGCGAGGAGTAGGCCTGACGTGGAAGAGGCTCTGAATAGGCGGGGAATCGACGGGAACATCCTCTTTTGGAACCAGTTTGCTGAGCTTCAATGCCTCTGGCCACGGTAGATTCCAGGTTTTCGCCAGGCTGTGGACGATCTTGAACGACCGAGCACCAAAGTAATGGCAAACGGAAAGATCTTCAAGCGCCCGAAGGCTGTCCACGAGATTGTTGGCGTTTGTATGATTCTGGGAATAGAGCAAATGCACGATGCTGATGGATAAGAGAATGTGAGTGAAGACGAGTTGGCAGGCTCTCATGTCATAGTGTTGACGATAGGCTCGAAGCAACTCCGAGACCTTGTTGGCCATTTCGATGCACATGTCCCTTGGACGGATGTCGGAGCCAACGAGGTCGACCTTGAGCATGGGTCGGAAGAGGTGGAGAATGACTGTGTAATACAGCATACTGGTTATGATTAGGGAGAAGCACAGAACAGGATAGGGCCGAGTACATACTGAAGTACAATTACATGGGCGAGCGGCCGGGCGTCGGGGCGATCGGGGAGACGAAGCGGCGCAGGCAATTCCTTGTACCATTTCTGGTATCTCTCGTACATATTAAGAAGTCGGCGGCTCGTGATGCGTTCCTTTGGAGCGTAGAACATGAAGTTGTTATCGCTGACCAGTTCAGCGAAAGTGGCAAACTCTTGGAGGAACAAGCGGCTGGTTACGTGCGGAGGTGCGATGCTATAGCCGGATTGTGCGCTATAAGTGGCCTCCTCCATGATGGGCTTGTCGACAGTTATGGCCGCTTTGGGTAATTGGGCAACTCTGCCTATGCACAGAGTCCACACTCTGGGCGGAGGGAAGTCAGCAGTCAGGAAAAGACGTTGGCGGGAAGCTACATACGTGTCCACAATGAAGCAGCCCCAGAAAGTGACCTTGCGCACCTCGATCTCCGAAGGTGTGAGTCCAAGGGACGGGGAGGAAGTGGTGTTGAGATGCATGCCGAGTTCGACGCACATGCGCATGCAACGGCCAATGTACATGAAGCCCGAGCTGTCGCGGCCTGCAGACGGCTCCCGCATTGCCATGACGCAGAGGGCCTGCGCCGTGGTGAGTGAGGGTGATTCATCTTCGTAGAGCAGTCTCCTGGCCTCGGCGAAGAAGTGATCGCCTGCCGTGCGTGGATTGGATGGCTCGGTACGCGCGCGAGGGTCATCGGAAAAGTGACAACCATAAGCCAGCAGAGCATTGACAAGCAAGGGGCTGCAATACTTCTGGCGGCCGCTTCGGAAGTCCTTGTAGAAGCACTCGCGCGAAAAGATGACGTAGAAGGCATGAGACCACTGGAAGTAGAGATCCAGGAGGTGTTCGACGAAGAGCACATCCTGGGTCACGCTCGTCCACGTGCCGTTTTTGTAGTCGCAGGGCGCGGGAGGACGGCGCGAGATGGTGTAATTCTCGTCCTCCTGCACCAGACCCAGGCTCGAGGTGTGTCCAAAGTGACGAGACTCGCCCGTCTGGGTGAGGGACGGCTTCCCCAGAAGCAACGATAGGTCTCCCTCGAGCGACTCACGGTCCGAGGCCGGGATGAAGGGCAGGGTAACCGTCTTCTTCCACGTGTCGGCGAGGGAGGCGACGTCCAGGCGGGGGTCCTTGCGGATATGATGAATCAGCTCGCTGGCTTCAGACTCGGGCAGGCTGCGGATGGCCTTGATGAGGAAGTCGGCAGGACCGGAGCCATCGCCGTTTGCGCTCGCGCTCGCGGTCGCGGTCGCACTAGCGGCGTCGCGCTTGAGGGTCGAGGTGCTGCGGCGGGCAGCATCGAGGTCGCCGCGCTGCTCCCAAGAGTAGTAGCACTCGGTTTTGTATACGGCGGTGCAAGTTGCGCAGACTGGGGTGCCGCCGTCGCACTTCGACTTTCGCTTGCGGCAAGGCACGCAGGCCGACGACACGCAGCGACGCTTGTTGGCGCGGACTTGAGAGATGGAGGGGGTTGAGGACGTCGAGGCCGTTGAGGGCTGAGGGTCGGGCGGCGCCGACGAGCTGCTGTCGTCGGCGGAGGTGGTGTTTGTGGTGGCGGCACCGAGGACCGTCATCGATGGGAAAGTGGCGGAGAGGCCTGGAGTCGAAGCTGCCCAGCTGCTCTCATGCTCTCGCGGTCTGCTGGTGGTCTCTGGCACCTTTGGCAGGTGTGATGTTATCAAAGTCGAAAGTACGAGGGCGTCTTCACCGCAACGGGCGGCGCATCACGGACACAGAGACAGGGACAACGGCGGATGGGGGTCTTGCGGATGGGGGTTTCGCCGGTCGCCGGACGCTGGTTTGGTGTACCGAGTACCAGGTGTGAATATTGCAGAAAAGGTTTCTCTATTCCGTGTGCGTGTGCGTAGTGCGTGAGCGTGAGGTGGCGTTGGGTTGTTAGGAGTGACAAGAATGAAGAATGATGGGGCCCGAAGGGAGATCCATCCGTGGATTTCTGGGGACCGTGACGACGTCACCGTGATCTTTTCGGGCCCAGGTCCCGTCCCCCGTCCCCCGTCCCCTTGGAAGCAGGAAAAAGCTAAAGAAGCTGCTACGAGGCGCTTAAGCAAACAAGGGAAAATAAAACAAAATAAAATATTAAATGGCTCCAACGGAGTGCAAGTAGTACACGCTAGAGTACTGTGATGTATTTATTTAGGAGTGAGCAGCGTCACGTAATCCCATCCGGCACATTGAATGATATCGATTCGAAAGGATAAATCACAAACATGACGAAAGGCGACCAAAGGGCCCCGAGTTTCACGAATGGTAGTATGGAGGCTTTTGAAGAGAACCCGTCCCCATCTCTGCCAGCCCCAGCCTCCACATTGCCTTCTGCAACCATGTAGCACTGTGTCATGAGTACCTTGCGCTACTCAGCCAACCGAATCCTTCACCCCGAAACCATGGTTCCTGGGACAGCCCTGCCGTCCTGCATGCCCTCACCGTCCGTCTAATCCTCACCTACTGCTGCGGCCGCCCTTGGCCAACGGGCACCACCCCCTTCAGCGGTGGCAGCAGACTCCGTGCCGACTCGCGAGCCTTTTGTGCGAGCACAGCGTCCATGATGACCAGCGCCGCCATCGACTCGACAATGGGCACTGCCCGCGGCACCACACACGGGTCGTGTCGCCCCTTGGCCTCGAGCACCCCTTCCTCCTCATCGTACGTCGCCGTCTTCTGCGCCTGCCCAATCGTTGCCGGCGGCTTGAAGGCCACGGTGAAGTAGATGGGCGCCCCGTTCGAGATGCCGCCCTGGATCCCGCCAGAGTTGTTGGTCTTGGTCGTCAGCCGCGGTCGCGGCACCGTTGCGTGTGTCTGCCCCGCCGGAACCGCAGGCGCCTTGATGAAGGGGTCGTTGTGTACCGACCCAGGCACCTGGCAGCCCCCAAATCCCGACCCAAGCTCAAACCCCTTGGTCGCTGGGATGCTCAGCATGGCATGCGCCAGCTTGGCCTCCAGCTTGTCAAAGCATGGCTCGCCCAACCCGCTGGGGCAATTCCGTATCACGCAAGTCACCGTCCCGCCTATGCTGTCTTCACGCGCCTTATACTCCTGCACAAGCTTCTCCATGCGCTCACTGACTTCGGCATTGGGCGCCCGAACGGGCAGGAAGGAGTCCACGGTTGTGCGATCGATCGTCTCGATGAGTTTGAGGAATTCGGGGTTCGTCGCCGACGTGGGGTGCGTGGGTGTCGGAGGGAACAGGAACTCGTTGCCAATGGAGGCTGTGAAGGCAACAATCTCGACGCCAAAGGCTTCACGCAGGTACTTTTCGGCGATGGCGCCTGCAGCTACTCGTCCTGTCGACCCGTGAGCAACTGCAATTAGGGGTCGTTTCCATTCATGGTATGCGCTCACCTATCGTTTCCCGTGCACTGCTCCGTCCGCCTCCGGAGCTTGCCTTGACTCCGTATTTCTCTAGGTATGTCCAGTCGGCGTGGCTGGGCCGGGGATACAAGTCCATTGTCTGGTTGCCGTAATCCTGCTTGCGCTGGTTCTCGTTCAAGACTCTGATGCCGATGGGTGTCCCCAGAGTGATACCGAATTCCGTGCCCGACTGTATCTCCACACGGTCCTTCTCATTGCGCGGCGTCGTAATAGCAGACTGGCCCGGTCGCCGGCGCGTCATCTGCGGCTGGATGTCGTCCTCGGTGAGGGCCATGCCGGGCGGCACCCCGTCAACAATGCAGCCCACCGACAGGCAGTGGGACTCGCCATAGCTACAGTGGTTGCGTTAAAGGATGAAAAAAAAAATCGAGAATACCGGCAGAGGACATACGTGGTGACCCTGAAGTGCGAGCCAAAAGTGGACATGATTGCAAAGCGATGTGGTTGTTGTGGGTCAAGAGTCAACCGTCATCCCACCAGAAGATTATTTGACGTTGGCGGCCCGCTTATCGACAAGGCTCTTGCTACCGCCATCGTCATATTAAGTACGAATGCCCCGGGGCCGACTTCGGCGGCCTTTCACGTGAAAGTTTAGGAAGCCCACCTGATACTGTAGCAGGTCGTGAAATCGGCTTGCGGCTGGATAAGGGTCCCTCGATCCGCCAATAATCTGCTGGACAAACCAGTGTGATTTGAAAGGTCAAATCACGTGATCGTCACATGAGGTTGAGAGTTTCAAAGTATCATCCATGTACGGCTGTTTCCCCCTTCCGCCTGATGAATTCCCCAACTCACAAACTCGTTTCCGGCAAAATAAGGGCGGACATAGCGAAGGGTAAAGGAGGCGTGCTACTTAAGCTTGCCGGCTTCCACCAGCGTCCGTGCCGTGCCTGCTCGTTCCTCGTAAAGCCTTCGCAAGTCGTCCACAGACGCCTTTTTCAGATCCAGCTTACGGGTAGCGTTGGCCGGCGCGGTAAGGCGCGGTGCATTGGACGTCTCAAAAGATGGCATCCTACGCAACAGCGCCGCGGATGGAGCCCGGGGCTTCGTACCCGGAATAGGAAGCGAGGTGGATTTGGACGCCGGCCGCGATGCAGTTGGTTGGGGAGGATACACTGGGCGAGCAAGGGATGCAATATTGGGCTCCCTGGAAGTGGAAACGGACCAGCTGGGCCTCCGGAAGTCATTGGGGCTAGGCTGCTCCCCTGTCCCGAGTGTTACCGCAGTCTTAGGCCGTGCAGCGTTGGTTGTAGATGGGGCACCAAAAAAGGTGCCCTGCAATGGGCTGTCCCTGGGGGAGGCCGAGCAAGAAAGAGGTGATGCATGTTGCGCTTCCGCCGGTCCCGGGGGTGCCGCCACGGTCGCTAACATCTTGAGGTGTGCAATCTCCCCGGAAGCACTCCCAGCATTATCAATCTGCTCTGCTGTCAGGGCTTTTCTCTTGGGAACAACAAGAGGAGGGAGAGGGTTATGGGAATCGCCAACACTGCTCGTACCGGGTTTCTTCTGCTCCGGCGGCTCCCATTGCATCTTGCGGGAGGGAGAAAACCCATCGGCCACCGCAGTATATCCAATGGGGGATTGATCCACGTTAGTGCTAGGTTCTGAGATGATCGTGGAATACCGAGGGGGGACTTGGAGAGGAGGCGCAGGTTTCCGCCGCGTGGCCGCCTCGATGGAAGGGGCTCCAGATGGCGCGCGCAGCTGCAGACCGCCGGAACGTGGTGGTAGCGGGGGTGGTTGTTGTGTCGTGTTGTCATTGTCCTCAAAAAGAATGCCAGTTGTCTGATCTTCGTCCCTTATGCCCGTGTCCGCCCGACTCTGGTTACTCTCGAGCGGATCTTCCCAGTCGCTTTCATCCTTCGGAAGGCGAAGATCAAGCGAGAACGCTTCTCCAGCAACTCCGCAGGATTCGCGTAGCCCATCAGACCAGAGCTCAATTGCTTGAGTTAGGATTCGCCGTACGATTGACGACATCTTCGCATCTTCAAGCTGATCTGGCCCACATAGCAACGCGGGCGCGAAGCAAACAGCAAGATTCTCGGCTGTCATCTTGTTTTGCTCCTGTCTCGCTGCCACCACGCTGAGTAGCGGAAGCAAATGCCTCACTAAAATTTCCCGAGAAATGGCAGGCAAGAATGACCATTCTGAAGTTGGAGCGAGAAGATCGGTCAGGCGTTCCAACGTGACAAACTCGTCAGGGTCACCATACAATCGCCTCAGGTCTCGATATGTCTGTGCTGGGAAGATAGGTTGCCGAAGATGGGAATACCACGATTTGATCAGGCCAGCGGCCATGTACACACTATACGCGTCTTGAGGATCGATCTCGGCGATGATCTCATCCTGGTTGTGTGCCCTGGGATAGGGCGGCAGGTTCAAAGTCGCTCCGTTGTCTTTCCAAACGATGTACTTTTGGCCCCGGTCATACGCCTCCATCAAAATATCCTTCAACCTGGCATGGGGCGGTACCCTAAACAAGCCCTCCGATACGATATTCTCCTCGAGAAGGACAAAACTCGTCGTTTCGCGAAGGACCCGGGGAAGGCGTGTCTTCCCATTCTTGCTAACTGGGAAAGGTTGTCGAGCGGCGAAAGCACGACGACCGCTCGCATAGGGCGCGAATATGTCCGCTGATATGCGGCGGTCATGGAGGTAGGCTGCCGGTGGGATTAGAAGATCTTCGATCGGGATGTGAAGGGCAAGATTAGTTAACGTGGAGGCTAAAGGGCAAACGTCAGTGGTTGGCTCGAGAATGTTCATCCAGGGTCGCCTGGCATACCATGGACAATCTTTTTCCGAAATTTGGGGCTTGCTATAGTGGAGAATATCTCAGCGAGTATCCGGACCCATGCTTTCTCGTGCACGATATAAAGCTTCTGCAGCCTCTTCCGCATGGCTCGAGAGAGGACGTGATACGCCTGCAAGAACCAGCCCCAGCCGGGTCTGCTCTTCTTCGTTGTAGCCGACCCATCCGAATCGCCCGCGAAAAAGACGACCTCGTACTCGTCGCCTCGTAGCAAATCATCTTCGTCCGGCAGTCTGGCTAGCACATAGGGGAGCAGGGAGTCGAAATCCGCCTCGCGGGAGTCCGGGAGAGCCGCAGCATTCAAGATATAGATTGGCCTGTTTTCTTTGGAAGGTATAGGCGACCGATACAGTATGTTGGCCGCGGCACGAGCGAGCGTGGTGGAGTATTCGCTGCTGTCTGGGCGAGGTGGAACAGCGCTGAGGGACGAACTGCGGAGGCGGCTCGCCAGTTGCGAACGCATGCCACTCATGCCTATGCGGGTTCCGAGACTTATCGGAGCTGAAATCTCCAACCTCGTCCGAAAAAGACCGGCAGAGAAGGGGGCCGAGAGCTGTCAAGGAGAGATCGTGGTGTTGTTGGGGGGTAAACAGTGGACGTCATTGGAATTGGAATTGCTGAGGAGACAAGGGGCTGCTCGCAAATTCCTCGGAAGCAAGCCAAGAGTCACGTGTATAGTTACTAAGCTTTCAGGAGTATTCAATATGTACTGGAATGTATTTTGCGGGGAAGCAGTACACCCTGCTATGGGTCTAGCTAGATGGATCGGAACATGGGGTGTTGAAACCACCCCAGAGGTCGAACTTGGCCCCTCATTGATCAGTTCCAGAACTTGAGTCTTCGGCAACCCCCAGATTCTGGAGGTCCGCGTCTACTCTAAAGGTAAGTGTGTGCTGGATGTTCTGGAACCGCTGTGCATTTCTACTGAACTCCTCGATCGAAGTTCCGGACTGTGACAACAAGCGGGACATGTCTTCTCGTGTCAAGTCAGGGGAGAATTCGCTCATGTCCACGCGTTCGAAGTAGGCTCGAAGCTGCTCCATTTCGACCATGAGCTGTGACACATTGGAACTCCGTGTCCGCTCTCCTCCTTCTCCCGGATCGGGCACTTGGTAAGACAGGATACTGTCGGAGGGCGGGAGCGGGTCGGACACCGACGTGTACCTGGACTTGACACGCTGGTCGAGAAAACTCAGCAGTGTCCTATCATCCGAGAGAATGACATGGCGAGCTAGGTTGTCTTCGTTGAACTTGCCCTGCCAGTATGGGTTCTCGCCAGCATCGAGCGGCCTCTCAAATGAAGACACGACTTCCATCAAAAGGGATGTCGCCTCGGGTGTGTTCCATAGGTCTTTTGCCTTGGGCACATACAGTTGACAGAGCAGTTCCTGAAAGGTGTCGTTCGGCTCTTTACCCCAGACTGACTTAGGGATTGGTGTTATATCCAACTCCTTGATGAGACGGGCCGCGATCCAGGGATACTCTGATATCGCCAGCGCCAACGATGACCGGGATTTCTCTGGGCTTCCCAGGCGGTCGTAGGCAAGGGCAACAGAAAAGGCAAGATTGGGTGGTATCTTCCATTCCCTCTGCAAATGATCCGACGTTGCCAAGTTGACTAGAGCTTCGGGCTCCCTGCCACGCAAAGCTAATTGATCAATCACCAACCGAACACAATAAGGGTCCTCTTCAGGCGCCAAACTCAACAAAAGTTTGGCCCATTCGAAGGCAGTCCGCCATGTTGCGCGGATTCCCAGTATGGTAATATATCGCCATCCGGCCAGCCAGAATTCGCGATTCTCAGGACGGCGGAAGTCTAGCCGCGCCTTTCCCTGCGAGAGATTATTGGAGAATGTGGAGTGAACTGCACGACCAAAAGAGAATAGTGCACGTTCAATAAGATCTCCCGCAGAGGCATTGTCCCGCTGCTGCTTAGCTATCTCAGACACCTGCAGGAGCGTGGAGATATGGTACGCTACGGCATGTCAGAGTGAGAGGTCCTATACATCGACGAGACAACCTACGATTAAAATGCAACAGCTGCAACATACGCGCAGGATCCATAGAAGCCACGCAAGTCTCGAACTGCCTCTGCACGTCTTGGTAGGACCGGCTGTGGACGAAGCGATATTCTACTGTGCCGTCGCGCCGCTTTTCAACGAGCTCCATGCTTAAGCCAGAAGGGGCGGCGCGTGGCCATTCGTCTTTTCCTTGGATGAATATATTCTTGCGCAGGCCCAGCGACGGGTGGCGACCTCCTTGGACGGGACCCTGATGACCGCGGCCACGTTGTCTGCGCCTCGCTGCAGGCGGCAGGTCCTCAGGCACACTCTGTTGAGCAGCACGGCCGAATAACTTCCGCATTTCATTTGCAGCATGCAAGTGCTGTGTGTTAATGGCCAATGCAGAATACAGGTGCCGCAGCTCCTCCTGCTCACACGAGGTATACTCCTCAGCATCCTGGCGATCCGGGGTGTTGCATTGGGTACTCATATTCAAAGCCAGCAGAGCACGGTCGATCTCGTCCATCTTCACTTGTTTTTGAGCCAGAGACGACGCCGTTTGGGCATCACGGGTAGTGGGCTCAGTTTTGGACTTTCTTTTCTTCTTTTTCTTGCTCTTTTTGGACTTGGGACCTCGAGTCTCATCGATCACCGCAGCCTCTTCTGGTCGGACGGCCATGCTGGAATCATCTTGGCCGCCCTCCGTCTCGTCTTCCCCATCCTGATCGGTGTCATCTACATCTTGGAGCACAGCAAAGAGACTCGTCTTCGTCCTAGCGACCGGATGGTCCTGCTCGTCCGTGTCATCCTCGTCTTCGCCTGCAGGAGGACCCATGTTTTCCAGCCGCTGGCGCTCCTCGAGTTCCTTCTGTGCACGCCGTAGCGCACGAGTTGACATGCTATCGCAGTGGCTAGGGGCTGTTGTAGAGTCGAATGCGTTTGTTTGTCTGGCGCGGGAGACCAGTTTGGCCTTCTTCACCCACAGAGAATGTGCTGCCAAACAGGGTGTTTTGGATTGATGTCTCGCTAAAATCAATGCCAACCAGAGAGTTTCCAGTTGGGGTCCTTTTGGAATCTTGTGTGCAGAACAGCTATGGTATGGCGTTAGGCTGGTCAGAGGCTGAGATTAGGTGCAGTGTTGAGTGAGCGTTTCGCCATAAGAATCGAACAGTGAAGCAGGTCGCATAGATGATGTAATCTCGCGCACGGACGCTCGAATCCTTCAACCTCTCCCTTCACCCACACGTGCAACAAGTCTCTGCAACACCCTTCGGTCTTGATCTTCACTCTCGCTCTACCAACCCGTCACCGCCGGCTGTGACGTCTCAATAACTTCTCCCCACGCTCCTTCAAATGCGTCGGGTGGTGGTGCCAGCCGTTCGCGCTACCCGTCGTCCGTGCCTGCGCAGACTCGCCCGCAGTCGAATCCCCAACATCGTACCCGTCAGCCATGGCCTAGGCTCTCGTCTGCTCTCGACGCGAGTGCGCGTGCCCTCCCCGATCCTGACCTCTTCCATGCAGTTGCGCGCCTATACCGGCGCCTTGGTTGCCGCGGCCGTCGCATCAGGCGCCTTCTACGCCGTCTGGGGGACAACGCCCGCTGCCAGTCCGACCTCAGCCGTGCAAAACGCCCGCACCTACAATACGCTCTCGGACAAGGCGGATCCGACGCGTCGAGCTCTTGTCGTGGATCACGGCTCTCTGTACACCGGCACCATTGTTGGAGACGCCCCGCTGGCCAAGGAGACGGACGACTACGGTAGAAAGGTGCTGGAGATGCTGACTCCGGAGCAAGCGACTCAGAAGCTGAGGAAGAACGAAGAATCCTGGCTCGTGGGAAGAGGCAATGGCGTCGTTCGCTATGATGTCGTTCAGATACCCAGCAATGATCCCATCGAGGATGACCATGCCGAGAAAATCATTGAGGTTCCGGCCAACCTGACTGCTACCGACAAAGAGGCAACTCCCAGTGACTGGATGTTCTGGGGTGTCTTTGACGGCCACAGGTGGGTCCGCACGTATGTCCACTGAGACTTCATCTCTTGCTAACGCCAGCAGCGGTTGGGTTACATCCGCGAAGCTGCGCCAGGCACTTATTTCTTTTGTTGTTCGTGAACTTAATTCAACCTACAAAACCGCCCTGGAGGATCCATCTACCCGCTTTCCTTCTCCTGATTCCATCGATAAGGCTATCAAGACCGGGTTTCTGCGTCTGGATCATGAGATAGTCCACGAATCGGTAGCCAAAGTGAAGAAAGCCCAGTCAAAACTCGCAGCAGCAGAGCTCCTCGCGCCTGCCCTCTCCGGATCATGTGCTCTCCTTTCATTCTACGACAGCAGATCGAAGTTACTCAGAGTAGCTTGCACGGGGGATTCGCGTGCAGTGCTGGGACGCCGCGGGCCGAATGGGAAATGGATAGCCACCCCGCTTTCCACGGATCAGACCGGATCCACGCCGAGTGAGGCTGAACGTTTAATTAAAGAGCACCCTGGAGAGCCCAATGTTGTTCGGAACGGTCGCATTCTCGGAGGATTGGAGCCGAGTCGCGCATTTGGTGACGCATATTACAAGTGGACAGCCCAGACAAATGAGGAGTTGAAGAGATCATACTTCTCGCGGAGTGCATCGTCACTCCTCAAGACCCCGCCTTATGTCACTGCAGAGCCGGTCATAACCACCACCAAAGTTGAGCCTGAAAAGGGAGATTTTGTCGTCATGGCTACTGACGGGCTCTGGGAAATGCTAACGAATGAGGAGGTCGTGGGACTCGTTGGTCAATGGTTGGACGTCCAAGCAAGCTCCAATGCGCAAAGTTCTCAACGGCAGTCGTGGCTTCAGGGATGGTTCTCCTCGTCCAAGTCTTTACCTGTGGAAAAAGTGGCCGATTCTGATGGGATCGGACAGCGTGCGCCCATCCGTCAGCGGCAATGGGGCATCAATTCCCCGCTCGACGAGCGCTTCGTGGTGGAGGATAAGAATGCTGCTACCCACCTTGTCAGAAACGCATTGGGCGGAAAGGACCAGGACCAGGTCGCAGCACTTTTGACCCTGCCGAGCCCATTCTCGCGGCGTTATAGGTCAGTCACTGATACGTCTACCAATTGCGAAACTCCACACTAACAGCTAAAAAGGGATGATCTCACCGTTGAGGTGATTTTCTTCGGAGAGGGCCCTGACAACGGTAACGTTACCCTGAACAAGGAGGCCAGTGCTCCCGATCCTGAAGTCAAAGCAAAACTTTGAGTCGCCAGATGAATGATACCCCCGTACTCTTTGTATTACAGCGACTCGACATTAGCTAGGGCGTTTCATGGAGGGCTATCCGGGTTCAGGTTTACGGCGTTCCAAGGAAACAAGATTTCTTAAAAGCGTGTAGAGCGACTCCCTGTAGCCTCGATCGACGTTCCTTTTCCCTTTCGCAGGCTTAGAGCCATATATATTGCAGCATCGCAAAGATAGCGATTTATCACTGGCGCATTAACACAACTTGGAAGCTCAGTTCACACTGAACGCGACCCGCCTATCAAGCAGTCATCCTCATACCGTGGCTCCTGTAATCTGCAAGCTATATGACAATCCCCTGTTGAGGTCCGATGGGATTGAAAATGGATCATACATAACGAGGGGGGGAGTGTTCGCGATAACAACGGCCGCCTCCTCGCCAGTCGCCAGGGTCACGGTCGTGCTGGTGCCCACCACATCCATATACCTGACCGCTCCCGTGGATGCCTTGATTGCCAGCGTCGCCGTATACGAACCGCTCGCCGTCACGCCAACCGTGATCGTGGAGCTTGATAGCTTCAACGGGATGATGTTTGCCCCCATGTACCGTGGTGCTCTGGCGCTCTTCACTGCGTACTTACCGTTGCCATTGGAGTCCAGGTTTCCATAGTTCAGAGTCCTTCGCTGCGAATTGAACAGAGCCTGTGCCCTGGAGTGACCGATATCCACAAACGCCATGCGTGCCCAGTAACGACCAACAACTTTCTGGACCGAGACTCCAGACCTGCCTAACAGTCTTTCAAGAGAGTGCAGCGGCGTCTCATTGCTGTTGACTTTGTACTTGCGGATCATATCGAGCAGCACCGTCTTTCCCAATCCCGTATATCCATCCGGGTTGTTGGTTATGTATGCCAGAAAAGGCCACGATTGGTAGTAATTTCCGGAGCCTGAAGTGCCATCGACGAGGACCTGGTAACTGTCGCCAATAACTTTCTTCAGATCGATGAGGCTGTCGCCGGTACTGCCGAGGCCTTGAGCCGCTTTCGCTTTCTCGCAGGTTGAAGTCGCGATGTAGGTGTCCGCTATGAAGTTTGCGATCGGTTCCCACCAAGCACCAGTTCTGCGTCGCAATATGAGCGATGACTGAGCACGCAACGTGAAGGGATGGATGCTGCTATCACCGTTAGAGGTTGACCTACCTTGTCTGATCGATCCAGTTCTTCTCCGAGTAATGCATGGCATGACCGAATTCGTGCACAATCACACCCGGCGTCGTCATGTATTGCCCTACTATCTTGAGATACGCCAGTCCAGCGTTTGCATCTGTCCACGTCTGCGCAGCCGCTCCAGGCATCGCGCTGGCATCGACCTTGTACAGGTTGGTCTTATACCACGGCCCGTTATTCGCTGTATTCTTGTACGAAAGCCCCGGCGTCCGCCAACCCAATTCCTCGACAAAGCATTGATGTGTCGCTTCCATGATTCTAAGGGTCGTATCGGCTGTCGCCGAATCGACTCCGTAAACTCGGAAGTGCGCGCTGTCTTTGTAGGATCCACTGCCGCCACCTATGGATGGGTTCGCGGTGTATTGGGCCGGTGGAGCAGACAGCGCTGGAAGTGCAGCTGCGAATGCCGCATTATACGCCAAAGCGAAAAGAAAAACGACCTTCGGAAGCATGGTGGATTTCTTTCTCAAAATCATGTGGATGATGCGTACGCCTGCGTCGGGATATAAAGCACCTTGTGGACTGGTCCATCGGCACCGTTTTCCCCTGATTTCATTTCGCCGGTTCTCAAGCAATCATGGACTCCAGCTGCTCTGCGATTCGGTTGGGGGAAAGAAGCTGAAATGAATAACAACTTATTTAGATATCCATTTGGGGTTATTCTGGTAATGGCGGCAAAAAGGATCTGCCCCCTGACCCCTGGTGTCTCGGAGGGTGCGTCCAACATGATGTTAAATAACAAGACTCAGAAACGACGTTGAAGATCAACGGACATCTGAAAAATAGGAGGCATGGTGTTTGCTCAGAATAGTATGGTATTCATAAAGGCTTGCACCCTGGATAATATAATCAAGGGTTTGTAACTATATCGACCTGCATTCTATCAAAGAGTCTATACACCCAAAGAAACCGATCGAGCCAGCAGATGTCGTATTCACGGTTCGTTGCAATAGCCATCTAGGAAATTGACGGTCAAGGTGTTCAACTTCGCCTTGAGCAGCTTGTCTCTGCCCTCACTCAACAACTTCCCAAGATCCTGTCTGCAGTCCAGATACAACCCCCGCAGCTCCTTGCCCCTTCCGCTGGCGAGAAACGCGCAGGTCTGCCCGCACAAGCTGGGCTGGTCCTTGAACAACTGCATGAAGAATTCCTCGTCCCTCACATCCCCGTATTTTTCGATAACGTCTTTGGCAGCACCGGAACCACCGATAGCCGATAAAACGCCACCTGGATGCAGAGCATACATGTGAATTCCGGGGTCAAGGTTGTCGAGCTCCATTTCCCGCTGTAGCGTATGTGTAGCTCGGATCAGAGCTGCTTTGGAAGTGACATAGCCCAGTGTAAGCGGTACATCGACGGTTCCACTTCGCGAGGCAATATTGATGATGCAACCAGAACCACGATCGCGGAAACGCGGTAGTATTGTGTGAGTGGTGAGCAATGGGCCTTTGAAGTTGACTTCGATCTGGCGCCAGAAAGCAGGAAACGTTGACATGAGCAAAGGCCTCTGGTCTATGATTCCAGCATTGTTGACGAGGATGCTGTGGGCGATTAGCTTGTATTCGAGATAGTAGAGTTCCACTCGATCTCAACGGGATACCAACGACAGACTTACTCGACAGGGCCAAGATCGTTTTCGATACTGGAGAATGTGGAAACCACAGCCTCGTCGTCTGTAACATCGCATGCATACTCTTTGACTCGCACTCCATGGGCTTCACATGCCTTTTTCGTCGTTTGCAACTTTTCAGTTGAGATATCGAGGATGGCGAGGCTGGCTCCTGACTTGGCCAATGACTCTGCAATAGCGGCCCCAATCCCTTGTCCCGCACCTGTGACTATTGCCACTTTGCCAGCATTCGCGTTGAGTAGCGTTTCCGGGGAAATGAGAGGGTAAGGTTCATGTTGCAGGGGAAGTGTTGAGATGCCGAACTCTGTTGGGTCCATGGTGAAGAAGTAGCAGTTTGCAGTGGATATGCTGACAGCTCCATGCACTTATGTACCAACCGCATTGTTCCTTCTGCATCGCACTCCAATGCCGGGATCCACGGGTGGCGGAGATGGGTTACCTAGGTAAGTGCAAATGCCCCACATTGGCGAATTTGCGGGGAAGGATGAGAGTACATTTGCATCAAGATCAAAAAGTGGAACTACAGTGACTCGTCTACTATTCTTTGCTCCGAATTTTGTCCCATAGTGTGAGTGAAGGAGCACCAGAAAACGGCCGAGATCGTGTGGTCTCGCCTCGGGTATGTTCCTTACCCTACCTCCCTACTTGGTAGGTAGGGTACAGTTGTGAAGGCAGCGAAAAAGCCAATCCACAGCATGTCTCAATAGCACCTACGTTTATTTTAACAGGTTCCTCGGGTAGCGGCTTTGAAATACCACAAATGGTTCCTTCCCTAGCATCTGTTAGGGACTGTGTCTCCTTAGGAGCCGTTGGTTGGAGCCGGTCACGTGCCGGTGAACCAACCGGAAATTGTGGGCTTTAGTGAATCCTTTAAAGAAAAGAGGACCGATAACTCTTTTCTTAGCAGGCGAATGTAAAAGGATGTGCCTGCATTCCTCTCAATTTATACGTACAAGAACGTAAGCTGTTCCTATGACTTTCAGCTCGCGCCTGATCTGTAGAGGAAAGTATTCAGAACAACCAGACAGGAAGGCGCCATGTTGACGGACAAGTATTTGAGAGACTACAACTAGACGTGCAAAGTTCGATGATTGCATCAAATAGCCGCAGCAAGATACCTAAGGCCGCGCACACCGTGGCGGTCATCTGAGACCGCAGATCGGTAAGTCAAAAGGGAATCGAATCTGGAAGGCGCGACGTGTCAGCTAAGGAATCAAAGATTGACGCGTCCGATTTCACGTTGTGCGGGGGATAGACTACCAGGAGCACTATGGATGGTTTAGCAGAGTCATCGACCGAAGCAGTGCCGAGATCTTATATACCGGTGAAAGGTGATAAACCTCCGGGATCGAGCCGCGTTACGTTGACCGCTAATTTTCACAGGCTTGTCTCATGTGAATGGTTACACTTATGAACCTTTTTGCCCCTGGTGAGAGTGTCATATGTCTTCCAACTATGATCATGATATCAGCCGCTGCACGCACCCCTCGGGCAGTATTTTACTTTTAGGCTCCCACGTTCCGTAGCAAGCTGACTACACTACACTTCTAACTCACATTCTTGCCAACCCATCAAATCTAACGACTACCTGTCGCGGAGTACAGCCTCATATCCCCAACCCCACCGGGTCAAGCCGTGCTATCATTTGCCTGCCATGCCAGAACGGGACAGAGAGACTGAAATGGAGCTCAAGGCGGCGTTGAAAGTTGCCATTAACGCTGTTCAGGAAATGCACGGCCGACTTGGATTGGACGGACTCTACCTGCAGTCAGCTAGCGAAATTGGTCAAGAAGCAGCTCAAGAATACAAGGACCGCGCAGAAGAAGTCTTCCGTATCCAGGAACTTTCCGACAGAACGAAACCATTTATGAGGATCGGCCGCCGCAGTTCTACCTTTGAACAGATACGCGAGTTCCATCGTTTTGCCTGCTACCGTCTCCAGTGCCCCGAAGCTTACTTTTCCATGGCCGACGTTACCCAGGATGCGGTCTGGTCCCTGTCCGACGTGGGTATCGGGGATGCGGTCGACATGCAGGACTTCGAGGATATGCGGACATACATGGGCGCAAGGATTGCTTGGATCGAGAGGCAACGACGTCTCGGGAGGGAGTGCTATCCCGAACACGGCCGGTACAGTTATCTACTCACTCGCCCGGCTTGCATTCGAGACGCTCTAGGCGAAGACAAGAAGTGGATAGTTGATTATGCCGCTGTTCTGCCACTTGAGCTCGAATTGCTCCTGTCTCTCACGTATCATCTGAAGAACCTCTTCGCAATTGCATCGCATCACTTTGGTAGGATGCCACTCAAGGAAGATCTGGACATGAAGAAGGTCACCACGCCTTGGACAAGGGAGGCTCTGGATTCAGGGCATCACGAATGCGAAATCTGTCGATTCAAGTTTGGTACGGAGTTCAGTGACGAGGAGTGCGTCGAACCAGCCATCAAGGCGGCATGCGGACATGTGCTGGGCGAAATGTGCACTCGGAACTGGGTCAAAGGTGGAAATAGGAATTGCCCTATCTGCACCCGTCCTCTCCTCGACCTTGAACGTGCTCTGCCGGCCAAGAAGGCTCCTCTTTATCGAAAAATCAGGCTTCTGGAGATTCGAAATGCGGAGCTGGATCCACGAGTCGACAACTTCTTTCTGGCCAAGCCGCAGGTGTGCAATGGTGTCGAGTTGCAGCGATTGCTGGAGGCCCAGAATAGCATAATCGCGGATTTCGGGAATGCGGAGGATGAGAAGTCCAAGATGCTTCCGATGATTTATGACGAGGCGGATTCACCTGATGGCATGATTCCCCTGTGGGAACCGGACTGGGAGTAGAAGGGCCTGAAGTGGTGGACCAGCGACGGCGAGAGAGGGTCGAGACAGCTAAATCATCACGGCTTTTCCATGGTGGAGGCTATGCAGCTATAATGTATGCTTCACACCACGGTTGGATACATCCCCCAACAGTGCTACAGAAACCCGTGTGTTATCTCACAGGCTACAATCTGACGGTTCTCTCCACCCTGGGCGTAATGTGCCCCCACGATATGTACTTGATGTCTGGATCAGGTAGATAATGTAGATTTTAATCTCTGATCCTTCAAACGCTCTCCGGCGGTGTGAGCCCAACACAATGACCCATTCTGCGGCACCGTACCCTACTAACATGGCGTCGTACCGGTCTTTACATCCCGTTATAACATCGTTGAGCACGATGTCAACAGCTAGAGATCAGCTCAATTCGACAGAACAGAATACTTATCGCCATAGTGGAAGGGCGCGAACATGATTTACTTCTTTCGATTCAAGATATCCGTTTAGGTACCAAAGGGACGGGTTCCCACCGAACAGATCACTTCAGGCGGACGCCCGCGCTAAACCGCACCTCTACTTGCGTATTCAATCCCCAGGTCTCCAACTTTCGAAGCCCAGATGACGCTGGAGCCATGCTGAACAGCCAGAAATGCGCATATTTACAAAGTAAGGACTGAGTGAGCATGAACAGGAGAGTTAGAGGTCACCTCCCGAACTCCAACTAATATAATACCATTCTACTTCCTGTACCACATCCGCGTGATCTTGGTATGCCTCATCTTCTTCTGCAGCTGGAAAATGCCGTACATGAGCGCTTCCGACGTGGGCGGGCAGCCAGGGACGTAGATGTCCACGGGCACGATCCTGTCGCATCCCCTCGTGACCGAATAGCTATAGTGATAGTATCCTCCACCATTGGCGCAGCTACCCATGGATATCACCCAGCGCGGGTCAGGCATCTGGTCGTAGACTTGTCGCAACGCCGGCGCCATCTTGTTGGTGAGTGTACCGGCGACAATCATTACATCGGACTGCCGAGGAGAGGCACGGAAAATGATACCGAGGCGATCCTGATCGTAGCGGGGGGTGGAAAGGTGCATCATCTCGACGGCGCAGCAGGCCAGACCGAAGGTCATGGGCCAGAGGGAGCTCTGACGTGCCCAGTTGGCGATTTGATCCAGCGTCGTCCTAGAGGGATTAGCAGCTGTCGCATATATGATTGGAGTTCTCCCAGCGAAATTGCCACTCTTTATTGCGCTCGGATGAGGACCACATACAGCGCATATTGCATCACACCTTGCTTCCCTTCCTGGCTGGGTAGCGGCACCTCTCGCCGTGTAACCTTCATCGGAGGTGGTGTTCCGGGCGCGCCTTCCACTGTCGCAGGCGTGCCGACATTCGGGGTGGCATTGTTCGACGACGTCGATGAAATGAAGGCTGCGCTTCCGGCGCGGAGGGGCATGAGGGCCGTGGAAGGTTTGGCTATGTCCGCTTTGTGAGCACTGACAGAAGGGTGGGATTTGAGAGCCAGCGCAACTCACCTCGCAGGGCCATTGAGGCTGCCGACCTTGTTGTCGACAACATGTTGGCGACGGAGACAAAGGAAAGCGGACCCCTGGGAGGGCTGGAGTGGAGAGAAGAGCGAAAATGAGAGGTGGCGATGGCAATGGGGAGGGGGAAGCGCTCGGCGACTGTGATGTCGTTGACAGAAGCTGAAGGTGCCAAGGCTGCCCTGGTTAGCGTCAGCGAGACAGCGAACTTCTGGTTGGCTGAGCGCCTTCTGCCCACGAACTCCATCCATCAGCATCACCAGTTTATTTGACCGCGTGAAAGCGTGACAACCCCGACAGCAAGGAGCTCTTTGAGATTTCTGTCATTTAGGACGCTTCTCTCATTCATTTGAGCTAAGCTAACGGGCTGCCGAGTCTATTGTCTGGACAATGACGGGCAGAGTGCCGTCGATTGCATGCATAGGGGTCATCGGGAAGCACGTAAGGACGCTTTCCGGACATTAACTTTCTGCAATTCGAGCTCACGTGTGTCCAGAACAATCCCCTTCACATTTCTCTGTTTCCGCCAGAAGAACGGGCACCCCTGGAATTTCAGTTCCTTCTCTCGTCATGCCTGGACATCTTCGAGGCACGGTTACCCCACAAGCCCGCGGACCAGGACTTTGGGCTCCTTCAAGCTGTCGATGAGCGCCTTGCCATGTACGGGTGGTTGACGAACACGGGCGTCAAGTTCGTCATCGTGGTAGACATGGAGGGGCGGCCAGCGACTGCGTTAGACAGCAAAGCGGCCATGGCTGTGGGCTTGAGAGACGCAGACTTGAAGCCAGTAAGCGATTCGACTACTTTGGATACTAAGATGATGGCATTGAAACAATCCCAGGCTTTCAGGGCGCTCCACACGGCATATATCATGCTATTACGGAACCCCTTCTACAGCCCCGATGAGCATTCCCCAGTGACTGCGAACGCGGAGCACAGAGTAGGCTCTACCCAGATCACCAGCCGCAAATTCATCCAGGAGGTCAAGAGAATTGCGGATACCTGGGCACCTGGAATCACAAACATCTGATGCCAAGTCTCCCTCCACAACATTCCGTCACTTTTGCATTTCCTGGCGTTTCTGGTCCCCCAGTCATATACCCACTCATCAATTCACCGAGTCTACAAGTACCCTTTTTGACACTTTTTTGAACCCCCAGGAGGTGTTGTGGCACTATGCTGTCCTTCCGTTGCAGCCCTATCACATATTGCTCAGGCCACTCGCCTAATGATATGCACCTCGGCCACTCAACCCTGGCACGGCCGCACGCCTCAACCTCCACCACCATGCTCAACCACACCCATCTTCCCACCAGGTTTTGCTTTCCATGCCTCCCAGAAATGCCACTGGTCTTACAATCACAAACCCACTGGTTCTATACCGCAGTCTCATTGCCACAAAGCGCATATCGCCAGACTCCAGCCAGCATCGCTTAGGTGAGTCTAGTGACGTCTTCCGGTACATTCAATGTATATACCAAGGTTGGGCTCTAAACGGTACAGCACTGCATCTTCAAAAATTATACGAGAACCTCATAGATTATGAGCCAAGTATAGACTACTCGCACCGTCTGCAGCAACTTAGCCATGCTATAGCTGCAGAAGCTCGTGATGTTTCGCCACCAAGATCCGAGCCGGTAGAGGCAAAACCTTCTCTGGGGACAAGAGGGGTCTGGAGATCCCTCCTTGCGCAGAAAGAGAAAAGGGATTCCCTGGCGCTTACGCGAGTCTTCACGAGCCATGAAGCCGCAATGAGCCTTCAGTCCCCCAAAGGGTTGATGCTACACGGCGAAGTGGGAACGGGCAAATCCATGCTGATAGACTTGTTCGCCGACTGTCTGCCCAACCGTAAGAAGAGGCGCTGGCACTTCAACACATTCATGCTGGACGCACTATCCCGTTTGGAGTTTCTCCGCAAGTCCAGGTCCGTTGACCGAGTGGATGGCGCGTTCGGACTCCAGGACGAATATTCCCTGCTCTGGTTGGCGAAGGATCTGATAGAAACGTCGCCCATCCTCTTCCTGGACGAGTTCCAACTCCCCGATCGCGCAGCCTCCAAGATACTCTCGAACCTCATGACCAGCTTCTTCCAGCTCGGCGGGGTTCTCATCGCTACCAGCAACCGGATGCCAGAGGAGCTCGCCAAAGCGGCTGGCATGGAGTTTGCGAGGCCAGTCTCGCGATTGGGCAAGTTGGGATGGAGACTGGGAATGAACGGTTCCTCTGGAAGAAACGACGGGCCAGGCCAAGCGGGTGAGTTTGCGCAGTTCCTGGATGTGTTGCGCGCAAGATGCGATGTGTGGCAGATGGAAGGGCAGAAGGATTATAGGAGATTGGGTGCAGAGGAAGATAGGCGTGTCGCGTCGCTGACTTCTTCGGAGCCGATAAAAGCCGCAGATTCTTCTTCCGCACTTTGGACCAGCACCCCCAACTCTGAAGATTCTTCTTCCGGAGCGGATAGGGGGATGGTTACACTCCCAAAACACTACCTCATTCATCCAACGCAATCTGCCAACCCCTCGGAGCACGTCCAATTCATCACCTCCTTCACCAACGCTCTCCACACGGCAACCTCCACCCCTACCTCCGCTCCTATCCCCTGGGTACCTAAGACGCTCACCATCTACGGCCGCCCTCTGCGAATCCCACACACCCACTCCGGCGTCGCCCTTTCCACCTTCGCCGAGCTCTGCGGCACCGCCCTCGGCCCCGCCGACTACGTCTCCCTAGCCTCGACCTTCCACACCGTCATCCTCACCGACGTGCCCGTCCTGACCTGGAAAGAGAAGAACGAAGCGAGACGCTTCATCACGCTGCTCGATGCGCTGTACGAAGCGCGATGCGCTGTACGAAGCGCGATGCGCTGTACGAAGCGCGATGCCGCCTCCTCCTCACCGCCGAGCGACCGGTCGATGAGCTACTGTTTCCCGAATCCCCGCGGGTAGCTCACACCTCGACAGGAAAGGAGGAGGAGGAGGAGGGGGAAGGGGAAGATGGATTTACAGCCGACGCCGACCCCGTCCACCCGGAAACCTTTTCTGAAATCCATCAGGATCTGACATCCCCTTTCCGGCCCAACATCTCTTCCTACCATTCCTCCTCTTCGTCCTCGTTATCCCCGGCAGCATTCCTCGCCGAGGACGCCCTGGAAGATGACCCACCGAGCCGATTCCGGCGGCCGGGCTCGAGCTTCACGGATGAACGTCGCGCGACGGATAGGGCGAGGGAGAGGGCGACGGCGAAGGCGCCCGATTTCGCGGATTTGACGGGGTTGACGGGCGAGGACGAGCGGTTCGCGGTGAAGAGGGCGAGGAGCCGCATCTGGGAGATGTGTTCGGGGCGGTGGTGGGAGGGGAGGGGTGGGATGGAGGATACGGTTGCTACAGATGCGGATGCGGGTGCGGATGCGGATGCGGATGCAGGGAGTCCGGGCTGGTGGAGGCCGCTGCCCGTGGAGTCACGGCATTGGGAACGTCGTCCTGTTGCGTCGGTTGCAGCGGCAAATGATGGTTCGGCGCCTGCAGGAGGTGAGCACGTAGTCTCCGATGCGAGCGATTTGAGCAACAGAGAGGGCGTGCAGGACGACAAGCTGTTCGCGCATGGAGCGAGTCCCTTCCGCACGATGAGCGAGCCACCGCCTCGGATCGGCTGGACGCATGCCTGGGGCATGATGAAGTGGGGGAGGAGGGCCGGGGCTTGGGGGAAGGGGGTTGAGGGGCTGGAGGAGCGGGAGAGGGATCGGGGCAGGCAGAGGGACAAGGACAACGTGGATTAAGTCATAATGTTTGCGGGAGCATGACAGGACATTGTAAAGTATCTTGATAGGTCGGTTCAAGTCATGCATTGGACGTACTTGTACAAGATGTGTGCAATTGTGGCCAGTTGCGAAGATTCGAAGTGCTCCTGGGATGCAGACGGGAAAGTGTTGTATTTGGACATTGACGACGAACTACAGTCCCAAGGCTCTCGACCACATAGGTCTTACCATCTACAATCACCAAGCGATCATAAATTGCGGGATGATGTGGACATGGCGGACGAATCCTGCTCAAACGTTCTTTAATTTGAGTCCGCATCCAGCATGAATGCCGGTCAGCCCAAGAAAATCCTAGCTATTCAGCTCCCGCCAGAACGCCGCCCATGACCCCTTTTTGGTATGAAGTGCACCGCTCTTTTCCCCCTGCCAGCCAGATCACTGCCGTTTACAATGATAATTTACTGGTCCTCGACGATGGTGGTGTGCAGGCCCTTGGCATCCTTGACGTTGACGGCCTGGACGTACGAGTACAGCTTCTCCTTGGCGCCCTCCTCGTCGTTACGCTTGCGGGAGATGCGGACACGGAGGCGGAAGGGAACGCCCTTGATACCGCACTCCCAGACCTTCTTGTTCAGCTGGGGGTCGAGACGGACGTCCTTGGTGCCCTGATCGAGAGAAGTTAGCCTTTTTCACGTCCGAACTGAGCTTTGAAAAATTGGAGCGAAAGGTTCAAGACAGGAGAGTGTCTGGCTCCCGCTCAACAAGATACGAAATACCACGTACCATAGCCTTCTCAGCGAAAGCGCGGATCTCCTTGATGGCGCGCGGCGCCCTCTTCTTGAAGCTCACGCCATGGACCTGTTATCACATCCCGTATTAGCCTTTATGTTCCATTCAGTCTTCCGCCCGATGCCCGCAGCCACGCCTTCCCCCGGAAGAGGAAGTCGTCGCTGACGAACCATCGCTGGACTTCACCAAACTGAACTCAACATACGCGCTTGTGCAGGTGGATTGTGTATTCGCGAGCGACGACGTCGGCGATGGCGCTGCGGGTGGTCTTGCCGGCGGGCTTCTGCGTCTTGGTGGACATTTCTGGGGATTGGATGTCAGTAAAAAGCATTGGAATGGGGCGATCGAACGAGAAAAATCCCAGCGATACACACTAGGGGGAGCAATCGACAGAGTAGACGTCTTGAGAGACTTACTGAAGGGGTTGGACGCTGTATTTGTTCGCAGGCGATGGGTCGAGGTTGCGGGAGTCGTGAGATTGAAGTTGTGTGGGATTGCGATTTTCGTTTAGGTCTTGGCGGAAATGCACCATGCCCCATGAAATGAATGCAGGGATGAGGAGAGGGAGGCACGTGACCCTCATCCTCCCAATGTTTGAGATTAGAGATGCAAGAAATACGGTTTTGGAAGCTGGCGTATGATTATAAAATCTAGATATAAATGGCTTCGTAGCAGAGAAACATGAAGTCAGTTATAGGACAGGAAATGCTATGATGTGGAAGCCGCAGCATCATCAGCGGCAGTATATTCATAGGGCGACATGTACGCATGGTAATCCAGTGGTATCAATAACCCCAAAAAGCCTATTGCGCCCTTATATGCAATTAGGAAATCGTAAGCCGACTTATTCGCTCCTCATGAATCGTAGGCCCACCAACAGTGACCGCCTTATGGCTTCCAAGGCAAGCTGAAGTCTAGTTTGTCCTCTTTCGTAGCATCTGCGCCTTCCTCCTCTTCTTCTTCCTCCTCCTCTTCCTCTTCTTCCTCCTCCTCGACGCTCTCCCCGCTAGAGCTATCGTCGTCATCGTCATCTCTGTCCTCTCCCCTTGAGAGGAATTCATTCAATCGCTGGCCGTCTTCTCCCCAGGACTGCAACCCCTCGGGATCCCTGCCCTCAGATAAGTCCAATCGCGGAATATTATCCAGCGAAGTGTTGAGATAGTTCCGGAAGGGAGTCAAGGATCTATTGAAGCGCTCCAAGACGTATTGCGATAGCAACGGTAATCGTACGGTAGGACCATCGGCGGTCCGCCACTCCGGAGGTTCCTCAGCAGGGTCGAGCTTGGCCGCATGATCCTCTGGTGCGTCGTCCGTGGGGTTGAGATACTGAGCCAAGGATCGACTGAATCTCTCCATGAGCTCATACGGATATGAGATTTGCGGCATCTGCGGGAGCGGCGGCAGTTGAGGTAATTGAGGCATCCCGGGAAAATGGGGCATCTGCGGGATGCCAGGGAATTGAGGCATTCCTGGAAAGTGAGGCATCCCAGGAAGCTGTGGAATCTGGAAGCTGAACGATGGTAGCTGACCCGGCAGCCATGTCTCCTCCGGCTGGTCAGGTTGGAAGTAGTATCGCGGCGAGCGCAGGGCCACAGAGGAAGGGGATGTGGCACTTGCGGGAGACCTGGCCCCTGAATCTGCGTCGGACGAGAGGAAAGCATTTGCGGCCTCTTCGCTCTCGGGACCGCTGAGCAGTCGAAGTTCATTTGTGTTGTAAGAGTCGCAAGTCTCGCACTTGTTGCCAAGCCAGTGATACTTCACAGCCGATTTTGCCGAGCAGTCGTTGCATTGAATCACCGCCCTTGTGTTTGCAAACTCTTCGGGCATTGGCTGGCCCTCGATGGCTTGTGTCAGTTTCCGCCACTGGAGTTCCATATTCACGGCGCTCTTCTTGCACATGGGGCACTTGTACGCAGTCTCCATGTACAGATTGTAACATCCTTTGTGCAGGTAGTGGCCGCAAGGTAGCGACACAACAGCAGTGGACGAATCAAACAGGTTGTCTCCGCAGATGGGGCAGTCGCAATCGATGGCTCGTTCCAAGCACCTGTGACTGTCGGCGTGGCTGATTGATATGCAGACATTGCATCGCTGGCCCTCGTCAGAAACAAACCATGGCTCACATTGGTGCACTTACTTTGCAGTGGATGTAGTCTTTCCCCAGTCCCTCTCCCTTCCTGCAGATGCCACAATCAGGGCAATGGTAGATCCTATTGTTGCTGTCGTCATCCCAGAGCTTGCAGATGTCGCAGTAGTACCAGGCGGCCTGCAGTCCGCAGCGAATGCAATGCTCGGAAGCGCTCTGAGGTGTGCCACACGCCATACAGAGCATATTTTCGGTCCTTTTCCGGTTCAGCTTGTGGACTTCGACGGCATCGTGGCAATGGCGACAGGTGTACCACCGTCGGCACTCAAAGCACTGCACCTTTACATTCCGTTTGTAATGCTGACAGCCAAAGGAAGGGCCGTCCTCGGCTGAATCGGGATCATCGTCTTCGAATCCACCCTCCCAGTGCTCACGCGGAGGAGGCTCTCGGTAAGTTGGCTCGGTATCTCCAGGCCGCAGATGGAAGGGATTCTCAGGGTCGAGCTCGGAGAGGGCGGAGATGGGCGAGGATATGTGAGCATCCGAGAAGACAGACTGGCCAGAGGTGGGGGTGAAGGGACGATCGTGGGAGATGAAGCTACTAGGAGACTGCGGGCGAAGCAAGTTGTACCGCTCTGTCATGATGGTGTGCATCATTCGAGCCTTTTCCTCCTCGGCGATGCTGAGATCCCGGATTTGGTGAATGCGCTCGCGCAGATGGCGCATGCCGTCGTCGGCCGGGAGTGAACCGGACATGGCCCCGCCACTGTCGATACTTGACGGGAGCGCATGGCCTTCTCTGATGGCGGTTGAAGATGAGGATATGGGGGTGCTGAGATTGACTCGTTGTAAGTCGTTCACGAGCGCGGACTCGTCGTCCGAGGAGGTCGCCGCTGCATCCGGGTGTATGTTTATGGGTGCGGCGGGTGGCGGCTGTTGACTGCGTTGACCAACATGGAGGCCGTCAGAAGGCTCAAATGCAATGGCGGAAGTACTCGAGTGCTCTACGGCCGCCGAAGCTAGTGCTTGTGGAGGAGGAGGAGGTGGATGAGAAGAGGAGCGAGCGTGGTCATGAATTGCATGTGACAGGCCGCTGCCCTCATCGTTATCGCCGCTAGGAGTGGCAGTGGAGAAGCGGCGTGCCTGGCGGACCACCGGGTCGATGAGGAAGGAGGAGAAGAGATTGCTCATGGGAACATTGCTGCGCGGTGCGGCAGGCGAGCGACTCCGGGCGGAAGAGGGTACGCGAGCTGGTGAGGGCTGTGGAGAGAGAACTTTTGTTGCAGAAGGCGAGGGAGAGCCGGATAGATCTCGATGCAGGCTGGCCAGCGCTCCAGGGTCACGAGGCTTTCACCTGCCCGCCCGCTTTTGTACCACAGTGCACAGTAACCGCCACAACCTCTTCCAAGGTCACAAGCATTCGCTACCATTTGCTGCTTCGAAAGATTTTGTGACTGCTCGCACTATGAGCAACATGATTCATCGCCAGTGATTCGCATATCAGCACCCTGTGCCCCCGTGCCTCCCGTTTTCACACCACGCGCATCGCATGGGCCAAAAACCAGTCTGGATGAATGCGCGCTTCAGGTGCCGGAAAGGACCGGGAACGTAGAATGGTCCAAATATACATAGGTTTATCAGCTCTGGCAGAATGGTAGTCATGGCGCTGTTGACGACAAACCGTGTAGGCGACATTTCCCATTGTTAACGTCTCATCAATAACAGAGCCTGGAGAAAGGGGGAGAAAGAAGCTTGCAAAACACTTGGAGCACTTGAAAAGTAGCCACCTTCTGTATTGTCTCCCACATACTAAGTGCGTCAACCAACGCCTACGATTATGCAGCGGCCTCTTATTTGGGCGTCTGTTCTTCTGCACGCTCAGCGCGTGCCGCCAGTGAAAGAACCCATGCTATGCCTGCAAACTCCAGAGCCACGCCGAATGTGCCCATCATAATGTACAAAATAACTAGGACCATAGAACCCTAGAACCCTTTCGTACCCTAGCGCCTTTTGCGGCTGGTATCTAAACGTAGCATTTGAAGGAGACCCGATGCATGACCTTTCGTAACCGATCGTGGTATAATGAACAAAGATGGAAAATGGTACAAACAAGAGACATGATCGCTGACGACGAAACAGGGGCGCGTGCAAAGTTCGAGGAATCCAGTATGCACTGCGTCATCGATCCTTGGAAGCGTTTGCTGGGACAAAGGTGAAGTTGAGAAAGTCGAATCGCTCTTTCGAACTGTTTCGGTTGGATCCAGAAAGGCCGCTGGTGCCTTCTGCCGTTGGGGCCGTCGCTTTTGCAACACCAGAATTCTCTCGAGGCTCGAGAAAGAGGGACCGGCGATAATAGCTCTGCACGTTGGCATGGTCGCTCGCACGTACACGCTGAATCTGAGCGTCCATCCAGTCCTGCATCTCGGGAACCGCTGCCAGTCGGTATGGCACCTGGAAAGACTGGAGCTGTCCGATAATCTTAGCCGTCTTCATGTGTTTGTCGAAATTGATGACCGAAGCACCCTCGCGCCCATTCTCGCTGGGGAGTTGACGGGTCGAACCGTTGCCGACGTCGACAAATGTAAGATCGGTCAGGTAGATGCCAACAAATGGGATACAGGGCGCCATGTGGTTCTGGAGCCGCTGACGCAGCACGGCATAATTCCGGCCGACGTCCGTGATGGTCTTCAGCTCATCAAGCCGGCCCTTGGTCTTCGCCGAGACCAACTCCCACGTTTTTGCAAGGCGCAACACCATGGAAGAGTTGAGCGAGCAGATGATGGCCATGAGGGAATCGTAGTTGTTCAGCTCCAAGCACTTTTGTGCAACCTTGACCCACTGCTTGATCGTGACGGCTCTCTTCTTCGGGTCCTCGAGGCTCAAGATGGTGTCGGTAACGAGGTTGGTAAGGTCGGTGGACAGCGTTGACATGGCCCGGACGTTGACGGCCTTGGAGCCATTCTTCTTCGTCCACTCGGACGCTAGAAGTTCCTCGGGCTGTATGGCGCAGAAGAGCTTCGATTCGATAATGGTGAACTGACGGGCTAACTCAAGAGGGTCGAAGTCGAGGATGCTACACTGCGACTTGCCGTCTTTTGCATTCCTCAACAGACCCAGCTGGCTCTTGGTGATGATCGGAGTGGGCACATTGCTATCCGCGGTCGTGAAGGCGGTATAGGCACCTCCTTTGCCGATGGAGGATGCCAGACGAGGCACGAGAGCCCCCGCGTGCACCTCGGTGACTTTGGCTGTGAGCTCTGCCAAGCGCTTACCAGCACTGGGGAGGGCAGCACGCAGCTTGTTGGTCGCAAAGGAGATGATGACGCCGAGAGCGACCGAATCGCTCTCGGGAAGCCAGTGACTCTCCAACCATCCCTTGAAGACATTGTAGATGCGTAACCTGACCGGTGTCCCCATGGAGGCGCTGTCTCCCACGTAGTCGAACCGCGCAATGAGGCATTCGGCCAACTCCACCGGCGTGGTAAACAGGCGGAAGGTGAGGAAGAAGGTGGTGACAAACGTGGAATCTGGGGTAGCGTCTGGCATGGTGAGCTGTTCAACAAGTGCGGGCAGCGAACCGCCCGAAATCTGACCTTCCTTGTTGTAAATGAGCTCATGCGCAAACGTAGTCCCCAGCAAGCGTTCCTCGACAGCGGCTACGTCCTCGCTTGCGAGGGAGCGCAGTTCAGACGAGCTGCCACAGCTGCCCACCAAAGTCTGCGAGCTATTCATCTTCGCTGGGGACTGGTCCGGAGTTGTCGCTCTTGTGGAGGTTTGGGAGGCGACGCTCCCGGTGTCACAGCGCATGCTGTACCGATGGGCGCTGCTGGAGTCGGCCACGGATGCATTGACGCTATCTGCTCCAAAGGGCTTTGAAAAGAAGCGCTGAGTCGCGCTTGCAGGACTTTGCGAGTAGTCCGATGGGCTGGGTTGGATAAGGTGAGGCGCAGGGGTTATGGACGATCTCGACAATCTGAAAGAGGCGGTCGTAGGGGGACTCTCGAGGACGGGGTTTTGGGTGGGTTGCGGTTCTATGCTGGCTGGTGGGGTATGGGCGGGTGGAGAGGGCAATGGGACCTCCGGTAGAGGTTTCGATTCGGAGACAACTAGAGGAAGCGGTTGTGGTGCGTCTGAGGGGGGCGCGGGTAGCGGTTTGTCCTTTTCCACAGCAGGTTCGAATTGCGCGCATGGCTCTGGATGCTCAGCGCACCTCTCCGCGATCTGACCAAATTGCTCCATGACCGCATCCGAGAGGCCGAAGCCAGCATGCTCAAACTCGAAGTCCCCTATTCTCTCGATCACGTTCCTCGCCTTACTGACGCAGTCTCCAGCTGATCGCACACAGCTGGTCGCGGCAGCAACCAGCTGCTTTCCAGAGTCGGGCATGACCACTTCCTCACCCCTAGCCGCGTCGATGGTGCTGAACATGTCCTTGGTCGCTTGGACGAGTTCGGTCAGTCGTGCGTACATGGCGTCCCTGGCATGTTCCAGCTGTTCGGATCGGCGCGAATCGCGTTCCCATACTTCGTCGACGACAGCGAGAAGGTGACGACAGGCAATGACGGACTGCTTTGTCGTGTGGATGAGCTCATCCGAAGAGCGGGATTGCAGATGCAGCCCAATAAAGGAGCCGATGAAACCTAGGAATGCATCGTGCGCACTGTTCAGTCGCTCGGAGGCAAGGTTCTGTTTCCGTCCGCTCTGCGATTTTCCAGTGTAGGATAGGCGATGTGTAACAGAGAGGCGCTTCGCCTGACCCTGTGGCTGGGGCGGGAGAATTGGTGATTGGATGGAATCGGATTCAGAAGGGATGGAAAAGGCAACCGACAGTCGATTGAGATTGCGCTGCGGCAGTGATGTCGAGCTCTCTTCATCCCCGGCATCCGCGTGTGAGGCAGACGGGGCGTAGTCATTCGCTGCAGCGCCATGGTTGTGATGCTCGTCTGCTGCAGAGGGTGGTTGTACAGACGGGTCAAGAGAGTCAGATGGTGGGGTCGGGGGCCTGGTATTCCTCGTATCGGCCAAGTCGAGTGTGAGGGACACGGAGTCTTGTGCCCATATATCAAGAAAGCGGACAGCTCTCGTCACGAGCTTGAATGCTTTCAGGACCAGCTCATCGAGAAGGTCATAGATAGGGAGCGAGGGGTCGTTGGCCTGCACGCTCTCCTGCAGCTTCTTGGCCGTTTTCACCAACGAGGACAGGTCACCCAACAGGCCCTTACGCATACGCCGGAGGCCAACGTGCGCAACGATCAAAGGGGCGTCCCTGGTCAAACACTGGGTTCTCTCCTGTGGCGTGCATGGATTAGCTGACGCCTCGACTGTTTGCAGCCGCCTGCTCTGGGGGATTCGTTGGCTACACTTACAAGAAAGCAGCGAACGCCAGCAATCATGGACCGGACATAGTCTTGCTTGGTGAAGACGACGAGTTCCCCGTTCTCGGCATCGCGCACCAAGTCGAAAAGATGGGTGAGGGCATTCAGAAGATTTCGAATCGTCGGGTGATCGTAGGCTTCACAGTAGTTGGTCGGCAGCCACCCGCGCGCGCCAGAAGCCAAGAGGGTTCCGTCAGCCCATCCGTTGGGATGGACCGAGTGCACCAAGATGACGTCGCCTTGGTTGATGGGAACGGTGATGGAGGATTCGTCCGTCGAAGAAGAGACGGTGGAAGTCGGGTGGTAGGGATAGAAGGCGCGCAGATAGTCGTGGAAGACGGGCTGAAAGGTGGATTGGGCTTCGGCTTGGGCTTCGGGCAAAGCTTCGTTGGATGTGCGCGGCGTCAGGGGGGGCGATGGTTGCGATTGCGAATGCGACTGCGATGCTATGGACGCAGTTCCATGTGACGACGACTGCCTCGTATGCCGGCCCCCGGGATTGCGCGACTTGTTGGGCGACTTCTGGATGTTCAGCGGGGCTACCAGCGCACTCGCATGCTTATTCCCCTCGACGGTCTCCAGAGTAAAGTCGTCCATGGTACGGGGGTGAATGTCCGTATGGGTGCAGGGGTAGGAGGTGAGTATGGAAGTCCAGTGCGCAGTTGGCAAGGCTACTCAAGCAACTCGACTCTCTGCAAGCGCCAAGGGGTCATGGGTAGAATTGTTCTTCTTGCTTGGTATGTTGTCGACACAATCCCAGAGGGTGAAAGCAGCGCAGTGAGGCAGTTGCACGGATACGGTTGAACAGAAGCGATAACAGATAAGGGTCGAGTTTCTGTTTACCGATGCTAGGTGGAGTCAGTCGTGATGTTATGTTGATGACGGCACAGCGGAATGGTTCGGTAGGAATGGAGGTGGCGCGACTCGGGTGAAGAATGTGATGCAGCACACTCGACAACGGAAGCCAAGTAGCCGTCTTGTTGACTCGCACGACAATGCGAGGAGCGCCAAAGCCAATGGGTGGCGGGGAGGTAGACGGGAGTGGCGCATGAGGTGGGTATGGACAGAGAGACGTACCTTTACAGAGGGTTGCGGGTGTAGCAGGATGAGGAATTGGAAAACGATGGTGATGCGTTGCCTGAAACGGCGTGTGGTGGTGTTGCCGGGGTGGATGATGCAGTAGGAGGCCTGTGACAAGGCCCGTTTCCAATGGCCGAGCAAAGAGTGAAAGTCGACTGAAGGGCCGTGTCGAGGGCAGCGGAGGGGCCGTCGTCTCGAGTAGTAGTAGTGGATGCGATGACGAGGGAGAGGGGTAACGAAGGGGTTGGGAGGGACTGCAAGGGCGGTGATAGAGGAGAGAGAGAGACGCGGCGGGGGGAGCTTGCGAAGGGAGCTTGTGAAGGTCGCAACGTGAGGGGGGTCGCAGGGGGGCCCGCGAGGAGGAGGAGGAGGACAAGTTGGGTGCAGAATACAGACGGACAGGGGAAGAATAAAGGGGAAGAAGAGTGGAAGAGAAACGATGGGGGTTTGGAGAGGAGGAGGAGGAGGTGAAGGAGGTGGAGGTGGTGAAAGGCGCAGTGAAAGAGAGAGGGGGGTGAGATGGGTAGTAACTCGTGAGGTGAGGTGAGGTGATAGGACTCGAGGGTGGGCCAAGTCAGGAAAGAGTCAGGTTTGGTGGTGCATGTGCAGGTGGTGACCAAATAATGGCCGACGCAACGGCCCGCAGCAGCTGCAAGTTGCAACTGCTCCAGCTTCCTCCGAACGCCGCGCTGATTCGTGAGGAGCGTCGAGGGGCGCATCCTCGGCAGCCGTCGAGAGTCAGAGTCAGGGGGGGGATGGGGGAGGACGGGGCGTCGTGTGTTCCTTGCGGCGCCGGCCCATGGCAAAAAGCCCTGGCTGGAAAAAGCGTTGATCGCTCGTTCACGGATGCATCCATCCTCCAGGGCTCTTTTTCAGGCATTGTCGCCCTTCTGCCACATTCACCCACTTCACCCAACCAGTAAGAAACGCTTGTCCATGACGGACGGATGGCGCCGCAGTCCCCCGTCCTGGGTGTTTGGGGGAGGACAACGGTCGAGGATAACAGTGTACGGAGAGAGGGATACCGAACAACAGAAAGAGACTCGAGGGAGGTCAATTCGGCCACAGACTTGAGCGAGAGGTGACAGGGAGACAGAGAGACAGGATGCATGCCCCTGCTTGCCAACCCGACGCCATCGTCTTTGTTCCGCTTGCCGCGAAAGGCGTGCCTTTGTTGGAGGAGGTGGTGGTGCGTGGTCAATTGGTTCCCCCCACGTCTCTCTCCCACTCTCCCACGGACCGCTTTGGAGGCCCTGCGCCGCAAGAATCCCTGTCCCCTGCAAGCTCGCTGTGACCAGTTGACAGCACCTCCATCCCCGCGTCATGCAGGGCCCTCTTCCGAATTGCTCCATATCCAAGCGTTCTGCACAACTCCAGCTCTCAAATTCACTCCCCCGCCATGCGCTGGCCGAAGGCTTATTGGCTGCTGTGTCGTGAATTTTTAAAGGCACTCCAGATTCCCGCTGCAACAGCTGGACCCTTCGTTTTATCGGAAACAGGGGGAGCTTTGGCGATTATCGTCCACGGGGTCGTCTGGCAGCTTTTATTTCAACCAAAAAGCAATTTGTTCCTGCATGGCCTCGCGAATTCGGCTCTAGCGTGCTTTGTTGCCCCTTCCGGCCTCGACCCGCCTCCAACCTGGCCTGCCCCTGCGATACCAAAGCTCTAAACTAGTCCCAGAATGGCACCCACGCTAAACTCTTCTCAGCACTCACAACCCCACCCACCCGCGGAAACTCGACCCAACCCATCTCCGCTCTCCGCTGTCCACCACTTGACGGGTGACATGTCCTTACCGCTCCCTCTCCCCAGTGTCCAGTAGGACCTCTCGGGCGACTACTGTCCTGTGCTAGTCCCTCCGAATCACCACTACTCAGTCCTCCAACAGTCCCGACATCATGGAGCACTATCATTTGGCACCTGCATCTGGTCGCCGACCTGTTCTTCCTTCTCCGATAAGTTAGTCAATATCTTGTTCACCTAGGGGAGCAGAGCAAAAGGAATCATATCTGCGCCTAGATCTACCGAGTACCAGGTAGGCTCCTCGTCCCTTTTTGCTGGACTAGGTACCAAGTAGCAGACAGAGTCCATCCGCATTGACATTCCCCCTCATCTACTTGCTTGCGCGCACCTCGGAACCTGCACTACACGACCATCGTCTTGCTCTGCTGCCCTGAGGTCCTTGATGCCGCAGCCAACCATGGCCGACTCGGGCAACGTCTTCTTGCAAACAACAATCTGTCTCTTTCTGGCTCTATGGAAATTGGAAGCTTCGGCGGTTTGCCAATCTACCGTGGTGCATCCGTGGACCGTCGCCATCAGCCTCCAACCGCACTTGGTGCTGATCGACAAAACGTGGCCTCATTTGTCCCTTGACTTCAATACTGAGTCGCCTCTCATTTTCCTTTATTCGCACTAATGAGCTCCTACCGCAGTACAGAGTACCTAGTTGTCCATCGATTCGACCATCTAAACACTCCAATCATGTACTCTCCATCTACTTCACGTGGCCATGGTTCATGAGCCAGCCAGATGGTGCAACAGCAGCACTCTTGGCCGTACAACTTTGGCACTTCATATCATTGTGACTTCAACCCTCGAAGCCCGGACCGTCCAGCCCGACGCGCCAAAGACATCAAGTGGGTCGGCACGGATCCGACAATGGTACCTATGTATCATTGCCTGCCCTGCGTATAATCTCGTCCATCAATTTCCCTCGCCGCCAGATGTTCACCGTTCCCCGAACCGTTGGGCCTGCCACCTGCTTTACCAATACCAAGGAAGATTTCCCTGTGCTCAGATACAGATGAACAGCCGCGCGCTGCTGCTTCTGGCCGTGGCGTCACGGGCGTCGAGCTATGGATTTCGTCATGCATCCGTCTTCCTGAGACGTGGTCGAATCGCAGTGGAGGTGGGTCCATTGCAGTGAACTCGAAAGAAGATGATACGGCATTCCTCCTCAAAACGCCGTCGTCCACAGCATTCTGGTACATAGAGATAATGCACTCCACTCCGGCATCCAAACTGTACCAACACAAATCCCCAGGCCAACAATGACTGCGGCAGGGTACCGAGAGACCGGTATCAGGATACCCAATGCAGTTCGCTGCCACAATCACAACCCCAGATCCTACACGCCTTTGTCTCGGGGCCATGATCTGGTTCCCCGCCTTGGGTCGTGGCACGCACACTCATCTCGCAGGACCTCAAGATCACGTTACATGCAAGAGTGCGGCGAAGCCATCCAGCTCCCGAATCATTTCTCTTTTTCTTGCCAGGTTGTTGAGCACCATTTATTATTGTTCCTACTCTGGGGATCTCGCTCAACGTGTGCCGCTCAATAAAAAGAATGCCCAAACTCAAAGCTACGACCATCAATCCAAACGGCGCGGTGGCTAATCTCCCCTCCGCATCTCCACAAGTGTTTCAACTCAACGCCCCAACGCACGAGCAATGCCATGTTAGATTGTCCAGCTCTGCTGAATCTGCCCTTCGTATCCTCGACTCTCTGCCATGTGCGGATAGTACTTTATGCTGATAAGTCCAGCTGCAGTTCATCAGCCTTCAACATCTCTCCTCTCAATCGTGTCAACGAAAATCCCACATGGAAGATACAGCTTCCGCCCCATCGGAACAAAGCCACTGCTTCGATAACCATTTTTATAAAAGGAAATTGCCAGGGCCCCCCGTGGCGCAACTCGCCATGTCCCACCAGTCCTGATCGTGCCTAGTTTTGGCCTAGTTCGAGTGCGGGAAACCGCTCGATGAGGAAGTTTGAAGGGTCTCGAGGGAAAAGGTGTTGTTTGCTGCTATACCAGCCCTTGCTTGCTATTACCGTCAAGGACAGGGGAAGCAAGCTGAAGGGGGAATATTGTGGAGATAGAGCTTTGGTGGGCAAGGTGCTTGCTCGCTGGGTTTGACGACTGTTCTTACTACGACACGTCCAGCCTGGCGGATCGTCCAAGTGCACCATTATCATCTTTATTAGTGCGCTCGCCTTTGGAGGACATCCTCTTCCCTGGAAACCTGAACCTAAGTCACAGGTTTAGGTTAATCTTTTCGTTCTGACTTCTACTAGCAACACCATGACCAGATCAGTGAGAGAAGTGCAAGACAATGGATGCGTGGGATGGGATCAACAGAGTCTATTACAGACCCCAATGTATTGTCGCTATTTCCGTTTCTTCCAAAGTTGAACTCTACCTCACCCGCACAGCAATGAGAGCTGGTGCACCAACCCTCAAATCCCGACTCCGCACTCGGCATTGTACGTTACGAAGCACCTCGACAAATCAGATACTGGTTTGTCCGTAATTTGCTGGCCGACATCTACGACTTTTGTAGGCCTGCATCTTGATCGTGATGTGATGCGATGAGGGAGTCCGCTCGCAAGTGCGTGACGATGTGGTGACAGTGATGTGCCGGCTTGCGAATTCGCTTTCCAGTCAATGTCGACTGTCCCTTGGAGAGGCCGAAGCGGCCATATTCCCACAATACGGTTGGGCAATGGAGTGGACGTCGTCGGGACCTCCACGTACCTCCTCGTCGTACAACCTGTCCGAAGGGTCCTCCTCATAGACGGGCTCGTTCGGAGGCTCCAGCAGGAGAAGCAAATGCGATCGCCCAGCTGCTATCCCACTCAGCAGGCCGGCCACCAGCGATGGAATTCTTGGGCGGATGCCGTCTCAAGACGTGAGCTGCGTTTCCATCTCGTCGTCATCATAATCGTCCACCGTCCGAGGGGATCCTGCCCCATCCTCCGTCCCCCTCTCCCTCCTCTTCTCCTCGTACGTCGCCCGAATCCTCCTCAACCCATCAACGACCCCCGTGATAAAAGACCTCCCTTCGGCAACCTCCATCCCGCCGATCCCATTCATCCGGATCCCTCCAGGTTCGTCCAGAGTCTCCGTCCGCTTCCGCAGCTTCGCCATGCGCACCTCCCGTAGTCCCTGCAGCAGTCTGCGCACGCTTTCCCCGTCCTCGAAGTCGTCGGTCGCGGCTTCGAGCAGCATCTCTCCCAATTCTAGCCAGTGGTACGGCAGCGCATCGGGCCCCGCTTCGACGGTCGACTGAGGGAGGAAAGGAGGCGAAAACACGATACTGTGATCCCCAGGCGCTGGAGGTAGTCTTGGAGGCGGAGAAAACGTGTCGGGATGCTCCGTCTCATATTCGAGGATGGCGGTAAGCCAGGGTGGGGCGAGCCATGGGGGAGGCACAATGTTGGCGCGACGTTGGCGCTTGAGCAGAAGAGCGAGCCAGAGGGGGACGGACGTCTTGTGAGGAGGAACGAGCGCTGGGATGGAGCCCTGTATTTGGTCGTGTCAGACGTTGCGGAGGGGTTTGGGTGGGGTAGCTGGTACATACGCCTAGGAGGTCGAGGCTGTCGAGCCGTTGGCGCGGAATGATGGAGACCAGCTCCATCTCACATAAGAATGCGACTTCGGGAGGCGTGAGGCCTGGCGGGAGAGGCAATGCCATGTTTATACTCTTTCGACTGCGCTGCTAAGCTCGACCATCGAAAGCTGGAATGTTCAGATGCGGCTCGCGCGCCTGCATTTCCGCCGCCGGAAGCTAGTCCCGTTTGGGTACACCACCTAGCGTCCTCTATAATTCTCCAGTAGACTGGACTATTCTCCGCTTCATCGTCTGCAATTCAAACTCTACTGTCCCACATATCAATGTCCTCGTTGCGCCAAACGTGGGCGTTGCCCATTGCATTTCTGGTCGTTACGAATGCCGCCTGGACGTGGTATAGGCTGCTCGCTGAACATGTTCCAGAACCATATCTGGTGAGTAAAACAAAGGGAATCACAACCCCGTACAGCGTCCTGATGGGAATAGGACGAGGTGTTCCATATCCCGCAAGCCCAGAGATATTGTAAAGGCGATTACACATGGGACCCCAAAATCACGACACCGCCGGGCCTGTGAGTTTACAAGCCCTCCGTCTGTTTGAAGGGACACAGCATTAACGATATCAGGTACCTCGCGTCCAAGCTTATTTCCATTTTCGTTGGATGCAATATTCCTTCTCTCAGAGGTCTTAATGTCACGGCCATCTCTGTTGTCTGTGTCGTTGCATACCACATTCGGCGGAATCTACGTCTGCAACGGGAACAGTCAAATCGACACCAGGATGACGAGCAGAGTGACCCATACGACGCTCATTCTGCCCTGAACATTGGCCTGTTCCCGCCGCTGTTCTTTTTCTCTGCGCTGTACTACACGGACGTCTTATCTACCCTGACGGTTCTTGCGCATTACGGCGCATTTGTGCAGAGAAGCGGAGCTCAGAGCCGCTGGGGGCCGTCGAAGCAATTGGCCTTCATCGTCCTTGGAATCATAGCCCTGTTATTCCGCCAGACAAACATCTTTTGGGTTGCTATTTTTCCTGCCGGTTTGGCTGCCGTTGAAGCGTTGAAAAGGGACGGTGGAATGGAAACCTCAACTCCGAGTCGCCGGCCCATTGAGGTCTTGAAGCAGTGTTGGACGGAGGGCAAGGTCTATGACTCAAGTGCTCGAGATGCTGGACCTCAAGGTAATCCAACTTTAGCGCCTGTATGTTCGTGCTGCTAATCGCGTATAGACTACATTCTCACTGTGCTTTCGGTGATTCTAGCGGCCATGCAGAGACCACGATCATTGATCAACGCTATTCTACCGTACCTTGCACTTGTGGTTGTATTCGTGGCCTTCGTGCTATGGAACGGAGGCGTGGTGCTTGGTGCGTATATGTCAAGTTGAATTCTTGCTCTGGGCACTTGCTGATTTTCAGGCGACAAATCAAACCACATCGCAACGGTCCATACACCTCAAATGCTCTACTTTTGGCCATACGTTTTCTTCTTCTCATTTCCTCTTCTCCTACCCGTACTCCTTGGACCGGTCGTCCGCCTTCTCCCTGATTCGAGCCTGAAGTCCTGGTATCAGGAGAATCTAATCAGGGAGGCGGACGCCGCCACCCCTGGGCTCTCCTCAGCCTTCCTCTTCCTCGCATTTGGAACAGCAGCGGTTCACTTCAACACGATTGTGCATCCGTTCATCCGAGCAGACAACCGGCACTACGTCTTCTACGTATTCCGCATTCTACTCCGTCACTGGGCGTTCAAATACGCCGCAGTTCCCATCTACTATGCTTGCGCCTGGACCGTCACACAGAGACTCGCAATGGTTCCAACGGCGACCGTGGAAACGCGGAAACAAAGCACTGATGTGCGATCGACGCCCAAGACGCCGATTCACCCATCTTGCACAGCAAGTTTCGTACTGGTGTGGCTCGCGGCAACGTCCTTGTCCGTGGTGTCAGCGCCCCTCGTTGAGCCTCGATACTTCATCGTCCCGTGGACCATCTGGCGATTGCATGTACCGCGTGTCACACCTGCAGGCCGGAAGTCGAGAGCCCCATTGGATGTCACACTGATACTCGAGACGGTGTGGTATCTTGCCGTGAATGCTATCACTGGCTATCTGTTCCTGTACAGAGGGTTTTCGTGGCCGAGTGAGCCGGGAAAGGTCCAGCGATTCATGTACTGAATGTCGTCGGACTATCAACATGGAATGACCGCCGAGGAGAGATTCGGAGAGGTTGAGCTCCACAGATATTCTTAATGACTGGCGTACCGCTGGCAACCTGATCCCTTCCAACTTTCATAAAAGCCGCTAACATCACTAGTTGGCTGTCGTTCGCGAATCTCAGCCGATGCCACAATCCGATTACGTGCTGAATAGCAGATCGCCAGCAAGCAAAGAATTTCATATATTCTTCCTACCACCTCCATCTCACATCAGGTACTTAAACTCTTAAATACCATACCGTCCCTCAGATCGGCATAATTCGCCGTCCAGTTATCCCTCATATAATTGTCCCTGGGCAACCACGGACCACGCCTCCCCGCATGCGGCATCTTCCTCGCTCCATTCTGGATATAGGTGCTCTTCAGCTGCAGCGGCATCTGGGGATCCTTCATCTCCTCTGGCGAAATCTCAGGTGTCGCGCTCGTATACCCATGATCCTGCATGTGCTTGTACAAGCGGGTGAGGAGACGCGCTGCACTGTCCGAACCCAGCGTCCACGACGCGTTGACGTAGCCGATCATGAGGCCGAGGTTGGGAACCCCGGTGAGCATAGCGGATCGCCACATGAAGCGGTCGGCGATGTTGACGGGCTTACCGTCGACGGCGAGGGCGATGTTGCCGCAGAGTTGGAGATTGAGGCCCGTAGCCGTGACGATGATGTCGGCGTCGAGCTTCCTGCCGGAATTCAGCTCGATGCCGTCTTCGGTCACGGTCTTGATGTTGTCGGTGACGACGGTGGCGCGTCCCGTGCGGAAGCTCTTGAAGAAGTCGCCATCGGGACAGAGGCAGAGACGCTGGTCCCACGGATTGTAGGCGGGTTTGAAGTGTGGATCTATCGGTATGTCCTTGGGGAGCTGGCGCTTCGCTAGCTTGCGAATGAATCTTGCGGCCGCCGAAGGGAACTTCCTGCACCAGTGATAGAAGAGCCAGGGGAGGACGATGAATTGCAGACGGACGAGCTTCGCTGCTATCCAGGACGGGAAGTAATCGTACCATCTCTTCTCGCCGGGCTTCTTCTGCGGAAGACTCATGACGTACGACGGACTCCGCTGCAGCATGGTGACGCTACCAACGCCGCTTTCGACAACAGCGGGCATCATGGTGATTGCAGTCGCCCCGGAGCCGATGATGATCATCTTCTTGCCCTGGTAGTCGAGATCCTCAGGCCAGAACTGCGGATGCACTCTCGTCCCTTTGAAACGCTCCAAGCCCGGAATGTCGACTTGGAGAGGTTTCTCGTAGTCGTAGTAGCCCGTTCCCATGAAGAGGAACTTGGCATAGTACGTCTTCCTCGTGCCATTGCTGTCCACCTCGAGTCGCCAATGCTGCGCATCCGAGCTCCATTGCGCGCTCTGCACCTTGCGGTTGAATTGTATGTGCCTGTCGATGCCGAACTTGGCGGCGGTGGACTTGATGTAAGCGACGATGCTGTCGGCCGTCGCGATAGGATTGGGCTTTTTCCAGGGGTTGAAGGGGAAGCCAAAGGTATGGAGGTCCGAGTCGGACCGAATGCCGGGATACTTGAACAGGTCCCAGGTACCGCCTACATTGCTGCGGCCTTCGAGGATGGCGTAGGTCGCCTGGGGGAGTCTCCTGGATCCGGTAGCCGGTGTTGATGCCGGAGATGCCCGCTCCGATGACGATGATGTCGTATTGGTTTTGGGCAGACGCTCCGGTGTCTGTTACATGCCCGTTCATGGCGATGGAGATGAGGTGGTGGAGGAATCAGCAATTCTTCTTTGTTGAATGATTATGTCAGGGCAAGGTCCTTGGTGCGTTGGTGCACGGCAGCTAGACGCGACGAGGGCGCGGGTAGAAGTGGAGACCCGATCAAATGTCTAGCGAGGAAGGGAAAATCAAAGACAAGAGTGTGAAACCCGACATGAGTAGATGACGACTCCATGGCTAATAAATAGCTGCTCCAACCCGGCATGGCGTTGGTCAAGAGAGGCAAATGTTAGGCTCGCCAGGGGGTCTGCCTCGCCCGTAACTTGTCGTGCGAAAGTGAGGAAATCTGGGGCCTCGGTATTTTCCCTTTTCGGCGGTGGTTGCGGAGGTGCGCCGTCGATGGGGTTTACACCGGGAACCCCTCCTTTACCTCGACGACCAAGGCCTCGGTGATGGACCTTGGCCGAGAGTGGCACCCGGTTTCTCACATCAGCACATCTTGATATATAGGCACAGCCGACTCCGTAAGACGAGTGCCGCGAGAACGCAGTGAATTTTAACCAGAAGTGCCCGAGTCCTAAGATTCGAATAACAACCATGCTACCATGCTATCATGCTACATGCTACGTGTTGGGAAAAATGCCCCAAAGGCACCTCGCCGATGAATTCACCCCCGGTCTAGTCGGATATATACCCTTCTCATCTATGCCCTTCCCAAAATGATTATCTCTCCTTCTGCTCCACTATCACTCGTGATATACATCCTCTCGAAACGGTCCTTCGCAATCGACACGGGCCTGAAACACTGCGTCGTCGAACAGTGCTCGACATCCGGATTCCAGAGAATATCATTATAACCATTGGCACTTGCGCTCAGCTGTGCCGTCGGGGAGAAATTCCCACCACGCTTGGTGAAGGGAACCTCGATCACTTTATAACCAGTCGACGGACTACGGTTCCAGCTGCCGTGGAGGGTGATGTACATGCTCGTGAAGTTGCTGTTGAAGACGGCATCAAGCGGTGCCGAGTGTGCCTGGATCGCCAGTTTGGCCGCCTTGCTCTTGGACTTACATGTCTCGTCCGAAAACGTCGCGTTGGGAGCAAGGACGAACTGGTCTCCCACCCGGAACTTGCGATCGGTGATGACATCGGGCTTCCAGACCGTGTAGCAGGTCGGGTACCCATACCAGTCCTTGTTCGCTTTGGCGGGGTCCCCGAGGAAGTTGATCTCGTCGGCTGGGTTGTCGAGGTGGATGTCGACGGATTTGCCGTTGACTGTGCGGTGGATCTCATCCGAGGAATTCTCGATTCCCCAAAGCCTGAAGTAACGTCAGTGCGGTTCACTAGTCAGGTAACGGGGAAGGCTCACATTCCCTCGCCGTCAAACGCCAGTCCAACTTCGTTCCTCAATCCATAACCCAAATTATAGCCATCAGCAGCGTAATTGTAGCCGCCGGCTGGCGCCTTGCTGATATCAAATACCTTGACGCACGATCGTCCCACCTTGATATTGCCGGATTCGAAATCAAAATTGTCGTTGGACCCATGAGACACTACCAGAAGATTCGGACGTTTTGGCGGGATGGTCAGAGTCCGCGTAACGTGCCCCTTGCTGTCCATGCCCGTCACAATGATCCTGGACGACCCCGAAACGCTCATAGTCGCCGCATCGTAGTCCCAGGCAAACACAGATGTGGCGGAGCTGGCGAATAGCGTTTTACCACCAGCACTGAGATAGATACCATGGTTAAGGTTTCGCTGCGTGACGACAATCTTCGCAGTGCCGAGACAGCCGTCAGGACCGACGGACTGACCGGTGATTCCGAGACCGTTCTGTACCAGGAGAAGGTTTCCGGCCTTATCGAAGATGACACCCCGGGGCTGCGTCAGGCCGCCGGCAACTTTCACGGCTTTCCAACCAGGAGCCGTTAGGAGAGGGAAGTGGAGAGGATCGACCCCAGAGCAGGATGACGGGACACCAGTCTGTACCGGGTCTGGTGTGGATGTTGGACGTATGGATGTGCTCAGTGTTGAGGGCAGAACAGAAGTTGGCACCGAGATGGTCGAAGAGACGCCGCTCGAAACAGGAGGTTGCTCTTCGACCTTGGAAGAAGTTGGTATCGAACTAGTCGAAGAGACGCTGCTTGAAGCAGGAGGCTGCTCTTCGACCAAGTTTGCAGCAACAAGCTTATCAAAGTCCTCGTTTTGCCCCAGTGTCAAATCAAGACTCCAATGCCCAAACTTTGTGTGAACATTGAATGTGGATCGATTGTTTGCAGGCTGTGCAGGAAGTTTGCTTGCAAATGCGTGTGCGAAGGGGGCCGCGGTGTCGGACGGGTTCAATGAAACGAGGTTACCATCCACGTCCTGCCACTGACTGCAGCCTCGACAGCGGACATTGAGCGTCCAATGTGTCGCATTCAGGCCCGTTCCTTTCAGGTACGTATATTCCGCAGCGTCGTATGGCTGCGGTAGACTCAGGCCGCTGGACGAGGTTAGAATTCGTCTTGACGAGAAAGTACCCAACATACTATGCCATCCTAGAAGAATATATCGCGGTATTTGACGCATTATTAGGCCAGCCAATCGTCAAAGGGACATATGGCATTGTACCGCCCCATGAAAAGCCTGCCCATCCATTCGCAACGGGGGATATGATTTGCAGAACGGTGTCAAATGGTGCCTTTGCCACCTTCGGTAAGGCAACGCCAATAGTAACTCCGTTCCCACTGTTCCACCCTGAGTAGCATATCGATGAGGCTTCGTCGCAGTATCTGCTGGTTGAATCACCAATGGCTAACAAATTGTCAGTACAAAGCATGCGAGCAACCAATTAAACAAAAAACACACCTGTCCCCGCCAGCGCAGCAACGGCCGCCGACAAATGACTTCGTCTCATGGTGAACGAAGCGCACGACGGTCAGTGAGAGGTACCTCTTCCGGGCGGTCATCATACGGTTTTATCAGTGCTCTGGCATGACGAACATGCCACAAGCATTTTTCGTCAGCCAGAATTAATTAGTGCTTCGTAGCGATTATAGCTGCCATGGCTATCAGGGAGACGGGAATCCGGGATGCGGTACCTAATCTTGGCCGCACGGTTGTATCCCACGCCGGAGAATTGGCACATAAGGATTCCGTGTAAGATAGGAAACCTTCCAGATGATCCTCGGCACTCAGCCGAACGGGAGTTGGAGCACGTTTCCGCGCCCACGGTTTGGTAATGTGGGGCTCGCTTCCCCTGGATGGGAGAAGTCGTCAACAGAACGTGGTTACCCTCTCCTTTGGAACTGTCCATCATTCACACCAAGCTACAAACTCTTGTAACTTGTTGGGACAAATCAAGTGACTCCGGGGTTCTAGGAGGCTTAGGCCAGACGTCAGCCGGGGTTGCGGTCATTTGAGCCTCCTCCAGACCAGTGCTGGATCTCGGGCCGGAAGGGATGAAAGGGTACCTGCACCTCGCATATTCTTTGGAACATTCTTTAACATTCTTTAGATGAGCCCGCTATATTAAAGCATAGATTGGCATCTGACGGCGGTGGAATCAGCGTGAGGTGACGGTGGGTCGGGCACGGCCACATGTCGTGGAGGTCGATAGATTAGCAGGGGTGGGATAATCTAAGAAACCACTTTAGCCCTAACATGGAGACGATATATACGAGAATGTAAGCGCCCACTACGACGAAGTTGAGACCGACAATACGCATCTGCTATCATGTTAGAGGTTTCACGGACCGGTCACCGAAAAGTCTGGATGAGATGCGCGCAGAGAGCGTTCATTGAGACCGTCTACAGCCGGGCTGCAGGTAGATCCATTCTCTTCCTCCGTTGACGAGCACGTTTTCGAACTGCGGAACCCTAAAGTGTCCTCCATAGGGTACGGTTGAGCGGAGGTGCGATGGTATCTCGACGGCGGGAGTACATGAACCAAGGTAGATGAGACTTGGAGGGACACAGTGCAGGTACCCACCTGGGCAACAAGTAGAGTGCCCAAGTGGGGTCAGCTGCACGTGAGTCATATCCAAACGTTGACAGTGCTCTGGCCGATCTCCATTGTTCAGAAGTGGGAGAAGAATGTGTGATGTACTGAGTTCTAAGGGAGAGATATGCGTCCTGATATCTATATTGTGAGCGGCATGGACTGGTAGCAACATATGGATTTGTTGAGCCTTCGCCGCTTACACAACATGAAGATCTGGCCCGGACGTTTGCGTACACCCTACCTGCTCTCAGACCATCCAGCTGGGTCGCGGATACTTTCGAAGTTGTCCATGACATGCTTCCAGGAAACATGCCGCATCCTTGTCACGACACACACGCTCTTTGGATGCATCCATTGAATCCCCAATCTTCGCTTTCGCAGGCGCAGTCACCATACGTCCGTGGACATAGAAGATGCTCCTGATCTTCTCGGCTGCCTCACCTCACAGACTATCACTCACCAGCGAGTACACGCCCATTTCCGCCCTTCACTGAATCTGGTTCACCGTCCTCAACGCTGCATTCAGCATCTCAGTCGGCTCCGCAATCTCGTCGACGATTCCGTCCTTCAGCGCCTCTTTTCCGGTCCAGCGGTGAGCCTCTAGGCGCATCTTTCGGGCAACAACCTGCGGATGGGGCTTGATCCAGGTACCCGATTCCTGGGAAATGAAGGCCCAGTTTCACTGGCGGCATGGAGAAATAGCCTCGTCTTGAGATCACAATCCGATAGTTGTGAGCCAATGAGAAGGCGCACACGCCGCCAAAGATATTTCCTGTGAGAAGAGCAATCGTAGGAAAAGGATAGCCGAGAAGAGTGGCAAGGAGCTATAGTTTTGTTTCCAGGTAGCATTCCTTCATGATTGGCACAATGGAGCTTACCGGGAAGAACCCGTCACTGTTCGCAAACGGATTCCTCTCATCCTCATCCAGATCCAATCCGGGACACCTGAACTTCTCGCCGTTGCGCCTCGTGATGACACATTCATCGGAATCAGGGCCCAGTTCTCTCTCTATCACGCAGTGCTCCGATAATCTCCTGTGCGAACCTAACGTCTGTCCGGTTCGCAGGAGCTTTCTGAATGGTAATAACGAATCCCTGGTCATGGTGGCCGACTCGCAAACTTCGGTGATTATGGTTGATCATGTGCCTTCTCAGGTGTTGTTAAAAAGCTGTACTGTTGTGATTGACGAGGCGGGGAAGGCCGATGAGGTACCTTGATGGAAGGGCCGTGTCATCGTTTACTGGGACGTCGTTGGGAGATAATCCAAACGACCGAGGTAGTTGACGGCATGGGAGTGCGAAGAGTATGAATACGCAGAGCCTCTCCAGATGTGGTGATGACTCACGCATGCTAGCAGTGCTAGACAGCCGTCGCCCTACGTGACTTTTGGGTTTGAGGGTGCCATCATGTGGCATGCCAACCGATTGAGCGTGTGATGCTTGACTTGACATGTGCAATGGATGAGCGCAAGGTTCGACCAAAGATGTCGGCTGGCCGCTCTCTGAGCCGACTTTTGGTCGGCGCTGTCAACGGGGGAAGGGCTGAACGTAGAGCGTGTTTTCGCTTTCTCTCGGGACGCAGTCATCTCCATCTTTTGCGCAACGCGTGCAGACATCGCCTTCAACCTCATCCAATGTCGCATCGCACCTTTTTCTTGTGGCAGATCAGGCATACCTGCAAGCGGGTCAGTTCATCAGCCTCGGTGGATGTTCACACCCCAGAGCGCATCATGACGGTTCGGCGCGGCCGCTGCATGTCCTTCTTGGCCGACATCGTGGGTTTATATGTTTCGGCGGTGATTAACAGGGTGTCATCCTCAGCATGATCTCATCATTACATATCACGGTCTTTGTGTGTGCGACAAGAGAGGCATGGGTACGGCACCGGGCAGAAGTTGGAGAGATCGGATGTCGTTGTTGAAATGAGGCGCTAGGCTCGACTGGGCGACTGGACGATAGCTTAGTGACTCTGCCCAGGTGGCTCTCCAAAGTCCACGTCCGGGTGAACACCCACATAACCTTTGTAGCGCGATTAAATTGGGTGACAGTCTGATTACGCCACTGGAGTACTGTGTTCCAAGGCTAGTCGTTCTGCGGTTTGCACATCCAACTGAACATCCCCTCACGATTCCCCTGTACTGTGTAGGCGAGGTAACCTACTAGTAATCAGCACAACTCCATCGTGCATAGATAACCGCGCCGCAAAGCTTATTGCTGAGTCTGTTATATTGCTACATCCTCAAAATGTTGCGTTGCAGGTAGAAACCGCAGTACGTAGGACAAGTAGGGGGCAGCTGTTCAGTCGGTCGTGGAAGGCCGTCGCAGTATACATCCATACCCCATCAGGAGTGCGCCATATGCAGAGCGCATAACATCAATCGTCCCTCATGGGTTGCTGATCTGCCCCACGAACAAATGAAAATAAGTAACAATGCACTGACTGCATCAGAGTCATGCTATTTTTGATTATGCACGCTCGAACCCACCCTAAATCTGCTACTCGTACAGTAGATACGGATTCGCCAAGTTGCTATGACTGTAGCTATAGGTAGAAAAAAAACTTGGGTATAGAGCACATACATTCGACACCATACAGCGGCTAACCGCTAATCAACATGGAAGCAATAAACCAAAAATAAAACAGGACCCGGATTACCAGAGATGCCAGTTGACCTTGCTCACCTTCCAACCCCACGATCCAGTGCTCCAGAAACCTAACCATGGCGAGGGATCACTCGAAAAGAAACGATGCAATGAAGCAGAAGAAGTGTGAATCTACTCAATCACACGCTCAGTCCAGGATCGCAGACCGCCTTCTTCTGCTTCCAGCCTGTTCATATCCTCACGGGCAAGTCGCACGAGGATTTCATACGGTGCTTCGTGACCGTCGATTATGGCTCTTCGGCGGGGTAAAATGATGATGCCGCCGTCGGAATTGAAGTCGGCCGTTCGTCTGATGAATTCCGGCGCATCAGATGCAGTACCAGGTATACCCCAAGCAATGTCTGCACCAAAGTTCATCCACGACGTAACGTAGATATCTGGACCGAACCGAAACCGGAGAGCGGGTTCCGTATCGCTGATGGGTGTTTTGGATTGGAAAAATGCGAGGTGCCTCTGCACCCAATCATTGTCGACGTTCTGGATGGTCTGCTTGATGTGTATGGCCGTCGACAATATTAGTTCCTCCGTAACCCTGCCTTATTGTAAGCGAATTTCAGAATGGAGAGAGGGTACACGATGATGATTCAATGAACCGAGACGCTCAATGAATCAGTGGACACTTACGGTTCCTCAGAGAGAAAATCCACGATGGGGAGTGTGGCTTTGGCGAAAAGCGCCATAGGGCCCATATGATCTTCCGTCACGGGGGGTTTCATTCTTCGCCGGGAGTCCACGGCAATTCCGAGAGAGGATTTCGAGTAGCCAGCATCCAGGACCCGCTTCGCGCGTGCCCTCGTGACGTGTATCCACACCAATGCTGTCAGTACATTGCATATCGTAAGTTGGAGGCCGTTCGGTATGCATTCCTTCAGCTTGTCGCGGAACGCACGAATCCTCGCTGCAGGGACAACAAAAAGCTTAGCAGAGCACGCCGTCCCGGGGGGAAGAGTATGCTTGTAAAGGAACTTCTCCCGAACGTAAGCATCTGCCGTTGGGTTCCCAAGCACTGGTATTCGATCATCGAGTTCCATTCGTAGACGTGATTGGTCTCTGATTGTCACGCCTTCATAGGTCAGCCACAGTTCCCTTCAATCCTTCTAATCAAACTTACAGGACTTGCCGTCCAGTTGCGTGTTGCGGGCAATGGCATGTACGTTGCTTGCAAACTGCCTCCAGAAGGCGCAGACGCCTGAGCAGTCCACAACGCTGTGGTGCAGATAGATACTCAACACCAGTCCACCAGTCAGGAAGCAGGCTTGGACAGCTAGTACGGGCAGTGCCTCCTGATTTGATGTCAAACCTTCAGCGTATGGAGGAATGCCTGGTCGATCACGGAGAACGTCTGGGCAAAATACCTTTCCTGTGAACGCAGAAGGAGGCATGCCCATCCTTTTGAGTTGTGTATATGTGTAGGGATGGTCCAATATCTTGGAGGCAAAGAGCCCGGCTTCCAGCACGTCGTAATCGCTAGTGGGATATTTCAACGAAAGCTTCCCTGTTTCTGCATCCGCAGGCCCGATGGTGCCGGCGAGAAATGGCAGAGCCGTGAGTGTGTTGCGAAGAGCTTTGGCAAGCGTGTCAACTGCATTCTGAATCTGACTGTCATCTGGGAACGGAAAGATTTGTAGAGTTTGTATGTAACATCGGGCGGCATTCTGGTCCAAGACGGATAAATGAAGCGTCTCCTCTTCGACTTTGGAAATCATATCGAAATGACGGGGATTTCTCTAGATGATCGTGTGATTTAATGGTGCTTTGTCGACCTCTGCGAGGCCCTTTGAGAATCTTATGTGGCCCGCTAGGCTTGCCTGTCACACCATGCGTGAATGTGAAGCTTTGATAGCAAACCCAGCAAAAGACACAGCCGGGAGCTGTCATGACTGCGTATTCACCGCCAGGAGGCGTTTTCACAGAACTGTGTGACCTGTCGCCGCACTGACCGACAGCCAGTCTGGCGCAATCCAAAGCACAGGATAGGGAGTGTGGGGACCGGAAGCGGAAAGGTGCTTACCGCGGCAGCGTCCCGATTCCCCGGAGGACCACCGTGGAGACAAGCTTTCTGGGAATCGATGCATCCATGCTCGATGAGAGCCTCGTTCTTGGCTTGCCGACATCCCCGCGCGTGCGGACCCAGCCGGCCTCCCGAAGAGGCGCAGCGGGAAACGGTGGGATCAAAGGTTACAGCCGACCTGTATGGGTTGGGCCGTGTCTCGTAGCAGTCGCAGCGGTGGCAGCGGTGGCAGCGGCCCGAAAGAAAAGGACAATGAAAATAAGGGTCAGGCAGCAGATGAAAAAGTTGTTTGCTTTTCCACTGGGGATCGCTTGGCTGGTTCGGCATTCCAAAGCAGTAGGGTCGTGTTGGGTGCTGCTATTAAGGGATCGAGGGCGGGCCAAGTAGTGACGTGCCCAAGCATCTCCTGGATTCTGCAAGGGAATTGGGTAATCGATGCCGGGGAATAACAAAAATGTGTTATCACGCGTATACGTGGCAGCGACTCGGTACAACGGTCATGGTGTCTCGGGCAGCAAATGCGAGAGCCATCATCGGTCGTCGTTTGACTGGGATCCGGGAGCGGCCAATTGTCGTGTTTGGAGGCTCCCAAGCGGTGAGGATACATAGCCTAGTACTCCGTACCGTAGACAGGCTGCGGTGTTTGGCATTTTGTGAAGGTGTGGAGGTTGAAACGAAGCGTGCTGGGGTCTATGCATCCAATATGTACTTTGCAGCGTGAAATGCCAAGGAGCTAACCCCTGAGCGCACACGCGTGGAAGCGGGCGTGGAGCCGTCTGGCTGCAACAAAATCCTTCAAATGTTTCCTACTGTCCTGTGGACGAAGCACACCTTGACTCCTGAGTCCTGACAACCATCCTTCCACCACAACGCCTCTGCTCCATCTCAACAAAGGCTGAAACATGCCACGCCGGGTCAGCATCGACACCGTTGATTTCACCTGCTCTGTTTCACCGCGTCGTACGGGGCTTTGGGCAACATCCGCCTTGCTTCCCACCTGCTCCATCACATGTCACATTCTCACCGGAACATGCCATGGGAGCTCTTCTTCTGATGAGGCTCTTATTTGCATACGCAATACGTGATCTCCTTCCCCCTAGCCGATACATATAGGATTGGGTCGACATCATGGGGCTCCACCCTCCGACTCGATGTTGATTTATTTGCGCCTTGTGGCGGCTCTCACGAGAAGGAGGGCAGAGGAATGTACTCGCCAGGTGCAACACGTTGAAGAGTTGGATCATGGCAGACTACGGTGACCGCCTGAGGCTCGCATGATAAATGCGTTTCGGTCCCAAGAGCGATCAAGGCGCTCGAGCTCACCATGAGGATCCGCACCTGCATGGTGCCCAGACATGCCTGGTACAACGTGCTGCCCAACACTGTATGCCCACGAGCAACCCTATGGTACCAGCACCACCAGCACTTACAGTTATTACAGTATGATTGACCGGACAAGGACCGCCGCTCTTCAGCCTTCCCTTGCGCTTGGCGAGGCGCACACCCCCTTGCATCGCTATCGACGACGTTAGATCCAAGCAGCAGCGGACCCATCTTGACGGGGAACTTCTCTCCCACGTGCTGGCCCGCCGTGAGACCATTCTGAATACGCTGGTTTCGTACTGGAGACGAATTTGGGCAGCGCGTGGCTGCTTTGGTATCACTGGAAGAGGGGGATATACCCGACACGCTTGCCGATACACACGGTTGTGCCGAGCATCGTTTGTCATTGACTCCGCTATATCGCGATCCTACTGCCAGGCTTGCCGGTTCTAAGATGCCGACGCTGTTATGGATTGTAGATGGAGAGCTCCAAAGACCGTCACGGGCAAAATTCAGAAGAAGCTGCTAAGACCTCACCTTTTCCGGGAGCCTAGCTACCAGCGCTGTCCAGAGGTGCAGCAGCGGGACCTCGTCACAGACACTGCACTGCTCCGAAGGAAATGGAACGCATCGATATGCACAACAATTGACAACAAAGTCAGCCACTTGTACAGATGTGACGCTGCGATGCGACTAGTCGGACGAAGAGTGAAACGGTATCGGTTGGGGGTTTTGCTGACTCATCCCCCTTTTCCAAGGTTCGTTGGTGGCCAAGGCACGTGAAGTGAAGTGACACGTGAGTTGACAACACCTTGAAACCTGAGGATGGAGTGCCAAACGGAATTCGAGTTAATGCTTTCAGCCAGATTTCCAGAAGGGCTGTGATGCGAGCTGTGGTAAGGTGACGATAGTAGGCAGCACATCGACTCATCGGCCAAGAGCACTGCTGTAATGCGACAACAGTACTTCCTCTTCGACATTCACCACTGTGATCGCTATTCCAACGCTTTAAGGATGCTACTCTCACCATGTCACAGTGTGGTAGCTCGGAGAGTCACTTCTTCCGCCAGTTTCAGCTGTTTTTCCGTGCATCATCACTTCGACACCAAGACTTTGACAGCGCTCGTAAACGGGCAAGCTGCCGTGATGTTCTAGACTAAGAGCCGATTATTGAATTCCTTGACTGGCGGCTAGCAGAGCAAGCAGTCACATCACTTCTATCAAGGGCACTTCACCTCCAACAACCGCTACACAATATCTTCCAGTATGTGAGGTCGAATCGAGTTTACTTAAACGCCAATCATAAATTCTCTGCAACAACTGGACTTTTTACACTACCGCTCAATTCTAACCTGTTATCGGTGCTGGTCCATCCAGTGACAATATTCTCTCATCTCGCTCTACACGTTCGCCAGGTAGCACGCCATGGGAAGAGATGCGCTTTCTGAGAAAGTCTTCTCTTTCAGTGACGAGCTGCAAAGGATGGGGTGTCTGGAAGACGAGGTGCCGAAGCCGAACCTTCGCAACGAAATCCACCCGATATTTCGCCTCGATCGATGGATGGGCGGTTATGGTCAGCCCACAGAGGAGATATACCCTCGCATGAAGCCAGCACTACGACTTGCATCTTTGTTCCTAACCGAGGAGTGTACGCTGCACTGGTGGACGCATACCATGCTAGGGGAGGAAATGACAGCCTACCACGACGACGGCTCGGGACGTACATTCAGGTATATTGAGGCGAACCCGGAAGAGTTTACCCCCAGAGGACGTTCTCTGGCCAGAACCAAACTCTACGAGATGGCCGACGTGATTATGCTAATGTTCACTCCAGAGCGGTACAAGGACACAAGGGACGGGAAAGCCTGGGGCATGTGCAGCAACCACTCGATTCGAGAATTCCCATGGGCTCAGCATTTCTGTTCACGAGACTTCCCCCACATTCCCGGCAAATACATGCAGGACAAGTCCCGCGTCCCGGAAATCACCTTCTCGCACAAATTCTCCGACTTCTACTGCAATCACTACACCTCCTCATCCAAATGTCAAATCCTCCGCGTCCACTTCATGTTCGCCATGACCATCATGCACGAACTGGCACACGCCTTTCACATGTTCATCGGCAAGGACAACGGACATAAAGAACCGCTCCACAACCAGTTCGACCGGTACGCTGAGCTGGGCTTTTCCTGGGAAATCGGTCTCACGGGCCGCATCTGCAACCCGTTATTCCACACTCTGAGGGACGTCCATGCCCTCTTCTCGGTGCGCACATACACCTGGCTACCGCACGAACTCGAGAAAGTAGCCGAAGTGCAACGCGCAACCCGATACTTCCGGGATCCGGAGAGCAGCGTGAGATTCCGCGCCATTCCGATCGATGCCAGCCTGGACTGGGTACCGACGCACGAGTGGCGTGGAGTGCAGTATTTCAATGCGCAGCAGCCCGAGTGTCCGACGAATTACATGTGCATTGTAGTCGGCATTCCAATGCAGTGGGTGGCGGCCTGGTTTTTGGAAGAGGAGTGGGAGGAGAATAGGAGGTTTTGGGCGAAGCATCATGATGACTATGGGAGTGTGAGGAGGAGGACACTGTTCATGGGAGAATGCTGGAGTTTGGTGTATCAGAAGGACATTCACGGAAGGCAGTCCATGTGGGTGGCTTCGAGGTAGGATGACGTCTGGTGCAGACTTACTGCGGGCTTCCCACGTCCGACTTAACAACGCCTTGTACCGCCGCTCCAAGTTAGATTACATATTTGGCGCAATTCAATTGGTGAGAGGCTGACTACGTTACCAGAGTGCTGTGCTTTGATAGCTGTTGAAAGTGAGAATGTGCGTTGTATAATCATGGTTTCGAAAAGAGAACATGAACCGAATGTCGATAACCCCAAGTAGTGAGACCTCGCTGCTAGCATGTCCATTTATCTTCATTGGCTCCCTCGGCAGCGTTGTGTGATCGTCACCACCTCTGGGCCGGTACCATTGGCTTGTTTACTTGCGGGATGGAGACGCAATTGTTCCCAACTACAGGCTCCATGATGTTACTTCACGGGTTCCGCTCGTAGAAAGATAGATGCGGGATAGTTCTGCTGTCTGCTGAATGCCCAGGTGGTCGTGGAGAACGGATGGAAGCCAGTCCAGGATAGGAAAGGCGCCACGTTACCGCCACGTGGCTCAGCCACAGACCCCTTGGAGCAACGCGTCGTTGTTACATTGTGGCGTGGCCTGTGCAACCACATCTCTCACATTTCCTCACCAGCGCAACGACGACGTCCGCTTTCGTTTGACCGCCAGTTCTCCCACGCCAGCAGGTCCTCATGCCGACATGTTCAATCTGCAGTCGATTGTGCTGCTGGTCATCTCCTACTTTGTGATACCACGGCTCACCTTCCTCCCAACTACCCTCCACTCTCTCCTCATTGTCTTCGGCCCGTTCCTGCTCCCGCGCCTGATCAACGTCTTCAACAGCGCCCGAGCAGCCTCGCGCAGCGTCCCGATCCGACCGACGCCTCCGAAGGTGCAGCATGCGTTGAACCTGCTTGCTGCAAGCGCCGCCGTCTGCCTCGTCCTTACATTGCCCTACTTCGCGCCCGAGAATGTCTTCCTCAAGACGCAGAGTCGGCTGCAGATTGAGCCGAGCGTACTGTTTGCGCGCCTGAGGCTCCTGCGCGACCTGACTCCGGCGGACGAAACACTGAGAATCAAGTTCGGCAGCATCCAGAACAGGCTGGTCTACCTTGCATACGGGCCTGACACGCTCCTGAATTGTATCTGGTGCAGCAGCGGCGCGGGTAACGATGCACAGAATTACCTCCTGTACAGCCTGCCAAAGCTTGTTACACCGCACATATTCCACCTCGCGGTCCTGGGCCTAGCAACGTCTTCCTTTGTCGGCACCGAGGGGTCTAGATTCCGTATACACGCGACAATCGCAGGTCTCGTGCTGTTGGTTGCGGAGGCATGGTACCTGGGGACCTACGACATTTCGGGGAACAAGAAGGCGAGAATGCTGCAGGAGATTGACTTTGCGCACTGGCGCGTCCGACTGCTACGGTACCTGTCGTTTGCTGCCGTGGATGCTGCCCTTGGTCTTGTCCTTTGGCTGACGAGCACCAACCGATGGCTTGCCAGGCCGGCGTCCATTGCGGAGCGGCTCGAGATGACTACAAGAGACGCAGAACAGAGCCTGTCCAAGCTGCATGCCCTAGGATTGCTCTCCAATTCCATCAACCGCGATCAGACACTGCGCAATGCGCGAGAGGCATACTGGCGGATGGAGGGGGAGGAAATGGCAGAAGTGGTGCAGGAGGAAGACGTCACGGCCGAAATCAACAAGGCGCTGAGCAAGATGGACGTACCCAACGTGCAACGGCAGATTGATCAGGCAGTCGACGCTCTCATTTCGGATATTGATGGTTTGGGGTCCTCGCTACATATGAGTGCGAGTGCTGCAGCTGGGGAGCAATATCAATGATCCACGCCCAGGCCGGTATCTATCCTCTGCCTCTTTCCACTGAGTCCACATACCATAGTAGTGCGGCTTTCCACGTCCGGCTGAACATGTCCTTACACTTCCTCGGTGTTGCAGCGTTCCTAGCTCCATTCAAACAGCCAGGAGTTCAGATATCACAGTCCTGGCGGTAGGCTTCAGAGTGCCCGTGTCTGATTGACTTGGGTTGAACAGGGAGGTAATGCAACCTACGAGGACACGCCAGGGGGTGTTCAGTGGGACGGGGAAAGAGGCGCAGCTATGAAGCGGTGAAGTCTGCTTGACTTTTGCCATTTTTCATTGGCGTCCACTGAACCGCTGCTTTCCGCTTATCCCAGAGGTTCCTGGGAACCAAGACGCGGAGTCATCGTCGACCTTGTTCCGATATCGCAGGTTGAGGCTGCCGTTGCCGTCTCCCGCATATTGTCTCGCATGGGGATTGCGCGTATTCAGGAATCCGATGCAGAATTGGTTCGTCCAGCTCGTCGAGGGACAATTTCCGAGTCGGTGGTGGTGCGGCTACGCCCGGCTAGCCAAGGGGACGACCGATGACATAGTGCAGGTGCACGCCCTACGAACAGAGTCCCATGCACACCGCAAGGACAAGGACAACGCCACGAGCGGTGCCAGAGTCAGAGCACGGCTCCGATATGACTGTCGATCCAAATCGGGGTGGGAAAACATCCCACTCCGACCTCCTCACCGATATCAGCCTGTTGGATAGGGAAACCCTCGGACTGTGGAGTCACTGCTATCGCCGAGTTTCATCCACCATACCTAACTAGTGCATGAAAATCTTCATGCCCGCTTTGCCCGCGCCACGGCCCGTTTCTGCAGAGGGGCTCTAAAAGAGTCACTATCACCTGGGCAGTGAAGCGGCCCGCCCTCTAGCGCGTGAGGGGATGTGACCGTCCGGCCCGGCGCTATATAGAAATGACATACCCTCTTCTCTCCGCAAGTCTACCACCCACTCATAACTCTTCCCTACGCTCTCCGCCTACAGGTTGATTCTACCTGAATTCCAATACCTTCCAACAGTCAACATGGCTCCCATTGCCGTCACTCCTCCCTGTGAGCCCGTCACCACCATCACCAAACCCTATAGCCATGGTCTCGCCGAACTCGATGCCTCCCTCCTCCAAACCACCCTCACCACCTCCCCGCGCCCCGTCCCCGCCCTAGGCTCCCCGGAAATGGCCTCCCAGAGGACCTGCACCGACCACATGATCCAGGCCACATGGAACTCGGAGACGGGCTGGTCCGCACCTACCCTCACCCCCTACGGGCCCTTGTCCCTCATGCCGACCGCCTCGTGCCTGCACTACGCAACCGAGTGCTTCGAGGGCATGAAGCTGTACCGCGGCTTCGACGGCAAACTGCGCCTCTTCCGCCCGGACCTGAACTGCAAGCGCATGCTCGTCTCGACGAACCGCATCTCCCTGCCTTCCTTCCCGCCAGACGAACTCCTCAAACTCATCGCCAAGCTCTGCGCTACCGACGGCCCAAGATGGCTCCCCAAGGACCGCCCCGGGTCCTTCCTGTATATCCGCCCCACTATGATCGCGACCGACCCGGCTCTCGGCGTTCAGCGTCCCACCGAGGCCATGCTGTATGTTATCCTGACGTGTTTTGCGCCCATGGACGACGTCCCCGGCGGTATGAAGCTGCTCGCTTCCCAGGACGACATGGTGCGTGCCTGGCCCGGAGGCTTTGGGTACGCCAAAGTGGGCGCGAATTACGGCCCCAGTCTGGTCGCGCAAGGGGAGGCAAGACGTAGGGGTTATCACCAGATCCTGTGGCTGTTTGGGGACGAGTGCTACGTCACCGAGGCTGGGGCGAGCAATTTCTTTGTGGTGTGGAGGACAAAGGAGGAGGGGAAATTGCAGCTCGTGACGGCAAGTTTGGACGAGAGGATCGTGTTGGATGGGGTGACGAGGCGGTCTGTTCTTGAGCTCGCGAGGACCAGGCTTGCGGATGCGAGTGCGGCGGCGGAGGAGGAGGGGCTGGAGCCGCTCGAGGTCGTGGAGAGGAGATATACCATGTTTGAGGTGGAGGAGGCGGCGAGGGAGGGGAGGCTGGTGGAAGCGTTTGGCGCGGGCACCGCGTGGTTCGTTGCGCCGGTCGGGAAGATCCATTTCAGGGGGAAGGATATCGAGGTCCCGCAGAGCGAGGGAGACGGCGGGAGGTATACGAAGGCGGTGAAGAGGTGGTTGAAGGGTATCATGTGGGGAGAGGAGGGGAGTGAGGCGCATGAGTGGGGGTATGTGGTTGAGGAGAAGTAAGTCCTGGTTGAACCGTGCAGGGCCATATCTTTGAGTTTTGTTGATAGATTGGCGGAGTGATTGCTGTCATGGTGTTTGTATACCCGACCAAAACGGAATTGATCGCTTTTCCCTTCACTATACTTCTTTACTCATGTGCAGTCGTTGACGAAGAACCACGCCTCCTCACACGGTTTCCACAGGTGGTGGAATGGGACTTTATCCTTCTATTAAGGAGGAACAGCTGCCCAGTTTGTGTGACCTACTTGAAGGTTTCATTGCTCTGACATGTTACAAGTTGCCGATATCATGTCCGAGAGATGCCATCACGGCTCGGCTCGAAAAGCAGTCGTCTGTCTCCTCGTGCTCATGTCCCTCTGTTGGGGTAGCGGACTGTGGACCTCCTCCTTGAACATTGTCTTTCAGGGGTTCTCTAAGAGCGTTTCTGAATTTGGATCGAGCGTATCCCGAAAAACTTCACGCTGAATAGAGATCCTGTAGGCTAAAGCAGCTTCCGGAGGATGCGCCTGCATGGTGTCTCTCTTAGGACGAAGCCATCTCTTCAAAGGCTCGGAGCCATGTGCATTGGTATGCTGTAGAAAACCGCATCCCGACAAACTCAAGATTCTCTCAGGCTGACCAACCCTACCATGCTTCCTCAGGGTGCCACACGGACCGTCTCTTCTCCATAAGCGTCCTTGAACCCAGGCATCTGCTTCGTGGACATCCACACGGTGAGGATCGGGACCCTCCGCATCTTGGCCTTCTCTTCCAGCGCATCGGCCTTTTGCACAGCTCCCAAGGTCTGAAAATCGTCCTCTGATTCATCGTCCATTCCATCGACGCCTCTTTCCTGAAGCTCCTTCTGCCTCTTCTTCTTCCTCCCAGCCCCGTCATCCACTCGGCTCGTCAACGCCGTATACCAATACCACGTCGTTGACCCCTCTCTCTCCTCTTGCACAACCCTCCTCGCAACATCCACAATCCCCACCAACTTCGTCGTGCCCTCTCCCTGCGCACTCACCGCAATGACTCTATCCCCCTCCTCGTTCCCGTCCTCCTTCTTTCCCCCAAGCATGACCGCATCCAGAGCCGCTTTTATCTTATTCACACCCGCTTTGAAGTTCTGGTTCTTCGTAAACGCAATGGGAATGACGTGCCGCTCGAGCTGGACATCTCTGCTGCTGCCAATTCGCGTCCTCAGCGAGGTCTGCAGCGCCGCTGGCAGCAGATCCCACGGTTCGTATAAGGGTGCCAAGGCCGAATTCCGCATTTGGGTCTCGAAGGGTCGGTGCTGTGGTGGTTGTTTCGACGGCAGCGTGTCCGTGTTATCGGAACACGCCTGTGTCTTCGTTTCCGTTCCTTCAATACTGCTGAAATTACTATCCTTCAGCGAGGAAATCGTGTACGGTCCGATATCCCCGGTCCTCCTCCTCTTGCATCCCCGCTCGTCTTCTTGGGCCGTCGCGGCGAGCTCGGGGAAAGGTGCGCCAATGATGGGCAGGGTGGGACCTTCGCTCGAGTAGAGGGGTGTGGGTGTCGCGTGTGTTGGGGTTTGTTTTGCCGGGGAGGAGGTGGGAGGGAAGAGCGGGGTCGAAGGGAGGTCTGGTCGTGCGGGTGTCATATTTCATGAAAAAGGAAAGAATGCGGCTTGGAACTGGGGAGAGAGAAAGATCAGGGAAGGGTAAGGTGAGTCGCTGCACGAAATTGTGAGCTCGAACGGAGATAAGATTACACGAGCGGGTAATCGCCGAGCTCGAGGTCTTTGTACTCGCACAACTTGTGGTGTCCCTGTCTACCCACATGTACACAGGTTGAGAGAATATGTGTGACCTGTGCTAGGGAAATCAAGTCTTCCAAGAGCTTGCGAGTAAAGCAGAGGGAGGTTATCCCCACATACCCTCGGGTACTCATCGTGAGCTACGCACTATTAGAAAACAAAACGGCAAAATTGTCTAGTAACTGCGCCGCTGCTTAAGAGCTTGTATCTCACAGAGACGGTGCTGTTTTTTAAGTTACTCGGCTGCTAACCTACCCATAGTGGTGGTATACAGAAGGGTGTGCCGAACTCTGTACAATGCTGTCTGATTACATCCATGCGTAGAACAACAGTCACGGACGGGTGTGCTACAATCCAAACTGGCTTTCAACCTCCCTACGCACCCTCTCCCTCTCCGCCTCGCGTTCCAGTTCCTGGCGTCTCCGCTCCGCCTCTTCCGTGATCCCCTTTTCGCCCTTTAGGCGCTGTCTTTCCTCGTACCTTGCCCGACCCTTCATGATTCTGGCCACAATCTCGCCCGCATTGACGCCTTGGAAATCGTGATTTCCGATTTCGCGGTAGATGTTGAGCGCTTTGGCCGCTGCATAAGGATCGTACGTCAGAGGCATAAAGGAGGTGATGCCGTGATAAACCGCGGATGGCGTACCATAAGGCAGACCCGTGAGGAAGGCTTTCGACAGGGAGAAGGGCGAACCGAAGATGACTGCATGTATGTACTAGTTCCGGGTTAGCAAGAGCTTGACGTGGTGATGGGGAAGAGCGTACCTTGCACTGCAAGACACAAAGGCCACGCTCGAATATGTTCATGATGGGGTAATTGATGCCCTTCCAATGATTTATCACCTCATCGTCGTGGATACCGGCAACAATGAAGACGGGCGGGTAGTCTTGGCCGTGGCTGTTGATGCGCTCCTGCCGGGCTTCCTCATCGTACCAGCCACGCTCTCGCGCAGCATCCATTTCCGCCTGAAAGACGATGCGTAGAAATTCGATATGGCCAGAAGAGAAAAGATCCCAACCTCCGTCGACATAGATGACAGACTGGCCCGGTCGAAGACCTTTGCCCTGGACCAGCTGCGAGAACTTACCCTTCTCTTCCTTGACGGGCTGGTGATGCTGCGGGTATTGGTGATAGTGATGCTGGCTACCGCTGGAGTCCTGCCGGCCACCGAGGCTAGGCCGTCGATCGTTCTGCGTGGTTCTCCGAACTTTGGCGGGCCGTGAAGCGGACCAGTACCAGACGTCACAGCCAGGTGCCAGACCGGTCTCATCGGTCGCGTAGTCTTTTATCCGTTGGCGCATGGCCTCCCCATTCTTCCTGCGCTCTTCGGCGTCTCCGCTGCCTTCGTCGCCGGCCAGCGTCTTCTCCAGGCTCTGTATGAAGTGGTTCTTGGTACACAGCAGCATGCGGCCGACCAGATCGGTGGTAGAGATGCCGGGTGTCCGTTTGACGACTTTGAACCTGCCGGCCTGCTTGACGAATCGGTAGCAGTCCTGGCCGGAGCTGTCGGAGGTGATGTCGTCGCCGTGGACGACGTACCAGCAGCCGTAATGGGTGATCCACGGGAGGGAGGTCACGTAAGGGGCTCTGGGGATGGCCTTGGTAGCCCAACGGCAGGCCTCGACGGCCATGATGCTGGGCAATCATCAGCAGTGCAAGGGCGAGGCGGCGAAGGGAGTAGGTACCGCTCGTCGAGGCGCATGACGGTGGGACCTTTGTTCTCGAGGATGGCCTCGTCCGAATGCACGCCTACGAGCAGCTCGGTACCCAGCTGGCGGGCCTGCAGCATGGCGCCGGCATGTCCTGAGAGGCTCATCAACAACTAGTAGACCTAAGGAGGGGGGTCACCAAAGACGTACCGTGATGTGCGAAGTCGAAACAGCCGTCAATCCAGATGCGCTGGTGCGAGACGGGGACGTCTTCCTGGGGATCTACGGGCCACTGGCCTGGCGAGGGAATCCACTCGCCCTTTGCGCTGTGCCTGCGTATCATGGCCGGAATAGAGGGTCGTGGTGGGCTTTGGGCGAGAGAGGGGAGATGGCATGCATCATGGAGCAAAAGTCGGAAGCAGTATCTGATGATGCGGTCAACCGCACCTGCAGCGGGGGCGGGGTGAGAAAACGGGCGGACATGGACCCTGGCGCTTTGCGGAAAAGCTGCCGGACAGGGGTGGCACGCGTGGTGCGGGGCAAAGCTGGGCATCAACCGGCAACCTCAGCCAGCCAAACCGCCATGAAAAGCTGGAGGGAACCCGGCATGGCCGGTTCCTGCGTTGTCGGCGGCTGAGCGGTGCAATGATAATCAGCTGCCTCTGAGGATACAGGAGAAAGGGCGCGATTCGACTGGCTGCACCGGCCAAGTACTGTGCGGTGATAGAGATCTCCCTGCGACTCCGTTACTGTATATGTATCCCCTCAGCCCTCCCATGGCCCATCACCGCGATGCCGTAGTACCGTACCACCATTTTCCTTCTGGGAATGCTGCATTGTTATTATTATCATGTATTGCAGCCTCGTGTCGATTATTGAGCGCCATGCAGCACCGGCCCGCTGCTGCTGAGAGTCGGATCTGCCCCTGATCTCCCCTGAGTCTCCATTTTTATTTGTCGGGAGCCGCCAAAACACCGAACATGGCCGCCCGCCCATCTCCCAAAGAATCCACCACGCCCGCAGCAACCTCCAACACTGTGGCCTCGTCCTCCTCCTCCTCCTCCCTCGCCAACCTCTTCACCAGGCGCCCCTCACTCTTCTCCACCCGGCACCACCACCACCACCACTCGGCCTCCAACACCAACACCAAGAATAATAATACGAACAGAGCTACGGCTAAGACCCCCGGCCCACACCACCACTCCCGCTCCCGCACCACCACCCCGACCCAGCTTATTCCTGCCTCCCACCAATCCGCTTCCCCCCACAGAGTGCCCTCGACGCCGCCTCGCCGCAAACACGCTTCGCGACACAGCCTTTCTTCCTCGGTCGCGGACATCGGCTCGACATTGCGTCGTTCCCGCAGTGCTTCGTTGCGCACAACCACCTCTAGCGGAACCCCCTCCTCCTCCCACCGGAGGATCCCCTCGGCCACCCTGGCGCTCTCCTTTTCCCCAGAAAAGGCCCCCGCCCCCAATCATGCGCCCCCGCCCTCCCGTCCCGCCCTCTCCATCTCCACCTTCACCCGCAACAAGCAGAAGAGCTCCGAGAATGTGAGGACCGCCGATGCCTCCAAGTACGAGAAGAGCCCGCTGAGCGCCGTCGACAACCCCAAGACCCCATTCAGTGCCATGGCTGTCCCCGTGCCTCTGCGCCATCCCCCGACCCAGAAGGAGATTCAGCAGGCCCAAAGGACACAGTCGAACCTTGGTCCTGGCTACACTGGCGGACTCGCGCCCGCCGCCCCCATCTCCGTCCCCACGGGTGTCAATCCGCACATCATCTTTCAACAGATTCACGAGCTAGCGTCAAAGAGGATATCTACATTGGACTACCTGCGCAAAGCGTACGTGCTGTACCCGCCACCCCATACCATGCTCTAACACGTTGCAGACATGAGGGTCGAATATACTGGTTCAATACGCTCCTCTTTGCCAAGACAGACCTCACCCGCCTCCCTTCCTTCACGCCCCGCAACCTTGCCCGCCGCGCCACCAATTACCTCCTCCTCGGCTTCTCGCTCCCCACCATCCTCGACCTCAACGCGAACTCGCCCACGGACTACCTGAAAGCACTGAACGCCCTCCTGGTAGAATTCGAGGCCTACCAGACCATACACCCTCCCGACGGTTCGACTGCGTCCTCGTTAAGTAGGGGCCGAATACCGCAGATGTTCAAGCGGACAAACATGTTGGGCGGAAAGGGCCGCCGAAGTTCGAGCGCCGCCAGCGAAGTTCCGCTCCTCACCCCGCAGAACAGCTTCAATGACACCTCCACCTCGGTAGACTCGCCGCCCGACGATGTGCTCCTCCCCAACGAGTCGTATACCTACTTGCAGACCCCGAGTCTACCCTTTGATCCCGACTTTTTCAGCACCTTTGCGACCCTGTGCGATGTCCTCATCGACTGCTACACCAAGATCTTGAGCATGCTGAGTACCCCGGAGAGCGTCGCTGCTGCGGGTGGCGGCGCCCCTAGCGTTGTAGGGGATTTGTTCAACAAGGCAGATGCTAGGATACGGAAGATCATACTGGCTAACATGGTACGCGAGTTCGAGGAGTCGTGTAGGCAGGGCGTGAAGACCGAGATTGGAGGAGTGGGCAAGGTTGTCTTGGGAGGTTTGATGTGAGCATTATATGCTGTTCTTCAAGATTTGCGAAGGTGCATCTGAGGAGTTTGCGTGCGTCGCATCTTTTTTTCTTATGATATCCATGGTCTGCATTGCATGAGCGGTGTCTGTGGCTTGTTCTGGTGTATTGGTATATGAAGTTATGAGGATGTATAGAATAGGCGGCATCTGCTAGTTCTCGTCTCAAAATACGTAGTCGAATCTCTCAAGAGATTGAGTCCACTTTGAAGCCGTCGATTGAATATGATGCTTGCTGTGCACTCAGCGCGACATTCACTTGTGGTGCGGTCCTTCAGCCGGATTGTGATTGGCTTGAGTTGTGCTTACATAATAACACACTCTCGAGAGCACGAGCCACCTCATTCTCCCATATCGAATCCAGTCTCGGCAGGGTCTCCCAATCCATCAGCTCGAATCGCGATTCCGCATAAGCACAATCCGCCCTCATACATCAATCATCCGGAACATAGCAAAACCCATATACAGCCACTCCAATACACCGCTGAGATCAAAAGTCCCGTCTCGCAGCCGCCTTCCCAAAAATGGATATTCGAGTCCTCAGACCGTCTGACATACCCCACGTCCAGCTCGCCAATATCACGAATTTGCCCGAGAACTACTTTTGCAAGTATTACTTGTACCATGCGATGAGCTGGCCTCAGTTGAGCTATGTGGCTGTTGATGTGAGTGGAATTTATGCTCTCTTTTTTGATCTCGAGCCATCGTGTTTCCGAATCTGCCTTCGTGTTTCTGACATTTTGTCGGTTATCAATTTGGTTTTCTTTATAGAAATATGTTCCTGTTCACGCGAATTGTTTGAAGCTTGAAGATTCAAGAAGAGAAGGATACGAAGCTTCTCCCCATCTTTTCAATGTGGTTTGTCGAAGAGTTTGATAAACGCTCTCATTGCGGGGAAGAAGAATCTTAGTGCTATACCTGACATGAAGCACTTTATTCCACCGAAGAACTGATAATCGTTCAAAATGCTCAACTGTCACTGTCTCTTGATACGTTCTTCCCCGCTTGCCTCGATTTCCCCTTCTCTTCTCCTTCCATTCCCCAGCCTCCCACTTAAAACCAACCCAGGTCTCACGTCCCCCAAAAACGCCATACGACCCACCCAAAATCGTCGGCTACGTCCTCGCCAAAATGGAAGAAGAGCCCACCGACGGCGTCCAACACGGCCACATCACCTCGCTCTCCGTCATGCGGACCCACCGCCGCCTCGGCCTCGCCGAAAAACTCATGCGGCAATCCCAGCGCGCCATGGCCGAGACCTTTGGCGCCCACTACGTCAGCCTGCATGTCCGTGTGAGTAACACGGCCGCCTTGCATCTCTACAGGGATACTTTGGGGTTCAAGGTGGATAAGATTGAGGCCAAGTATTATGCGGATGGGGAGGACGCGTACAGTATGAGGATGGACTTGGGGGATTTGAAGAGGGAGCTGAGGGAGAAGGAAGAGGAGGAGGAGAGCTCCATAGGGGTGGATGAGGGTGATGCGGTGGGGAATGAGGGGCAAGAGGGGAAGAAGAAAAAGGAGAAGCTGGTGGAGGTGAAGGTAGGGAGGGGGTTAGGTGTTGGAGAGCTGGTGGAGAGAAGTGAGGTGGTGCATTGAATGGGTAGAGCCGGGTGGATCGGGAGGGAATCGAAAGTGTTATTGCATGTGCATCCCGAGGTCCTTTGGTGCGGTTTCCAACACTCTCCGTTCTGGCGGGATTGTAGGCGATTCAAACGGATTTTCCTGGTTGATAGAGACACTATTTTGTGAATTCAGCCGGATATTTTCTCGACATGCCATTATGGAACAACGTCTCACCATTCATGGCTGCAGGTGGTCACTTGGCGGGAGATACGTGATCATCACGCGTATTGATCGGAACGCCATCGGACCGAGATCTTGGCGTTTTCCCGACCCCGAACATTTTTCTGCTCCTCTGTTCCAGTTCTATCAAGGCCCATTCCACCATGAGTGAGACCACCCTCCTCCTCGCTCAACCGTCCGTCATTCACAGTTCAAAATCATCGCCTGTGTCGTGACGCGACGCAACCACCCATTTATCCCTCCATACACACCTGGTATCTCCTGGTGTGAGGCTTGTCAAAGCTTCCAGTAGAACATGGCCCTTTCGAAGACTCGGCGACCTCAAACATGCTCCACGGTCACGAGTTCAAATAGTGTGCCTAGATCGAGCCCAAGTTCGACCTGCCAAGGTCGCATCCCTCTCGTGTTGCTGCGTCTGAGCGAAAGCCAGGACGATTTGGCGTCTAAATGTGGGAGACATTTCCGTGCTTCAAACTCTTTGTGATGTGGATATGCTGTGTGATGCTGATGTCCTTGCCGCTTCATTGCCATGTGTCAGTGTATGTATGCGGCACATCATAGTTCCTTCTTGCTGCTCTTTTGCTCTGACTTTGGGGGTCTCTTCTCCGCCCCAGGTTTCGCCTCAAACGCCATGGGCTTCTCCTTCTCCACTCCCTGTCTAACGGCCCTCGTCGTAGCAAGCACATACACTGCCCTCCCCGCCTCCGCCACCAGCGCAATCATGCTCGCGCACGCAATCCCCCACACATTGATGCTAACGCTGCCCAGCGGGGCCCGGGGAAACGACAGGATCCATTCTACGTAGTACGGTACCCAGCCGTGCGGGATCCAGAACATGGCTTCGCGGGCGAACCAGAATTGCAGGGCGAAGCGGAGGCCTTGGGTCCCCAGCCAGCGGAGCGTGGCCACGGTCGAGGTGAAGCGGGTCTGGTGCGTGCGCAGGGAGGAGTCTGTACGAGAAGAAGAATAATCTATCAGCTCATGCACAATATCGGCAAAGGTGTATCTGAGGAGAGAGGGGACGTACCCAGCTTCTGGAACTCGGCCATCGCTTTATCGTGCTGGCGCTGCAGCTTCGCCCAGCGTGCGAAGTCGTCCTGCGCCGAGACCAGGCCCAGCTCACGCTTCAGCCGGACGATGTCGCGTTTCAGCGCCGTGACCTTTTGCGCGGCATTGTGCGTCGGTGTGGGGAATTTGTTGTAGAGGATCCATAGCTATAAGTGCGAAGTTAGCATACTTCCGGCGGGGGAGGGGGTTAGGGATGGCGTACCAACTCGTTGATGGTATTTGCACCCACGGTGTTGATGATATGCAGGACGAGCTGTAGAATAAAGACTACGAGGAGGAGGGAGGGCATGGCGGCGGTGGGTGGGGTTCGATGTTGCGCCTGGTGGGAGGTAACGCCAGCAGCACGGTGCGATGTCATGGTGATCTTGAGCTTCGGTGGTCTGTGCGGCTAGGAATTGCTTCCACTCTCCCCACTCTGATCAATCCCCTAACGTGTTGCCTTCTGCCCCTGTTCGCTTGAGATGAATGAGGACTCCGGAGATGAGATACAAAAGAGAGCCTATAATACGCTGAACGAGTTCTTCAAACATCACAGCAACGAGGTGGTAGAGATCGAAATACTGCCGCCCGCCTTCCCAACTCCAGATGGAATCCTTATACAAGAAGGCTTGAACCTGGGGATACATAAGAAGGTTCTTGCTCTGGCATTTCTCGAAGCAAGAGCTATCTTTTTCAATGGCATCAAAACAGGCAGTATGGCCTGCACGGAGGCACTGGAGGCTTCGAGCGTGATTTTACTCTTCGACCCAGAGCATATTACAGCCGCGAATTTCCGCAAGAGGAGGCTGCTGGAAATGGCCGGGAACCCGCTTGCATCAAAGGCTTTGGGACATGCCGTGGACCAAGAGCTTATTTTTCTAAACAGCATTCTGACCTCCCCATTACATCGGCAGTCAAAGTCGCCTACTCTCTGGTACCATCGCACTTGGCTTCTCCAATTCCTGGTGCCCATCAAGCCGGAGGGTATTGACGGTGCAGCGCTTGCCTCATTTGTGCTCCGGGAGTTGAACGCCGTGTGCAAGGCGTCAGAGCGACATCCGAAGAACTACTACGCATGGCTGCATGCTCGCAGGCTTGTTGCCAAAGTGGACGGGTTGCGGCAACATTCCACCAACCAACTCCGGGAAGATAGTTACGATTTTATCATTTTGGAGTCTGCCCGGAAGGTACAACAATGGTGCTTACGGAACCCGGGTGACGTTTCCGGATGGTCATTCCTCATCTTCCTTCTCAAGAGGCTGCGAGCAGTGAACGAGTGGAATGCTATTGTCAACCGGACATTGGATTTTGCAGTAAACTTGGGTTGGGAGGGCGAGGCTCTGTGGATGTTCCTACGGACCGCACTTGCGGATAATGCAGCACCTGATCGGAGGACGCTGGCTATGCATAGATTACGCCACTATCAGAGTGAGAGGGAAAAGGCAAAGAATTCCACACGTGAAGATGGTCAAGACTTCTGCCGGAAAGCTGTTGAATGGATTCAGAGATACAGCATGACATGATAGGTCAACGTTTCAACCGAGCCCACATCTGTAACGCAACGTTCCACACCCACACCAGTAGACACACAATCTGGTTCCACAAGCACATGAATGTGCTTCTCTCTCTACCACCATCTGGAGGGGCTTTGGGCGGGGGCAAAATAATGCCATTTCTGGCTTGTGTTGCGATGTGAAAATCCGATTGACGCGGCGTAGCTTTTCCGCAATCCTCCTCAGATGCTACGGTTGACCCAATGTCAGCATCAAAAGACGGTGTAGCTACTGGGCGATCGCGAATCTCTTCATAAATAGGATCGATTGCGATAGGTCTCGTTGCCGTTGGCCGAAAGTCGTATTCCTGATACTGAGGTCCGGCTTCATACGTTGTGAGGAGTCTTCCCTTCGCCAATATCCGAATCATCGACTCCCTCTCGAACCTGTGCTGCGTGGACCAAGGAGCGTCCGGGTTGTTGTATGGCCTCAGATACGACCATTTCACCTTGTAAATGTGGCGCAAATTGACGTACGAGTCCCACCGCAACGAAACGCCATCCGCCAACTGTAAAGTCGGGAACCTTTTCTTCGCCTTTTTCGACTTTGCATCAGGATGATCAGGTGCCGGCGCGATGGGGAGGTACCATGACCGCCGACTGGTGTGAAATTCGTTGGCTTTTCCGTATATCTCATGCAGTTTTCTGCCTTGGAAGGATGTGATCTGCAAAGGTGAGCCTGGTTCTACCGCAATATGGCTTTCAAACATACCAGGTGGAAGTGGACCATACTAGGATCTTCCGCTGGCCGCGAGATAACGACAATTGGGTGATCGTATATGCCTTCTTCTACGGCCCCTTTACCATGTGCTCTGCGTACTGCCTTCACCGGAAGCTCAGCCTTTGGTGGGAGCCACAGGATTCGGCCTTGAACAATCTCATCCTCCGCCACTGTTCCTTCATCTTTCTGGCCAGAGGATCGCCATTGGTCCGATATCGAACTTGTCGGGGACGAACTTCCAGTTGAAGGGGTTGTAAGGAGGGTGGTATATGCCATCTATACTTCCTCTCGAATGGCTTGGAATCATGGCCTGACGCCATCGCGATGCTTCTGCCCTTCATATACCACAGTATCAACCTCGCCGCTCTCGGTGCATGTCTGTTCCTTTCAAAGTTACGAATTCTATCGGGCATGGCTCAGCGCCCATCAGCTAAGATGGCACGGTACAGAAGCATACGAATGACTTCGCCGCTGAATTTTGGTCCTGCGGACTCTCCGCCTCGCCACATAACGATGCCACATACGGAATTGCATGAAATGCTCAGCTTGGACAGTAGCGCTGGAGTATCGCCCACCCCGACCCCGACCAGAGTCTCTGAGCCAATCAATAAGTTCGCACAGCCACAGTTGTAATCGCACATATCACAGCCTCACGCCGCGCGGTTTGCCTTTCTGCCCAATGAGACGGGGGTTTCGGCTACACCGCTATGCTTTGGTTTAAGACTCTTTCGCAACAATGTCACGGATCCTACGGAGAAGTTTCTGTGGTGTCGCTCTCCACCACCGACTGAAGTCCCCTCTGCACATCCTCCGCTGGTTCAATTACGTGTTCGGTGCAACCCAACTGGTTAAAATCTGATTGGGACATTGGACCCTGTGCTTTGGAACTTTCACAGTATGCAATATACTCTGAGAGATGCTTTCAAGGCCAATGGGGGGGTCTATCATACCCTGCGCCTCCGGCTGTTCAGTAGGGAGTGGAAACCCGCAGTATGGTTCTGGTTTACGCCTCTTTCGCAATCGGGCTTGGATTTTAACTCTCATGTGGCTGGTGACGAGAGCCACGTTGGCTTGCGTTATCACCCTGAGGCACGACTCGAGTTCCCCAGTGACTGGACCTCAAGGTTCACCCCGTCATTCACCGCAATCCGGACTTTTGTAAGCAGCAGTGACGAGAACGTCCACCTCGCCATAGCGTTGAATTGGCGCACAGGGAACAACATCGCGTATCGGCTTCAGCGTTGCCTTAGGCTATGGGTTTTCGACTGCCTCCAGATTGGCTCAACTGCTGGAGATCAATTCAAAAGGGGCCAACAATCCGTATGTATGGCTGGTGATTACGGAGCGGGCGAATATACCCCACGATTTGGATCCTACGAAAGGCAAATCGCTTTAGGCGTTCGCACTCCTTTGTGCTACTCAGTGACGGCTGTTGTTGACCAACAGTTATCCACTCCTTAAGCTTCGATCCCGTGGCATACCAATACCTGTAATTGGTAGTGCGCAGTAATTCTCAAGCTCGGTTCCTGTCATTCTCTCGTTCCTCCGTTTAATTCTTTGGATACTGCCCTGGTGCCCGGGATTACCGATGGCGCTGCAACCAACTTGTGCAATCTCAGCTGGTTTTGCATTCCTGCACGAACGACGGGATTTCAACACATTCCTCTAGCATGGCACTGGAGAGACGAACCTTGCCCCCCTATAGATGTCCCAGGGATAAGCTCATCGGCGTCTGGTCTTGTGCGGCTTTCTACGCTGCAATTCCTCTGTAGGTGAGGTTACCTAGTCAGCGCAGCTCAAATTGGCTACCACCTAATAGTGATATGAGTAGGCCTGCATTTTAGAGTTTATTATTAATATACTTGGATGCTGCCGCTTTTCGCCTCTAACTTGTATGCGCTGTTGAGCGCAAGTTAATCGACTGCAATCTAGTTAGGTTAGAACAAAACAGGCGCTCGACGATTATTTGTGCCTAGACAGAGGTGCTGCAAAGCCTATTGCAGAGATTGTTGTATATGTGTAACTCCTAGCTGTTCAATTGGTCAGGGACGTGGAGAACAGCAGTACAGATGAAGTGCAGGGCGATTTTCCGTCGGATGTGAAATGAGGCAGTATCTCCTCTAGCTTACCCTGAAAAATAGGTGACATGATAGTTTTCTATGCGCTAGCATCACTGAGTCCTCTCTCAACGCTTGATACGCTTAGGTTAGAACGAAACTGGACACTATCTTATGCTGTCTTCGGTGTCTAGTTTTAGGCATGAGAAGAAATCTTACCTGTATACTCTTACAAGAAAGCTGACAGGTATCGAGAATGTATTAGGTCGACTACTGGTTTCAACCGCGAGGGCAACGGAAACAACAGCAGATAGCATGTATTGCGCGTCCAGAGAGCAGTCTGTGTTTTCCCAAGCTAGTCTATTGATTTCTCAAAGAAGGGCACCGGCCGCGGGTAGACCACTTCGCTTACTATACCAAATGCAGCGATATCAGAAATCGCCCTGCAACGCCGAACTGATCACAATAATGGTGAACGGGAAAATCTGCCCTTCTTTTAGGGCCGCTTTAGTAGTTCAATGTTTCTTAGGCACGGTTACCGCACCGGTGAAGCTATAGGCTTCCTACCGACGAAATGGTCCCTTCTCTGGAGGATGAGGATCGCCTCGGGAGTCTGACAACCGGGTTAATCTACCTTATTTCTGACATATGCATCTCACATCCGTCCTTACCACACCCCATTCTTTGCCCTCGAATCCCATGCCGCGACCGTTCCGCTGGCGTAGTTCGCGCTGGCGCCTCGGCCTCTTCCTTCTCCTCTTCCTCCTCATAGAAGACTTGCACCACCAGTACTCTTATCACGTGCACCGTCCCTCCGTCCCTCTCGATCCTCCCTTCCAGGTAGGATGTCGAGAGCCACCCTCCAACCCGCAGCGAGAAAACGCCACAATAATCATGCTTACACGCAATGAGGACCTTGCGGGTGCAGTGGCGTCGATGTTGTCATTTGAGAAACACTTCAATCACTGGTATCACTATCCAGTTATCTTCCTAAATGAGAAGCCGTGGAGTGAGGAATTCGTGAAGAAGATGACGGAAGTGGTTAGCGGAGAGGTAAAGTTCGAAACAGTGCCTAAGCAAATGTGGGATGTCCCGGAGTGGATGAACAGGGAGGAAGTGATGAGGAGCCTTGCAGCGCAAAAGGAGAAGGGTATCTACAAGGCGGAGATGGAGAGTTACCATCACATGTGTCGATTTTATTCGGGGTTAGACACCTTTCAGTCCGCAGAAAGGACGCCATTTTGGTTCCGTGCTTGAAGCTAATGGTCAGAGGCAGCTATTTCTACGACGTCGAGGCCTTGAAGCCATACAGATGGTACTGGCGCATCGAGCCTGACGTTGAGTTCTCCTGTGCAATAACGTACGATCCATTTACGGAGATGGCAAAGCATGGGAAAAAATATGGCTACACTATCGCCCTATGGGAAGTGGATAACACAGTTCCTAGCCTCTTTCGGGCAGTGAGCGATTACAAGCGAGAAAAGCACCTTGCGTTGACGGATTTATGGCGTTCCATGGTTAGAGCTTCTTGGACGCCCATTCCTTTCCGCTCTCTTCAGAGTCTATGGCCATGGCGGGACAGTTCAGGCGACAGCTGGAACCTATGCCATTTCTGGAGCAATTTCGAGATTGCAGATATGGATTTCTTCCGAAGTAGAGAGTACCGAGACCTTTTCGATTATCTGGATAGGGAAGGTGGCTTTTACCATGAGCGGGTAGGTAGACATGTTCATTGCACTTTGGCTACATTCATTGACAGTGAGCCAGTGGGGAGACGCTTCAGTCCATTCTTTGGCAGCCGCTTTGCTGCTCGAACCGCGACAGCTCCATTATTTCCAGGATTTCGGCTACTTCCATGAACCGTGGAGGGTGTGCCCTGCCAATGCAAAAGGTAAGCAACTGCCAGGATCCAGCGTCTTGGGTTCTGGCGACACAATTTGGACGAAAGAGGAAGACGATGGCGTAGGGTGTCGATGCGAGTGTCAACCGGGCAGGAACTTTCAGAGCATTTGCTTCAACCACGTCCAGAAAGGCACACATACCAAGCCGTGGGCCAATGTCAGACAGAATACCGAAAATGGAGCATGGTTCCAATGGCGCTAGCAACTGGCGTTTTCTTCTTCTTCTGGTGGTGGCGGAGGTCCCCCGGTCTTTCGCACTCCGTATTATATATACCTTTAGGTCTCAACCCTCACAGAAACATATGGTTGGAAAATAATTCTGTTTGTGGAATGCACCGACCACTCACATAGCGTACGGCAGAGCAGAGGAGTGGTCAAGTGGGAGTTATGGATCGCGGGTGCGGATAGACTCGGTGCTGCCGCCTTTTATAAAGTATACTATGTGCTAAAGCAAAGTTCTACGTATAGCATTATTAGGTAGTCACTGATTAGGCTGCGCTAACTAGGTAATGTCACCCACAGAGGAAGTGCGGGGGCGTTCACATGGAAAGCAGCAACAATGCAATGGAGCGCACTATCCTAAACCGGTCTAGCGTTGTATCTCTCTTTCTCTCAACACCTGGGCAAGTCATCTTTCCCAGGCCTTGTCGTACTATACTGTGCTCCACACGTACCCAAACATACTGCCAACCATGAATAGCGATGGACAGCCGCCACACCGCGTCGTTCCACCGAGTAGACGGAGAGACAAGCCTGTACTCTCGTGTTCCCTCTGTCGTCGGCGCAAGTGAGTCTGAGCCTATCTTGTGTCAGCTACAGATGATCAACTCATGCTAACTGAATCTATCAAGGCTGAAGTGTGATCGTCAGCAGCCATGTCAAAGCTGCGTACAGCGCGGGTTATCGCTTGCCTGTACCTATGTCCAGCGTGACGTCGGACATGGAAGCAAAGCTGCGCCAGAAAGTGTACACGACAGAATCGACCAGCTTGAGAGGCTTGTCACCGCCCTCATGGAAGGGAAGCGAAATGTTCACAGTAGCTCACCCGCTGTGTCTAGCCCTTTCCTACCTTTAGACGAAGACAATAGTACTAAGGAAATTGGTGGTACTCCTGATCGTGTGAACTTGGGTGACGACGCCACCAGCTACGAGAGCAGTGGACACTGGACGAATATTCTCGACGGCATCACCGAACTGCGCGAGGAACTAGACCGCATTGCTGCGACTGAAAAGCAGGTGGACCGCGCCGAAGTCGATATTTCTGGTCCAGATTTGCTGTTTGGGAGACAACGACACCTTACAAAGAGCGAAATCCTTGCAGCCGTCCCTCCACGATCCGAAGCCGATGAACTGGTCATCACATACTTTGCATCAATGGATATGGCTCCAATAGCACTCCATCGACCGTCCTTTATGCAAGAGGCAAGTACTCCCCTAGATGTGCTGCGTCCATTGCACTCGGTTCAACTTCGAGATGACGGACCCGTTTCCCTCTCTGCGCTAACAGGATTGAATAGTACAATCGATTCTGGGAACGACCTTTTGATACGCCAGTCATGTGGCTTGGCTTGTTATTCTCCATCTTCGCAACCGCAACTCGGTTCCGCGTTGTGCTTGATAATCCAGACCGTCTCTGTACTCATGCGGAATTTTCCCTCTACTCCGCACGAATGGATCTCTATCGAGAGAAGGCTGTCCACTGCTTGATTCTCGCCAATTATTCAAATTGTCCTCCTTACACGATCGAGGCACTTCTCCTGTATTTCGTCACTGAATACTTCCGATTCCAAGATGCACAATTCGGCATCTACGTTCTCGTCGCCATCATTGTCCGCCTCGCCTTTCGCATGGGGTACCATCGAGAACCGTCCCGGTTTCCCAACATATCCGTTTTCCAAGGCGAGATGCGGCGCCGAGCCTGGGTAATGATTGTACAGCTGGATTTGATAACGTCGACACAGTTCGGGTTACCCCGAATGATACAGCCTTCAATGTATGACGTGAAGGAACCCAGAATCCTCAATGAAGAAGACCTGAACCCCGATATGGGAGAGTTGCCCCCGTCAAGATCAGGATCGGAGCCCACTCTGATGCTATACGTTTTGGTTCGTAATCGCCTACTTCAATTATTCTCTCGCATAACGGATCTCACTGCGTCTCTGACGCATCCACCCCATTCCGAGGTACTGAAACTGGATCAGGAGATCCAGATTATGCATGAGAATTTGCCACCTTCAGTCAGGGCAATATCCGTCAGAGACTTTGACAATGCAGACTCTACCCACGCCATGTGGGGCCTCTTTCTGGGTTTGAGCTTCCTCCGGGCAAAGCTAATGGTACACCGTCCTTTCCTTCTTCTAGGTCGAGCGGACGCTCGCTTCCAGTATTCTCGTATTACCTGCCTCACTACCGCACTCGAGCTCCTCGAGTTCCAAAGGAAATTAGACATCGAGTCTCGTCCCGGGGGTCGCCTCTGGACAGTTAAATGGCGACTGTGGTCTTCCAGCTGGCGCTTCTCCTCTATAGTCAACCATGACTTCCTACTAGCAACTACTGTGTTGTCGGTGGACCTTGACAAGGACCTCACGTCCACATCTCCGGTCTCCCCCAGTGCAGGCCAGTCACTTGAACTTGGGAGCCCAACTCAGGCAGAAATCGTTACGGCATTAACAAATGCATACACGATCTGGAAAGGGCAGAGCGAGCATTCACGTGAAGCTCGGAAAGCTGCCGCCGCGGTGCGTTTGGTGCTTCGCAAGGCATCGGTGAACGTGGACGACGATGGTATAAGAGGTGAGTGCAATGTCGGCTTACCCTCACCCTCGACAAAACGTGCGCTTGTTTGATCCCCTTGTTTGATGCTATGCATGCCTGTGCCGAGGCTGACAATCTAGGCAATTGGGCCACCGAAAGCTACCTGAATAGATTTTCTCCAGTCGACATCACCGGTCTGTTTCCTCCACAAGGAGACCCACAATTCCAGAGCCAGCTATTCAACTCTGATTATATAAGTTTTGCGAATCTTGACTTCACGCAGTCTCTGTTTCCAGATGCCACGGGGAAGCTCCCAGGAACCGATTGGGTGAGAGGAACAGATGAAGCATGAATTGGGCCGGTTTTGACTGACGATTCTAGACTCTCATGAATCCTGGACTTGGCCCGATATAGCAATAAGGGCACTTTTGCCGGAATATGCAGCTGGTTCATAGGGGTATAGTTTGTGTAGTAGTACCTAGAGACCACTTAGAGTGGCTACAGCAGTGGACGACGAGTTCAATGACGGTTATAATACTATGAATATCCTCATTTCCAATTGGAAAAACGGAGTGTAGGGAGCTTGCAGGTCCAGCATAGTGTGTAGAATACCGCTTTCGGCTTGAAAGCGTTGCTTCGCCTCAGGCATCTGTATGAATACAAGGGGTCGGAATAAGGTTTAGTCTCTGTTAGTGATATATGGTGAACAGTTCACTATTACCTGCTCGTCGTGGGAGCGTTAATTCCTCTTCCTTGGTGGGGCCTATTGTATCCATGAAGAATGGGGAGTTTGATGAAGGTGGGGTTTTATCTAGGGGTCATCTCATCACTGCTTTCATAGAGAACGAGCAACAGTGTTCCCATACAATGGGTATGTGAACGTTTTGGGATAAGTCTAGCCAGATGTCATTTCTAGAAATGGTGGGAATCTTTAATCAATTTTACTGCATCCCTCAATCGTGCGAACCAGGGGCAACAGATAATCACTAGGAAGGCTGGATTGTTAAGTGGGTGCCCTTCAAATTCAATCGCTAACCTTAACACTTGACGAGAAGAAGCATAACGAGCGCTTGCAAGGTGAAACCATCTGGTGCAATTGCCTACCACTAATCGATTCGATCTTTTCAGTATAACCCTATCAAAGACTTAAGGCAGGGGTCTTCCTGGAAGTTCATCTCAATCTGTACGCCGACCGCCTCAATGCGAGTCTTCCGTTATCCGTATGATATGATAAGGATGTTCTTAGGCCTCTCTCAAATTTGCAGACGTTGCGGTGCAAGCTCTTGCAGCTTGACCATCAGAGACAGCTGTAAGTACTTGCGCAGCTTCTTGATACACATTCGTGTCACCTTAGGAAGGGGTCAGGTCAATAAGCCATTGCCTATTGCCTATAAACTTTGATCAATCGAGGTTAGCTCTCGGATGAGAATACGCTTCTGTCCATCTCCTTAGCCACCCTGGGGCAACAACCCTTGATTACTATTTCTACTCATTCCAAGGGTTGTTGATATTGGGTGGCATGAAAACAACACCGACAAGTAGTCTAGTCTAGTAACGAGTAGACTAGCAATCCTCGCCTAAAGTGAGACAATATCTTGTGTGGCTGGAACAGTGCCTCTCTTCACGTCCGACTGAACACGATCGTGCGCGCAAGGGTTATTGGCCTGCTATACTCAGTATTACCGAGGCTGTTTCTGCTTTTGACGGCACCTCTGTCTAGGTATATCGGCCTTAAAAAGCCGTGCTCCAGTGCCGTAAACAGGATGCGAGCGATTGAATTTTTGAAATAGGAAATCGAATTTAAAGCACAGGTACAGTGCGGAGGCGCAGTCGGACGTGGGAGGAGGCAGTATCATTGGGCGGTGATGCTGTGTGCAAGCAACGCTTTGCTCTAATCTGAGGACGGATAACGATGCGTAATTGTTTCCGGCTTTTGCAGCAGCTGTGACTACGAGCCGCAGACGACCACACCAGGTCATGAGCATCTGGTTCAAGGGCCAACACAGGGGGGCTACTTTTAAATGGACCAGAGTCCGGTGGGCTTCTACTTTGATGTGGTAGTACTTGGTGTATGAATGTGGAATTCGTAGTCTGATTTGCTGCGGTACCACTGGAAAATCGCGCGGAATCGACGGGGACTAGCTTTCACTTACGCCGTCGTCGCGCAATAGCCTTTAAAACATCAATGAAGACCTTCCTTTTGCATGGAATACACAGTACGTCAAGCATGTTCCACATTCTCCGTCCTCTCACTCTTCCTCCTCCTCTTCATCGTCCAGAAAATGATCTCTCCAATCTCTGCCTCCAATTTCCGCCACTTGTCATCTGGGGTCTCCGTCTTCGGAACCAGGGGATTTTTCTGTACGAGCTCGAATCCGTATTTTTCGTAAAACGGCTTACCCATTGGGGTCGCGTCGAGCCAGAATTCGACATCGAGCTCGTCCGCTTTGTCCATGCCCCAACGTAGAAGCATAGCACCGACGCCTTGGCCCCGATACGACGGGTGCGTGAAGATGATGTTTAGGACTGTTGGGCGTTATTCAGGGGCACACTAAGTAGAGAGGAGGCCACTGGCAGTGAAAGCCAAGGTTGTGGCAAACCGTCAGCAAAATTTCGCAGGGTGACATACAGACGTGAGGCTTTCTGGCCCCTTTCCTTCTTGGCTCCTCCATCTGCCCAATCGCCTGCGTCACGAAGTCCCTCGTACTGTCCTCAGGATACCAATCGGCCACCTAGCCACGTGGGCGGTTAGCTTCAAGCATTCTCAAATCTCAAACGCTTGCAACAGAAAAGAAAAAACAAAGAAGAGCAAACGGTTTCATACCTCGTCCTCCTCATGCTGAAACGGATCTTCCTTGTAAATCTTGTACCATGCAGCTCCGGCAATTCTGTCTTCCGCCGCAGCGGTCGCAGGGGCCTCATCGTCAACCACCTTGAGCCAATGCGCGTCCGGCTCGTGCTCATGCCACGCCCACTGCAGCGAAGCGGCCTTAGTGATGGAATCTTCACGCCCAGTTTCGTATACCGGGCAGAAGAGTCTGAAGAATGGCTGCATGGGGTTCTCATACGAAAGCCACTCGCACGCCATGACAGGCTCGAAATCGGCACGGTCCGTTACGTGCGTGAGGCGAAGCGGCATCTTCGACTTGTGTTCTGCGGGGAATTTCGTCTGGTGCTGTGTTACACCCGAATCCTTTTGTTTGAAGTGTTGTCTCCGTGCCAATCGAGGTCCTTTTGCTTCGGCACAGATGAGATCGGTGTCGTTTGGACGAACGCTCAAATCTCGAACCACTGTGGCCCGTGGGACCGTCTCGATTTACCCCTTCGGCTAGCCTGGGACCGATATGGAGCATGCATGCCAAAACGCCATACCCTGCAATCCTTCAAACTTAAATGTCCCAATGGGATAGTTTGCCGGCCCTGAGGAAGTAAGCCCGAATCGGATACGGACCGACGGCACCAGCAACCCTGCTTATCTGCTGAATTCGTCGAACTGCAGGCTGGGCGGATTACGGCGCACACGGCCTTTGATGTTGGTTGGACTCTAGCCGCCACTCTCCATATGGCCTGCTTGGTGTAACCTTCCGCTTTCTGTACTTACATATGTAGTACTCAGAAGAAGATAACGATAAAAGTTCTGACGGTGATGCTTCGAAGAAGTTCCTCCTTTGACGTGGAGAACGGATGGGCGGAGGCGATTGGCAATCTCCCGCCGAGTAGTGGGAACTGGTGAAAAATCGGCTGGGCAAACTCTCGGGCACTACGAGCGCCGGCCACGGGTGCGGGCCGCGGTTAAGATGGACCTTAATTCATCCTCTACCAATCAGATGATTGTCATGTACGGTGTAATGATAGCGCGTCAATACACAAGAGTACGGTTCACAGAAGAGCGGGGGTGCAACTGTAACCTTGCTGCGCCGCAGATTTTACATGTGTGACGACTGTGGGCACCGCAGAAGCGTGGGTAGGGTAAAGTCGGACGAGACTCCTCCAGATTCCCAACGGTTGGGATCCCGTTGCTATTGCAGCAGAAGCGTAGGCAGAGTCCCACCTCATATGATCCTGCTCCCTTCTTGCGCAGGCATTTCCCCTTCAATCATCATGTTGGAAGCATAGCCGCCTCAACACTCCGCTCCTTTGCCCCAGAGCGCTGTTGTTATTACTCCCCCAGACTCGTCTACGCTACGCGCGTTGGTACCGATCACTTGGGCTTCAACGCTTCCAACCTGTCACTTTGCATGTGCTCGTGCTCCCACGTCCACCTGGTCCCTCGCTCTCGCTGATCCCGCTGTATTTGTTCCAAGCAGCATGTCCTTCATATTACTTGTACAGTAGCGCGAGTCTCCCCAATCGAGTTCTTTTCCGCTCAGCTGCGACGCCTGCGAGGCACTCCGAGCATGTCGCCTTCGTCCACGCCGATGAAGCTGGACCAGGTCATTGTGTCCGACACGAATCGCACTCCCATCGTTCAAATCATCACCTGGCTGTGCCTGGTGACGAGTTTACTGGCTTTCCTCACGCATGCGGGCATCAAATTCTACGTGTTTCGGGCCCTGAAAATCGAGTCGTGGTTCGTTCTCGTCTCACTTGTAAGTCTCACTTTCGCACAAACACCACCGTCGGAGCGGTGGCGCTGACGACGATGGAAACAGGCCTTTTGCATCGCGCAGTCCATCGCCGTTATCATACAATGCGCCAACGGCTACGGCAAACCGTTGGCAGACTTGACGTTTGGTGAAATTCAAGCCAATCTCCAGGTAGGTTTCCCGCACCAATTCAAAAACAGCCACGATCAGCGCGCACTGAGCGCGAGTACGCACTATTGTTCACGATGAACAAGAGTTCCCACCACCCGCCGCTGGACACCCGTGCTGATTCGACTCCACTTGCAGAGCGAGTATGCCTCTACGATCCTCCTCTTCGCGTCGCTCGGATTCTCCAAGCTCGCCATCGGTGCCTTCGTGCACAACTTGACGCCGTCGAAGCTGCACCGCAAGATCAACTATGGCATTGGCATTGTCGTCGGCCTGTGGATCATCTGCTCGATGCTGGTGGCTGCATTTCAGTGCCGTGTACCGCGACCCTGGGACAGGCTGCTGAAGGAGCGATGTACGGATCGCGTGAGTTGCCCCCAACCAGCAACCCGCCCATCTGCCGCCGTCACTCTATGAATTGCACCGTCCTCTAACAGTTCATCCTCAGTTTGCCTGGTGGAATGCAATCGCAGGGTGGAACATTGCCACTGAACTCGCCATTGTCGGGCTGGAACTCGGCATCACGGCGAAGCTGCACGTCAAACGCCAGCGAAAAGCCACCGTCATGACTCTCTTCGCATGTCGCCTTCTGTACGTACCCTTCAACCTGATGGAGACGGAGCTTTAGGGATTCTTGAAAGCTGACTACATCCACAGCGTCCTCATAGCGGCGGCTGTCCAACTCTCCTTCTTCTACAAAGAAAGCAATGACCCCAAACTAAAGGACGACATCACGCTCGGCTACTGGCGTTCCACGACGTGCACCCAGGTCATGCAGTGCCTCGCCATCGTCACCACCTGTCTTCCTTACACCAAGATCTTCATGGAGGGCTTCGAGTCCGGACTCATGCGTCTGGACGACCTGAGGCGCAAGGGAGAACACACATCGGCATACAGCAGATCACGCAGCAAGGAAAGCTACCAGATGATTAACATGAGTGGCTCAAAGTCTGCACGGTCGAAGTCGACGCGCGACAGGACCCAGGACAGGTCGGCCAAGTCGATCAAGGTGGCGCAGAGTTGGGCAGTGGAGATCGCAGAGGCCGCCGAGAGCGACTCTTCGTCGACAAAGAACCTACGCAGTGATGGCGTGGCGCATGAAACGAGTGTGGAAGGTAGGAGGACGGCGTTGTGACAAGAATACCTACCGAGGATACGGCTGTTTGATCATTTCAAGGGTGAAAGGGTCTAATGCACCGGCCCAATGTCAAAAGTTTGTTACGCTTCTTACATAGATGGGCCGACATATCCCTCAACGGTTCACTGTACTTGTATATAGAATTAATTTGCCGGCGCAAAAGGAGCGACTGGCGAGAATGGAAATTCCAAACTTTGCCCGCCAAGATCCTCAACATTTCCCATGCCTTGACGCGAAACCCCCCGAAACCCCTTTTACCGAACCGGCAATCCATCCCAGTGGTATGTCACTGCAATATTATTGACAAGGTGTCTGAGGTCTCGGTTACCACACGAATCCTCCTCTCGCCATGTCGCGGCTTGCTGGGCCCCAATTTGTGACTAGCTCGCGGCTTTTCCCTTACTCTCAACCACACACACCCCTTCCCCCAGTCACACAACCCTCAAGGGTTATCCAGCGGCTGATCCACGCTTGCGGAACCGGCACAGAGAAGCCGCCTGGGGACCCACCAACATTGGACGATGAACTGCAGGTGGCACCAAAAGACCAGACCCTGTGTGCGCCCTCCGTGATGCCCATGTTACAGGCGTTGCAGAAGAGAAGCAAACAGGAAATGCTGCGACCTCGGTTACAAGCGCGCGGGCGGCGTAGCAGCTGGTGGGCAGCTGGCTAGTCTAGGGTATGCTGTAGGGTGGTATCAAAATCGGCCCAGAGGGTGTTGAGGAGGAATGCTGGATTGGGCCATACGAGCGGCTCCCTTCAGACGATATTGCATGGGCACCGGCATGTGGCCAGGGGAGTGGCACCTTTGCCGCGTGCGAGGATTCTTCTGGCACCCTATTTTCCTTTCCTTCTTTGCAGGTTCCGTCGTCCTTCCATCAATTTTGACATTCCCTTTCTTCTTCTGCCGTTTGTTGTTGGACACGGGTGATTGAGTGGTGCTTTCCATCCAGTGTGCTCGCATCCTAAACACCATGGCGGAATCTCCTGCCAAGAGCCATGATATCGAGCTCGCTGAGGTGGGATCTCGCTCCACCGACAGACGCGACGACCTCGCGCTTGCGCGGCTGGGAAAGAAGGCCGTGTTGAAGGTGAGTTCTCCCAATCGACGCTTCGAGCTTCTGCATCACAACACCATCTCGAGGCTGCACACCCAAGTGGGTTGATTGCATGACTGACAAGCACTTCACAGCGCCGCTTCGGATTCCTCTCTATCCTGGGTTTCAGCTGCACCGTCTTGATTACCTGGGAAGGCTCCTTGGTTTTGTTCTTGCAAGGCTTCCAGAATGGAGGTCCCGCTGGTGTCATCTATGGGTACATTCTCGTCTGGGTTGGAACTGTCTCGGTCTTCATTGTACTTTCGGAACTGGTTTCTCTGTAAGTACACCGGGAACGCTCTCAAACGAAGGAGAGCAATTGCTCACAGCATCCTTCAGCGCACCAACCTCGGGCGGTCAATACCACTGGGTCTCTATGCTCGCTCCTCGAAACGTCCAGAAACTCCTCAGCTACATATCGGGTACTTGCTCTCCTATTCCCCCTTCGCCTTTTCTCCCACGGCTAACATTGCCTTCACAGGCTGGCTGACCCTTTGCGGCTGGCTCGCTTCCCTCGCCTCGGGCGCCTTTCTCACAGGCGGCCTCATCCAAGGTCTCCTCATCCTCTGCCAACCCGACACGTACGTACCGCAGAACTGGCACGTAACCCTTCTGTACTGGGCCGTAGTCCTCTTCTGCTTCATCATCAACGTGGCCGCGGGATGGCTCCTGCCCAAGTTCGAAGGGGCGCTGCTCGTGCTGCACATTCTGGGATTCTTCGCGATTCTGATTCCGCTGCTGGTTCTCGGCCCCAAGGGAGATACGCACGCCACCTTTACGACCTTTTTGAACCTCGGGGGATGGAGCACCCAGGGTCTCTCGTTTTGCGTGGGCATCATGGGCAGTGTCTTCTCCTTTGTTGGAGGTGATGGTCCTATCCATGTAAGTTTGTTTGGTTTCCGTCCTTCCGCTCCAATTGCTCCACTAGCTCTCCTAATGCCCGTTTCAATGCCCCGTCCACTAACTCCGCGTTCCGCAGCTCGCCGAGGAGATTCACAACGCCGCAGTCGTCGTCCCCCGCTCCATCATGACTGGCATCGCCATCAACGGCACCCTCGGCTTCGCCATGGTGCTCACCGTCCTCTTCCGTCTCGGCGACATGGACGCCGTGCTCACCGAGAATCCAGCCTTCCCCTTCATGGCCATCTTCCACCAGGCGGTCCAGTCGCGCGCCGGTGCCGCCGTCATGGCATCGCTCGTCATGGTGCTGACTGTGAGCGCGGATGTCGGGTTCTCGGCGAGTTGCTCGAGGATCTGCTGGGCGTTTGCTAGAGATAGAGGATTGCCGGGATGGAGTGTTCTCAGCAAAGTCTCCGATCGCACCTCAATTCCCTTCTATGCCGTGACGGTCACCTGCGTCATTGCCTGCATCCTCGGCCTCATCAACATCGGCAGCATCGCCGCCTTCAACGGTGTCATCTCCGTCTCCATCGCCGGCCTCTTCTCCTCGTACCTGCTGACTTCGAGCCTCCTCCTCTGGCGCCGCTGCACCGGGGCCATCCTCCCTCCCTCGACCACCGACGCCTACGAAGCACCTTCCACCACCGATGACGGCATGGTGCGCGCCACTTGGGGTCCGTGGCGCGTTCCTGGTGTGCTTGGGATTGCCAACAACGCTTTCGCTTGCGCCTACCTTACCTTCGTCTTCTTCTTCAGCTTCTGGCCGAGTTATGCCCAGGTGACGCCCGCCACCATGAATTGGTCGATTCTGGTGACGGGCACCATTGCCATCGTGAGCGGCGTGTACTATGCGTTTTGGGGCAAGCATACGTATCATGGGCCGGTGGTGGAGGTTAGCCCGCAGTATATCTTGGAGCAGGAGCAGCAGACGCAAGGGAGTGTGGGGAGTAAGTTGTAGATAAAGTAGGCGCCATTGATGTCGTTTGGAAAGTTGAGCGACGCGAGAATTATTTGATGTTGATGTTATCTATGTTTGATTTCCAATCTGCAGATAGAAAATAGTGTACCGGAGATCAAGCAATCATAACAAGGACGCGTTTTGTTCCTCAAAACATGATAGAGAGTTAGTACTTACAGATCCTTAATATACACTGCCAGGTAAATGCCAAACTACATCGCTCCTTCATGTATATACGACTGGGACTTACGTACTTCATTTTCCTGGGCAGTCCAATCAGCGATTCGCGAGAAACGAGTTGACCAACTTGGCATATCCTTCTTTGTATCATAGGATAACTTAACAATAGCAGGACTGCTCCTCCTTTGGCTGCTCCATTCTACGACTGCGTCTCTGGGCGCTGAGATTGTAGTCACCTCCAAAGGCGATGTATTGATTGCCCTAAATTCTGTCAATAGTACGATATCTGAATTCCCACCCTACACATGCACAAACAATCTAGACCGCCGTTAAACCCTATTCCTTACAATGCTATGCCGGGGATAAAGAAGAGCAAATAATCGCTTGGAACTGGACGGACAACAATTGAACGCAAAGCTCCGGCTTCGGACCCCACGCTGCAGTCGAGGTAGACTGCATGTTAACTCCCATGATATTAAAACAATGATGGAACAAGCCTCGAGGGGAGCCAGAGTTAGAGTCCATGCTCACGGAGGAGTCCGTTGTCGTAGGTCATTCCATTGATGCGCTTCTTGGTGAACTCGAATGCCGAGAAGAAGATGGCATTCACAACGCAGGAGCGGGCCATGGAGACTGCCAAGCCTGTTGATGATCAACACGTGTTCCGTGTCTGTTTAAGAGAAATCCTGGGGCCCTTACCGCGGTACATGCGCGAGCTGAAGAAATGGATCGGGGGCCTGGTCGCCTTTTCTCGTCCGCTGATGAGACAGTTGCGTTGGTATATGCTCTTGGCTGTATCAATGGGGAATATCTATGAAACCGGTCAGCAGACGGTCCTGCGTATAGTGCCATTCACCTACACATGCCCAGCTTACTAGGCCACACAAACCGCCTGCCGTGACTACTGCGCCAGGAGTTGTAGGAGAGCTTCCGCGGGCATTCGCTAGGAGCTGCTTTGCACTCTCGTAAGTGACAAAATAGATACCGGTGCCGATCGTATCCCGCACTGGAGGTAGTCAGTCCCGGATCGGTTGCGGATGGGTACATAACCAGGAGCAGGAAAACGCACTCAAGTGCAGATGGAAACCGGAGTAGAGACCTAACCAGCCCCGATGCTTGACGAGATTCTGGGCAGTCCGCAGTGTCCCAAGGTTCTGGTAGCTTTTCCGCAACGCATCGCATGAACCGCCGCCATCGGTGCGATCTGCCATCAGGACGGAGATCTGAGCGCTCAGTTTGGTGAGTTCAAAGGGACCTGGGGCCAACAATCAGATTCTCTTCCTCGAGCTTCACAAACTTGCTCACATGCGATAGCCGTTATCACCGCTCCCGACGTAGCACCAGCCAACCCAAAACAAGTGACGGTGGCAAGATTGGGCGTGGCATGCTTCGTGTTTGCAATAGCCAGGGGCGAGCTTCCGGTAGCCTGGTAGATCCATCCATCTAGGGTATATTTGGACTTTTGGTATATGGAGAAGGAGACGGTTCGAACGAGCGTGATGCTCGCTAGCGGGGACCAGACGCCTGTGGCAGCAACAATCAACCAAAGTGCCCGTTCACGTGGGTGAATTGAACGATACCACGCCAGAAGCCATGGAAGCCCTCCGTCTTGTAAGTGTGACGCACGCAGTCAGCAAACGAGTTGAACTTGTAGCTGGGGGAACCATCAGCGCATGCCGAGAAGGAATGTGGTGACGTCGACTCACGCCTGTAGGCGTGTCTTGACCGAGTCCAGAGGATACTGGCTGCAGTCAGTCGGCGGGGTCGGCGGGGGGGGACTTGTATAGATGGCTGGCATACCGCGAAGAAGGTGGATAACAAGCTCGAGGTGCTCGCGGCAAGTTCAGTGCGGTACTTCTTGGCCCACCGCTTCGTCTGCTCGGAGCGCAAGACAGCGGGCGAGACCTGACGAGGGATGGTAACGATGTTGGAGCGGGAGTCGTCTTGCTCAGGCATACTGGCTATCTATCGCTTGCTGGAAGACGGTGGCGTCTTCACGGCAGTCGCGACGAGGCCAGTAGCCGGGCAAGCTCCATCCAGGCGCGCTCGGATGGAGCGGGTCGACGTGGTTTGCGGCGTCTCTCGAAGGGGTACAAGGCGTCGGAGGCGAGTTGTGTTGAGGAGACAATGGGCCAAGGAGGACGAGGAGGAGGACGAGGAGGAAGAGGATGGAGCTGGCGTGGTGAAAGAGGGCCGTAGATGGCACGGCGGGGCGATCTATGGATGGAGCTCTGCTGGTGGTGTAACGGCGCCCGAAGCTCTCTGTCTCATAGATTTGGCGCCTCTCGATTGGGCCGGGATTGGGTGGGGCCGCAAGAAGCTCGACAATCTCTAATAACCCGTACCTTGTACAGTTTTGTAGTCTGCAAGTGTACGCGGTTAGACTGTACCTGGGTAGATAGGTAGAGATAGAGCAGCCAAAATCGCTAGATACCTAGGTACCAGCACGAGTGTCAAGCTTGAGGTGGGGGAGCATCACGTGTTTATTTTACTGACATGCCCCCCAGCCCATCTATGGGCCAACAGCCACCGCCTCGTCAAATCGAATTGAAGCTGAAGCTGTTTTTCTCTACACAGCAATCCTCCTCCAATTCATAACGGCGACCATCACATGCGCGGCCGTGCCTGTGTAGACGGGCAGTGTAGACTGCCCTGTGTGACGGCTGAGGCTAAGGGGACTGGTACGGGGTACGGGTGCGGGGAAGCTCTGAAAGCTGCACAGTCTCCTCAAGGTCGCCAGCAAATCAGACTGCAATGTTCCCTGTAAATGATGCCTTGTGCGTACACAGTAGGGCTAACCGTCTGCCAGCCAAAAAGCCAGGTTTGTGTCTTCTATACCTGCTGCTGTTTGCTACAGAGTACACCAAACCAACGCCATCTATGCGCCCCAAGCCGAGGGTCCCAGATTCAAAAGTCCAAGTTCGTTGAATATTAATGGTATGCAGGAGTAGCTTCTACTCACTTGCCCTTGCCCATCAGCTTCCGAAGCTGTTCCTCGTCTCGGTGGCGGTCCGCCCGCGAGCCAGCAGAAGCCGCACCGGAGCCGGTCTTGTTGCCCATCAACGCCTCCCTCAGGTTGGCCATGTCGTCGGCGACGCTGGCTCGCTGGCCGTGGTTGCGCAGGCTCTGGTTCGACCAGCTGATCTGCCCGCCGTCGGCCTCGCGGTGCTTCTTCGCGTTCAACTTGGCCGCCAGAACGGCGGTGCGGCTGTACACGTAGAAGAGGCCGGCGAGGATAACGACGGAGCCTGGCACGATGAGGTTCTGCACGGTGCTTGATTAGCGAACAGCGAACATGGACATGCGAAGCAGATGTTCTAACCCGGCCCACGTTGAGCCCTTTGGCTCGACCTGCGATCTGTGCCGTCCGAGGCGCCTCGCCCAAGCCATCGGCGGCGCGTGGCCTCGACAACCTACCCCCCATCGCAGATGTCGGAGCTTATTTATAAGGCAAAGAAGGGAGAAAAACCAGGCTTCTGCCAGCAGATGGATAGGCTCAGTACGGGTGTAGCTGTAGCTGCATGGCTGAGGGTGGTAGTACTGTAGTCGTGATAGAGGAAGCCATAGTAGGTACCATGTAAATACAAGTACAGTAGCGAGCAGCGGAGTTGTGGATGGCGACTCTGATGAGGTCATCATTCATGGAGCACGGAGGAGGGGCTGTCCAAAGCGGTTTAGCTCCAATGGCCCTGGCTTGACTGACTTGGCTTGCTTGGCATCTCTCCACGCCTCTGCCATCTCCATGTATGTTTCCATCCCACCTTTATACTGCTTCTCATTCTTTCTGTACACTCTCTTCCTAGAGGGTACGGGTACCTACTCAGGGGAGGGAGAAGTGTTTACCGTACCGGCACTCTTTGTCTGCTTCTCGTGCCGTCTGCCGAGCCATTTCCCATCCTGTCGCTCCTGACAAATCATTCTTCATCCGCCGTGGTGGCCGCGCTTTGCGGATTACTAAAAAGCCAGCACGTCAGTCGGTGAGCCCTCCTGTCGACTCCTCGTCCTCGGACTACTTATTAACAGTAGTAGGCCTTGGACCCCGACTCTCCTGCGCGTCTCCCTTCATGCGCAGAACGCTCGTCGGTAGAGCCCAGACCGGCCTTGCTCCTCGAGTGAAGCTGACTGCACCACTCCCGCCATCCCGTCCAACCCCCCGCCTAACCCTCGGAGCCGGCCAAACCTCCAAACCAACGTTGCTGGCGACTCCTCGACTCTCTGCATTTTGCCGTCACTTCTCTAGCTCAAGCCCCGTCATGGCGCCCGTTCCCAAGGAAGCAGACTACCTCGTCCTCGGCATTGGCAGCGGAGGCATTGCTTCCGCTCGGAGAGCTGCAAAATATGGAGCCAAGGTCATTGCCGTCGAATCTGGCCGCATGGGCGGTACCTGTGTGAACGTGGGCTGTGTTCCCAAAAAGGTCACGTACAATGCTGCTGCCATCGCCGAGGCGTTCCGCGAGGCCAAGGCCTATGGCTTCGGTGGCTACAACACCCCTACCTTCGACTGGCCCACGTTCAAGCAGAAGAGGGACGCGTATGTGAAGAGGTTGAACGGCATCTATGAGAACAATCTCAACAAGGACGGCATTGAGCATATCAAGGGACGTGCCAAGTTTGTCGCAAGAGATGAAGTCGAGGTGGCGCTAGACGGGGGAGGTACCCAGCGCATTAAGGCGAAGCACATCCTCATCGCTACCGGCGGGCGTCCACACATCCCCGACATTCCCGGAAAGGAACTTTGCATCGACAGCGATGGCTTCTTCGAGCTGGAGCAGCTTCCCAAGAGCATCGCCACCGCCGGAGCAGGCTACATTGGCGTGGAAATGACCGGCATGCTCAACTCCCTAGGTACCGAATGCCACTTCTTCATCCGCGGCCAGACAGTCCTCCGCCAACACGATCCCATGATTCAGCAGGTCATCACCCGCGAATATGAGCGCCAAGGCATCCATATGCACAAGTCCCAGATCATCACCGGCGTGGAAGCCATCGGCAACGGAATGAAGCGCGTCACCTACGAGGACCTCAGCACCAAGGAGCAGCACAGCATAGAAGTCGAAACCGTCCTCTTCGCCATTGGCCGCGTGCCCGAAATCGAAGACCTGCATGTCCGGGAGCTGGGCATGAAACTCAACAAAAAGGACCACATCATCGTCGACAAGTACCAGAACACGAGTTTCCCCAACGTCTATGCCATTGGCGATGTCTGTGACCGCGGCTTTGAACTCACACCCGTCGCCATTGCCGCAGGCCGCAGGCTGTCCGATCGCCTCTTTGGCGGCATGAAAGACCGGCATCTCGAGTACGAGAACATCCCCGCTGTTGTGTTCTCCCACCCGGAAATCGGCGCCATTGGCTTGACGGAGCCTCATGCACGAGCCAAGTACGGCGATGGCAATATCAAGATCTACCAGACGCAGTTTACGGGCATGTACTATGCCATGATGGACGCGGAGCACAAGGCACCTACGGCTTACAAGATCATCTGCGCGGGCAAGGAGGAGAAGATCGTGGGATTGCATATCCTGGGGCAGAGCAGCGCCGAGATTCTGCAAGGTTTCGCCGTGGCTATCAAGATGGGGGCGACGAAGAAGGACTTTGACAATTGCGTGGTACGTAGTCGATTTGTTTCCTCCAAGAATTGCCCGTCGAGCCCAGTTCTCACACTCCATGACTGCACCCATCTCATTACACCGCCAAACCCTATCGCCCATCGGCCCCTCATTCCGGGCTGCATATGGAAGCTCCCCGGAATCGCTCCCGCTTCTCATATACTACACATACCCTTGTCCATTCTCTGACCACTCATCCCCCTCCATTTCTCTCCCGCGATCTTTACTTTTGCCCCCTTCCCCGCCCAACTTCCCCAACGTCCATGCATGATCACCCCACATTGACCTGCGTCCGTCTTCACATATCCGGGGAAGCGAGCTTGGGCAGCGGAGACGTTTTTCTATCTCAATTACGCATGCACGTCGATCACCTACCACGTCCAATCACTTCCGTTTCATCTATACCTGGCTAACTCTTCGATTTTCCAGGCCATCCACCCCGTTTCCGCCGAGGAACTGGTCACGATGACATAGATGTGATACCCGCCGGCGGAGTTTTAGCAAGACGAATACCTCGTGTTTCATGCTTGGTGTTTTTCTCCCGTGGCTATCTAGCTAGAAACGGCCTGGATATAGATGTATGTATCATGTGACTATATTACGATGCCGTTGTAGTTGATCCTTTGAGAGTTCAATAGTATTGGGGCGGTTGGCGGTTCGGGTCGCCAAGCGCAGTGGTGCTGCGCAGTTCTTCGGCTCAGCTTCACCCTACCCTCCCTGGCCCCTAAAAAACAAATCCAACTCACTCGCGCTCTCCAGACTCCCGCTCCCCATCCCTTCCATGCCTCCACCCCCAGCCCCCAGGTCCATCTCGTTCTCGGCCAGCTGCTCCAGCAAACTGAGGAACGGGTCTTTATCTGCCGGGTCCGTGTGCGCGGAGCTGGCGCCGGGCGTCGAGTGTTGTTGCGGTTGTGGTGGTGGTGGTGGTGGTGGTGGTGGTTGTTGTTGTTGTTGTTGATGTTGTTGTTGGTCATAAGGGGTCGGAAGGTTTGCGAGGTGCAGATCAAATGCTGCGTGATCCTGCCGATGAAGGTTTGTGTGAAGGGGTGAGGAAGAAGGGATGGGAGAGGGGAGGTTGGGGAGGGGCGAGAAGGAGAAGTTGGGTGAAAAGGGGATCGAGAGACTGGATGTTGGAGCCGGCATGTCGATGCATGTCGAAACATCTTGTGACGAAGACGACGATATTGCCGGGCCATTCGTCGATGGGTCCTGAACAGGTGGATGGGTGGCTGATGTCGGGGTGGGTAGCGTCGCCGCTTGGATGCGCGATTTCGTCGAGCTGGATGTGGTGGAGCGCCGCTTCTTGGCCGGCTGCCCGTTGCCGTAGGAGCTGGTGGGGATGGCATGGATGGGATAGCTGAGGTTGATCATGCTCGAGCTCATGTACATGTTGTTGCGTTGTTCGATGTTGTAGGTCGAGATGCTGAATGCTGTTAGTGTGCGGTAGCACCCTACATGTACACGGCCGTCTTACCTCTCATGCACCGCCTCGACCTGCACATCCGTAAACGTAACGTGGGCCCCATCAAACACATGTCCCGGGTATCGATCGAAGAAGTCCTCCAGCTGAAACACGGGCGAGAAGCGCATCGGATTGCTCGCCAGCGACTTGACCAGCTCCGTGTGGCAGGCGTAGATGGCCTGCAGCGTGTCGCGCTGATGTTGCACCTCGGCCCAGATGAACCTCAACTCGGAAAGCTGGTGCATTTCCCGGGACAGAAATTCGGCGCTGACCGAGAAGACTTCGCCTTCGCGTCCCGGGTAGTGGGCGCCATGGACGTGTATGGTGCCGGCGGTGCACACGCAATATCCCACAAAGGCAGGCCAGTCGAGGATGGAGGAAGCCCTGCCAATCTCGACCAGTTCCGCAATCGCATTGGCGTGGAGGAAACAGAGGTTTGTGGCCTCGATCTGCCAGGATTGGTGCTGCGACGTGCCCGAGAGCTCGGCCAGGTCTATCGGCAAAAACGGCCGATAGATGAGGCAGTGTACGAGGTGATAGATCAGCTTGCTCAGGACCAATATGGTGCTGTCCGGCTGGCCAAACAGCGTCTCAATCGACGTGAAGGTGTCCTGGGTTTCCGAGGCCCAGACGTCCAGTCCCTGTCGAATCTTGGAAAGGTTGGACAGCGAGTGCCAAGGGAAGTGAGAGTCGCCCTTCACACCCCCGGCTGCGAGGTACCGGTTCGTTATGCCCAGGATCTTTGCTATACCGATGAGCATGCCCATGCTCCCCTGGGTGCCCTTGCCCGAACCTGCCATGTACTGTAGATTGGAGCCGTTGGGGAAGAAGTCGCCCTCAAGCGACATGGCGCCTGGGTGAAGCTGCCAGGACGGCAAGCGAAGTACAATGGATTCATCCGCGATCAGCGAGGGTCTCTTGGACCCTGTGGCCGCAAACCGGTCCATGAGGTAGCAGCTCCAAAAGAGCCGTCTCCGGCCCTCTCGCTCCAGAGGCGTGACGTCCATGGAGAGGGGCAGCTCACGATGGAGATCCAGCGCAAAGGCCATGCTGATGGCAGAAGCTTGTCTTGGTTAGCGATGGGAAATTGTCCGAGCAAGCGATGATCTGATACGCACTGAGGAGCATGAACGTCTTCTTCCCCTTGCCAATCTGGAAGTTCGCTTGGGCGAGCAGCATCAGGGTCTGCAGGGTTTCGATAGAGGGCTCATCAATATCCAGCTCCATACGGGAGCGCCGTGCGTATTCTTGGCCGACTCTTACGGCGGCATTGTAACCGCCAAAATGCGGTGCATAGCTTTGGGACGGTTATTAGATTAATTTGATCTTCGACTGGTCATGTGATGGGCTCACGTACCGGGCACTGACTGCGTAGATGGCGTAGGCTAAGTAGGACGGGAGCTGATTGGTCTGCATGCGCTGTCTTGTTATGGTCTCGTCCAGAATGTGGTAGGGCTTGCCGTGGATCCTGGCAAAGTAGGTGTCCAGCAGTAGGTCGGGTACGATGCTTGGTGTGTGGATGCTGAGACACGATTAGCTACTTCCCGGGTTCCCTCGCATTCACATATGGTCAAATAGGCACCTTGGCTCTATGGGAGACCTCAGCTGGCTCGCAGAAGTCGCTGGATTCGGCGCAATGTCGAGCAAAGGTCGGCTGGAGGGAGGCAACGGCGCAGGCGGCTTCGTTCTGTTGGCGTCTCCGTTGTTGTCCTGGCTGGTGGAGGAGTCGAAGTCGGTAACAACATCGCTCTTGCCTTCGGAATGTAGCCGTTTCTCCAGGCCGTCGACTCGCTTCAGGAGGGCTTCAAGGACGTCGGTTTTGGGCCCTCGTTTCTTGGGGACGGCATCTGGCGGAAGTGTGAGTTCAGTCAGGAGCTGGAGCTAGAGCCGGAATTCAGACAGCCACGAACCGTAGATACACGGACAGGCGAAGACCTGGCAGGCTTCGCAGGTGGGACGGGTGCGGTTGCATTTGATCTAGGGCGCATCAGCGGGACTGAGGCACCGTTACCAGCGTCGACACATCCGCTACCTTTCGCTTCCGACAGCTCTTGCAGTTCATGGCCTCGCGAGGCTCGCTGGTGACTCGGCGGGTCGGGAGACGGTCGATGCCAATCTGCGGTCTCGACATGATGGTTCCCGGGAGAGAGCAGTCCTCGATTGGCGTTCAGAGGGCGCAAATGGACGGTCAAGACACATATCTGGCCGTGAGAGGTCTGGCAAAGGTGGGAGCAGCAGGACACTGAGAGCACATAGCAGTAGGGATGCAGAAGCGTGAGAGGCATGTCCAAATTAAGGCGACTGGCGCCGACAGCGTAGTGGAGACAGTGCAAGCCATGGGGACCAGGGAGTTGGGGGACGGAGGACGGTTAGGGCCTGAGCTCCTGCGGGCAGCGGGCGGACAGGCCCCGAAATGGGTTCAATGCCTCGGAGTGGGAGAGCTTGGGGAGGCGCGCGTGACGATGGCTGAGGCCATGTCGTCCCCTGAGTAATGGCAGAGTTGGGCGGCAGTTGGGTGAGCGCTGAGGAATACATAATGGGATGGGATGGAAAGGCGTCGGGGTACTGTGTAAAAGCGCCAGCACCGGCAGAAAAGCCCCATCCATCTATCTGATGATCCATTTCTGCACAGCATCCATCGCCGACCGTTGCGCCTCGTATACGACTTTGCGGGAGGGAGGGTTGCTCGGGGGCCTCGGTTGGCTTTGCCCGCCTCCAATTTGCACATCGGAGGCAGATAGATTAAATAAATCTTTGCCCGTCGTCTCTCTTCTGAGGGGAAACGCGGTGCTGGAATCTGGGGTAATGCCTCACACTGTAATAAGCCTAAGCGAGCCAATGTCCATGGCCAGTGAAAAGAATCTCTCCCGGAAACATTCCTTCACCAAGCCTGTTGCGCCATGCGTACCGGGCTTCTCTGCACTTCTCTGCCCCGCTATCCCCGGTTGGCGCAGAGGAGGAGCCACTACTCCAGGAATCCCCAGATGATGCGACAATCCGGTGCAGGACAGTACATCGTACAGCACTACCGAGGGCACATCACCACCAGCCTGTGATTATTGACTCGGTCGAGCCGCAGGGGGGCCATATTGGCTCACGATTCATCACAATGATAATATTGGTGGTGAATCCACTGTATGCTTGGAGAGTCTATCACAGGACGAGTCACACCAGCTCGCGTAGTCAGAGCAATCAATATACGCAGTGTCATCATATTGTAGACTTTGTACTAGAACAGGGCCCTTCCAGAGGCCAGACGCACAAAATCGTAGCTCACATTCTGTCCAACAAGCAGACGGATCGTCTCCACGGTAGTCCAGGCGGAAACGTCTGCAATGCCATATGCTGTCCAACCTGCTGCTGTTGCTATGGCCAGCGGATCCGCCTTGCGCGGTCCACTCGCCATATCTACAAACACCTTGCCTACCGATCGCTTGGCCCCGTCTCCCCTGCCATTCATAGTGCTGCCGTTGCGGCCATCAACCCTGTAGTGCTTCAGCAGCGGCACCACCAGGAGTGACTTCTCTGCGGGCAGTGCCGATATGATGACAAAGGGCTGCTCCAAGCGCTTCACATCCTCGACAGACCGCACCGGCTCAACTTCGGTAGCCAACGGGCCCTGGGTCCTAAACCCAATCGTGTAGATTGGCCCGATGCCCAGGCTCTTGAGAGCAAACATGGCCGCTGCTGCGTCGGCCTCGGAGCTAGCCAACAGCAGGGCAGCTCGTCCCTGGTAAGCCGAAGGGACAAAATCGCGCGTCAGGGTGGCCCGGATGCCTTTCCACGTCGCATTGTCCCCGATAAACGTCGGAGTCCCAGAGTCAGGGCGTGCGAGGACAGTGTCGATTTGCCCTATGGCGCGGGCGGCATTCGACAGCGTGGGAAGGTATCCGGCCGCAGACACCGCCAGCGGTGGGTTGATGTAGGCTCCACCAAAGTTGGGCCTTCGCAGAATTCTCTCAATCGACGCCTTGGGTGCCCTCTCGGCAAACATGAATTGGTGCGGCAGGCCTAGCTCGTTGAAGCACTTCTCATAAAACATGGCCTGAGACGTCGAACGGAAGCTGCCGATGCCGTAGATGTCCAGCTTTGGCATCTGACCCATGCTGTGGAGTGCCGAATTGATCTCTGCAGCGCTAAGCTGGCCGGGCGCTGCAATCATTGGGAGTAGCGGGTGCGTGATCGGAGTAAAGATCTTGTTCAGGGTCCGGGAAAGTTGGCCGGTGGGCCCCATATTGAGCCCAGAGAAGGGCGGGTGGGGATACTTTGATGTGATGGTGGACCGGAAGTACTCGAGCTCATAATTCTCCTGCATGGAATTGATCATTGCATACATCTTGACCACGTCTCCGTACACAGCACCGCGCTCAAACAGCTCTCTGGTCTCGGGCGCTGTCCATTTGAAGTTGCCCGAGAAGTCGTGGAATGCGGATATGATCTTGCTGCTCCCTTTTTTCTGAGCCAGTTGCCTCCGTATGTCCTCGGGCAGCCAGAGTTCGACGTCGATGTATTCGCAGCCCCACTGGATCGCACGGTACAGATACTTGTAGAAGAGCATGGGGTCCTCCATGGGGAACCGCCCGTTTTCCTTGATACACCTTGTTGTGTAGATGATTGGCAACTCGGTGCGCTGGCGGAGCAACATGACCTGCTCACCTACGTACTTGAGGCTGGGTACCTTGCTGCGGCATCCATCCGGCTGCGGTTCCTCAAGCAAGTCGACTCTGATCTCGATTGCGTCAGCGCCCACTGACAGGATATCCAGGTTTGGCAGCGCCGCGTGCACATCCGGGAAGGTGGTAGATATCAGAGTGGTCCGCTCTTTCTTCGCCAGGTCCCGATGGTGCCCAATTTGGCCCAGGATGAAGGATAGGAACCGAGCGACATCCCTCCGGAAGAAGGGCGTCTTGGTATACAGGTATTCGTAATCACAGAGATCGGTAACGGCTTCGTCACGCGGATGAGGTCCGTCGACGCAGTGCGTATTGATCACCAGCCTCGAGCGGTCCCAGTTGTCCAGTTGGGGGCCGATGGAAGTGTTTTGCAGGGCATAGATGGTGGACGCAGGCCCCGCCTTTACCTCTTCCACCGACTTTGCCGAGACCCATTCTTGCCCTAGGACGTCTGCAAAGACTTGTATGACATCCTCGTCCCCTTCACCGTGTAGGACGAGTAGGGACGGTCGCTTGCCATTGGGGACTTCGAGAACGTCCACGACCGTTCCATCCTTGAGCATGGGCGCTGCGACGCTTTGCGCCCGTACCCGAGTGGCCATAGAAGGCTGGTGGGTGATGGTTGTACTCAGAAAGGGCGACAGCTTAACCGTAGGTATTGAAGCCGTTGATGCGGAGCTGGATCTCGGCAAAGATGCGACGGGAGGTATTCAACTGGCAGCTGTTCCGGGCCGTCCCTACCATCTCCGTGGCTCGTGAGCGGATCGGCTGGTGGGCGTGTATGATAGATATAAGGGCAGTCAACGCGGGTAGTCAGGCACCTGGCAGCTGTGAATGTAGGTATCCTGAGATGAGGTTATAAGGGGGGAAGAGCGAAGAGATTTGCCCGGAGAGAGCCTGAGAATGACGAGCGAAGGAGCAGCATGTCTGGCCCCCCTGCGCGAGCCACGAGATGATTTCCGCACAATCGGCGGGCGCGATGGGCGGGAGCTGTCGTATGGCTGGACTCTGAATATGCCGTTGCGGGATGCCTTGTCGCGGTTGTCGGGCAGACAAGCGCAATGTGGGCAAGGCGGGAGCGCCCCGAACGGCCAAGCGCAAGGGGAACTCATTTATCCGTCAGAGGACGGTTTTCGCACCAATAATAATAAGCCCGGGGCAAGAGGAGCAGACAGACTACAAATCACCACGGTCGACGAAGTCCCCATCTTGCTTACCGGACTTGGTCACAGCTCATGGTATTGGTGGATGATGTTGGGAGTACGGGTCGCTCTGCTCTGATGGTACACAGTACGTACCCTAGCCTAAGGGAAGCACGCTACGCTACGCTACGTCTTGTTGGTCGCCGAAACGCAGACGTCGTGAACGATAGATGGTCTACGGGCTTGGAATACAACAGACGGCAGAAACCGTTGGTTGTTGATGGTGCGTTGAGGTCAGTATTGCCAGCATAGTGGCACAGTGAATGGGTTGCGTGGCCCATACAACCGTCTTCATCTGGCATAAAGCATTGCTGATTGACTTGTCTACACAGTATATGGTATGGCCGATACTGGAGATCCTGGGGAGGTAGTCTCTGTCTGGTACAGCAAATAGTGCCCTACGAAGGACCCCGAACGAGCAGAATCTTTCCGACCGCCACTGCACTACTGTTCTGAGAATGGCCGTCCCCTCTCTACGATCTGCTACAATTCTTCCATCCGGCACACATTGTCGACTCCATCAAGACTACCGACTATGGTCCGCGACATTGATAGATAGGTGTTTACCCGCCTATTCATAATTTAACCGACAGCAGACCACGAGGCATAGATGAAATACACCTCCCTTATGAGATGCATTGCATGGAAACAAGCTCATGGTGCCATTCCACCGAACAACAATAGCCGCGTGGGGATGACTTCTTCGGAGAAATCCTTGAGAGCGTCTGTTACTGGTAGAATTCTGCGAAACTCTCGTGCACCCTTGAGAACTTTGCCTCTTCTGGCACCACAGATATTGAGGGAAGAGAACACTTTCTTGGATCAGCAGCTCTAGGTACTGCATCGGGAATCACTCACGTTCTACTTCATCGCCAAGTAATACCACCGGCGTTCGCGATGGATAGATGATAGTACTGACAAGGTCAAGTCTGACGTTGATATGAGAGTCACTTCCGGGGTCGGCGGAACGCCAGGTTTGCGGTTTGCGGACGGCAGCGTTTGTCGGCAATTCCCTGTCACCGCTGGGATAAGCCGTAACCTTGGGCTCACAGAAGCCGTGGAGGGATGCATTGGGCGACAGTGGCGCGAAGTGATAGCATACTCCACGGTTCTGAGGTCCTATGCTTGATACTTCATCCTCCTGTAGTCTGCAACTCTCACTGGGTTCGATGTTACTGTCCTTCATATAGAGACGATGTCCACTCCTAACCGTGAAAGTGATATCCAAGGGATCCCAATTTGACATTGAATGAGTGGCACGCCCTCTGCGCCCAGGAGATAAAAGACCAGAGCAGAAACCATGTTGCGGGGCATACCGCACACATCTCTGAGATCCAGATTTAAGCATCGACATTTCACCTACACCGCTCGTAACCTTACCGATAGCATCTGGCCACAGTGAGACCTCGTCGTAAACGATGCTTTCCTCCTTTTTGCTTTCCTTCTCCAGGGTGAACCCAAATGGCCGTTTTACGAGACGTCTATCATGAATCAATCAGCTGACACTACCTGTTTCTGAATCCATACGGGATAAGTATCTCCTTAAACTATGCATGTCAGTCAAATCAAACCGGAACTGAAACGGGTGCAATAGCTAGGATTTAGATTGTGGTGTCTATCCTCGACATCGATTGATGTTACTATCAAAATCCCACGTTGAGACGTTCTGTTTCTCGAGACGAGTTTCAAGGTGCCAACCAAACTTGGGCGTTCGTACTTCGTACCTAAAACATAGGGGTATATAGCATGGCATCAAGGTCCGAAGTTGAACTTGATCGGGATCAAACTGGGAGCGGTTTACAAGGGAAACCTTCTCGAACACCCACTCGCTCCTGCAGAGATAGCATCGGATCGAAAACCAGCTTCGTCATGAAGAAGCGGCTGTCCTCTCTCTGCGTCCGACTAGACATCCCCCTGCACTTCCTCTGTGCTGCCGTGTTCTAGGTGTATTTGAGCAGCTAGGAGTTGAACGGATATAACGGCCCTAGAAATCGGCTTTGTAGCGCCTCTGTCTAAACATGATAATCCTCATGCCCTAGCCCTGTAAGGGCGGAAATGGATTGCAGGCGATTGCCTTGCGCCGACCAGGTAATGTAACCTACAAAGAAAGCGCAGGGGATTGTTTACCTGATGTTGCTTGGCAAGGTGTACATGAGTTAATTGACACGGTTCCGATGTTGAAATGCCCAGGTGCCCTCGGCGCGAGATGGCGAGAGTACACAGTAAACAGGTCCGTGGACCTTTCCCTGCTCCTTTCTTCCTCCTGGAATCGTCAGACGCTACCGCGGAACTACCTATATTATCTACCTGTGGACAAGTCGCCGGCGCACAACCGGAAATGTGAAAGCATATACGCGTCTGTCTGCAGCAGCAAAAAGACGTGCAATTCATACCCATGGACTTCCCGTAAGAGCACACACATACAGGTGGTGTATAAGAAAGAAAAAGAGATAAGAAATAAAAAAGCGAAAAAAATAAAAACACCTCTTGTGGGACTCGAACCCACAACCTTTGGATAGCGGAATATCTTGGTAGATATCCCAGCTTAGAAGTCCAACGCCCTACCATTGGGCTAAAGAGGCGGGAATTGTTCTTACAAAATATTTTGTGATTGAAATTTTATATTGTAAATGAAATTGCCAATCTGGGTAATAGAAACCACCTGGGCAGAGATGAACGCGAACGCGGGGCACGTGCGTGACTTCGCTTGGCACGCAACACCAACCTCCAGCCTCTGGTTCACATCCGACTGAACACCCCCCTGCAGTTCCTCCGTACTGCTGTTTTCCACATCTAATTTAAACAGCTAGCAGGCGCAGCAATATAGGAGGTCCTGCAATTAGCTTTGTAGCGCGCCTCTACGTATAGTAGTATGTTTAGAAAGAGAATTCTACCTGTCGCATTATTAAGTCGTAGCCAGTTAGCTTGTGCCGGTCAGGTAATTCCACCTACTGTAGTACAGAGGAATTGCAGCCAGATGTTCAGACAGACATGGAAAGCCGCAGTAGGTACGTGCCGAATCGTGCTGGGATCTGCCGCAGGCCAGAATCACAACCTACCGCGCTTCCTTTGTAAGTTGGTTTGCCTGTTTGACACAAGCCAATTGTCTATAATCTACTTGGGTCATCAGAAACTTTGGCTGTACGCCTTAGTGTACCTGGACATATGCTCGTTTGAAGCTCATCGCAAGGGACACTTGTATTCCCTGCGACACCTTGCAGTTCAGTCAGATGGGGACAGCCGCAGTGCAGATTAGGTATGAAGTTATACATCACCCAAGACAACTGTAAAGTGCAAGTTCGGGTTGGAAGTCATGCTCGGCGCGCGCTCGGCGCATCCAACTTTTCCATTCATTGACTTGTTCCCGCTCCATTTCCTTGTCCATGGGTGGAATCTGTAGGACGGATCCCGAGAGATACCCGCATAGCCAAAGGGAGAAAATCATACAATACATAAACCCCACCAAGGAAAGTCAATCTTCCTCTTCTTCTGCTTCAGACGGTGTCATCATCCGCATGCAAGGTGAAGATAGGATACCCAGGATCCATAATCGAAGCCGTCCAGATGACCACTTGCTCAAAGGAACATCGGGCGGAGAAGAAAACGAACAGATATATGAAGCCATGGTGAAACATGGATAAACGCCCCCTCTTCTCCCACGAGAAAGGCATGCTTTTCAGACCCGTTGACTTGCGGCCAAAGCCGAATGTCCAACGCCTAACGTCCAAGTAGTAGAGGAACTGGAATGACATCTCATAATCGTGATCCTCAAAGGGAACGCATTCTTGATCATAGCATCCACGCCACCAGGGCGCGCTACGGTTCCCTCAGCATCCGCATACTCTCCTGGATATTCGCCCGCAGATCACGCAGGTTGGTTTGCACCTCCGCCCACGGAGTCACGCCCTGCTCGTTGCTGCGGGCATCCGCTTCATTCCCCTCCGCCTCATTGACCACACGCATATCGGGGACGTAGTCAGCTACCCTACGACGAATGAACTCGTGACTCTCATCTGAGAGGGTTTGCTCCGCCCCGTCCAGGTGGCGCGATACCTCGCCCGTGCGTTCGTCCAGCTGGCGTTGAGTCACGGCGCGGTGATGGGGACGAAGCCTCCTCGCCGATCTCTCCCTTTCTCTCCGTTGTTGTTCAACCGACTCTCGTTGTTGGTTGTTCCTCCTGAGTCGTCGGTACCCAAATCTAATCTCTCGCTGGAGCTGCCGGAGCCTCTGCTGCGATCTCTCCAACGTGGCCGCTTCATCAGCCACCTGGCGGTATGTCGAGCCGGACCGGTCCTCGTCCGGCACAAAGGATACTGTGTCAAACTCTTCCTCGTCGAAGTCGGACCCGGAGCTGCTGTCGTCGGTATCGCAGACACGCATGGGCTCGTCCGGGGGAGACTGTCGCTGCGACGGCACCGTGAGGTGGGTCCGCGAAGACGAAGCGGAGTTGGAACTCCCGGCGCGCGAGCTGGGGTTGGAGTTGGAGAAGGAGGCAGAAGCGGCCGCGGAGGTGAAGGAGGAGTCTGCGCTCGGCGCAAGTGGATCGGGGGCAACGGTGCTCAAGAAGGTATCCCAGTGGTCGGCGACTGGGCTGACGCTGCGCTCGCGGTCACCCAGACCATCCACGCTCGTCGCCGGGCTCCACGACTCCCGCAGCGAGCTGGACGGTAGCGGAGGATGGGCAATCCTGCGGCGGCCCATCCGGCGGAGGGGGGGCATGCTGGCGACATCGCGGCCGTGGTCGACATGGCCTTCCTCGGGGTCGACATGGTCGACGTCGGGGATGTCGGCGTCAAGGGGGCTCCAGTTGAGCGCGTCGTCCAAGCCGTCGCGGGCTGGATTGCGCGCAGCAGCAGCAGCAGCAGGCGCAAAGTTGGGAGTGTATGCAGCGGTGGTGGTGGTGGCCAAAGGTCTCTGCAGGAATGCCTGGGCTTGCCTGAGCTGGTTCTCGCGCGCAGAGTCGCTGCCCTGAGCCGCGTAGTGGGTGGATTCGGGGACGGGTGGCGGGGGAGGAGGCGCGGCGGCGGACACGTCGACATGGGACGCGTCCAGTCTGAAGCGCCTGGAGGACTCGGCCTGGCGAAGGCGGCCAGCGATGAAGTTCTCGAGGGCTTGGACCTGGGGGGCGCGATCGCGGTGGATGCGAGGTTGACGCGTTGCGTTGCGGCGACGGATAGGCGAGCGCGCTGGGGCCGTGCGATCGACCTTGTTGGACGTGACCTCTTTTGCGTCGGGCGAGACGTCGCGCCAACGGGGGAGGCCCATTATTGTTATTGTGTGCCTGGCGAAGGGAGCGGCTGAGGGAGTGAGAGACGTGGAGATGTGGAGATGTGGAGATGTGGCGATGGAGGCGATGCGAGAGAGAAGGGGGGCGATGAAGAGCAGGGCTGAGAAAGGCGGCTGGGACTTCGATGGGGGAGGGAGATGGGTGGTGGTTGTTGCGGGTGGAAGTGAGATCGCTGGGAGGGTTTGTTCCAGGACGGGGAAGGGGGCCACAGACCCTAGAGTGGCTGGTGCTGTGGCTGGTGTTGTGGCTGAGCTAGCGAAGTGGGTGGACCTTTCTTATTAACGACGTTTGGACCCATGTGAAGCAGTTATGAAGGTTTCCAATAATGATGAAGACACTCAGTGAGCCATATTTTCCCCTTAAGCAGAGCGAGAGCGGGTGGAATGAATGCATACATGTCAACTCACATACTGCCCACCGCCGTCTTCGCAGCCATCAATCCAAAGTCGAAACCTACGCCAAGCCTGGGCAACCCTCACCTCTCTACGCCCTCCCACCTGGCATCCACGGATCCATCCACAGCCTACCACCACCTACCTGCCATGATCCAGCCCGGCCTCGAGCGGATAGCCCTCCTCCTCAAAAATGTCGAGTTCCCCTGGAAAGCGATACATGTTGCCGGCACGAATGGCAAGGGCTCCGTGTGTGCCTACGCCAACGCCATGCTGAGGAGCCACCATGTGCCCTGCGGGCGATTCACGTCGCCACATCTCGTCGACAGGTACGCCGTCACGTGATGGTCACTTTCACTGAATCAATTCAATATTCCATGCTCCTTTGAACGCCCCCGTCTGACGAAGCTGGTTGTGCAATGGGAACAGATGGGACTGCATAGTCATCAACGGTGCCACCGTCCCCGAAGCCCGGTTCAAAAGGGTGGAAAACCACTTCATCCAGCTCAACCAGCGCGAAAACATACAGGCCTCGGAATTCGAGCTCTTGACCGCCACCGCATTTCAGCTCTTCACAGACTACCGCGTCGAGTACGGTGTCGTCGAAGTCGGCATGGGCGGATTGCTGGATGCCACCAACATCCTGGAGAACCAGGTCGTCTCCGTCATCACCAAGATTGCACACGACCATCAAACGTTCCTGGGGCGCACCTTGCAAGAAATCGCACACCACAAAGCGGGCATCCTGCGACCAAACGTCCCTTACATCGTCAGCGCCCTCAACGAAGTCCAAGTCCAAGTGGTCATCGACGAGGTCGCTCAAGAGATCCGCGCCGGACCCCGTCTAGACGTCAAAAGAGAACTCACCAAGGAACTCCCCACCCGCCTGGAGCTGCGCGACTGGGAGAAATTCGCCCACAAGCTCCCACTTGCACAACGCGAGGCCATCGAAATGGCGTGGATAGCTGTCCGGCACGCCCTCCTGTCCCATGGTGTGAGCACGACCCCTTTACTCGGTTTGCTGCATCGGCTGCGGCCTTTGCAGCTGCCCGGGCGGTATCAGAAGATTCCCGTTCCGGCCGTGTTTGGGAGCAGCGACAGGAAGATCCTCGTCGACGGGGCCCATAACGAGGATGCTGCAAAAGCCCTCGCCGTGCATGTCAACAGGATGACCAGACACGAAATCTTCACCTCAGGCACTACGGTCTCGCATCCTCCCGCCTGCGGCCGTCCCATTACCTGGGTCATTGCCATGTCCTTCTCCACCGATAAGGATCCTCGCTCCTTCCTCCGCCACATTCTGCGCCCGGGCGACCGTCTCGTCCTCACCGCCTTCAACCCCGTGGCCGGCATGCCCTGGGTCAAGCCCGTCCCACCGGACGACCTGCTCCAAGCAGCCAAAGACGTCATGGGGGACGATGTCATTGCCGTGACTGTTCCCGAGCAAAGCGTCCATCGCGCGCTCATGGCCGCGAAGTACCTGTCCAAGGAGGAGAGTGGTGTCGTGTTGACGGGGAGTTTGTACCTTGTCGGGGACTATTTTCGGGAGGAGAGGAGGTACCAGCGGGGAGACGAGACGTCTTTGGAGTTGATGGAAAGGATGGACGAGCAGGAGCGGCAGCGGATCAATTATTGGCTTTCGAGGCTGGGGGCCGAGGAAGGGAGGACGGCGAAGGAGCAGGAGGGCAGGACGGAGGGGGAAGAGGAGGGAAGGGGAGCGAGAGAAGAGAAATACAGGCAGCTTCTCGAGGAAGTAGCTGAGTTGGATCGGCAACTGAAGGAGCTGGCGGAGAAGGAGGAGCAGTTGAGAAGGGAGGTCGACCTGGCGGAGGCGGAGGCGGACACGGAGGACCTTAGTCGGCCTCCCCTCGAGAAGGATACAGAGGAGCGAGGGAGAAGGAAAGAACAGAGCAGACAAAGCAGCGAGCAGCAGGAACTGCGTAGGGGGTCAAATAACCCCTACACACGCGCCACACAGCGAACGCTAGCGCCCACGACCGTCCAGGTCGAGGATGGAGAGGGGAGTCGAAGTTTCAAGATACGAAAGCATTTTGCAAGTGCGGGCACCAGAAGAAGCTCTCAAGGGAAAGCAGCATGACCCAGAGAGATGGAGCAAAGGAAAAGCCAGCGAGTTGCTTGTAAAGATAGGTTGATTTCGCAGACATGTATTAAATACGAATTAGGGTCAGGTCCTTGAGAATCGAACAGAGAATCGAACAGACCTGAGTGTTGGAGGAGCGCAATCGTACGGGCCTGAATCGCCTTCATGGAAACCCATGAGCAGAGTAGTACGGTATCGAAAACCACAAATGGTGGTAGGAACATGGCGTAACAGAGAGCCACTGACTTTCCCATGATCAATTTTCCTTTCCCCCTCACTCCCACGAATTAGCTAGGCTCAAGCATTGCTTATGCATGATGAAGGCACGTCAACCCAACGCAAGCATCACCATCACTTCTTTGGTCCCGTCACACAACAACGAGCCGTTCCCCCCTCTGAACCAACTCTGTTCCACCGCGACCCTGCATAAAGGCACATTGGTGCGCGCCCCTGCATCCGCATCTGCATCTCCGACCTCAAAATCTACGACGGCCGCCATCAAGAGTAATGAAACAATAGACTGAACAAAAACACTTGGATCCCTCCAACGCCAGCTGTGTGGGGTAACCGACTCGCTCAAAGTGACAAACCGACAGAAAAGAAGAGACAAACAATGACAACAAAAGACCGCCGGAGCACCACCTCGCTCAATCTCACTGCATCCCCTTTAAAAATTCTGCGCAATGCCCGAGTTCCCCTGCTGTGGAAACACACTCGGATTCTCAATCCTCGTATTCCTCCGCGCCGAGACATCCCTTATCACCGGTTGTTGATCCGTGGTATATGCATTGTAGTACTGATTATTCGAATACGCATTATATCCACCGTTATCATAATAGTCCTGGGGGTTGGACGTGGGGATGGGATAGTCGCCCGAGTTGTCCGAGTGGGCAGCGGCAGAGTAGGAAGAGGACGCGTTGGAGGGGCCACGATGCACGGCTGCCTGGTTCTGGTTCGGATTCGCGTTGACGGCGGTACCCAGCACTCCCAAGGTGTCGGCGTCTAGAGTCTCGCGGCGACCATGGACTAGCGGGTCGGTTGATTGATTGTCCGAGTGCGCTTGGGTTGGGGAGTTCGGGCCCCCTGGGTTGGAGGTGCTGTCGGAGTAGGCCATGCCGCTGGCCAGGGTCGTTGAGGCCTTGCGATTTGAGCTCGCAGCTGTGGTGTTGCCCCAGCCCCGGTACCCGCTCTGGTCTTCGGCCATCTCAGACGTCATTCCCACGGCCGGAAGCGTCGGGTCGTTGTTGGGGTTGAAGCCGTACTCTTCGACCTCCTTGCGTCGCGCCTCTTCAGCATTCTTGCGCTGCTTGCGTCGCCTCCACAAGATGATGCCGGCAAGAACGAGCAGTCCAACAACAACGACAGGCACGACCACGGCAATGGCCGTCTTCCCTCCGGTTGACAGTCCACCTCCACTCTTGGCCTTGTTGACGTTCTGAAGCCCAGCGGGGCTCGTGGTTGAGGACGATGGTGCTGGACCAGACGCGGTGTTGGAAGGCTGACCGTCACCGTTCGGAAGCGTAGTGATGGTCACAATAAGCGTCGATGGCTGGACTGACTCTCCCGGCACGGACGGTGTAGGAGTCACAATCGAAGTGATTATCTGTGTCGATGGTTGCCTCGACGGAGCTGTTACGGTAGAGGGCACGCTGGCCGACGGGGTAGAAGAGGGAGGAGGCGGAGGGGCAGAGGACGACGGAGGTGGTGGGGGGGTTGAGGGCGGCGGCTGCGATGGAGTGGAGGACGGAGGGAGCGGGACAGGAGTCGAGCTTGGGGGCTCGGTTGGAGGCGAAGCTGATGGGGACTCAGTTAGGCTCGGCGTCGGCGACGAGGATGGAGAGGGAGATGGATTGGAAGTCTGCTTAGCAGGCGGAGAGGAAGGTGCCGAAGGATTGGTTGGAATTGGACTTGGAGCGGGCGTGGAAGGAGAGGGAGGAGGAGAAGGAGAGGGAGAGACAAAGAGAGGGGAAGAGGACGTACTGGCAGTGCCATTCGACGCCATTGCGGCGACGGCAGAGAGATGGGGAGACGGTCGGCAACGAAGACAGGCGCCCGGAATGCAGTGAAATTGGTCAGCGTCAGAGAAGCAGCGTGGTTATGATACAGTAGTCGGAGGCTGTGACAGCCAGGTTCAAGCGTGCAGGGAAGAGGGAGCACAGTCGAACAAGGCTAGATGATGGCGATGTGCGGGCCGACGCATCTATGGCAGAGTGCGAGGCACAAGGCACACGGACAGAAACCGCAGCGCAGGGAGAGGCGGATTCGCTGGCAGCAGGTGGTCGTGGTGTGCGATAATGGTGATGACGGTGGTGGTGATGATGATGATGGTGGTGGTGATATTTAGTGGTGATGATGCTGTGACGATGGTGTTTCGAGGTGAAGAGAGTCTATGTATGGACGACTTGGGCTGGGCAAGGGCACCTGGGCAGCTTCAGCCGGCATCACACGCATGCCACCCATCCATTCACGCCGAGCCGCCTCGGTCTGCCTTCAGCCTCCAGACAATAGTCGTATTCTTAGCTGCTTTTGCTTAGTGGGCACCCCAATCCGGCAGCTGGATGCCGCAATCCGAGCAACAATACCTTGGTAATAATATGTACATAATAGCTTTTGCTGTTTTCGCTGTTTTCGGCATCCTCAGCCCTAGCGGCGTAACTAGAATATAATATAGCCAATTGGATGCTTGGAGATACGCATTTATTCTACAAGTAACTTGGATTGGAAGTACAGAGGGTTGTTCAGTCGGACGTGAAAAGAGGCGGTATGTATGTATCTGCATCTATTGGACTTGTGCTGTGTGAGCACCCTCATCAACCGCCTTTGTCACTGTTGATCATGTATTGAATAGTCTACCAAGTTCGAACCTGAGCACCCGTCACAACCTTCGGCTACAACCTTCGTCTCTCAAATCACGCCCGGGATGACCGCCTTCCGGTCACCCACTTTATCCTTGCCAAACTTCTTCTCATACCACTTCTTCCCTTGCAGCGCTCGCGGAAGCATGGTACTGATCTCGTTGGCCAGAAACGTCCTCGCCGGATGGCAGTGCCACCCTCCAACCATCCAAAATCCCGCCCACTCGATCCACTCGCACAAGTAGTGCGCATACAGGACGTGCTTGAACAGCCCGTCCTCGGGCAGCATGTACACCTTATCGACGCTGCTCGGCCGCTCGCCTAGTCTCTCCGCCTCCTGACGCTGCTTGCCAGCTGCCGCTCTCCGGATTTCTCGAAGGACATCGTCGTGGTATATGTTCCCCATGAGGCCCCAGGCCCAGATGACCAGCCCAATCTCTACAGACCAGCTGCGACCAGCCCAGTCCTGCGCGGTTGTGGGACCGTAGCCGGCGAGCCACCCGCCGATGGAGGTCGCGTTGAAGAGCTGGAAGGCGAGGGCGGCAACGCAGATGATGGGATGCATGGGCGCCATGCTGGGATTGAGATAGAGAGGTGCGACGAGGGCGCGGTAGATGTAGTGAAGCACCTAAATGGGCGTGTCAGTCCGAGCCTCCTTCAGCATGGCCATCAGGACACGTACAAAGCATCCCGCCATGATCCAATTACCCCAGGGCAGCTCGCGGATTCCCAACTCGCCGGGCAGTGTGAACATGATGTATACGAGTGTGATGAAGCCTGGCGCTTCCATGGCAGCCCAGCCTATCTTCCCCGGTATGTTGAACCTCGATTCCCTCGACGTCTTGCCTTGCGGGTACCAGTCGACGAGCCATTGGACTACCGTGAACTGCGAGGGAATGAGGAGCTGAGTCTAGATGGCGGCTGTGAAGAACTCGATGCCCATGCACATACCAGAGGGAAAAGCTGGAAGACGAAGCATATGCTCTCCCAGTTCTCGCGCGATGGCGGCAGCCAGTTCTGAATGATTGCCATTTCCGCGCAATTGGTCCCTGGGAACCTACAGTACAAATAGGTGCAATCCTCGTCGGAGGGGCGTGCAACTCGCCTCGCCCTGGAGGATGATCATGCATGTCTCGCCGGAAGGAGGGTGAGGTCATCGGCGATATTTACCCAATGCCAAGCGTCATCTGTGCGCGCGTCAAATATCTACTGTAGGTACGCAGTGATATCCCTCACCGCAAATGCAACGTGGAGAACAAACGAAACCAGATAGGTATCGTCAAATTCATTCTTTGAGACTGCTCAGCGCCGCTGAAAAGCACCATCGTACCTACTACGTGCTTCGCGAAATCCGCCTACTCAGTCCGAGCTCGCCTCTTCCGGCGCCCACGAAGCGTCGTCTTTGCTGATGATGATCTCCTGCACCTCTAACCTCCCATCAACAATCTCTCTCCCGTTGACGAGGTCATTCTCCTCCGCCCGTCTGGCAGCTTCCTCGGCGTCCTTTGCAATGCCTGCCTTGACGTGTCTGTGCACCAGCCTCTTCCTGGCAACGGCGAAATCGACTTCCACAAACCACAACTCATCCATCAGCGCAGCCGCCTCGTTCCAGGGGGATTTGTTCAGAGACAGGTAGTTGCCTTCGAAAATGATGATGCGGACGCTAGGCGCAATGGCAATGTCGTCGGCAACGGGGTCCATGACCGAGTGATCGAAGCTCGGCGCGTAGAGCGTCTTCGTCTCGGTGCATAGCGGCTCGCGGAGCTTCTTCACGAGAGCAAGGAACGACTGCCCGTCAAAGGTGAAGGCGGCGCCTCGGCGAGCATGCGCAGTGACGGGGTCTGGCAGGGCATCGAGCTGGCTTCTGGATAGGTGATAGCCATCCATGGGAATGAAGGCGGCCAAGGGGGCACCATTGGTAATCCCCGGGGAATGGCGATCATGGAGATCTTCCAGCTTCTTCGCAACGACGGCAGCGAGAGTTGTCTTGCCTGACGTGACGTGGGCGGTCAGCGTAGGACTGAGATGTTGGGGAGAGTACCTAGGAAGGTCGCACCAGAACCGGGGATTCCAGATATGGCGATCAGCAGCCTCCTAGATCGAGGGATGGTTTGGAATTTCTCTGAAGAAACAAGTCAGCCCAAGCCATGCACGTAAAATGGCCCAGAAGCACCAGTACCCCATGTCTTGTTGACTAGACGTCGGACTTGCTCTTCCATTTCAGATGGTTAATCTTGTTCGGTGAGTGATGGCCCTTGTAGCGCAACGCATCGGATACGATACATACTCTTGGTAAATACTTGTACTTTGAGTGGGGGCCTATCTCTGTACCGCGGTCCCGACGCGTGTTAATAATAATCGGATCATTGCAGATCGTGACATGCGTGATGATGTATATGGACCATGGTGTCCATTATTATTACTCCGCCGACGTCGCCGGGCGGGCTCAATCCATCATGATGTTCCAAGGGTCCCGAGGTCCCAGATAGCCGCACGTGACCATATGGTAGCATCCACCTGGGCATGGATCAATTGATGGAGGTTGAAGTCATGCATCAACGTTGCCTGCATCCGCAAAGATGGCCCCGAATCGCCCAGTCTGCCTGTTCAAGCTGCAGATGCACCGACCCCCACTATGCACGCACACACGTGCACGTGAGAGAGTTCAAATCCATTGCCCAGGTGATGCTCCAAAGCATAGATGGACCGTGCTATCCATCTACCATTAGGAGAGACAAACAGCCACAACATCTGCGAGTGAAAGTACCAGTCCAGTACGTGGTAGACTCTTCACCACCAAACCAATCATGTGAAACTCTTCACACCCGACGCAGGATGACAGTACCTGCATATCCCACAAACCAGACACTCGCTTTGCGTTGACGACATGCGCCTGCCTACATTGCTATTCCGTGCACTCGCTACGCTCCTTGCGCCACGGCCTTCTGATGCTCTTCCGGACGCCATCGATTCGCGCAACGTATCGTCACTACTATGGGGCCCTTACCGTCCCAACTTGTACTTGGGTATCCGGCCCAGGGTCCCCGAGAGCGTCTTCATGGGCTTGATGTGGGCCAACTTCGACGAGGGGCATAAGAGTACGGATTCCCCGAATACAGCGTCAGAGCCGGGAATGTTGTTAACCATTCGCAGGTCTCCGTCACACCTGCGAACAGAACGATGGTATGGGGGGGTATGGTTGGACGGCGTACGATGCCCGCAAAGGAGGAACGCAGCTCATACCAGATGTGGGGAATAAGATCAACATCACCACCGAGTTCGTCAAGATTTCAGAGGGACAGAGCAGAGGCAATTGGGGCCTCCGAGTAAAAGGGGTTCCAAGAGAAGAAGCTGGCCACGGTCTGAAGACGTCGGTTGTCTTCTATGTCTCCATGGAGGCTACGGAGAAATGTCAGGTCTGCAGGCTGGAAGCTGCCGAGGGCAAGATCGGGCCTCGAGATGACGAGGCCGTGCGAAAGGTCGTATTCTGGATCAAACATCCCATACTCGGCATCTCGGAGATCCATCTTCCGATTCCAAAGCACGACATCTCCGCCATCGCAAGCATAAACACCACAGAGGACGTGCTATGGAAGTCAAAGTCTCTCTTCGTCGATTTGCTGAAGAATGAGGCGCACTCGAAGCGCGGGAGTCTGGTCTTATCAGACGAGCCCGCTATGGGAAATGCGCATTTTGTGCAGATGGTATTCCACGATCGCTTCGAGTTTGATATTCTCTATTCGTCGCAGGCAGCGACGCTCGAGATGACCTCTCTTGATATCACCACCGAAATGGAAACCAACCGGGAATCCTTCGCCGAGAGATTCTCCTCGATCTTTGCACCACAATGGCCGTTCCTGACCGAGTCACACCTAACCTTTGCACTAAACATGTTTTCGAATCTCTTGGGAGGGCTGGGCTACTTCCACGGGGATATGAAGGTCTTTGAATCGCATGCAGCAGACTATGAAGAGAAGGAACCGGAGTTCTGGGAGAAGCTCGCCGAGGCTCGTCGCCGTGAGAAACCGCAAACCAAGGGCCCGTTTGAGCTGTTGACGCACGTGCCGTCTCGCGCCAACTTCCCTCGTGGCTTTCTCTGGGATGAGGGTTTCCATCTCCTTCCGGTCGTCGATTGGGATCTTGATCTAGCATTAGAAGTGCTTCAGAGTTGGCTCGGCCTAATGGACAGGGACGGATGGATAGCAAGAGAACAGGTCCTGGGCCCAGAGACGCGCAGCAAGGTTCCGCCCGACTTCCAAACTCAATCCCCCGAAGTTGCAAACCCCCCGACATTATTCTGGGTTGTATCCCGTTATGTTAACATACTGTCAGGCGCGGAGCAGTATGCAGGACATGAATCTCACCACTTGAACGATCGTGAGTCGGGTACAGATCTGCTCATGAGGTTATATTCCCTGTTGAAGCGACACTACGAATGGTTCCGAAGAACGCAGCGCGCTGATGTGGAAGCTCACTCGATACCCAATGCTGCGCTGGGTGAGGGCTACCGTTGGCGGGGTCGTACGCCGGGCTATAGTCTTGCCAGTGGCTTGGACGATTATCCACGAGCGGAACCGCCTGATGTCACTGAGTTGCATGTGGATGCGCTTTGCTGGGTGGGTGTGATGGCAAGGACACTCGCGCAAGTGGCTGAGTACCTTCAAAATGATCAGGAGCTCTCCACATTCCGGCGTCACTACGATGGCATCCAGCGGAATATCGAAGTCCTACATTGGTCGGATGGTGGGGGACTTTATTGCGACACTCGTATCCACGACGGCCTTCATACCTTCACCTGTCCGAAGGGCTACATCTCTCTCTTCCCCTTCATCACAGGCTTCATAGGCCCCGAGCATCCGCGTTTGAACGCCACACTGGATCTGATCCGTGATCCGGAGGGCCTTTGGACTTCTTCAGGAATCCGCAGCCTCAGTCCGGAGAGCACCCGGTATGGCGAGGGCGATAACTATTGGCGCGGGCCGATCTGGATCAACATCAACTATCTGATCATAGAGCAACTTCTTCACTTGGCCACGACTCCCGGGCCGCTCAGGCATCGCTGCCGGGACATCTACAAAGAGTTGAGAAGGAACGTGGTCGAGACTGTTTATAATGATTGGGAGAAGACTGGGTTTGCATGGGAACAGTATCATCCGGAAACGGGAGTAGGCCAACGGACTCAGCATTTCACTGGCTGGACTGCGCTCGTCATAAAGCTTATGTCGTTCCCTGATCTCGAAGAAGAAGGCGTCCGGCACAAGCTGGGGGCGCTCGTCAAGGAGGCAAAAGCTAATCATGGGTTGGGTGTCGGAGGTATTGTGGCGTGCATGCTGCTCATCCTGCTTGCGTACATGAGCCGGCGAAAACTCGCAAGACTACGATGGAGCATGGTTCGGCGGTTTGAGAGGTAGAAAGATGAGCTCATAGGCGGCGGTTTGGCCCCGGTGTGATACCATTGGATTTTACACCGCTGCGGTTGACTGAGTTTGCAGCACTGCTCCAAGGCTTCTCAAACATCACAGTACTTCACATGACTCACCTCTTCACCATATTTCTACGGTTACGTGTGCGGTATAAGACCCTGCACGCGGTCGGACCGGAACGAAACATCGGCATCGCCAGGCCTGTCAAGTTCGCGCTGAGGAGTGAGATCTCCGAGCGGTTGCCCAGTCGAGCTCATACTCGCGCACTCTTCAGTCTATTCCCAAGCGATTGATTCCCGGCATGCACGTCTCAGCTCCTTCATATTCAACTCACTCTGTTACTTGAGCGATGTCTCGGTCACGGCACGACCACGTGTACCTTGGCGCAGCCACCTGCAGGCTCCCTCTCATGTACAGAAACTCCGTTATGTACTATACAACGACCCGCCGCAAAGGGACGAACGCGGCAGCAGTTCCATGCCCATGGGTATAACGCGGGTCGCCCTTTTTCTTGCGAAGAGCCACCAATATAGCCGCCAGCGCGCCAAACTACAAGGCTGACATGGATAAAAGCAGATTATCATATAATGCAGCCATTTTAGATTGCACCTAGGTTCGATGTTCGCATACAGCGGTCACACAGAACCGGAGTTTGCTCGGATGGCCTGAGGCATTATTGGATTCCCTGGAACCGAGAAGGAATGTGTGAGCACGTCCGGAGCTATTTTCCGTGACGTGGAGGATGCATGGCCACGAGCGAGAACTGAGAAAAGTATATCGATGAGCAGGCGGGAGGATTTGTTCGCCCTGGTAGGGAGATGCCTGGAAAATGCAGGCATGACTATGGGACGATTATGATATATGAGAATGTCTCTCGAGGTGGTGCGAGGCGTGGGGCTGAGTACATTTACCTCTTTGCTCGTCCTCTCCCTGTTCCTCTTTGCGATTGCGTTGATGCGAACCTGCCTGAATCTGCTCGTCAATCCTCACCGACCTTAAGATGTTGCACAACCTGGCCCTCCTCTTCCTTTTCACTCTTCTCCTCACTCCTCCCGCCGCCTCGCCCTTCGCCTTCCGCCAAACGGGCTCCCCTAAACCCCCTAAAAACATCTTAAAAGTCTCCGACGTAACCGTCGAGACCGAAGCTGACGGCAGCGGCTGCCGCCCTGGCACCGTCAGGGTTGCCGTCTCCGAAGACAGCTCCCTCATGACGTTCATCTTCGACGATTTTCAGGCCGCCGTGGGTCCAAATGCGGGGAGCTACAGGAAGCGGGCGCTCTGTAGAGTCAGTGTCACAATCAGTAGTCCCGGTTGGGCGTTTGACGTGCAGAGTGTGGATTTCAGGGGGTATGTCAGGCTAGGGAAGGGGGTGCAGGCAAGTATTGTGAGTAGGTGGAAGTGGGTGGATATGAAGACGGGGGCCGACTTGAAAGGGAAGGTAAGAGGATCTCTGTCTTCTTGCCTGGACCATATTCTTTCTTTGCCCGTCGTTCACCCTTTTTTGGTCTATCGGTTCTCTTTCGATCTAGGCCGTTGTTGCTATACAACTACGTTCCAGCCCAAAGTGCCGCACACCCCAGACGCCGTAACTCGTTTTCAACACTCACTCTTCCTAGGGGAACATGCAAAAGAAAGTAGAGGCCCCCTTCGAAGAAGACTTCCTTCTCCATAAAGACGGCGAAACCTCAGGCGAGGCCGCAGTGTGCCAAAAAGCATCCGCACGCTTCGCTATCACGCTATCAGCGACGCTGAACACGGATCTGGCATCCCCGCCTGACAGCATTATCCAGGGAGGAAGCTTGGACAATTCATTCAAGGAGCAAATGTTATTGGGGTGGAAGAACTGTTAGGATTCGGTGGGCAAAGGAGCGGAAGGGAGAGATTGAGTAGATGTGTGTTATGATTGTTTCGGACAATACTCCCTTCGTGTGGTTAAAACGGGGGAGGAACAACATCATGCATCTAAGATTTCCTCAATGTCGACAGGCCGTCCGGCTTTATCAAAATAGTTGATGCAGACTACATGCATCAGCTGATTCACCGAGCTGGACTCTTAGGCTCACCCTGTTATAGGGATGGCGCTTGAAACGCGTACGGCAATCCGCCGACGGATTGACGGTGTTCGGAGAGTCGCGAGTCGCTCCGTGACGAGATGTAAGGGAGGGTTGGACGGCGAGCTGTACGAAGGACAACTTGATGTTCCATTACTACTAATCGGCTAAGTTCATTTCTTTCAAGAGAACTCTCTAATCTCTGCAACATGTCGTCCAGACTTTTCCTATAACCTTAACATGTTCCGTTCCATGGATGAGGATTCAACCGGGGGGGAGGACTTGAAGGCCGGGACGAAGAATACATGGGGAATCCGGAACAGAATTGTAGAGCCAAACTAATCCTATAGGACTTCGAATTTTCCGATGAAGAGCCTGAGGATGGCTAATCAGAGGTAGACGACGGGTATGCACTCTCCGACTAATCATGACGCGGCCCTGAATGGAAAACAAGGACTCATACGAAAACAAATCTGGTTCGGGAAGTCATTCTGCTCACAATCCAGACGAGGAGGAAGAATAGCTTCCGCGAGTGCTCGTACCGGGAGAAAGAGTCAGTAGATAGATTCGAAAGATTGAAAGCACTAACTCAGATGTAGTTGAGCGCGTCCAATATTCTGCATCCGCCCGATACGGTAAATTTAGGTTCCGTAAGAAGAGAAGGATTCAATGGAAGCCTTCGAAGGTAGAGCGATACTATGCTGGACTTGATTGCAGATAACTCATACATGACAATAATAGATGCACGACCACTTATTAGGCTAGACGCAGAAGTTTATTCACAGTATTCTTTAAAGGCAGTACTACAAACACCAAATTGTACTTTGCCAAATAGTCCATGATATATTCCCTAGCCAAATAGGGTAACAAAATCAATATTAAAGAGAATATCACATAATGAGTCGTAGATGCCAATTCTTTGTCTATTTTTCGAGGGTCTAACGACTTAACCCTTAGCGAATTGCGCATGTATATCAGCGTAATCATTGTACCATCATGGGAAGTTAGCAACGATAGCCCCATTGCGGCAGTACACTGTTGATAGAGTGCCGTCTTGCAGGTTTGTTCACGGCAAAATAAGCCCTGGCACATTAAGCAATTAGTTCAACTAAGAGTCTCTAGGGCGGTATCTAAGGGAACAACAATAATAGTATTCCGTTATGCAATGATCTAGCTATTTTTCTATAACAAAATCTTTTGTTGTGGGTACGTTTTGTCAGGCCTGCCTTGAGGATAAGTAGCTCTCCCTTTGGGTTAGAATGGTTGTTACCCACCGTGATCGAGCTCGGAGCGTCAAAGTAGGTACATAATGAGGCAGGTTTACATTCACAGGCATGTAAATGTTCGGAGAATATTTGTTTAGACGTATTCTGAATGGGCTGCATGAAAGTGTTTGACGGAAGCACAAACTTGAATTTAGGACTAAGAAAGCAAGATTGTAGATGAGGAAATTGAAAGGGGTGCAAATTGAGTAGGGACACTTAGATTGCTTACTTTTCTCGGAATAATTATGGCGCAGTTATCGCATTTGCACCGAAGGTTAGACAGCCGCACAACGGAGAGCCACTCGTCCCCTGTTACGAGAACTCAATATACGTAGAAGATATATTCACTCGACAAAGGCGCACCGGATTGCTGAGCGGTTACTCCGAGGGGATGTGGGGGAAACATGCAAGTGGGCTCATCAGGTTATAGATCCTTGACTTGTTCACATCCGGTGTCCAAGTTTCCTCAATCTTGGGGCCGCCCGTTGCTCTCAATCCGACTCAACCTAAACTATTAATCTATGAGCTCTTTTCTGTAGGTAGGAGCCCATTAAGAACAGATTCACGGCAACGTTGGTAGGGACTTGTTCCTCAATGCGACCAGCCTATGTGGTTCAAGCGATCCAAATTCGCATGGATACCGCCCATATAGGTGTTTGTCAACCCAATTCCCTGTCTTTGTAAATAAAGAGGCCTTAATTACTACGTTCCGCAAATAGAAATTCAGATAGTTTAGACTGGTTAGTGAGCAATTAGGCCGTCTGTTGCTATGCAACACGGCAGCTGAAGCGGACCTGTCAAATGCAGTTCTTTCGGTATGTTTTGACGTCGCTTGCATTTGATGCCGGACCATACTGGCGGGTTCCTGGCAGATCGATCTACGCTGAGCCGCAAAATAATACCAGGGGTCAATAATAATATGTTCTATAATATACATCCACGCTTAACCAACGGCATCACAGATTGATCATCTCTTGAGCAAACTTTACTGGGTAATGCCTTAAGGCTGACGCCCTTTCGCATAGATTGCGTTCCTCTTTCCCCGCCGTCGCCGTAGGTTATACGAGGCTGACCACTTGCAGAGTGCTCGCTACCGAACGTTAACAGTAACCTCATTTGTAAAGCAATGAGGGAGATATGATGGAACGTTCGGTGCAGCAACGGTGCCATCGTTCTACCTGGTCCCAGCATTGCTATGAATAGCATCTTCATAACTATGTGCTACTGCGGAACGACCGATGTTATACCAGCCTTGCATTCATGCCATCTTGTCATCGCTGACGCCGGCTCAACCTATGTCACTGACCGACTACCGTCCGCGCATGACGAGCAGGTGATCCAGAAGAGGGAAGCCATCCTCGCCGCAATTCGGCGCTCCCAGGACTAGGAGGATATATGCACTCCCGATTAGGAAAGTCTGGGCATCCAGCCCTTGCTTTCACCTCCATGGAATCCCTCACGTACTACCCTCTCGACACATGTTCCACCCTTCCAGAGACCACTTTCTTCGCACCCCAAGACTCAGGAATGCAATTTAACTGAATATACATTCATTATGTGGTAATCTGTAGAGCCGTTTTTAACATCGCGAACGGCCTGGACCAGCCGCAAGCTTACTCCTCTGAGTGCTTGAAAAGTTGGAGAATATGGCAGCCTCCACCCGGTGACGAGGTATAAAAGCAGGCCGAATCTCCCACCCGGAGAGCCATCACCATCACCAGATCATCAATCCTTCAAACTACACTTGAACTCTCTTCACGCCTAGTCAACAGCGAGCCTTTGTTCAGTCCCCCTTCCGCGACAATGAAATCCGCTGGCGCAATTCTTGCTCTCGCTGCTGTTGCAGCCTCTAACCCTCTTCCATCTCCACAAAACGCTCCCTCCGGTCACGAAATCGAAATTACAGGAATTACATACGGAGGAACTGGTTGTCCCGATCAGACTGTGCAAGGTCTTCTGACGGATGACAAGAAGACCATTACTCTGTCGTTTGACGCGTACACCGTGCAGTCCGGACCGCAGATTCCAGCAACAGAGCGCAGGAAGTTCTGCCAGTTGCAGCTGAAGTTGAAGTATCCTGCCGGCTTTCAGTTCTCGATTTTCTCCGCGGACTACAGAGGATATGCCAGTCTGGAGAAGGGTGTTAAGGGCACCACGCAGAGTACATACTACTTCTCCGGTAGCCAGGATCAGGCAAGTGAATGCATGATTTGATATAATAACATTTCCACTAATCGTTCCACAGACAGTCCTCCCCACGACCTTTGAAGGCCCAATGGAAGGCAACTATCTGAAGCATGACGAAATCGATGCTGCTTCTACAGTCTGGTCTCCCTGCGGCGAGAACGGCATGCTCAACATTAAATCGGAGGTCCGCATTGTCCCAATGTCTTCGACTGGCCTGAATCTGCTCACTGTCGACACCGTGGACGGCAAGTTCACTCAGAGATACTACACTCAGTGGCAGAAGTGCACGCCTAAGAACGGGGGCAATGGCAATGGAAACGGAAACGGAAACGGAAACGGAGGTTTGAGGCCCCCGCAGTTTGACCCGGATAATCTGGGACGCGAGGTTGACTTGTCAGGTAGACCCATTCAGTCGTGAGGGAAAGGTGGAGCGGGATGGTGAGTGAGAGCTGATCCGAACTGTTTATATTTTGGCAGTAGCAGAACCTTTCTTGGGAGGCCATCATGTGGCCGCGACTTTCGTTTTCCGCTTTGTTTTTAGGTTCTCAAACGTTGGACTAGGTCTCTAGGAATACAGAATGCAGTCGTCACGGAACAAAGGTGACCAACTGTATCATCGGTGCCCTTTATTACTAGTTTTGCTGTGCCTCATGTATCCTAAGCTCTGGTCTCCGATATTCCATAATGTATACAAATCCATTAACTGAAGCGCGTGAGAATACTCTATTGACGCGGTCATAGAGCGTCGTACGGTCAGCAAAGTCGACAGTCATAGAAACACCTTTCTTCACTACCGTCCAAGTGAGAATTCTGGTGTAGCTACCATGAGGAATACCGCATTATGTATTCACCATCTGTGTGCGTCCACCCTAACATGATCTAGAAGTCCGATTGTCGGACCGCACCAGTTATACAGGCTGATAATCCTTTGAAAGACTGATGATATATCCATCGGCTGATATGTCAATCCAGTACCCGATGCTTGTACAGCTTAACCCCTGCCGTGACAGTGTTGTTATATATTGTATCAAGTTCCAACGATGCTGCTTAGGCGATTCAATGCCTCATTAAGAACCGTGGCTTTTCTCAATGCCGTTACTGAACTAGTCTACCTGGATGCGCTGATGCGTATATGGCCCTATATGCGCTGAATTCCTCAGTGTTACCATTGTGAAGGCTGGCATCAGCTGAGGAACTTGCTTTCGTATGCAAGCACTGTATTATAATTGATATGTAAGAGATTAAGATGTCTATTTGTGGGCTGCGTACCGCTGACACAGTTGAGGATGATACACGCATTCCTTGATCTGAAAGACATTTCCGAGGCATGAGCTGGATGTGCACCTGGAGCGCAGCTGGAGCGCACCTGCGGGAGCTGCCACAATTGCCTTTGAAGCAGTGAACAGCAAGATCATCCTCCAATGATTTCCGCACAGAGAGAGGTCCCGATTACTCTCCTGGGCGATGGAGATGACGAAACACCTAGGCGAAGAGGTGTGCTGAGTTGGAACTTGGCATTCGCTGGAGCATACAAGGCTACATCACTATGCCGACAGTTATACCCACCCCTAGGGATTATAGAAGATAGATTGTGGTAGGAGTGCAACCGAGATTAACAGCGCAGCATCTAGCTAAGAACAGATATTAAAGCGTCCTTAGCAAGCTTAACTACTGTGTCAACCAGGTCGGGCTACGGAGTACTCGATCAACGTCAATGGCACGGCGACGCGGTTATTTACCTAGGAACGTCAAGAGGCGGGATGTAATAATGCGTATAGAGAAAAGAGTAAGCGCAGGATCACACTAAGTCGCTCCTTTCTCACCAACACTCCTGCCTGCTGTTACCCTAGGGTACATACGACGAACGCTGGAGTTGGATTCCCATTTCCTTATCTAAACGCGACTTTGCCGTTTCCCTCGACCAACGGACATCTGCATATACAGCGTCTGGACAGCTAAACCGGATATTCGGAAGCCCAAGAAATCCCCTCTTATGGTCAAGCGGTTACTTGTTGTAGTTTAACTCCTATCAGTACAGGTAAAGCGCGTAATTCCGAATATGCGGAACAACTGGCCAGACGCTCTACGGAAATTTGCATACTTGCACAGGCGGAGACCCTGCATACGCGGGACGCGGAAGGTAGGAAGCGCAGGATCACCAACATGTTGGTTCTTTCTCCCCGACCCTCCTGCCTTTTGATCCTAAGTGGGCCCCAGCAAACAAGAGGGTATAAGTCTGGCTCTTTCTCGTTGATTGTGCTTTATCCACTCGCTCGAAGCGTCGCGCAACTCCCATCAATCCAACAAAATGAAGAATCTCTTCCTTCTTGCTCTTCCTCTGCTGGCTTCTGCTGCCGCCGTCCCAGGTTCTGGGTTAGAAGCTGTGAAGGCTCCTAGTATGCCGCTCTCTACCCTCTCTTCTACTATCCTGACTGTTTTTAGAACTTGAGACCCGAGCCGACTGCAAGCTTATTTACTGCCCACTACCGCCAGGATTGGATGGAGTACGGTTTGAAGCGATTCCAAGTCAAGTTCTCTGTAGAGGGTGGTGGTATCCCACCTGAGAGCTTTTGCGATGCTATTCGTATGTGCTCTACCCTATTCTCTTAGTTGTTTTAATATTAATAAAATAATAGCGTCAGGTTGTAAGAGTTGGACTTCGAACACTCAGTGTGGCTTTGATCCCAACCTTGATGGTGGAAGCTGGCGCGTTGATGCGAGCTTTTTTAATACCTGGCCAGGCTATTCAGACTACATCGACTGCTTTCAGGCGGCTGCCAACGAATGGCGTCGCGTTCACAATACCTGCGATGTTGACTCTCAGTTTTGAGAAGGCGATTACCTCGCTCTTGTTGATTGTCGAAACAGCTGCAGGCAAGTCTCATTGGCACATTTTTTTGTCGTATTTAAATCAGTCCTAACCCTAGTCAGTAGTACCTGGGACAAGTAAATTGGAAATATCAACATACCAATATCATATTCAGCACGGCCAGTGATGGTGGTGGTGTTGGGTTGGAGAGAAAGGTTGGGTGGCCGGGAAGAGACTTGCACCCAGCTGGCGCTTTATTGCAGGAAACATCGTTAATACATCCTTAATAATACTGTCATTATAGCCTGCGTATTCTCCGTCGGCACTCTTTATCTCGACCCGTCATCGAAGGTAGTCGGATGAATGAAACCGTCAGTAAAACCGAGTTGGTGAGAATTGCTGCAAAGCCCGTCTTGTCATCAATTATAACGCTCAACCCCGCCGATTCAGCATCGTGGCACTGGTGGAAGTCAATTTGCGCAGCTACGTTATTACTAAAACCCTGGTACGAGAGATACCACTCGCCCTCTGGCGGAAAATGTATTACGTCTACTGCCAGTAGCTAGGATTTGCAGTGCTGTGGTGATCTGTATTATTACCTTTGCTGAAGCCCGGCTGAAAAAATACTTTCCTTTTGTTTAGGGGCCCTGTAGCCTTGACAATCTATAGTGAGCCATGGCTGGCCGCGAGCGGGTTGCGGCGCGAAACCTTCTGTCCGCAGTTGTTCTGGGGATAGTAAGATTACAGGTATGATAACGGAAGATCTAATGCTTGATGTTATCAAAGGTTTGCGATTCAAGTTGTGAAGCTTGGAGTTGGACACGCAAGGCTTTGAGAGCTGTAATCTACATTGGGATGAATCCATAGAGACGAACTGGCCTCTCGTCGAATATTGACTCTGAAGCATATAAGGAGCATCTACAGACTTCGACACCTCCAAGCCTGCAATATGTTACGGTTCTTGCATTGAGATTCTGCAAGCTACCTCCCCATGTGCCTGGTATCACTGTCGCCGCTCCTTCTGTTACCCCAAACGGTTCGATCACTGGGTGGCCGAAAGCAAAAGTGGCCACTGACATGGACTCTGAAAGTCTCGGGTCTCCCCATCTTTCCATGTTTGCCTTCGTCCTTGTTGTCACCTCGACTGCGTTTCAGGTCAGATCGATAACGTCGATTTGGTCATCATTGGAGATGACGGCGTGAGTTCGGCGGCGCTTCGCTGATACGAACAACACCTCATCGCCCTGGTCACCACCAACTAGATCCTCGCTACCATCTGGCCGCTCTCTCTTGACCTTCCGGTTGCCTTCTTCCTTTACTGCTCGAACCGTGCGTTCACGATCCTAACCGCGAGTCAGCTTAGCGGGGAGTAATTCTGCAAGTCTTTACGAACCCGTTGACGCCGGAGAAGCTCCCTAGCCTCTTCGAATGTAAGGGTGTCGGTGTCTCTAAGTTCGAGAAGTATCGGGCTCGGGCTGCGTGGAATGATGTGCAAGGCCTTAAGTGCCTCTGCAGAAAGAACATTAGCCTTGAAGTAGAAGAGGGTTACAAATGCTGGCCATGCTACCTTTAGACCTGCACCTGAAATTGAAGGTTGCAAACTCCTTCCCAATCGCTTTCGTCGAACGAGTTTTGTAGGATGCTGTCGGCTTCCGCTCCAATAGACTAATCAACGGTCAGATCAATGCAAAAAAAAAAAAAAAAAAGGAAGGGGTTCGCGAACCCTGTCTGATGAGAGACCGCCCTGCCTTTTAAGGCTTTCTCTGACACAGTTCCAAGTAGAGCAGCACTCGTCTTTGCGGACCCATTACGTCGCCGACCCTTCACCTTGACCCACGTCGCGCTGATGCCAATAGCCCCTATACACTTGATAGCGTTTTGCAGATCGTGGTTGGCCATGCCGGCATCGCTCTCACCTGTACAGACATTAGCCTTTTCAGAACAAAGCATTCACTAATTAAACACGTTACCAATGTTGAGCTGTGAGAAAAAGAAAGGCCGAACATAGCATTTCCCCCGGTTCCTTTCCCGGACGCCGGTAAATGTTGTAGTGTAATCAGACGGGTTCCGCAGCTTGTAAACAATACGGCCGCAGGCAAACCTTCCATCCGTGTACACATCGAGTGATAAATCGTGCTTCCAGACGAAGGCCGAGGTGAAACGGCAGCGGATCTCGAATGTGGCATTGGAAGTCGCCTCGATGTACTTCAGGACCCGGTCAGGGACGGCCTCCTCATCCGGGTCGACGTACTCCTGAAGAGGCGTCCCGTTGACCAGAATCTCGACCTCCAAGCCTGGGTAGCTGTCTAGGACGGCCATTCGCAAACAAGTTGTAATCGGAGGCACCGTGGGTGAGATAGCTGCTGGACGTGGGCAGATATCGGTAGGAACCGTGAGAGAGGACGGAGACTTATATGGGAGAATGTGATGGTGAGGCCGGGGCGAGCGTGCCGTTGGAGATTGCAGCTGCCGAATGTGAAGGTGAAGGTGAGGAAGGTACGTTGGCGCGACAACCTTACAAGCTTCACTCACCTAGGAGCCGCTCGCAAATAACCTTGTAATACTGTGGCCTTTGGGTTGACAAGGTACACCTGCCGCTCTCACCTACATCATCCCTAGATTCGGCTACCTGATCACACGGCAGCAAGCAAAGACAGTGGAGGCCGGCATGGATTTCTCAGAGTCAATCCTCCGCTCCGAGTGGGTTTCGAGCCGCCTGACTTAGACCACCGTACTTCTCACACCTAGGTTCGCGGTCCCTCGTTGGAAGTTTCCCTCACAGTTAACTATTCCCACTGGATTCTTATCCTGCCGACAAGCACACCATAGCCGTTATGACCATGGCTCACTCCAGTCGGAAGCCAGCTCGTCGAGAAGAACCGCATCCAAGACGTCGGCAATCCTGCAGGTGGACCTGTCACCTCGTTGCCTTGATGCCGGGGATGCTTCCCACGGTTATCGAGAGTTAAGTTTAGGCCCGTATAGAGAGCTGGAACACACTGCTAAGGGATGATGTTGTCTTGATAGTGAGCAAGTTGATCGAGAGGGGGAAATAGGTAGATCCTACAAAATTGTGAGGTCGCCGCGATGCTCCAATTGGTGAGGCATACGTGTTGGCCTTGATAGAATATGGCCCGAAGACGAGAGGGAGTGTTGCGAGCATTGGGCCAGACGCCGAAGCTGGAGAAGCATTCTGGGGCCTCGGTAAGCTTAAGGCCTGTTTTGCAGTAGGACCACGTGCGTAGTAGTCTTGGACGGGCGGACGCGGAATACAATCTCACATTCTAGTCCACCAATGTATGGGCAAAAGAGATGAACGGTTATGTCGGTAAAACCAAACGACTATGGACCACGCACCTAATTCAGCAGCAGGACCTGCCACCTACACACCGGAGTCGAGATTGGGAAAACCCTCAAAGGTGGATTGAGTGCGCACATCCGTGGAACTGTGTGGAAACACCACGGGAATTCACCTCATGCAGCTGAAGAAGGGTTTGATATTTCTAGGTATCTACAATGGTACCCGACCGTACCGAGAAGATGATATACCAAAGCGCCAGTGAGAATATACCCCTGCCGTGCCAAAGTCAAGGGAAGCATGTGGCACCAACATGGTTAGCACCAAGGGAGGGGTACTGGAACCCACACCGCCAACTCCACCAACGCCAATGAAATGATGACCAGTGATGCTGTGAACGAAAGGGAGGCCGAGAGGCGCGCTATGCAGAGAAAACCGACGTCGTTGTCCAGGGGCACATTAGGAGAGAAACGTCGACAGCGTCCGCTCTCGCTTCGTATAAAAGCAATCCGACGTCTCACCAGGGCCCGACACGCACTGATGAGCCCATACCGTAAGTCCCATTCAGCAGCTGCTGACGAATGGACATGGTATCCAAAGTACCCCCAGTAGGGTTAGGGGTTGTCTCGCCGCCCATCCATCCAAGGCTCCCACGTAACTCATTCACAGCCTGCTGCATTTTGCCGCCCGAGACCTCGTTGTGTTTTGCAAGTTTCTGGTCCCAACCACCGTATAGAAGTTGCATCCCACCGGCTTTTTTCGCTGCCTCCCGTATAACGACCGCCCACGCCTTCGCTATCTCCTCGTATGCATCGTGTTTGTGTCTATTGTGTTGGAAGTTATCCCAATCAGGCAGACGGTGGATCAGTTCGGTTGCTCCGTCCAGGAAGGTCAGGGAGGTGGCTGACTGCTGTTCGTTTGGCGGAAGGAAATGGGGGGTGAAGTCTCTCAAAGCATCGAGCAGCTCGATGAAATGCTGGCGCACACGGTTGTACGCATAATCCGACGTGGTCCGACCAAGGGGAAATGCAGCCTGGAAGTTTGACTCATATCTACCCAAGACCTCCAGAGTGGACTGGACGCTGGGCCGCGGTGCAGAGGTGGCAATCTCGTTCCCGATGTCTGGATGGCGATCGCAGACGGATTGTAAGAGGCTGCGCATGTCGTCGGCACTCAGAGTTTCGAGAAGGCGTGGGAGCGACAAGGGACGGCCGGTGACATTCGTCCGCATCCGTTTCGTGGACGGTCGGTGCAGTGGGCGTGCTGGGACAGCGGGAGATCCAGAGGGGGAGGCTGACATACGATCTTCGTCTCCGGGGCTTGCGTCGTCGTCGGCCTTGCGCTTCCGAGAAGCCATGGCAGTGGAGGCGGAGAGAACTGCGGCAGAGGCACCGATGTTAGCCGTTGGCGCATGTCTGCACGAATGCAACGGGGACCTACTGTTGCGAGAGGGAGAGAGACGGTTGTTGAGCAGATGAGGGGGCGGCGCAAAGGTCTGGTGGATGGCGTTCATGCTGGGAGCGGGGCCCGCAAACGGATCAGACAGAGAGGGCAGCTGCGCTGTCGACTGGCAAGGGCCAAAGGATGCGAACGCCCGCAGTGCACGGTAATGGATGCAGTAGTCGGTCTGTGAAGTGGGAAGTGGAAGCGCGGAGAAGGTGTGGACGTTTGGTGATGGATGGATTGGAAGGTTCTGTGTGCAGAGAGCTCCGTGGTGTTTTGTTGGAAGCTGAGGGAGAAGGGCGAGCGGGCGCCAAGACCGACCCTTGTCCGTTGTCCCATGCCCACCCACCTCAAGTGTAAACATTTGTACCAGCCTTTGCCCCCGGAGGCACTGCAGACAGACCGAGACAGACAAAGATCACGTGCAGCTGCTGCGGTCCGTGAATGAATGATCCGGAAGCCCCTTCACGGACAGTCTCAGACTCACACTCGGCGTTGCAGATGTCAAGTGAAGGCATCCTCTCCTAACCGCGACTCCGCCGTTGGTCTGGATGCGTACGTACTATCAACACACAACCCCCCACAGCAACAGAACCTTGGAAGATCCCAGGATAGTCACATATGCCGAACCCGATGCTCATAATCGGAGAATGACATCCTCCATCTAATCTAATGCATAACACGGAGAATAGAGACCGGGATCAGAGGTACAAGGACTGTGCGGCGACAAGATCTCTGCGGATCATCTCCAGCGCCTGGGTGAACTTTTGCTCGAGTTCCTCGCTGCCCATGACCTTGGCAGCTTGCGCAATCTGTCGAAGCAGCTCCTCCAGTCTCCGGAAGAGGCGAATCAGACTGCCTTCGTACACGTCCGTCATTTTGCTGGACCAAGTCAATAGGCTGCCCAGTCATAACTGAGTCGACGGCTGCTTACCATATCTGCGCGAAGGTCGCGCCCTTTGCCCATGCGTAGACCACTTCCATCAACTCGTACTTGAACGTGTTCAGATATTCCTCCTCATTGATGGACAATTTGCTTTCCTGGGAGATTTTGGCGATGATGCGCGCTTGCTTCTGGATGTCGCGGAACGGCTTGTCCAGTTCTTCTTTCAACGCAGGCTGCTCGTTGCTCTTTTCCTCGAATATGAAGCAACTCAGGCAGGCGGCGCACTGCTCAGGCGTGAGCTCGTTGAAGAACCGATTGAATAGCAGCTCCGTCAGCACCAGCTCATCGCCGGTACTGATCTCACATGCTACTCTTGCCTTGATTTGCACGACCCCGGCTTCATCAATGAATCCCAGACGCCGCAAGACACGCTTTCTGTTCTTCAATTCGTCGAGCTGGAGGACAGAAAGGGCGTCTGATATCTCCTTCTTGACACTTTTGATCTTTTCGTGCACAGCCATCTTGCGCGCGTACTGAGCATAAAGCTCGGGCAACCTCGGTGAGTTGTGCAGCGGGTTAGTCAGAAGGCGGGATTCTAGGACCTCTATCCTCTATGGCCATGTTAGCTGAGCTGCACTCGACGCCCCTTTAGCATTACCTACCCGCAGCAGCTTTTTGAAAGATTCGTCCGTGATACCCATGTTCTCGACAGGATCAAGGATGGCGATGCCATCGGGAAATCTCTTGTGCACTTCCTCCAACGACTTTCGTACATTATTCTTCTGCTCAGTCGACTTGAGCTCGCTTGGCAGGAAGAGGCGGAGATGGCCGATCGACTCGATGCATGTCAACAAGACGGGTACAACCTCCATCTTACCCTTATCCCCCGGATTCGGGGGCCGAACGCCTGCAGGAAGCCCATCACTCGCTTGCGGAGCGAATTTTGTGTCCGAGGCGACGGGAATGACGACGTCGACCACGTACGATTCCTGGGGAGAAAGAACCTCGCCTTTGTTTGCCCTCCGGGGCGTGAAGTTCACCACAGCGCCCCAGCCAAAGTCCCAGTCTTTATACTTGATCTTTACCATGCGACCATGCTGCAGAAATTGCAGGCAATAACTGGGATGGGTTATGACGTCCCGCATGTCCTTGGTATAAGTGTCCAGCTGCTGCCGAAGTTGATAGTAGTCTTTGACGGTTGCTTCATCGGTGATGTTCATGTTGGCTTTCTCGTTTTCCAGCTCCAGCAGCTCTACATAGCGCGTTAGGAAGAGAAAGTCTGAATACCAAGGTTCACTTACGCTTCTCCAATCCAGAAACACTGGCCGTATTCTGAAACTGGAAAAAGCACCGCTCCAGCATAAACTCTGGAGAAATGCCCTCCACCCTCATCAGATTCAAGATCATGTTATATCCAAGATGGAATGCTGAGTTGAGATTGTCCTGCTGTCCGCGCACGATCTCCTTGGCCACCGCGGGTTCCATCTGCTCGTTGATCATCATGATGACGATACCGCGGTCGTCCAGGCCGCGACGACCCGCTCGGCCTGACATCTGTATGAACTCCGAGGGTGTAACCCAACGTTGGGAAACGCCGTCAAACTTTCTGACACTGGTAAAGACGACCGTCTTGGCCGGCATATTCAAGCCAATGGAGAAGGTCTCTGTCGCAAACAGCACCTTGATCAGCCCTTCTTGAAAGAGGATCTCGATGGTTTCCTTCAGTATCGGTAAGAGACCCGAGTGATGGACGCCGATGCCTCGGCGCAAGAGCGGGAGGATGTGCTGTATTTGAGGAAGCATCCGATCTTCCTCCGAAAGCATTTCGATGGCACTGTTGAACACCTTGGATACCATGGCCTTCTCCGATTCGTCATTGAAGGCGAGCTGGCTCATGGAGAGGGCATAGTTTTCACACTCTCTTTTGCTGAAGCTGAACACAATAACGGGATTGTAGTTCTTCAGCATGATCATCTTGACAATCTTGTAGATGTCCGTGTCGCCCTTGTTTCCGCCCTTGTTGGTCTTCTTGTCCTTCCCTTTCCCCTTACGCTTCGCAGTGAAGTCGACTGCATCAGTTCCTGCCTTCTCCGCAATGGATGCCATGGCTTTTTGAAAGTTCTCCTCGCGGAATACGCCCTTCTCATCCACCACGAGATGGATTCCGTCCGCTCCAGCTGGGAAGAAATAGTGCTGTAGAGGGGTCGGTCGAAAGTCCGTATATACGACGTGGCACGGTTGATTGTGCGTCTTGGTGATCCACTCCGCGAATTGCATGGCGTTGGGGATGGTGGCAGACAAGAAGACGTAGCGTACTTTATCGGGGAGGAGGATTATGGTCTCTTCCCATACCACTCCGCGAGCTGCAAGACGTCAGACCCACTTACGCGGAAAAGATCCCGCAAGCACTTACACTTGTCACGGAGATAGTGAACTTCGTCAAAGACGACCCAGGCGACTTCGCGCATGATCTCGGAACCACGGTACAGCATGGACCGTAGAATCTAGGCTATGTCAGCGCGTGAAGGACAAGAACCGCAAAGCACAAACCTCGGTAGTCATGACCAGACAGGTGGCAGTGGGATTGATGGTCACGTCGCCTGTCATCAAACCGACGTCGCCGAACTCAGCCATGAACTCTCTGTATTTTTGGTTGCTCAGCGCCTTGATGGGACTTGTGTAGATGACACGCTGGTTGTTCTTCAGACACTGGGCTATGGCGTACTCGGCCACCACTGTCTTGCCTGCAGAAGTGTGTGCCGAAACCAGAACGCTCTCATTGCGTTGGATGGATGCAATGGAGACCTGCTGGAACGGATCCAGGGTGAACGGCCAGGTCCGAGCCGGCTCCTCTGGGGGTTTGTGCTCTGAAATGGGGACATAGTCGTAATCCGGGGGCAAGGCGACCTGATGGCGGACCTGGTGGGAGAGAACCACGGCGCCTTCCTGCTTTTGTGCCTGCAATCCCGCCGCGGCAGCGACCTCGCGCGACTGCTCGGTCTCGAAATCATCCGTGACAACGGGCTCGGGTTCCAGGTCGCGCTTCTGCCGTTTGGTAACATGCGACGCTCCGTTCTCTGGGGGTATAGGCTCCGCATCGCGCATCTGCGCGTCTTCTGGAGCGGGGGATTTGATGTCGCCATTCGCTTGCCGCTTCTTGCTCGTCTTGGGTACGTCCGAGTCTACAGCTTCCTCGACATTGTCTTGCGGCTGGTCGTCAAACACTTCGAACAGCTCGTCCATGATGGTCTGCGAATTGGTTGTGGGGTTTCGATTAGCAAGGGGTCCTGGAGCTGAGAAGGTGGGATTAGCCTGCACGGATACGGCGCGAGGTACCGCGAGCGATGGGGGAGGAGACCAGCTGGGGCAATGGACGCGGGCGGAGAAATATTTAGAAGCAAGCGCAATGCGACGAAGGCGGTTTGCGGACAGTTATCACTACTGCTATCAGATCAAAAAGTTGCCAGCCTTGGCATCCACCAGCCACACTCACCAGCCACATCGATCATTCTCATCCCACCAGTGGCCGATTAAGGTTGGTTCTGTTCCTCCTCTTCCCAGGAATTGACTTCGCTTCTTTCACGCCCTTCACCACCGCCTACATCCTCAAGGTGCGCCCATCTCGCGTCCCCGCAGCCCAATTGACCTCTCAACTGACCACGCGAAGATGCTCTCCCGTTCAGCTTTCCGCGCTGCCGCCAATCCCACTGCCGTTGCCCGCCGTGGCTTCCAGTCGACCCGTGTCTCCCGCGGCGGCCATGGACCTACCGCCGCCGGCGCAAGCCCTTACCACTATCCCGAGGGCCCCAGGAGCAACCTACCCTTTGACCCTCTGAAGAAGGGCTTTGCCTTCAAGTTCTGGGGCTATGCCGGTGAGCGGAGGGCAGCTGCTCGACCCGGAATATCGCTGACTCCTTCCACAGCTACTGGATTCTTCCTCCCGTTCGGTATTGCCGGTGAGACACCCCATTATCCCATCCAGCCTCGGCAGCTTCCTAACGTGACCTACCTACTACAGTGTGGCAGACGAAGAAGAACAAGCCGTAGATGCAAAAGGGGGACATTTGGAGGAGCTTCTTGGGCATTTGCGCGGGAGGGCAGCGCATCCTGTAGCATAAAGAAATGGTTCCCGCGAACAATTGTACAGCTCACGACAGCATCAATGCAATCTCTCCTAGTTTCCTGACCCTCTGCAGCCAGCCCAAAGATGACGACCAAAACCACACATCACAGTGTGACGTCGATGACTGACTGGCCTCGACTAATGCGATGGGGTCGGGTGCTTCCTCTTCCGGCTAAAGCTCGGTCGGGACTGCCCAAGCTCCCCAAATCTTTGCTGGCCCAGCAAAGTCCAATTTTTGACCGCAAGTCGAGGTCGATGTGAGCCACACCATTCACCACCCACCGCCCCGGCTGAATTTCCCTCATGCTCGCACGCCGCACGTAATCCCATCCTCCAACGCCGTCGCCATGCGCAATCTCAAGATTGTGGGCAGATCGCTCCTGCGCTTCACCGGGGAGGAGCCGCGACCGCTCACTGCCACGGCCTGGGACGCTGCGTCCGATGCACTGATATGTGCATTTGGCCCTACCGAGTCACGTGCCGTCATCGAACTGACCCGCCTGCACTACGACGGCAACAGCTCTGAACGCAAGCTCGAGGGCATTGCTTCGTGGGATGCGCCCTGCCCGCTTCCCTCGCTTCCTCACGACCGCATCGTTGACCTGCATCATTTCTCTGACACCTCTACAACCTGCCTTGTACTAGCCGGCGGCGACATCATCCTCGTCCGAGAGCATCGTGACCATGACCAGGACCTCGTGGAGATTGTGGGATCCATCGATGCTGGCATCTCGGCTGCCGCGTGGTCTCCGGACGAGGAGCTGTTGGCTATCGTCACGGCCGCGGATACCCTTCTTTTGATGACAAGAGATATCGAGAACATAACCAGCGTCACGCTGACAGCAGACGATGTAAACGTCTCGAACCATGTGTCCGTCGGATGGGGCAAGAAGGAGACGCAGTTCAAGGGCAAGAGGGCGAGGGCGTTGCAGGATCCCACTGTACCAGAACGAATAGACGAGGGAGTGCTCAGCCCATTTGATGACCGGTCCGTAACCATCAGCTGGAGGGGAGACGGGGCTTTCTTTGCCGTCAGTACCATTGAGCAGGAGCGGCGAAGAATGATCCGAGTCTACTCCAGAGAGGCAGAACTGGACAGCGTAAGTGAACCAGTCGATGGTTTGGAGGGAGCCCTCAGCTGGCGGCCATCCGGCAATCTCATGGCGAGCCTGCGCCGGCTCTCTGACCGCATCGATGTGGTGTTTTTTGAACGCAATGGCCTTCGTCACGGCCAGTTTGATCTTCGCTTTACCGCCGAGCAGCTCCAGGAATTGAAGTCGCCCCTTGCCCTCCGATGGAACAATGACTCAACCATTCTTGCCGTGTCACACCCTGGAAAAGTCCAGTTGTGGACGATGAGCAACTATCATTACTATCTAAAACAGGAACTGGTATTTCCCCAGGGTTCCGCTCGAAATGTGATGTGTGGTTGGCATCCAGAGCGTCCCTTGTCCGTCGCTCTTGCAACTGCTGGTAACTAGCCTGACCCCTTGTTCATGTGACTAGGATTGACGTCTTTACCAGACTCGCTCCACCTTCTCGATTATCTCTCTGCTCCCGCGACTGGATCAGTCTCACCCCCGCATGACTACGGAGCTGTCGCCACTATTGATGGTAGTAGGTCAGCCTGGGGACTTTCACATAGGGCTCGCCGCTGACCATGTCAACCAGTGTTTCTGAAGTTGACACCGTTGCGCATAGCCAACGTGCCCCCTCCCATGTCTCTACTCCGGCTTCCACTGGACGCCTGCCCTGTCGACGTGGCAGTCTCCAAGTCCTCCACTCGAATAGCAGTTGTGTCGGTAGCAGGAGTCGCGGTCTATGCCTTGGACATCAACAAGAGACCCGTGCCAATGCCGTCCTTGCTGTGGCGTAGCAAAATCCCCAGCGATCATCTTCCACGCCAGATCGCCTTTCTCGGAGACGATAAGATCTTCGTGCTGGCAGACAGGTGGGAGGGGGATGAGAGTTTCTTGTGGACTAACGAGGCAGAAGATCTGATCCCATGTGGCCCAATACTGGAATCGGGGCGTGCGTCCTCCCTTGTGACCAGCGTTGACTATCAGAAAGTATTCATACAATTTGAAGACGGAGCCTTGTACAATGTTGGGTTGATCGATGATCAAGAGGAGCCATCGGCCTTCAGCACGACTTTGGTGCTGAAAACTCCACCATCTGCCCCCGAGGTTAAGGTAGCTATCATGGACGCCGAAGTAAGTTGAAGTATGACACGAATAATGCGCCCGGTTGACCGTTGCAGCTTTTGGCTTTCTCCTTGTCCAGGAGTGGCGTACTGTGCGCGAACGATAGGATACTTGTTCGAAATTGCACGTCATATGTTGTTACACCCTCCCATCTCATATTCACGACAACACAGCATCTTCTCAAATTTGTCCATTTAACAGCGGTGAACGGTATGCAGCCACAAAGTTACTAACAAGCAGCACACTGACCGTGTCAGACTTGGAAATTCCGCTGGATGAACCTCAAAAAGATGAGAGATGTAGGAGCATTGAAAGGGGTGCCCGTATCGTAACTGTTATGCCATCCACCTATACTATCGTCTTGCAAATGCCTAGGGGCAATCTCGAAACCATCTATCCTCGCGCCCTTGTGCTCGCGGCTATCCGACGCAGCATAGATGAAGACCGCTATGGCGACGCCTTCCGCACTTGTCGAAGCCAGAGAGTCGATATGAATATCCTGCATGATCATGACCCTGATCGCTTCATGACCCGAATTGAAGAGATCGTTGCGCAAATCGGAAGGGTGGAGCATATAGACCTTCTCCTCTCGCAGCTTAGGTGGGTCATCCCATGCGTAATGTTGGCACTTTCAGGCTAAACTATACAGAAACGAGGATGTCACGGAGACGATGTACAAAGAGACGTTGAAGCGAAAAGATCTGGGCAAGAAAGCCCCCCAGCCACAAGCGGCGGTGGGCTCTAAAGTCAACCGTATCTGTGACGCCTTCTTGGCCGTTCTTGAGAAGCCCCAATACAGGGAGGTCCATATCCAAAACATCATCACCGCTCACGTTTGCAAGGTCCCAGCGGATTTAGAATCAGGCCTAGAGATGATTGGGCGACTTCAGAGTTTGTTTCCCTTTCCAACTCCCTATCCCCCTTGGCCCCACCCCCCTTCTCCCCCTAACTTAGAACCAGAGACGCAAGATCCTGTCACCGAGAAAGCGGCGGAACATATCTGTTTTTTGGCCGATGTAAATCAACTTTACGACACTGCCTTAGGCCTCTACAACCTCGACTTAGCTCTGCTCATCGCGCAGCAATCACAAAAGGTATGTGAGGTTGTTTGTGGCGACCGATTGATACTAAAGTATGCAACAAAGGATCCGCGGGAATACCTACCGCAGCTACAATCGCTTCACGATTTACCTCCTTTGCGTCGGAAATTCCGGATTGACGATCAGCTGGGGCGTCGGCAAAAGGCCCTCGCGCATCTGAAAGACCTGGACGCGTTTGAAGAGGTGCAGGACTACGTACAAAAGCATGGCCTCTATGCCGAAGCACTGCAGCTATATCATTATGACAGTATAAGCACGAGAGTCATCATGAGACACTACGCCGACCATCTGGCTATAGAGGATCGTCACAAAGAGGCCGCAATAGCATACGACTACCTCGAAGACCATAGTGCTGCGTGGCCACACTATCGCTCGGCCCATTTGTGGCAGGAAGCTCTCTCATCAGCCATACTCGCTGGTGTATCAGAGGCTCAGCTCTTATCTCTTGCCGCTTCCCTCGCTGAAGGTAACCTCCAAAACATATGTGGTGTATGTCAGTTTACTTGCGACTTACTCCTACCACAGATCTTGCTGAGTCAAAAGACTACGTCTCGGCATCCACTATCCAACTCTCGTACCTTAGAGATCTCCCTGCAGCCATCAAACTTCTCTGTCGGGCCTGCCAATTCGCCGAAGCTACGCGCCTCCTGACGCTGCATCGAGACACTACCCTTTTTTCTTCTATTCTGGATCCAGCCCTCATCGAACGGTCCGGTGAGACGACTGAATTTCTCGCAGAGATGAGATCCCAGCTGCTTGCTCAGGTACCGAGGCTGCGGGAACTGCGCATCAAGAAGGCGGCTGATCCCTCTGCCTTCTTCGAAGGCCTTGATGACAGCAGCAATATCCCCGACAATGTCTCCGTCGCACCCACCGAGACTACAAGTGGCGGTACCTTCATGACGCGTTACACCAATCGAAGTAGCACGGTCAATACGGCAACAACAAGACGCACGAGCAAGAAGAAAAGACAAGAGGAGCGGAAGAGAGCACGCGGGAAAAAGGGCACTGTGTATGAGGAGGAATACCTAGTCAACAGTATTGAGCGCTTGATCGACCGAGTGAACGGGATGGGTGCCGCCGAGGGGGAGGTGCAGAGGCTCATCGAAGGGTTGGTCAAGAGGGGTATGAGAGAGAGGGCCGAGGCGATTAGTAACGCAATGGCAGACGTGGTAGAGAGATGCAAAGCGGCAGTAGCAGAGCTATATGAGAAGAATAACGAGACGGAAAAGGATGAAGGGCAACTTCTCAGCAACGGCGAAGCTGTACTGGCTTTCCACCGGGATCCAGAGGTAGAAAGGCCGCCACTGTCCGGTGCCGACGCAACTCTCTGGGCCAGCATGGCAGAGGTCAATCGGAAGAGACCTCCGCCTATCGTGAAAGATTTTAAGAGAATTTGCCTGCTTGGATAGCTTCGTCCTGTATATAGAAACAGAACTTTAGCTACCTCTAACAGTTTTTTATATTAATACATATTTGTATTAATCTATATATTTAGTCTAGAAACTATAATACTACTACTCTAGTTATAAAGAGTAAATAAGTATAATATATAATAAGTTATAACTAGTATAACGTGGTTTATCAGCACTCGGATCATATCAGCACTCGGATCATATAAAAAAAACACCAACATCACAACAAATTTTCTGCTTGGAATTCCATCTCCAAACTTGTTCCACTTGTTCAATCTATCAAGGAGACTTCTTTTCCCAACTTGCAGTGTGCTGCAGCACCTGCAGCAGGA